GCCATCTACAACGTATAATCAACACAGAGAACTAACATGACGAAGATAACCACCCGCCTGCCCTGCCCGGAAGAAGACTTCCAAGCCGGTCAACCCACCCTGACCTCCTATCTCTCCGAACTCATGACCCCCTCCCCCTTCCCCCGTCAACATGGGCCCCCTCACTCGCATCCCCACTCCCTCCTTCCCCATTCCAATCCCCTCAACGATCCCCTCTCCTCCTTCACCGAACTCATCCTCCTCGCCACCATCGTCGGTCGCGCCCTCAGCCACCGCCAAACCCTCGCCGTCGAGCAACTCCACCCCCTCCACAACCACCAAAGCCTGGACAGCTTTTGGGCCCGTCACACCTACCTCCATGATCTCCTCACCCACCGCATTCAAATCCTATCCACCTACCCCCAGGTCGACCCGATGCTTATGTTCGCCCGCATCATCGCCCAAAGCATGGTGCTCTTCCTGCACAGTGTGCTGGAAACCATCACCTGGAAAACCGGCGATCACTTACTGGGCATCATTGAATTTGAGCGGGTCTGTGTCCTGGCCGCACATGAAGTGGTCGGGTTGGTCAAGGTGCAGAGCAGTTTGGGATACTTCAAAGTACGTCCCCCCCTCTCGTCATCGTCCCCAGAGAGAGTGACTGTGGCTAACGGAATGTGTTTCGGATAGGTCCATCCCCTTACCCCGACCCCACTGATCATGTGCACCGAGTTCTTCTCCGCGCATGGCTACCTCGATACCTCGTTCGAGTTCATGTTGCAGGAGTTGTTGGAGTCATTGCAGGAGATCGAACGGGTGAAGAACCCGGTGCACAGTCCGACCTTGTCGGGGCAATAATCCCAGCCGGTGTCGCTGAGTTGCGTGGGCGCATTGGGAACGGGGTTCAGGTTTGGTCGTAAACATGGGTCATGGTTTGGGTTTGGGTTCTCTCCTCCGTAGAGAGACTTGCGATTGGTTGCTGGAATTGGTTGTCGTTCTTTGAATCCCTTAGCGATCTCTTGTAACATGTGCTTTTTGTTTTGTGTGAAATCTGGTTGATTCCGTGGGATATCGACGTTGGTGGCTGTCCATGGTGATACCCCCATCTCCCCGAAGAGTCAAACATCCTGGACAAATTCGGGATAAGATGTGATGGGATGGCACACACACACACACACACTGGGAACTGTGATCCGTGCTGGTCCATGGGCACGAGCACTACATAAAATATAATCTACTAGTAATCCTCTTATATACCCCTTTTCCCCTTTCCCCGTCCCTCTCCCCGATCCCGTCCCTCCTCCTCCTCTTCTTCTAATTCCGCCTCTCGCCACAAATAACTCCGTCCCAGCATCCCTCCTCCGTCTCCGGCCCTCGTGCAACCCGCGTTTGCTGAACGCCCATCCACTCCGTCCCCTACGCTGCCCCGAGGAGATATCCCGACCAACAAACTCCGGCCGCTCCCGCTCCCCTTTCCCAGAGCAACCAAACCAAATCATACCCAAACCCCAAGCCTAAAAAAAAAGCAACCCCAGAGACAACCAATATGACAGTCCCAACGGAACCGTGGCGGCCCCATAAATCCCTCTCCCTCTGAGGTGCCTATTGGTTCCCTTCTCCCCAGACGATACTTTAGAGCTTAGGTTGGTTGGTCGGTTGCCCCGTTGCCTAGAGAATTGACATGCTATGAGATGATCACCCATCATGGCCCGCACCGCTGCCCAACAACTTTCTCTCCTCCAATCCAACCCCAGACCTAACCCGACTAGTACCGATAAGCCTAACGCTAAGACTACGCCCAAAACTGTCTTACTCTTCGGGTGCCAATCCCTCGACTTCAACGTCCATCATTTCCGGTCTCTCCGTCGAGTGGTCCTCGATTGTCCGGAACATCACTGGGTATTGGATGTTCTGGCTGAGTTACCGGTCTACTGGCGGACCACGACGAAGTATGTCCCGCATTTGCAGGAGGCGCTTCCCGGGGCGGAGGAGCAGTTACGGGAGTTGAGTCGGTGGTTTCGGGTTCCGAAGGGGGCAGAGGAAGGGAAGGTTCCGCGGGAGGAGTGTTTCCCGTTACCGTATATTCAGCATGCGCCGCTGTTTATGGTTCATCATCTCGTGCAGTATGCGAGTTATATGCGGATGACGGGTGAGGAAGGGGATGAAGGGGGCCCGGTGGTGGAGATTGTGGGCTTTTGTATTGGCTTTTTGAGCGCTGCTGTGGCGGCGTCGGTGACGGGTCTGGACCAGCTGCCAAAGTATGGCGCGGTCGGAGTCCGCTTGGCGACGTTGTTGGGGGCTATGGGTGATGCGCAGGAATGGGAGCGGAGGTATACCTCGCTGTCAACGGTGTGGAAGGATCCGGAGCTGGGAAGAGAGCTGCCGGGGGTGTTGGCGCGGTATCCTGAGGTAGGTGGGTGATTTCGATCTTGTGGATTGGGGTGGGAGGTTGCTGAGTGAGGTGCAGACATACATTACCGTCTGGTATGATGAGAACCGGCTGACAGTCATGACGCCCCGGAGCTCCCTGGCCCCCTTGCAACAGTCCCTTCGGTCGGCCGGATTCGTGGCGTACCATATCGATTTCAACGGTCGCTATCACTGGGCGGGCCATCGGAAAACACTCGATGCGTTGTATGAGATGTGTGATGCGGACCCGGCGCTTCGGCTCCCCGACGCCTCGCAGCTGCGACGTCGCCCATGGTCCAACATCAGCGGCGACCCCGTCTGCAAGGGCCCCTTGCATCGGCTAGTCCTGCAATCCGTCCTCTCCCAGCCGTCCATGTGGTATGAGACATTCGCGGCTGTGCACCGGTCGCATCTGGAGGATACAGACGCCATCGTGGTCGAGTTTGGTCGCGAGCGCTGTGTGCCCCCGTCGTTCATGCGAAGCCTGCGCGACCGCGTGATACATTATGATGACTTGGAGCTCGACTCATTCTCGCGCATCGCGCCCGCCGGTTCCCCTCGGGTCTATGATGAGGATATCGCGGTGGTGGGGATGGCCTGTCGGGTCGCGGGCGCGGACGACCTGGAGGAGTTCTGGCAGCTTCTCTGTGCGGGAAAGTCACAACATCGAGAAATCCCACCGGAACGCTACAAGGACTATGAGACGCCCTGGCGCCCGGACGCCGCTCGCCCATGGCTCGGAAACTTTATCCGCGATATCGATGCCTTTGATCACAAGTTCTTTAAAAAGGTGCCGCGCGAGATCATGTCGCAGGATCCACAACAGCGCCTGCTCCTGCAGGTCGCATACCAGGCACTTGAACAGTCCGGGTACTTCCACAGGAACGCCACTAAAGAAGTCGGATGTTACATCGCCTGCTGCACCGTCGACTATGAGCACAACGTCAACTGCCATCCAGCCACCGCATATGCCGCCACGGGTCTCCTGCGAAGTTTCATCGCCGGAAAGCTGAGCCACTATTTCGGGTGGCATGGTCCAGCGTTGTGCATCGACACGGCGTGCTCAGGGTCAACGGTCGCGCTGCACCACGCGTGCCGGGCAATACTCAACGGAGACTGCAAGGCGGCTCTGGTCGGGGGCGCCAATGCAATCACCAGCCCCCTTGGCTTTGACAATCTCAACGGAGCGTCGTTTCTCTCCCCGACCGGCCCCTGCAAACCGTTCGATGCCAAGGCGGATGGCTACTGCCGCGGCGAGGGTTTTGCGGCGATCGTCGTCAAGAAATTGTCCGATGCCCTTGCCGCAGGAGATCCAATCCTGGGCACCATCGCCGGAACCGCCGTCGAACAAAACGACAATTGTACTCCCATCGTGGTACCCCATGCACCATCGTTGGCAGCGCTGTTCAAGAAAGTCACCGAACGGGCCCGGATCCATCCACGCGACATCTCGGTCGTAGAGGCTCATGGCACCGGCACCCAGGCTGGCGACCCCGCGGAGTATAGCAGCGTGCGACAGGTGATGGGCGGACCGCAACGGACAGCTCCTCTTTCCTTGGGATCGGTCAAGGGGCTGGTCGGACATACCGAAGGTGTCTCGGGGATAATTGCGCTGGTCAAGGTGCTGCTCATGATGCAGGAGGGCAAAACCCCGCCGCAGCCGAACTTTCAGACACTTAACCCGCACATTCAAGCATCATCGGAGGATCAAATAGAGATTCCAACTCAGCTGAAGCCTTGGATAGCGGATTATCGTGCCGCGTTGATCAACAATTATGGCGCATGCGGATCGAATGCCTCCATAGTCGTTACACAGGCCCCAGACGCAAGACAACCACCGACTGCTATCCACGATCCCGGTTTGTCCCTACCATTCCGGCTATGCGGTCTGGACGAGAACCGGATCCGTGCCTACGCACGACGACTTCAACAATTTCTTCACCACAAAGCTCTGTCGTCACAGCATGCCTCTCTGGCCAACATTTCCTTCGGCACAGGCCGCCAGTCGAATCCAACTCTGGACTGCCAACTCGTCTTCAGCTGTGCCTCCATGGCTGACTTCGATGCAAAGCTATCATCTGTGATTGAAGGACGCGATACCCAATTTATCCGCTTAAAAAAGCCCATGGCACCCGTTGTGCTCTGCTTTGGGGGGCAGGTCTCCACCTTCGTGGGATTAGACCGTGCTGTCTACTACACCATGCGTGTGCTACGCGATCATCTGGACGAATGCAACCGCCTGCTCGAGTCTCTCGGCTACCCGAGTCTCTACCCTGGCATCTTTGAGCGCACTACCATTGGAGACCAAGTCAAGCTGCAGACACAGTTATTCTCATTGCAGTATGCATGTGCCCGTTCCTGGATGGACTGCGGTGTCCCTGTTACCGCGATTGTCGGTCACAGCTTTGGCGAGCTAACGGCAATGTGCGTTTCTGGCGTGCTGTCACTCGTCGACGCCTTGGCATTAGTCGCCCGTCGAGCTATCCTTATCCGAGATAATTGGGGAACGGACGCTGGCGGCATGATCGCGGTGGACGGTGGCCGTGTGGAAATCGAGGGTCTTCTAACAGAGTCGGCAAAGACGACCACCGGCGTAGCCCCAGCAGAAATTGCTTGCTTCAACGGGCCTCGTAGCTTCACTCTGGCCGGCTCCGTCGTAGCTATCGATGCAGTCCAGCACACCCTGGCCACGAACCCAACATTCTCCAGTATTCGGTGGAAGCGACTAAACGTAACAAACGCCTTCCACAGTGCCTTGGTCGAACCATTGATTGCCGACCTGAAAGGTATCACCCAAGACCTGACTCTCAATGAGCCAATCATGCACTATGAACGCGCCACCGAGCAGCCATGCACTGGGCTTCCCACTGCGAGTATCGCCGCGGACCACCTACGCCAGCCAGTATACTTCAGCCACGCCATCCAGCGTCTTGCTGCGCGACACCGCTCATGCATCTGGCTAGAAGCAGGCTCCAATTCGACCATCACGGTAATGGCCAGTCGCGCCTTAGAAGCAACCAGCGTAAATCATCGCTTCCAGGCGGTCAATATTACAGGGGATAGCGGAGTCCGGAACTTGACAGATGTCACGATAGCTCTTTGGAGAGAGGGAGTGCCCACGACGTATTGGGCGCACCATTCCTCGCAAACACCAGAATACGGGGTCCTGCTTCTGCCACCATATCAGTTCGAGAAGAGCAGGCACTGGATGGACAACAAGCCACTGCCGACTAGTAAACGCCAGCCGAGCGATACTCAAGGGGATCAAAAACTGGAATTCCTCGGGTACGGAGACAAGGACCAGCTGATAGCCAAGTTCCGAGTGAACACGGCGCATCCGAAGTACAAGGAAGCACTATCTGGCCACGTAGGTGCGCAAACAGCTCCGCTTGCTCCGGCGTCGCATATGCTAGACAATGCTGTCGAGGCGCTACGCAGCCTGTCAGAAGGAAAGGGTAAGGTTCCGCAGGTGAAGAACGTCACCAGTGATGCACCACTCGGCCTTGACAATCGAGACGTCCAAATCATGTTGCACGCGCAAAACAAGGACAAGACTGTCTGGGATCTGAAGTATACCAGTGAAGATCGACAGAAAGGCGCTCGGTCGCAAGTCGTTCATTGTTCCGCCCGAATCACGATGTTTTCACCCGACGATCCTGCACTTGCGGGAGAATTCGCTCGGTATAGCCGTCTGGTCAACCACCGCCGATGCCACGAGCTTCTCAATGACCCTGATGTAGACGATGTTCTACAGGGCCGCAACCTTTACCGTTACTTTTCCGAGATTGTCGAATATAGCGAGCCATACCGGGGAGTGCGAAAACTGGTAGGCAAAGGGAACGAATCAGCCGGACACGTAGTCAAGAAATATTCCGCCGAGACTTGGGCAGATACCTATCTGTGCGACTCCTTCAGTCAAGTCGGCGGCTTCTGGGTGAACTGCATGACGGACCGATCCCCGTCAGATATCTATATCGCCAGTGGTATGGAGCAATGGATGCGTACACCTCTGTACGCCGATTCGGAAACGCCTCGTCCAGATACATGGGACGTTTTTGCAACCCATGAGCGCTCAGATGGTCTTTACACCAGTGATATCTTTGTCTTTGAGCCGACCAGCGGCAGACTCGTTGAAGTCTTCATCGGGATGCAATATTCACGCGTACCGAAAGCTATGTTCTGCAAGATTCTCGGCAAATTGAATCCAACCTCTCTCCAGGCTCAACCAGACGCATCACAGGCGGTTTTGGTATCAGAGAATGATAAGATTGAGACGCTAACAGCAGGTGGAAAGGTAAAACGCACTTCGGATATTCCGGCACGCATCAAGTCTGTGGTTGCCGAGTTTTGTGCTGTAGACCCCTGTGAGATCCGCGACGACGACAATATGGCGGATTCTGGTGTAGATTCCCTCATGGCCATGGAGCTGGCGCGCGAACTAGAGGAAGCATTCCATTGTACCCTGTCAGCAACTGACTTGATGGAGGCGGAGACCTTCCGAGACCTTGTCTGTGCAGTGCAGGGCGCTATGGGAGTAGATACTGATAGCGCCCAAGACACGCTCGACAGCAGCACCGGATCAGATATCGAAGGCGATCAGGACTCTGTCGCTAACACGCCTAGCACCGAGTCAATTACCAGCCTTAGTACCAACACTCCCGAGCTGCAATTGCCAGAGGACTTGATCCTTGAGGCTTTTGGCGAAACAAAAGCCTTAACAGACCAGTTCCTGTCCGAGAACCATTGCAGCGGACGTGTTCATAGCTTCAATCCGCTGCAGATGCAGCTCTGCGTCACCCTTACGCTCGAGGCATTCGAGATCCTCGGCTCGTTCATTCGAGCGGCGAAACCAGGCCAACCACTAGACCGCATATCCCACGACCCCCAGCATCAAGAATTGGTCGACTACCTATACCGACGGCTGGAGGAAGCACGCCTTGTGGATTTGGATGAAACGGGAGTAATCCGCACGGGGATCACTTGGCTCAGCAAGTCCAGTACCACCATTCTCGAGGATATTGGCCGTACGTACCCGGAATTTGCCGGTGCCAGCAAACTGGCGTTCTTCACAGGCAGCAAATTGGCTGCAGTTTTGCGCGGCGAGCAGGACGGCTTGCAGCTTATCTTTGGGACGAAAGAAGGACAAGAGCTCGTGTCCTGGATGTACGGCGACGAGTCGCACAACGTGACCGGGTACAAGCAGATGCTAGATTTCATCCAACGCCTCACGCACAAAGTAGGCAGCGAATCAGGCCCGCTGAGGATTCTCGAAATGGGCGCTGGTACCGGTGGCGGTACGAAATGGCTTCTTCCCGGACTCACCAAACTTGGGATTCCTGTCGAATATATATTTACCGATATCTCGCTCGCATTCCTAGCTCAAGCCCGTCGGCGCTTCAAGGAATATGCATTCGTACAATACAAAGTGCATGATATCGAGAAGCCCCCGGCCCATGAGCTTGTCGGGACACAGCACATCATAATTGCTAGCAATGCCGTGCACGCTACGTCGAATCTGCAGGTCTCCACGCGCAACATGCGAAAGTTCCTGCGCCCTGACGGTGTCGTCATGATGCTGGAAATGACCAGGCCTCAGTTTGCTATCGACATTGTCTTCGGGCTCTTTCGTGGTTGGTGGGTATTTAACGATGGGCGCACCCATGCCATTACCAGCGAGCAACGCTGGGAGGCAGATCTGCATGCTGTTGGGTATGGCCATGTTGACTGGACGGACGGTTATTCACCAGAAGTGAGCGTCCAGCGAGTGCTTTTCGCTACCACTGGGGGTGAACAAAGACCACGGTTGCCACTGGGGCCAAAACCAGCAGGCGTGGATCTCCTTGCTGGTGTTGATAGTGTTGCTCGTGAGCGGGCAACTGACGAATACATTCTGCGCATTATCGAAGGCTTCACTGAGCCTGTACCTGCTTCAAAGCCTGTGACAGGACCCATATGCATCCTGGTGACTGGAGCCACCGGAAGTTTGGGTAGCCATCTGATAGCACATCTGGCTCGACTAAAGGTAGTCCACACTGTGGTCTGTTTGAATCGACGAGTGCTAGGGGACCCGCTAGAGCGGCAGAAGCAAGCTCTAGCTGAGCGCGGCATTAGCCTTCGTCCAGACGAAATGACAAAATTGACGGTCCTTGAAGGAGAAGGGGCGGAACGGCTTGGTCTCTCGAATGAGCAATATGACCTGCTCAACAAATCCGTCACGCATATTATTCATAATGCTTGGTCAATGAATGGAGCACGGAGTCTAGCCACATTTGAATCTCAATTTCGAACAATGAGAAGCTTGATCGATCTGGCCCGAGATATCGCCTCAACCCGGTCGTCTAATAGCCGCGTCGGGTTCCAGTTCATTTCATCCATCGGAGCAGTTGGCCATCGACCGTTACTAACCGGCGAGAAGACGGTCACAGAAGACCGCAGCACAATTGGCTGGGCGCTGGCGAATGGCTACGCCGAAGCAAAGTTTGTTTGCGAGCAGGCTCTCCACCTGACTTTGTTACAATTCCCGAACCTATTCAATGCCATGATAGTGCGACCGGGACAGATAGCTGGATCTTCTACCAGTGGATATTGGAATACTGCAGAGCATTTTCCTGCCGTGATAAAGTCCGCGCAGACCCTGAAGATCTTGCCTGCCCTGGAAGGGACGTTATCCTGGACGCCAGTTAATGACGTTGCAGCCACCCTCACCGATCTTATACTCACAGAGAACCCTCATCCAATCTATCATATCGACAACATGACTCGTCAGCCATGGGATGATATGATAAGGGTGTTCGCCCGAGAATTGAATATTCCCCCGGATAATATCATCCCCTTCCCAGAGTGGATACATCGAGTGAAGGCGTTCCCTGGAACTCGGGAAGACAACCCGGCCAGCGTAATGGCCGACTGGCTGAGTGACCACTTTGAGCGCATGTCGTGCGGGGGGTTATTATTGGACACGTCCCACGCGCGCCAGCATTCGGCAGCATTGCGGGTCCTAGGGCCTGTCGATCCCACGGTGGCCCGTCGCTACATTCAGCACTGGAGACAGAGGGGGTTTCTGCGGTAACAGGGTGGTTCTCCATTCCGTCGTGCATGTTCATAGCATTAAACCCGGAATAGATGTACCTATAGTAGATAGATTCAGACTCCAAAACACAATGTTACTGCAGTAGCTAATGACTGGATTCGCATCTCAAGATGGCATGACTTCGTTCTGACGCTTGACGGTGGAGGGTGGGATTCTGCTGAGTGACACGGCTTTATTCTTCATAATAACGTGCTTCACATAAAATGGTCTTGGGTTCATTGAGAGGCAAATGACTGGAGGTTGAAGTGAAGTGAGGTGGAAGAAAGTGGACGCCGACGCGCCGTCGCGTTGAGCCATTAATACCGGATTAGGCAAGTGCTGTCCTGCTGACAAATCGGCGGGTCGTCCCCACGTTCGCCCCTCCAACTCAAACTTCTCCATCCCAATCAACAATGTAAAGCCACTAGTTATCCAATGGATCCATCTCAGGGCGAGAAGACGAAGGTGAGATCTCGCGGGAAATATACTACTAAAGCGTGCGAAGAATGCCGGCGACGGCGAGCCAAGGTAACATTCTGCTGTAGCAAAAAATCGTGACATTCTCGCTAAGAAAATAGTGCGACGGGTTGAAACCTTCTTGCTCCAGATGTCTTCAGTGGAAGCTATCATGCCAGTATTCGGTTACTGAAGATGGTCGTCGACCGGCTCCCAAGTCTTACGTCCTGCTTCTTCGGCAGCGTATTGAATCACTGGAGAAATTACTACACCAGCATGGCATTGATACCAACGACCAGGGCTCCCGACCCCCTGATAGAAGCTTGGATAGCAAGTTGGCCCAGGACCAATTAGATGACGCATGCTCGGCAATGGATAGTCTGTGTGAGACTCTCAAAGGCCAGCTATCTCTGGACGACTCGTTGAATTTTGACAATGATGGCGAGATGCGGTATTTCGGGCCTACCAGTGGAAGACTCGGCTTTCAGGGCCCCTTGCCAAAGGCCAGTCCAGGCACTTCCGTTGCTGTTCCCGAGCTGGACCCAGTGCTCAATAGCATTGATGATTATCTCGGCTTCACCGTTGAGAGCTCGGCTACTGGCAACGAAATTCCTGCATCCCTCCAAAACCATCTCATTGATCTCTACTTTACGTGGGACCAGCCATGGTACCCTATTGTAGATGAGACCCTGTTTAGAGAGAGCATGAACAATGGAGGCTGGTATTGGACCCCATTACTTCATTATTCGATCCTTGCCTTGGGTTCTCGATACTCAGATAGCTTGGAAGTTCGCTTAGTCCCTGATGATCCTAACTCGGCTGGGCAAGGCTTCCTCACGCAGGCGAAAGATCTGCTTCAGTCGGAAATGGAACACCCGACTCTTGTGACCATCCAGGCACTAGGGGTTATTGGCCTTGTTTACATTGTAGGTTGTCGCTACACTCTTGCAGTCGATACTAATGACGTAGGCAATAGGTAAAGATGCAGCAGGCTGGCTACACCATGGAATGGCCGATCGGCTCTGTCTGGACATGGGGTTGAACATCGATCCCGCGGGCTTTGAAGGAACAGTGGCGATATCGGCCAGAGAAGCCCGATTGCGAAGGCAAATTTATTGGACCTTGTACTGTCATGATAAGCTTTCAGCTACTTATACAGGGCGAATATGCTCTATGCTTGTATGTTTCCATGACTGATAATGGCCTCGCTGACCAACGCAGGACCAACAAGGAGCCGTCGAGTTGCCATCGGATATCGACGACCAGAGTGATGCGAAAACACCCCTGCCAATCCGGGAAGCCTTGATACCTCTGCAACGAGCCATGATTAAGATCTGTCAAATTACAGAGAAGATACTACTTTCAATGTAAGTCCCCCTCTGGTGCGCGACAATGTCATCTGAGTGAGCAGGTGGGCTCCCAAGCCTCTTATGAAGGAGCCCGAGCGACCGGCATTTTTCAAGTCCAGCCTTCTGGCCTTAAGAACCTGGTTTTATGATCTTCCTCCGGGGCTCCGGATTGATCGCCCCAACAATGTGCCTCACGCATACACGCTGCATATGATCTATCATACCACATCGATTCTCCTTGCCAAACCGTTTCTCATGCGATCCAGCTCCGACTCCGTGCCTGCCGATGGCATTGTGGAGCAGGCTCGCTTAGTCTGCAGGGACGCAGCCAAGTCAATGTGTCTGGTGGCTCAGAAGTACAGCCGTGTGTTCGGCGGTTTTCAGCGTAGTCCTATTTCGGCTACGCATTGCACGCTGTCCTCTGCTTGGGTCATTCTAGATGAACCAGACTGTCCTACGAAGCGCAATCAGCTGCACGTGTGCCTGACTGTACTTGATCAACTGGCTACATCGTGGTATCCAGCACGACACATTGCGAATAACCTCAGGAAGCTTTCAATTGTCCCAACCGAGGTGTCCTCGGAGGGTGACATTACTGCGGAAGCAATCGGTGTTAATAACCCTGTCCCATCTACGTCTGAAGTACTGGGCACTTCCAGCGAGGAGGCTAGATTGGACCTCCATAATCCTTTTGGACCTGGTTTTACCGCATGGAGCCAATTGCCAGATGACTACGGGTACTTTGACCTGTTGAATCAAGTAGCATGGGATCGTTCAGCGGCACTTTTCTAGACGGTTGACAATCGGGTCAATTGATTCTGGCCACCTATTTTATTGGAGTGAAGTGCGTTGTCAAAATTTGAGGGTGTTGGTATTGTATTTGCCTGATGGACATTATGGCTCCCCGGCTTGCACGGGATGAGTTCAGCCGAAGTTACGAGCACGTCACGGGCGGTGTGAGAGGAAGGATAGGGGAATAAGCTGAATGTCTCACAAACTGAATGACTTTGCACAACACGACTACCACTCTACCGCCGTCAAGCTGGAATTTGGCATCTCTGGTCACCATGATCCTCAGCGGCCGCGAAGTCCTCACCCGGCAATTAGTGCGAAACCTCCGAGATATTACCCAACAGCAACCCTGCGGCATCGACCTCACTCTCCGACAGACCTCCGCATGGACCTCTGCAGCCACCATCGACTTCGATAATACCAAGCGCCAGGCTTCCAAAACCTCCATTTTACCTTTCAATCCCACCCACGCCATCACCCTCCACCACGGCGCTTACTTGGTTGATTTCAACGAAACCGTTCAAGTTCCCCTAAATGGCATGGGAAGTATTTTCCCTCGATCGTCGCTGTGGCGATCCGGGGTGGGAATCACGGCTGGTGTGGTAGACGCGGGGTATCAAGGTGCTCTAGGGGCTTTGTTGGAGGTGAATAATCCTAATGGAGTGGTTTTGTTTCGAGATGCCAAGCTTGCGCAGATTGTTTTTGAAGAACTGGGGGAGATGGTGGAGGGGTATAGTGGGATTTATCAGGCTTCGACGAGTAGTGTTGGGCGGGATGGGACTGGACGAGCTGACGACCTTTGAGTGGAGGATTGATTATTTCTTGTGTCTCGGTAAAAATGGGAGGTTGGAGCTGGGTAATCGTCTCTTACAGCCTGACGGCTCCTTTGACAAAGGATCTTGGAGAGCATTACACATAACAGCATTGTGGCCAGCTCATTGAGGACAAATCTTGGTGTACTTCATAGACTACTTGTATCATTCTCGGCAGCAAGAGTCTTACTTCTCATCATCTGTCAGATACAGAGGCAGCATCATTTCACGGCAAGAGTTCCTGGTCTGAGGTATTGCACATGCCAACATTAGCCGATAATATTGAGTTATCCAGACTACGGTGTTGAGGCACGGAAATGATAAGCGGTGGTGGCCAATATGACTAGTACCTCGCCTACCAGCGAATCGGGCGCCACACATATTCCAATCAGACGGTCCTTTCGTGAATGATTTCTCGCTGCTCTGTTTTAACAGCCATATCATCCCCTTCATATGGCTTGGCGTGTTCACCCCTCACTAAAATGACGCCATCGCCCCGGGAATTGAGTGACAGCCCCCTCATTCCAAACATGTTCTGGCCATGAGCACGGTCCGTGTCTCAAAAAGATAAAGATGTCACGAAAGCCCCGCTTTCTTGCGTGACAGTCCACTACTGACTGATCTGGATATATACACGGGGAGCGACAAGCATCTGACGGGATCAGATAAGCTCCAAATTTCGGTCCTGATCTCTCGAATGACATTATGTCTTGATCAACCACATCCCATGTCTTCAGCATCAAGCATCACAGGGTAGTGATTACCTGTAGCAACTATATGACCATGGCAAGATGAAAGGCGGTTTGGAAAGAATGCTGCATCAACCGAGCACGCCTTATCACCTCCTCCTACCACAATCGGCAACGACCCCATGTCTATATCTGCAGCCAAGCAAGCTACGGACAAGTTCCGCCTAAGCTGCATCTCGCAGATCGCCATGTGCATATCCCGCCGAAAATGGTGACATGTTCTCTGCAGCTCAAATGGTTCTTAAATCCCGACCGACGGCATCACTGTCCACCAACAACACCGTCACAATGGCCTCTCCCAAACAGCGTCGATGGTACCAGATGCGCTGGTTCTCCGAGGAGGACAGTCATGCAGATCGGAAATTGATCCTCAAGCTTGATGCTCTTATTGTTCCCTATGCTTTTCTGTCCTACTGGACGAAATACATTGATCAGGCTAACCTGAGTGAGTCCGTCGTACTTCTCGTCGACAATTGCTAACTCTACGCTCTAGACAATGCCTATGTATCGGGAATGCAAGAAGATCTTGGTCTGCGTGGCGATGACCTGGTGAACATGCAGACAATGTACACCGTTGGTGCGGTGGTTGGCCAGCTTCCCTTTGCCTACCTCTTCACGCGCGTGCCCATCTCATGGCTCATCCCCATCATGGACATTCTGTGGGGAGTGTTCACTCTTCTGCAGTATCGAGCCACCTCGTATAGTGAGATGATGGCCTATCGATTTCTGGTGGGATGGTTCGAGGTAAGCCCTCCCCCTCGATCCCCTGACTACTTCTCACCCTTTCCAGGCGGCATTCTTCCCCGGAATGCATTACATCTTCGGCGCATGGTATCGCGGCGACGAAATCGCTCGTCGCGGCGGCTGCTTCTACGTGGGCCTCACACTAGGCACACTGACCGCCAGCCTCATCCAAGCCGGGGCCTCCTCCCGACTCGACGGAGTAGCCGGCCTCGCGGGCTGGCGCTGGATGTTCATCATCTGCGCGATCATCACCATCCCCATCGGCATCCTAGGATTCTTCGTCCTCCCAGGCACCCCGGAGAAACCCAACCGGCTCATCCTGCGCGACGAAGACATCCAACGCGGGCGCGAACGCCTCGAACGCACCGGTCACCGCTTCACCATCACCGGCTTCTCGATCCTAGACACGGTGAAATCCCTCTTCCGCAACCGCAAATTCTACATCTTCCTCATTCTCGACATTCTCTTCTGGAACGCGAGCCTCCACACCTCGGCAGGCGGATACCTCCTCTGGCTGAAATCGCTGAAGCGGTACAGCACCGCCACGCTGAACAACCTCTCGGCCATCGCCCCAGCCCTCGGCATCTTCTACACCCTCTTCATCTGCTTCCTCTCCGATCTCTGCCTGGGGCCGGCATGGGCTATCGTGCTTGCCCACACGTGGAATAGCTTGGGACTGCTGATCCTCACGATCTGGAATGTCCCCGAGTCAGCGAAGTGGTTTGCCTTTTCAACCATCTATGCATCCGTGGCTATGTCGAGCGTGCTGTACGGGTGGGTAAATACCGAGCTACGGTACTCGCCGCAGGAGCGGGCAGTAGTGCTGGTGGTGATTAACGCGGTGGCGCAGTCGACGACGGCGTGGACGCCGTTGCTGGTGTTCCCGACGGTCGAGGGACCTCGCTTTACCAAGGGATATGCTTTTACGTTGGCGTGTGCGTTGAGTTTGATTGTGAGTACTATTGGGGTGTGGGCGGTTTGGCGGAGGAAGGCCGTGCATGCTGAGGTTGAGGATGTAGTTGTTGTGACGGGGAAGAGGGATACAAGTGGAAGGATGAGATGTGTGGTGGGATCGTAGAACTCAAAGGATTTTTTTTTCCAATTGGCTCGTTAGATTCCAGTAAGGCGCTCAACTTGATATTCATCATTGCACCGCAGCCGTGATCGCAGGGGTGCTAGCAGAGCAGGGAGCACCGCGTTCCGACCCCACGGGAGATGAACATCTCACGCACAACCCCACTCAAGACCACCACAAAGACAATCCAAAAGAACTACAAGGGCTTTCTCCAAAAAAGATCCAGGGTCCAAACAAACGAGGGAATTACAACGAACCAAAAAGGCCGCGTCATCACACCCCCAAAGCCTTGGCAACTATCCCCAACACAGCCAGCTAAACATAAACCCGGATAGCACTACCCACTACTCACTAGTCCTCATACACCCAACCAAGCAACCCAACCAGCCGACCCCATCTCCCTCACGATATATTCTCTATTCGCAAACAACCTCATTACTCAAAAACGTGGCATCCACCTCCCAACACAGCGTCTCACTCGTAACCTCATACTCCCCATACAGGGAATCCTCCGTACATCCCGTCGCCGTATACATCTTCAACACCGGCGCGGTACCCTCATCACAAGCACCGGAGTAGATGTGCGCGGAGAAAGATTTCAGAGGGAGACCGTTGGCGGGGCCGCAGGCGCCGGAGATCACGTTGGCGGATTCGATGCTCGGTGAGACGCATTCGGTTAGGTAGTAGCCGCTGAAGGCGATGTCGAGGGTTGCGGTGGCAGTCGCTGTGGTGAGGAGGGTGAGGGTGAGGGTCTAGATGTATCGTCAGAATTGAGGATGGGATTTTTTAAGGGGGGTGACGGACCTTGAATTGCATGATTGCTAGCCGGGGGTGCTAAGTTCAGGATTTAGTGTAGTAGGAGTAGGGTTCGTTGTATGAAAGTATTCCGTATGTTCCTCTCCCTCCAAAACCCAGGGGAAATTCATAACCTTTATAGTCACTCTGAAAAGCAAGCTATCAGATACTCCATCCACATCTCTACACCTCGAGACGGTCATATGACTGGTGCCAAGACGAGCGGATGGCTTCAGCGAGATCTTATCAGATCCATATTCCTAATCGGGTAGTCTACTCCTTTGATTGTTCTTATTTCCGATGGTTTGCCAAGCTTTTCTCGTATTTCGGGTCACCAGACCCAGTGTTGCTAGGAGGGATGATGGATGGATGGCTTTCCTGATTGGGTGAGGTATGTTAAGTCTGCGGAGTACGGAGTAGGAGTAGGAGTATGAAAAGGGGCCTAGGATGTAGCAGTTGGATGGTTGGGTTAGGAGTATGTAAAGAGGAAGCGGCGAGTTGTGACCAATCAATGTTCAGATTAAGGAGTTCAGACTTCACTGAACAGGAGCAATTGTTCAGAAGGGCTGACTCAATGGAACCGGCGGGTAGACTGGTTTTATAGCTAAGCTGGGTGGATGGAATCACCCGCAGGTGAGGCTGTCGGACGTGTGTAGAATAAGTCCACTGTCGTTACAACAACACAATTGAAGCCAACAGCAGACATAAACCACCCGTGAATTATGAATAATAAAAAAGAAAAGGAAGAATACATACAACAGAAGGGATTCGCTGGTGGTCACCCACCCAACTACTAACCTCCCGGCGTGTGGCTTAAGTACGGCTGAGCGGACGGGAAGCCCTGTTCTCCACACCCTGTGGTCGTATGTACATACCATCTTCTAGAATTAGCTCATGTAGTGCGATATGCTGAAAAGGAGGCAGACAGAATTTACTGGTAGTTACCAACTCAAGTAATATATCCCTGTGTGTGATTTGGATGTGGGGAAGTAGGGCGGGTGCTGTTTAGTTGAGATGGTAGAAGGCTGCTTATAGTTGCGTGACGGGTAGAGCTAGGATGATTCAGTGAGTATATATATAATAGATGGAGGGGGTATACTTTTAAGTAGGCAGAACCTGCCAGTTTATTCTATTCCCTCATAACCGTGGACACGTACAACAAAATCAAATATTCTATAGTCTATCATGGATATCATCTATAATAACTTCTATAAACATAATGTCATCAGTCCTCCATAAAACAACACCCCACACCAATATATACAAAAGCCCCCCAAAAAACCTACATCAACCTCCCCTCCGACCACATTCTTAACCTCCCCCCCAACCACCAAAACCCCACCGGCACCGGCACCAACACGACACACACCGCCCCCAAGACACTCGTCGCGTCCGCGACCCCCAACCCCGCCAACATCCTCCCCGCAAATAACGGAAACGCCGCCCCAAACACACTCCGCATTGCCCCATTCACCCCCATCGCACTATTCGCCATGCCCGTAAAACAATCCACAATATAACTAAACCCCTGGATGAAGAGCAAGTACATGCCGCTTCCGATGAGGAGGTTCGCGCAGACGGGACTGGCCCAGGGGATGGAAGGCGTGGCGGTCCACGCGTACCAGAACATGCCGGCGGGGATGAGACAGCCGCCGAGGATCATGGGGGGGAGACGCGCCTCGGGGAGGAATTTCCCGGTGGTGGGATCGTGCGAGTGGTGGCGGAAGTAGAGGTGGTTGTAGAGGAGCATGAGGATGGTGGTGAGGAGGATGCCCGTGATGAGGCCGAGGAGGGGGAGGGTGTTGAGGCCGGTGGGCCAGCCGCGGAGGGTGCCGAAGGTGTAGGGGTAGGATTGGTAGAAGAGGTAGAGGATGCCGTAGAGGAGGGATTGGTAGATGGTGAGGAGGGTGAGGATGGGTTGGGTGAGGATGAGCCCTGTGCTGTTTAGAAAGAGTGGTCTGGTGGGAAGGGATGGGGGAAGGACGTACAGAATGGACGGATGAGGTAGAGTTTTGCGATTTGTCCGAGATTACTATTGCTGTCTTGTTTCTCTTTCTCCGTCTCCGAAGGAGATTCGAGACTAGAAGCTTTGCAGGATTGGGCGCGCTGCAGGACGATCGGGGGATAGGTCTCGGGGAAAAGCACGACGGCGATGAGCGCCAGGCCCAGCCCGCAAATGATCATCACCCACATGGTCCAGCGCCAGTGCAAGGGCGAAGCGACGATGAAGCCGCCAAAGACAGGGCCGAATGTCGGCCCCGAGAACATCAGCGCCACGGCAATCGCCATTGCGTTGCCGCGCTGTTCCGTTGCGAAACAATCGCTGACGACGCCCCCCATGACCGCAACGGGCGAGATACCAAACAATCCCGCGAAGAAACGTCCGACGAGGACGGTGGCGAGATTAGTGCCCAAGGCGGGCATTAATTCAAAAAGTGCGGAGATGGTCACCCCGATGATCAGCGGCCATTTGCGGCCGAACTTTTCGGACAGCGGGCCGAAGGTGAGGAAGCCGAAGATGTAGCCCTAGTCAGGGTCAGTTTCGATGCAAAGAAGCTAGTACTAAGGATTCCATACCACTAGAAATAATGTAGTTGTGAGAATGGCCACTTCCTTGTCAATGTGAAACTCCTCCATAATTTCCGCTTGTGCAGGACTCAAGATGCTGCTGGCCACCGTGGCTAGGATGTTCATGAGACCGAGGATCATGATTACCCGGACCTTTTTGGCCATGGGCCAGTTGTGTGGGTGCTCAGGGTCGATGTCAACCAACCGAATGTTCGCTGCTTCAACATCCCTCTCCGCCACGGCTATTGCCGTCAAGGGTCCCATTGATGCTGATCGTGTCAAAGCACACTAGCAAACACTAACGAAGATCGACACTGGGTATGAGCGGGTGGATCTAAACCTAGACAGAACCTAAATCACTTCTAAAATCACAATGCATCGGTCTGATTGGCAGTCAGACACATAAGAAAAAACAAGCTGAACCTTCAAATTGTCTACCCAGGGCTACTGTGAGGGGCGGGCTCTGCCGAGCCCAGTATATATTTGCTAATACCAAGCACACCCCAACTCCCCGCATCAAATTTTCCAATCTCCGTGAGGAGAAATATTTTTCGTGAGGGGAAACTCTGTCTACATTCACCGTGTAGAGGCTGAGTGGGGCGTGGATGAGGCTAGACCAGGGTTTTGCACGCCGGAAACGTGATTCAAGCTCCACTTGAGCCATGCCATTGGTTCAGTGCAGTGCAGAATCCGGCAGGGATTTTGGCAGCCCAAACAGATCCCGGAATCGAGTCATGCCAAGGTTTTCGCGGAGATGGTTCGGTGATGGGTCGGATTTCCAATGGTCTGTCGTGCGGGGTATTGCCTATTATAAAGGTGTAGTACTTGCATGGTGAATCCAGGTTTGAATATGCAGTGATTCAAATTCCTGGAATATGCTCCAACAAGTGTTAATACTGCACGATTGTCAGTATCTCAATGAGGAGACCGAAAGTAGGAGATTTGGTACGGAACAAGAGTCATGATATCCCACTCGCTAACAAAGAAAAGGAGATTTAGATAGGGCTTGACGTTGATGACATCTCTACCCTCCTAACTGACAAGCAAAACAAAAAGATCACAGAATGCATCCATCTCTGCGCACATAACCTATAAAACCAATCTATACTCCCCCCTCCTCTCCCTCTCCACACCCATCCACCAACCCCCCTTAAAATCACAACCCACACCTCCCCAAACACTCCTCCACCCTAACCACCATATCCCTCGGAATCGCCCCCCTCAGCCTCTCCAACTCCTCCCCCGTAATACTCCCCCCAAACGACCTCTCCACCACCCCATCCCCAAACGCAAACAGCTGTTCCGCCACCAACCCCACCGCAAACTCATCCGACGTGAACGCGGCCGTGAAATTCGCCGCCTCGCAGTCGGGGTTCACTTGCGTGTGGAATGAGCCGGCGGGGTAGATGGTGACTTGCCCGGCGTGGAGGTCGGTGCGGATTACCCGTTGGGTGTTGTTTTTGTCGAGGACACCGGTCTCGGGGATCATGGAGGAGAGGATGTGGCCTGAGGTTAGGGCGAAGAGTTCGGTGGCGCGCGGGTGCAGGTGGATGAAGGTCATGCTGCAGGCTTTTTTTTGAGGGTTAGTTGGTGGTTGGGAGGGATGGGTTGGGGGAGGTATTGGGGGGGGAGGGGGTACGTGGGAGTTGGGACATGCTGATGGCTGCGCCGACGCCGACGAGAGCGGGCCAGTTTTGGCTCGTCGCGACGGGGAGGTCTTCGGTGTTGGTGAAGTTGAAGACGAAGTCGGAATCGTTGGGGAGGAGTTGGTAGCGTTCGATGGCACTGATGGGGTTGGGTTAGAGGATGGGGTGAGGAGGGTTAGGGCTGACTTACGTATCGGCGAGGCGGAGTTGGGCTGTTAAGCTGAGATCGGAGTTGGAGCGGGGGGGGATCGGTTGTGGTAGTGCTGCTGCGTGGAGGGTGAGAGTAAGTAGGATGATAGTGAAGGACATGGTGAATGTGAGCATGATCGTGGTAGTTAGAACTTAAGAGGTTATTGATTTTGGAAAGGAGTAGATGGTGAATATGCTGGAGGATGTTGGTTTTAATCGAGCAGGTAACGGGCTTTATATACTCGTAGATCCTTATATTTGTCGGTTTAGCTTACCATATCAGGCTATGTCTGCAAAGACAACTAGGTCATCCAAATCAATTCCAAATGCACATCACAGCCACATGCCTCTTCCATACAATGTTGTCGCCAAGGTCATTGTTCTGTAGTGCGCCGCTCTGGCGTATTACTAATACGCCGCAGTTATCCGTCGTATGCAGGGTTGATGCAGGGCTTCTGCTACGGCTATAAGCCGCACCTTGGCAGCGGCTGTACTCGTACTCTTACAGCTTACTTCCTTGGCGAGGCTATGGTAGGACGTGATCCACCCTGGCTGCTTATTGCTGAATACAGTTGCTCACGAGAAATAGTTACAATACCTAAAACTAACAATCTCTATCACTGCAAGTAATCGGGACGAGTTCCTGCTTAGCCAAATACATCCTCTCCGGCCACCACATTTCAACACCACCCAACTGACATAAGACATTCTGTGTCTTCATCAGGGAGATCACCTGGCCAAGTTCCCACTCTCCGATATTTCTAATCCACCATACCCCATCCAGCAACATGACCAGGACCAGCCAATGAGCGAAAATATCCATCGCTAGAACATGCATCGCAGTCAGTGGTAATCTCCCTGTTGCAGCCGAGCCTTGTGTTCTTCCCTCCGCAGGACAATCCAAGACCGACTGTACGAGATTAAGAAACTCGGTCGGTGCTTGGTTCAGAAAAGACATGATAATACGTCGGAGAACCCGCGGGGACTCCATCGATGTGACACTGATCATATATCGTGCTACCCAGGGTGTGACGGCACGGGAACATCCGAGTATGGACATGTGTTGATGATTCCACGGGGTCTCGGGCATCTTTCTCTCGCGACTTTCTCGTGGTAATAGCGCTGCAGATGTGCATTTTTCCAGGATAGATACGGTTTCCAGACATGCGTGGAGTCGTCGATCAGCGCTGCTACGAGATGCAGAAGCATGCGGCTGCGGGCCTTGTAGCAGCTGAGCAGCTGTGCATTGTGCTCTCTTGCGGAGACTCCTTAGAGCTCGATCATAGGTCGATGCGACGAGAGGCAGGAACAGACGCTTTGTTTTCGAGGAAGGACCGTCTTGGGGTGATAAGATAGCATTCCCTGTGGCTGGCATTGTGCGACGGGATTCTAATCGCGGATCTACCACCTCGCTGGTAGCAGCTTCGACAATATTGTTGAGCACAGCGGTAGATGCCGTATGTGCTGCGCGAGTAAAGGAAATCCACTGCGAATGTTGCGGTAATAATTCGGTCGGGAGTCGCTGTCCATATCGCTTGGCCGTGGCCGCCAAATGGACACGGATGGAGTGACTAGCCGATGCATACAAAACCATCAACGCCGCGTTGGCGAGAACATTATCGTAGGATTCGGAGTTTTGCATCGTGGCTTGAATGTGGCGGAGGGAAGCCCGGTGATGGCGTTCCGCTAGCGCCAGGAGCTCTTGGATTTCTGTTAATTTCTGGGAATCGAGTGGGTTTCGGGTCTGTTCGTGGGCAATGTCGTGGCATTTGCACGCTGCTGCCAAGCTTAGCAAGGAGGACATGACCGCCTTGCATTTGAAGGCGAGATTCGGGACCCCGACTGCGAGAGCGTGGAGATCGAGATGGTCGACCGGGATGGTTTGGCTGGTGTGTGTGAGGTAGTGGGCTAAGAGGCTGAGTTCGGTCGCATGGAGAGGATCTGGGGAGGGTGAGTTCAAGTCGGGGTTGTCCTCTTCTGTAGTAAGTTGTGGAGAAAGACTAAGTTGGCTAATGGATGGAGGAATGTCATTTGACAGCACGACCGGCACAGTCCTGGAATTGGGGGAAGATGACTCCGTGTCCGACCCGCTCGTACTCAAACGGGGCTGGTATCGACATGGACACGAGCGTCGGGTACATCGCGAGCAACTCGGTCGCAACTCGTCGCACTATTTACAATCAGAGACTCGTCCCAACTGCAATAGGATTAACACAGCATCTGCAGGGTACAGTACCTTCTTGCGTTGCTGCTTGCATCTGAGACAACCATTGCGGGACTTTTCGTGTGCCCTGCGAATCCGATATCCAGACACTTGAATTCCTGAAGATGTCGTATCGGTAGCCATATCGCCGGCTACAATGCGGGACAACGAAATTGAGGGTCTGGGGAGGGCAGTTGGGCGTATTAGTAAAGCGACCTCGGAAGGCTGAGTTTACTCAGCCTCATGAGTGGAGATGTTGCCGTACAAAGTCAGCACTAACGATTTAGGTTTATAAGATTTGTTACGATTGGGTGGTTCAACTGACGAGGCTCTGCTGATTTAATTAACATGATTAGAGTTATTCGACAGTGATGATTAAATCGCTCACAAGCCAGTAAGCGCTGATGTCTTGGCATCACTTGGAGAGTCGTATCCTCTCTGCAAACGGCCATAGTTAGAGAACATAGTCTAGTCTTGTCAGAAGCCTAAGAGGGATTACGGACAGTCTTAGAGCAGCACGACAGGAATAGTGTGTCATTCGTATCGCGGGTCATGCGGCTTGAAAACCACTTTGTCCACGTTCCAGCTGCGGTGGGGATCAAGCCACTTACAAACAGCGCTTCAATTATTCGAACCAAGTATCTCAGCCACAAAATGACCTGTATCCTTTATCATCGAAAACTGGATTGATACTCATGACACACAGATAAATGCCCAAGTGAGACATGCGTCGGGCCGAGATGCATCGCAGACCCACGTATCACCATTACAATACTATACGCCTCCCATCATCGAAATCCTTGAGGGGAATATCTCCACACCCTGTAGCCACAACACTCTCAAACCCCCTCCCCCGGCCTGGCCCCAAGCATCTACTTCGGATCATGCGCCACAACCTCAATCTCAACCCTCATATCATCCTCCCCCAACCTCGTAACGCCCACACACGTCCAAATCGGCTCATGATCCGGCATATACTTCCTAAAATTCCTCACCATGGCCTCCAACGCCTCATCATTAATCGGGACATGATACGAATTCACCCGGAACACCTGTTCCCAGCCCTTTCCGCCGGCGTTCTGCAGATTCAGTTCCACGTTTTTGAACGCTTGGTCGATTTGCGCGTTGATTTCTTTGTAGAAGACGCCCGTGGTGGGGTCCCAGCCGCCTGGGGATGTTAGATTGGTTTGGGGTTGGGTGGAAGGTTGGGGGGCTACCTTGGCCGGCGCATTCGATGCGGTCGCCGATGCGGACGGCTTGGCTGTATTTGAATTTTTGTTGGTTGCGTTTGCCGACGCCGTCGTAGTTGTAGTAGGTTAGGTGGGACATGATGATTATTTTGAGAAGAGTGGACTTGGGATGTGAGGAAGCGCTATTGCAGATTTGGTGGATCTTTGAGATCAGTGGTCAGCTCCTTTATAAGTTTGTCGTATCGCGGAATATATCTTCCGTCGATGAGGTCATACTAATAGCAGACAAAGAATTCGGGATTCTTCTTCGTGAGGGGTATTTTGCTGCCTTCACGCCCCACACTTATATGGAGTACATGTTGAAAAAAGCCCCAGTAAGATCAGATGGGGTTATTCACATGGTAGTTGGGTGCATCTTCAAATACTACCCTCCCATTGACGTATAACTATCTTATCTTATCTCTAGCTGACTCAGCAATCCGCAGCATCCGATCGACATCACGACTCAGCGACCATTAGGGGTCAGGGGTCTAACACTGCATTCGACACAAATGGATCGAGAACATTTATTACATTGTGGTGCATCACTATGGCCACCAATCACCACTTGAAACGCAAACCCCTCCCTGAAACCTGCTCTGATGGCACCATCCGCGGTGTCATCACTATTTCGCCTCCACCCACCCCCGATAAGCAGCAGCAGCAGCAGCAGCATCAAAAACGAGACCCATCACCTCAACCACCACGACCCCATCGTCCACCACCACCCTATACACCTCCACTCCCCATCCGCGCCGCAACCACCCACTATGACCAACAACGTCCCCCCTCCCCCCTCCCACCCCCCCCCGCCACAACCGATCTTCCAACCCCTCCGTCAACCGCCCAAAAAGCCTACCACGAAGCGCGCCACTTCCTCGGCGGCCTCATAACCCACCCAACTGAAAGCACCAAAGCCATCACCATCCTCCGACACTCCCACGGGGTCGTCTTCTACCGCGGCAGCACCACCTCCGTCACCATCTCCATCTTCTCCACCACCCCCCTCCCCGCCGACCGTACCCTCTGGCTCCAAAGCAAAGGCTGGACCGGCAAAACCGGCATGCGCACAAAAGCTCTCCTTCGACTGACCGACGACTGGCTCAACGTGACCCCCACGTTACCTGTTCGCGCCGAACAAGTTGACCCGGCGGATGAACGCGCCTGGCAGAGAGATATCACCAAGTTTCGGAAAAAGGCGCCCGCGAAGATTCGCGATACGCATGTGCTTCGGGAGACGGTTGTGGTGCGGATACCGGTGGAAGCTGGGGATGGGTACTTTCAGCTGGTGTTGTGTAGGGGCGAGAAGAAGGTGATGTGTTATAGTCCGGTGTTTCGGGTGTTGTCGACGAGTTTGAGTCCGAGTTCGATGCGTGGGGCGAGTTTGTCGACGATGCCGTTCGAGATGGGCGCGATGGTGCTGGGCATGTATGTGCAGACGGCGGCGGAGGCGGTCGTCGCGCCGGTTACGTCGGCTGTTCAGAGTAAGGTGCAGCCGTATCAGCCTAGTTGGGTGACGCAGACCGCGGCGGAGACGGCGTATTCGGTTAGTGGGGTTGGGGATCGGGTGAATTCGGTGTTGGGGATGGGGGATGATGGGGTTGGTGAAGGGAACGGAACGAGGGATGTACAGCAAGGGCATCAGGTGGCGTTGGAGGATGGGCCAACAGCGCCATTTCCTGTGGATTTTAGTGCAAGGGTCGAGATGGAAGAGAGTGATTCTCGGTTTAGGTTGGCTAGAGTTCCTGATCTGGTGCTTGATAGGTATCATGGATTTTTCTTTGGGTGGGTGAGAGCCGAGAGCGATGGCCCTACGGCACAAAGGGGCCCTGGTTCTGCGCCAGGGCCGTGGCAGGGCATCGTCTTATCGATGGTATACTGGGATCCGACGCAGCAGACCAGAATCAACCTCTCACAGGCCATGAGAAAGGTCACGACGATTCGGTTCATCGACGAGCCTGCCGTGCCTTTTCGAACTCAAACTCGGGTGCAGGTTCGAATCATGGGCTTCCTCCGTCCCGATGTGCCTCCCCCGAGAGGTCAAACAGAAAAGGATCTCATCGCTGCTCGGGAGGCTACCGCGGAGGCGGCCATGCTAGCTGACGCGTGCGATGTGTCCTACGCGCAGAGTGTCCTAGAACATCCTGCTTGGGCAGCAGATACACCTCTAGTAACAGAAACAAGGAATATAGGTACAAATGAAGCAAGCGGAAGCGGGTCCTGGATGGATCGAACGAGAGAAGGCGTGGAGAACGTCAAATATCGAGGGCAGAAGTTGGCTGAAAAGGTCCCCTTGCACTGGATCGGAGTGAGAGCTCCGACGGACGAGGCAAGGGATAAGCAGATTGCCGTGAATGGGTTTTATATCGTTCGATGATGGTATTGTTTGGACATATTGTAGTATATTTTCATGTAATATAGGGTGATGCGGGCGTAATTGCAGTTCTGTCGATTGAAATCTACATCGCGAATCCGATCGAATAAATGACTATTTCGATCGGTCTAATTGCTAACGTATTGACCCAAGTACATTTTTCGTCCCACTCCAGCCCAACATGACGAGATCCCACACCCTGGCCGTGAAGGGAATAGTGGCAGTGGGGCTGCATGGCCAAGGACGGCCCAACTATTCTTCCACCGCCGGCAGCGAGTTCACCACTCAAGGCAGCATCGATGACCTGTACGGCATTCTTGTGACACGGATCAAAGACCCCGCTTGAAGAGCGGAAGGTGGCAGAAACGCTACTGGGAGATGCTCATCTAGCTCACTCAAACTTGCTGTCTACTAAGTACTAACCAACTCACTAAGCTCATAATCATATAGCACACTCCCGCACCAATCAAGCCCAGCCAGGCACTTCAGGCACAAACTGAGCACTACTTTTTGTGTGGGCATAAATGTAGTGATAACTCACGAAAGTTGCTGCCAAGACCTGAAATGAGCATCATATCCACCGTGTTTCGGCGAAATTTTGAGCCCGCGATGCGCCGAATGGCTGAGAAGTGAGAAGCCGGCGGGGCTGTGCTGGCTCTGTCAGCCCTAAGCCCGCCGCTTGTGGCCCAGTCTGCCCAGAGCTCTCCTCTCCGCCAATCATATTTTGGCTGTCCGTCTGCGCCACTGGTGCCTGATTTCAGCTTACTGGGCCAGGTTAGCGGGGTTTCAGGCAGCCCCTCCCCCAAACCCCGCACAGCCACAGCCTTGTCAGCTTAAGAAGTCCCCTCTCCCAGTCCCAAGTCCCAACTTCTTTGCTTTTCCTCATCTTCACCTCCCTTGGCAGTTTTCACGAATCAACACCAGCACACGATGGCCGCTCAAGAATACTTCGGTGGTGGCTCCAACGACCAGCGTCAACAGAACGCCTCCCCCTGGTCCTCCCCCGCCATCAACACCCCCAGCTCCACCGGCTACGGCTCCTATCCTCCCTCCGTCGAGAACGGCCAGGACCGCTATGGCGCTGCGTCTCCCTACCCGCCCCAGGGCGGAGGCTACAACCGCCCCTACAGCCCATACCAGCAGCCCCACTCGGGCGTCTCCTCGCCTCACCCGAACTACCAGAACCAGAACCAGAACCCCGAATACCCACCCCACAACGGCGGCCGCCCACCCTACCCCCAATACGACCAGTCCGGCCCCGAGCCCCGACCCTACCCCCAGCAAGAAGGCTACGGTTCCCACCAACAGCCCCCTCCTTACTCCCCGGAGTCCACCGACCCCGCCGCAGCCGGTGAGGGCGACAAGGGCCTAATGGGCGCTCTCGCCGGTGGCGCGGCCGGCGGTTTCGCAGGTCACAAAGCCAACCACGGGATTCTGGGCACCATCGGTGGCGCGATGCTCGGATCGGTCGCCGAAGACGGCTTCAAGAAGCACAAGGAGAAGAAGGAGCGTGAAGAAGAGGAGCGTCGGCAGATGGAGGAACGTCGTCGGATGGAGGAACAATACCGCATGGAGGAGCAGCGCCGGATGGAAGAACGACACCGTATGGAGGAGCAGCACAGAATGCAAATGCATCATAGACCCCCTCCGCACCATAGCCCGCCGATGCGCGGTAACTTTTCCTCTTCGTCGAGGGATATTCGGCTCGAGAGTCATCATGATTTGGTGGCTGCGTGTGGTCGCGTCTCGGGTGAGTTGCAGCTTTCGTGTCTTCCGTTGAATAGTGTGTTGTCGAATAGCTGGGGGGAGTTTAAGTGGGCGAGGAATGGAAACTTTGCGGCGTCGGCGAGAAATGTGCGGTTGGTGGATGGGGGTCGGGTTTTGGAGGCGGAGTTGAACGATGGAAATGGGGGATGGAATCGATCTTGGATTCGGTTGGATGAGAGGATTACCAACAATAATGGTAACCTGATGTTCTTGGATTAGATGATGGTTTCTTTCGTTGGGTTGTGCTCGACGAGCTTTTTATACCTTTATTTAGTGCTTTACATAAACTTGGACTCTTTCGCAAACACCATTTGAAGGGACTTCTTACATACAACCGGTAATAAATAAATCCCACCCAGGGCCCTTGAAGTACGGAAAACAGTATATTAGTAGTACTTCACGTGCAGGGCTGGTCAGCGCAAACCAACTCTTGGTTACGTCTCTCTGGGAAGTGTTGGCTTCTGATCGATGTACAACTTAAGACTTATCTTGAATTTCCCGAAGCTTCCGGCCGATATTGCCTGCGCACACCGTTCCAGCTAGATCAGCGATGACTGGGAGGGAATAGGGCCAGACCCCCCTAAAGACAGCTTGAGACCTGCCGTCTAACCCAGAACTCTCCCTATATTCAGGCCGTAGGTCTTAATCAAATACTGTGTTTGTTTTAAAACGCTTGATAGAGGAATGCAATGAGAAACACTCACCTCAAGATTAAATATTATTCCTAGGTGTACGTAACAACTCCCTAGATTAACCAATCCCATTCGATGTTGTGCGACGGCCACTATGGGGATCGGGCCGCGTGGCCAAGGTCATAAGAGATGCGTGTTCTGTGCCTGGCGACTTGGAATCTTAGACTTTGGTCGATAGCTGAGCTGTGAGGTAGGGACCTCATTCCTGGAAACGTACCTAGGGACGGCCTTGATATGAGTGAATGTCTCCATAGATCAGAGTAACAATATTCCACGCAACATTACCTCCGCGACAATCCTTTAAGCATAAACCCCCTTATCATCTTGAATCAAAAAGCCGCAAAATACCGAATAGCCATCTGTTCAAGCATCTGTGCACTGAATGAGAGCTCGTTATCCACATCGACATCAGAAGAAAGCGGAGGGATGCCATCCCCATCGAAAATAGTCGCCAGCGGAAGAACAAGGGGCGCTCCCGTGACCGTTACATTTCCAGGGCCCACACGAGTGAGTATAATACGTTGGATGCATCGCGCCGGGCCTCCCATCCGCGCAGTAACAGATCGCGTAACAATCCTACGCTGTACCATCGCCCTCTCCCAACGCTCAATTCTAATTTCCAATTTCTCTAGGTCAAGAACCACCAGAAGAACAATCCGAGTGCGTTTGTCCGAGGCGTCAAGCCATATACGTGCGTCGGTCTTGAGCCGCTCATAGCTCTCAAGCACGCCGATCTCCACGACGAGGGAAGGATAATCGTCCCGATTGCGCGTGGTTGTTGGTATCCAGCTCTCATTTGCGGTTTTGTATACACTTCCGTGGACCATCTCTTTCCTGGTCGTCCCTTGCGGTCGGAGCTCTTTCTCTGAGAGATTGAAAACCCCGAGGCGGTGTTGTATCATGTTGAAGATAAATCTAGATAGACTTTCGTGGGCCTCGTCTGTAAGTTTTATTATTAAGCATTCCTTGTTTTTGAAGAATGTATTGGGAAGGGATGGAAGGGTGTGCTTTCTTTGTCGCTCATTGTCCAAAGCTATGAGGTCCGTTGGCTTGAAGCTGGTTATTTGGATGTACTGGGCTAGGTTTTCTTTTTCGAAAGATTCGAGTTTGTTTTGGATGAATTTGAGGAGGTCTTTTGTGGTGTCGAATCGGAGTCTGTTGGTGGGGGGATTCGGTATGTTGCTGGTGTTACGTCGGTGCCGCTGTCGCTGCTAGTGGTGATATTGGCTGGATGAAGGGGCAGTCTGGAGGACTGCATTTTGATGATGAAGTTGATGGCCGGAGTAGTAGGTTGTTTGATACAGCTCGAGGTTGTGTGATTTGGAGGATGGTGTTGGGATGGAGACAACCGGAGAAGATCCGGGTCGAGGCCTACGGGCGTCATTAGCGGCCATAGTGCAAACGTGATTTGATGTTGTGATACAGTAGGTGGACATCAGCATCCACAGATATCCTGATATAAACAATTTTACTATATTATCGAGGGCCTTCGAGGATCTTTGGATCCACATCTGCCATTTAATATTAATCTTAGATCCTTTGTGATACCTAGAGTACAACGGTAAGGGACAATCAAACGTCGTGATGGCCGCCAATGACGCAGACCAAACCCAGTGAAAACTAATCCGCAATCAAGCCCTTCTTCTCTCGCCGGCCCATAAAACTAAAGTACCAAGTAGGTTGGCCATGATCGACCCGACATTTGGCATCAAATCTCTTAAACTTCTCGTGGTAGTGCCAATAGTCATCATCCTTATTCCCCCCATCGCGCAGGTTCTTAGAGCTATCCATACAATCAAGACAAAGCCCATCAAAGTACTCAGAGACGCGACTCGCAGCGGACTGGACCACTAAATGCCAGCTGAATCTGCATGAACACCACTGTTCCCCACTACGATTATCAGAAGACGTGCCTCGATATTGGCGCATCCGGGCCGAGTCGAAGCGCCAGAGGTGCTCAATGATCTCGTCGATGCTCATATCTCTCAAAGAGTCTTCCAAGGGCCATACTTTGATTCTGGAAAGCTCTCGGAGGTAGTCGAACACCGTGGTCTCCTTGCAGGAACAGTTTCCGTGCTTGACAATCTCTCCGATTCTTTCAAAGAGGCCTTTGTGCAGGATGTTCCGGAGTCGACCTCGTGCCGCGTTCAGCTGTTCTGAGTCTGGTATTAGTATTGCAATATCATAGAGAAGGCCGTACTCACGCATCACTCGAGGAGGCAAGTGCATCTGTCCGATATTCGTAGGATTGCTCTCCACGATATGTCCAGTACTCGCATACACCAGCTTCTTGGTAACCTCTTTGAAGGCCTCGGCGGTGTCAAAAGCATAGCAAGGAAAGGCAACCTCCGCCTCAAACTTGAGAAGGGGCTTTTGGTACTCTTCCTTGACCTTGGAAGCCTTATGCCAGCCTTGGAACAATTCCCCCAGACTTTTGGGATCGATGTCGTATTTGTCACACGCCATGACCAGGTGCCACCATTCTGCGACAGTGACTCGCTTGTCTGTCATGCTTGACATCGTGCCATGGATTTTACGAAACAAGAGTTCCATGGCCTTGATATTGTCATCTTCTAGGGTGATGGTTTGGGACTTGGACTCGGTCCAGCGGGCGCGGCGGAACATGGCTTGGAAATACTCGCTTGCGCTGTTCAGCTTGGCGCGCTCCACTTTCATCGTTGTAGAATGGGAGAATAGTATAATAACGTTGTCTTCAGTTGTTTGCATAAACCCGTTGACAACGACGTTGAGATCGCTAGTAGGCGAGATAGTGATCTCATCTCTGAGGGTAGGTTGGGTGTTCATCGTTGTGTGGCTTGTGGATAACTGAGGAAAACAGTCACAGGGAAGATAATATAATGGGCTTTGAGATAACCGGGGGAAGATTATCCCAGGTGTGACAAGATCGGCGAGGAGAGGGGTGGGAAAGAAAAGAGTTGGTTGTGGCACGGCGTTGACAAACGTGTGTTGTGCTGCATTACAATCGCCCTAGCAACACTTTGAGAATGAATTCACTGCTGTGAATGGCTCAAAGCCAATATACCGTGTAGCAAAGCCTAATATTTGAGCTATTAGGTGGACCTCTTATAATCTGTCCAGTGAATCGTTATTCATGGGGCCGTAGGCCACAACCATGAATTTTGCAAAATAGGGATACTGAGATAATGAGATCGAATGTATTGATAGATACTATTAGCTTTGTACATGAATTTATCAATGTGCAGGCAATTTGCCCGCTCCAAGCCTTCTATTTCCATTCCATATCTAATGATCTAGCCACAGCATATCAGTTTTTCTTGCCAAAGAGTGCTTCTTGTGTGTTGTATGTGTATTCCAGATTTCCATGCCAGAATTTAGTGGCATCTGCCTTGACCAGATACCATGCCTGGTCAAGGGCGTCAACCACCTCCGCTGGCAAAGGACCCTTTTCCAGGTCACTAAGGTTATTCTGCAACTGACCAAGGCTACTAAAGCCCGTGATGATACCATCATTGCCATCAGTAACCCTCAGCGCGGAGTGATGAATGCACCAACGCAGGGCGACTTCGACCATAGTAAGCCCGTGCTTAAGCACAATGGGCTCCAATAGTTCCAGTGCACTAAAGACACTCGATTTGAAGTATCGGTCACGGTACATTTGGCCCATCAATTGGTTCTGATTACTGAACCGACCCTCGGTGGGCAGATCGGTAGACTTGTACTTGCCAGAGAAAAACCCACCTGCCAGGGGATTGAACACAACAATATCGATTCCATACCGCCGGCAGCATGGCACAAGTTCATCTTCGATGCTTCGGGCTAAAGAGACAAATGATTAGAAGAGTAAAAACAATTTGTCGGGGGTCATACTGATCGCGTTGTACACTGCCTGGTACACAGTCGGCCTGATCCAGCCCCGTTCATTGCAGATTGTCACAATCTCAGCAACCTCGAAAGCAGAGAAATTGCTGAGACCAAGTCGCTTGAATTTTCCTTGGCGGTGCAGTCTATCAAGAGCCTGGAGCGTATCGGCGTAGGGAGTCGTCCGGTCAGGTCCATGAAGATAGAAAAGGTCAATAGAATCCGTGCCCAGTTCTTGTAGTGACTCGTTCAATTTCGTCTCCAGCACCTCAGGCTGGTGGGATCCCGCGCCAATAGGATACCATTTCGTTGCAACGGACAGACCCCGTTCTTTCCACCCTGCCTGACGAGTAAAGGCTTCCTGGCGGCCATGATCGTAGAGACGAGCCGTGTCAATTTCCTGATAACCTTTCTCTTGGAACAGGTTGAGGCACTTTCCAAAGTCGTCAAGGGAAGTTATGCGTGCGCCATATGTTGCGTCGGGACCGAGTGTCATGAGACCGAGAATAACCCGTCTTCTATCCGAAGCGTTGGTTGACATGTTCGCAGAGTTGCCACCGATGGTGCGTTTGGTATCACAACTGACTTGGTAAAGAGTTGTTAGTTATGGTGTCCATCATTAGGTGTCCTTTGGTCTTAAGTACTCCGTACTATGTATGTCTTACGGATCTAAGCTCCGTCTCCGGAGGCGCTCGGAACTCGGCTCGCCGGAGATCCGGTTTATTGAACGGAGTGATATTGTGAAGCAATCGCAGCTATAGAATTCTCGACTGCTGGGGCTTCATCGCTTTATCGTGTATAATTAATAGCTATATTCATCGGTATTATAATGAGCAAAGAAGATCAGTGGAATTCTCGTGACGTTCTCTGCGGCCGGGTGCTTGCTTACATCAATCAGATGCAAAACTCAGTTGACAGATTTAGACATCGCTTCATCAAAAAACTGGATGTTTAACAAGATGAATGAGAAGACTCACTCAGAGAAGATCTATGCTGCGGAATCTCTTGTTTAAAAGATATTCAAGCTTCATCATGCCTCTGGTAGATATAGATTGCAGAGGAAATCCCAGCGGGATCTAAGAGCAGGAGACTGCCAATCCAAGATTTTCAGGGGGGAAAAGAGCAGGTGATTGTTAGGCCTAAGGCAGAGACATCTTTATCCGCCGTCACTCCGACTTCACCATTCCTCGTGTCATCCCCCCTACTTTTGCTGCGTACAGGTGAGACGTTGAGGTAAGTGGATGTTCTCCCCAAAAGACAACAAGCATCTCTACATTTCACTGACTTCTTTGCCGTAGTGCTAAGTCATCATCTCCGCTTTAACAACGGCAAAACCGTTGCAGACCCTGCCTGCAGCTTCCCATCCACATCCAAGCCACTGGCCCCTCAGACCTCTCTCATAGCAACCCTCACACAATCCTCATCCGTACCCACGAGATGCGGGTTATCCTTCCTCCATCATGTCATCATGCTGGCTGTATCGAAGCCCTCCTCCGGCTCCCGCAGCGTATAATCTCCTTCACCAAAGAAGCAATCTCCGCCATTCGTCAAAACTCCGTCCCTGTCCCACTCGTGGCGAACAAAGTCCCCTTGTGGGAAACACGATACTGCAGGCTCAACATCCCAGGGCATCAGCAGGTTGTCGTACATATCCCGGGAGAGCCGATTCGGCGGGAGTTCATATAGCCCAAGAGCATCGAGCTCCAGGCGGAACAGCGCTTTTTGGACTTCTTCCGCATTGGGAGTTGCGGAATCTAATTATCAAGTAATCTTGAATGAGAAGGAGGAACATTCCATTCACGGCAGAAAAACGAGGCCGAAGTCCATAAAGCTACTGTTCCACCAGGCTTGACCACCTTGGCTGCTTCTGCCCAGAACTCGAGCATGAGAGCCAGTGGGCCTGATACTCTAATTAGACACCGTCGTCTGTCGTGGGAGTTTGAAGGGGCTTGCTGCCAGGTCGACGCCATTCTCGGGCTCGGGACGCTGACACAATTCTCTGCAGATGTGACGTGATTGAGACCGGCTGCTTGGTCATGGTCAGACCTCCTAGGTCCTGGGCAATCCGGATCATCTGACCCATTGAATGACAGAGCCAGGTCGCGAGTCGCGTTACCTGGGCCACAGCCGACATCTAGCAGGGTGTCAAACTTCCCACCAGTTCCTCCATGGTGACGAAGTACAAGTTCGATGAGCTTTGATTTGTATGATCCACGGGCTTCGGTGTATTTCTTCGCCTGCTCGCTGCTGTGGTTGCGAAAGGTCGGGTCGGACATTCTGAGTTCTGTGAGGTTGCTTCAAGTTCCAGCGAGCGACAACCGATACTAGCCATATTCTGACAGCCACCGACACTCCTCCCTGTTCGGGCATTGGCGGCCTCTCGTCGTCATACATAAAATCAGATTTCATCAAGCCTTCAAAGAGCAGTGGTCCTTCATATAACTAATTCTCGTGCCTCTGGAAGAACGTGGGCTATAATAATAACTTGCTCTAGACACAACAAAAACAGAAAAACAGTTAAAACAACCGCATTGAAGCCTCATGCTCTCGCTGATGACATCTTATGTTGAGACATGCCATATTTCTACCTTCTACGCCCGAGGCTAAGAAGGGACATATTCCTTTTGGTCTACGTGGTTCTTGACATCTTATGTTACTCTTACTCCCGGCGATCAGTGTAACAGTGTGGTTCCTCCTGATTCTAATACAAACAGGCTCCATTTAATCATGAGTTTCATTTGACATCCAGCCGTCCCTGCCCACTAAATTCCCGGTGGAGACAAAAACGTGTCGAAAAAATATGAGCTTCGACCGAGGCGTGACTCGAACACGCAACCACTAGTACCGGAAACTAGCATTCTACCATTGAACTACCCGGCCGGATTGATGTCTGAGGCTTGAAAAGCTGATCTATACTCCAAAAGGCAAATAAGTTCGACGAAACGATTGACTCGGATATGGGTTACACAGATATTGCCCCACGACTGCCCCTTATTCAGCAGGAGGCTTCTAGGTGCTTTGTCATAGATATTTTGACTTCTGACAGCCTTATATACTCTTATGGCTGGAAATTAGTATCTTTCAGTACATCTCTCTCAATGGCTGTGGTTAAGGACCAATCCGCGACGGATATATATAACGACAAAGGACCATTTTTCCGGCATGAAGCCGTAATGGAACCGACATCATCATAACGCATGGGATTGAGAGTCTACCACCCTACAGCATGTGGCAGTGCTGCTCCACGATCGCTGAATAATAAGCGATTTCAGTGAGAACTTTGTTCGCTAGTGGTAAACACACCACGGCTTTGCCGCTTCCTTAAAGGTATCGAACTCCCTGTAGCCAGGTGGTATTCTCTTGGGTATAATGAGCGACCGAAATCGAATATATCAACACAATCAATGGCCATTTGCACAGGGTGGACTAATACCCTAATGTATAAGAAGCTGACTTCCCCAACACCAGAAGACCTGCTCAGTGATGCCTTGCATCAGATAACCCCTAGCCGAGCCTTATCCCGCCCCACACTGATAACAATCCCAGCTAGTGCCAATAAAGCAAGTAGATATATTTAGAGCATCATGCATTAGTGTCCATAGCAGATCCACCATTATCACAGTCCGTGCACTCCAACCACGCTTAGACAAACAGATACTATTGGACAGCTGTCCCCATTCTGCAGATTTAAAGCAGTTTCTCCCAGAGGTGCATTAGTGCCTTTCCCACTTGGTCTGTGCGTAGGCTACATGCTTCCGAATGAATGGCTCTAAAATCTGACCATACACCTACTGGCCTGGCCTGCGCAGGGTGTATGCTTCCGAAGGGATGGCTCTAAATGCTGATCATATGTCACGTGCATTGGGCTTCACCTAGCTAGCCCAGATAAGGTAGTATTCGTTACATGTCTATACAAGTCGCCTGTCCCTCGTAAACAGTGGCCTGCCACCTCACCTCCCCGATTCCCCTCGACTATCTCAAATTTCCCCTTCCTTCTGGTCCCTTATCACAATCCCTCTCGTTTCCAAACATGACCGACCGAGAACATACCTCAACTGTCCCGACTATTAAGCCCGAGCACTGGCAGAGCCCTCTCAGGTCCCGTCGGAAAGCGCCCAGCCCAGGCTCCAACTCCAGGACAATAGCAGACCCGCGCAGAGTAGCCCACACCCTCTCCATTGTACATATCCTACTCGGTACTGCCCTAGACAACCATGACTATGACCGAAGCGGTAAGTACCAGCAGAATACACCGTCCACGCAGCTCCGGTCGGTTGCTACTCACTCTTCCTCCCAGTAGCCCATGCAGCCAATACTGACTTCCTCACACCCCATGCTCGAGTAACCCCAAGATCCCCCAAAGAGACCCTTATTCACCAGCCCACTCCAGCTCAAGCCATCTAACCAACCCCCCACCACACGAACACACCCACTATATGCACTGTCTATGCACATCAAACACACAGACCATCCCAGAGCCACTAAATGTCACCGTGCATGAAGCATTCGCTCTAAAATCCCAGGTGGGTAAATCTCATCAATCAGATCCTTGCCCCCTCCAGCTCACTGTGCACGGGCCAGGTGAAATGCCAAGAGGTTGAGGTGCATATGGAATTCGCTCTAAAAGTGCATAGTGGAGTGAGTTGACCAATAGTATCCTTTTACACTGTGGGCCAGGTGAGCACAGACCAGGGTGGTATATGCTCCACAGCAAGACTACAGGTGGGGCAAACTTGGACCAATTATATGGCGTCTAGCGCTTAATGTCCTGTGCACGGGCCAGGTATCTTCCCGCACGGGCCAGCTGTGGAGCAGTTGAGGTGCATGAGGGATTTGCTCTAAATGTGTGGGGCTGGTAAGGGACTGTCCAATACTTTGGCTTTGCATCTTTAGCCTAAAATTGAGGGAGCCTGAGGCTATAGCACATGGTGCCTGGCTGTATAGGAGAATTCCCCACTGGAAAGCAGCCATACTAGCACTTCAGGAGGGTTCTGGGTGGTACGTACAAATTGGTACATCGCGCTAAAAAAGGTAACCTGATCAGGAGTTCTACCTGCGATATCTATCTACGATCGTATCGAGTATCTAGTGAAATATAGTCTGTGCTACAAAACCCGCCGGATTTGTGAATCTCATCGGTAGCCGGACTCAATGACAACTTCATCGAGTGGTTGATGAGTATTCAGTTACTGATTTTATGATAATAGAGTGGCATTTGGAAGGCAAACAGGCCAAGCCGAGGAAAACAAACTACAAGGTACGAGCCGGGGCTAAGCAAGCAAGATCTCATCCTTAGGCAAGTGAGCATTTCCTATGAAGACAAAGACATGCTACCTACCATAACGCAGCAATAGATCACCAAATATTGCTAGTATCCAACTAATGTACTATAAATCAGGTACTAGGACTATCCCGCAAAGGCCACTCAGCGATAAAAGGGCACCAGCACGCTGTAGATGCCGCAGCTTAGGGAACAGCAGATCCCACGAGCGACGTTCTCTTTCTCAGTATGTATGTATTTGTAGGCTGCAAATATATGCAACAAAAAACAAAAACATACAACAGAAGGGATTCGCTGGTGGTCACCCACCCAACTACTAACCTCCCGGCGTATGGCTTAAGTACGGCTGAGCGGACGGGAAGCCCTGTTCTCCACACCCTGTGGTCGTATGTGCTAGATTCTTAGTAGAAATGAACTATATTGATTCTTCGAGGATGTTCATTCCTACTAATTGACGCATTCATCTCCTGAGGTTGAATAATGAAGGATGCCAGGTGCGGTGTAGTGGCACTACGCGGGTTGGCTAATAAGTTACTGGGCTGTTTTATATACTACTTATTGAGGTATTATCTGCTCATGGGTTGTGCAGTGGGGTATGGTTGGAAAAAATATCCCGAAGCTGACCCTGCGATTCATGATGCACTTATGATATATGTACGGGTAGGGCTGCTGTCCGTCAGAATGATTTCCAACTCAATCAACAATCCAAAAATCAATTCCAACCAGATCCATGCCTAACATCAATTACAGCAAAAATGGCATTCGGAGGTGACCAGTTCCGTCTGCCTCACAGCAGAGAAATTGTAGTTGAATCACACAGTGGTTGACCAGGAACTCCGAAGACTAATGGAGAACCGTCGAACCTCATGAGCACCAACACCATGATGTCAAATGAATAGCCTGGATAACCAGTCGAAAGGGAAATGGGTCACACTGTTACAACTACCACACATAATCCCCAACAGCGAACCGGCGTGAGTTGATTAGTCCCCATGAGTTGTATCGGGATCAAATGAGCAAGGTCTGGATCCTGAAGGAAGCCAGTTGATCTGACTTGATACAGTGGATGATCACCTTGTGGTTCTCTACCTGCGCCTCAAACTCTGTCGAAAAACCTCGAAACTATGCCTATTGATGAAGTATCACTACAACACCCAACCCTTTCCTGTTGCTTCGTGGCATACCGATGATGCACATACTCCAGGCCTGGCTCAGCTACCATGATATGAAGATCAATGGCCGGCGCACGAACCGTTACGTATTGAAAAGTGTGTTGCGGCGGATAGAGCTTTCCATCCAAAATGAGCGTACATTTATTCCTGTGTTGATTAAAAAGGGCGGCATATAGCTTGATACAATGAAGAGCCTAGTACATACGACCACAGGGTGTGGAGAACAGGGCTTCCCGTCCGCTCAGCCGTACTTAAGCCACACGCCGGGAGGTTAGTAGTTGGGTGGGTGACCACCAGCGAATCCCTTCTGTTGTATGTTTTTATACTTTTTACACCCTGTATTTTTATTGTGCCAGCAGCATGTCCATCCTCCTCGTCAAGGTTGGCAATAACGGTTTGAAGATTCTGTAAAACGAGCTTCAGTTTCTTCGGCTTCCACGGGAAGGCAAAGCCGATCAGCTCTTCGGTCCAGCAAGGCTCAGCTGCACCAATGGCAGCACCATTGGCGGTATCATCGAGAAGCCAGACGGGCTGTTCCGTGAGCGCTACCAGGAAGCCTCTGTAGGCTCTATCCACCTTATCTTCATGAAAAAAGCCAACCGCTTTGGCTAGTTTATATTCCCATTTCAAACAGTCACGCTGATACTTCCCCAGCCTGATAGCCATCGCATGCGCTTGTTTCTCCATGCTGTCCTTGAATTTGGTAAGGGAACCGGCGCAAGCCGCGAGTAGACCTCGTCGGGACTGGTTTTTGTGCATCAGAATGCAACGGTTATCGGGAATCATTCTGCCACTGGTACTGGCCAAACTGAAGAAAGAATTGCTCAGCTTTGGCTTGAGAACGACTGTTTCGCGGTCGTTGTACACATGGGACTGAGTGACTTCGTCTCCGTCAATGCAAAACCGTTCGCGTGGAAGAGGTCTTCGTGTTTTGCAGCACCACGGTTGTGGAGGACAAAGGGTAGAATACGAAGGACCGATAGTCTATCAGACTTTCCTCGGTAACTTGAATTGTTATCATCATCAATTTTGTGCCTGTGTTTGATCTTCTATGCTTTCTTCGCAGGTTGACCGCTATCTTCATCTTCTTGGAGGCGCGGTCCTCCAGATCGCTTCTTTGTCGGCTGGAACGACATTTGGTCCATTTGGTATGTTGTAATGTCTTTAGATGGAGTTGTGGGCAGGCGATGATGTTAGAAGAAGAGGAGGAAGGGTAGGTAGTAAGCTAAGGCTATCGTGGCTGAAGTGCTTGGTGTTGCTCAAAGGGGAAGGGGTATAGTGAATGGTAATTGTCAGGTGTTCATGTCACGCCGTGGTGACCGGAAGTCTTCACGCCAAGGTAATGGTGAAGATACGGCCGAACTTCTCAGGGGACTTCAGGTGTTATTCTGCCCAGAGTGAAGGGTCAGTACTCTTTCTAATGATGAAGATACACAAGGGCCATACCACTTTGCTCGCAGAACGATTTGAATGCTTGAGCAATATCTGCTGTCCCAAGATCTCGCCTGAATCTCAGTCCGCTTGTCCTGGTCGTTTTCCTTTCACTTCGTCCGTTGATCATACCAATTTGTTTCAGCCCTACAGTGTTTTGAGAAGTTGACTTGTTGCTCTAATTCTTATGTGGGCGTGTTGTTTGTAATGCTGGCGTGCAGTCCCATCCCCGCCTTCCTATCTAGGAACCATAAAGATGGCAGAATTTCATATTCACAGTTCCCTCTGCTTCATCCAAGCACTCTTGGAACAAGGGCCACACCTACTTATCATCTGACAGGAGTTCCCATTTTCGTATACCGACCAAGTTCATCCAGTCAAACTCCAATTCCAGCAACACAAATACTAGGAGTGACCAGCACGATCGGAAATGCAATGGTTAGACACAGGTGCCATGACTGTCCTCGGAGACACGGCTACCAGCTACCAGCTGATCCAGTATCACCTTCAAAACATCAAGTTGGTTGAGATCTACTCTAGGAAGAGTTAGCAGGAACATGGTTTATTCTACTACCGAAAACAAGTCTTCCGATACACTACATGGCACCAGAACCACAGTCGAACCCATCACGGATGACACGCAACCCTTTTAGTTTTGTATCTATCTACCAATATTGAAAGGACAAGTATCGCCGCCCGGATCATCCGGTCAGGAGAGGACCAACACTATTATCATCCCCGCTGTAGTCCGAGCAGGAAAATGCGCCGGTAGCTGATCATCCTTGGCACTCAGCCGTGTATTTAGTACTGCAGGAAGCGAGTAATTTGGCAGCTTTAGAAATGGCATATTACATGATGTGGAGTATCGATGTGGAGAATCGATGTGGGAACATTGCAGTGTGATGTTTGCTTGGATTCAAGGGCTCCGCAAATCCAGGGAGAGCTGATCGAGGTTATGGAATTCTGAATGAAAATTATCGGTAGGTGTTTTATCAGGAAAAAGTTACCTTTTCTAGGACCATACGGAGTGGTACCGAGGTTGATAAGTCCAGAGTGATAATTGCGAGCCTGGAGGCTGCTAGGATGCGCAATGGTGGTATACGGGTCTTGGCAACTCAGAAGTAATGTAGGTCGCACGGGAAGGAAGAGGTGAGAAAAAGAAGAAAAGGAAGGGAAAGGAAAGGAAAAAGAGAAAAGGGGGAGGGGGGTGAGACAGTGGTAGAAAAGGCATTGAAAAGTAAATAGAAACATGAGAAGGGAAAAAAGAAAAAGATAGACATAGCATGTCCTGGTTTCGATCCAGGGACCTCCGGGTTATGAGCCCGGCGCTCTTCCCCTGAGCTAACATGCTGGGTGTGGTTATTTTTCATTCTTTTTACTAATTTATAAGCCAGCTTGCCCACCCGCTCACCCACCACAAACACCACTCCTCTCACCCCCAATGTGCCACCATTGCTTCGCTGCTACGACTAGAAATCGATTTATGTTTCTAGAATTGTGTTATCCTTACCTCCATCAATAACCTTCACTCGAAATGTATATCAATCAATCAATCTTTCCTATCCATAATCCTGCTGCCTGAATCCTCCTCAAGAATATATATCTTTCCCCGCATCCATCCAACCACCCACCAACAACCCCAACATCAGAAATGTTCCTCAAACTCGCCATCGCCGGCGCCATTATCTTCATCATCACCAACCGCCCAATAATGTACATCATTGACCAGCTCACACCCTTCCTATCACGACCACCCCCATCCCCATCCCCACCCACCCCTCAACCCCCCATATACCACGACCCCCCACTCACCGATCCCGAGCCCTTCCACGAAGAAACAACCATCATCACCCGACGACTCTACCGCCGAAGCTTTTTCACCAGAGCCCAAACTACCACTGTCCTAGGCTACCCCCGCACGGGAGGGATCTACGCGCTTTCATGCGATGGGGTGATGTTGGAATTCCTCGGCGTGGATCGGTTCAAGAGGACGTTTACGGAGCGGAAGAATGACGAGGAGGAGGATGCGTTCTGCGCGAAGATGCGGATGCTGGGGGCTCGGCGGTGGGGATGTGAAGTGGATTGGGAGTTGAGTTTGATGGATTTGGATCGCGATGTGCTGGTGGTTGGGTGGTCGGAAGGTGGAGGGGTTTGGGTGTTGAGGATAGGGGGGTGGAGGGCGAGGAGGGAAGGGCTGGGATGTATGCTTCGGAATGCGCTTAGTATGCAGGAGAGGTGTGGGGTTATTGTGCGCCTGGGAGGGGTGTTTTATGAGGAGCCGAGGGAGTGTAAGGATTTAGAGTGGGAGTGAGCTGTGTGCTGTGGATAGGTGGTATATGGGGTTGTTAGAAGCTTGATGAGGGCAATCGCCGTCGCGGTGCGCCTTTGGCTGGGGATGTGTGGGAAAGGCACACAATTAATTAAGACTATATAGAATAGAGCCGGGAAGTGGTAGGGTAGCGCAAGAGCATGGATACCCTGGCATGGCTGCTCTGTGGTTACTTTATCCAAAGCATACATAAGAAATCGACCAGAGACTTCACTTTCGAAATACAATGCATTACAATAATCATCGAGTTTATCCCACAGAAAAGCATGATATACATGTATATAAGCAATTCCAAAAACAGCAGAACTGACAGCATATTCAAGAACATTACAGCGAACGCAGCAAAGTTGCAGAACAGGGAAACAAAAAACCACCAAGTGTATACTTTAACCGCACGTGATATCAAGCTCATTGGATGAAGGATCAACATTCATCTCTTACCCTCGTACTTTGCGTACCGTCGAACATTACCCTGCATAAAGTAAAAGCAGTCTCCGTCTTGATATAATTGCACCGCATACTGTCGACCCCCTCGATGTAATAATAAGTCGTCCCGTTATGGTACACCGTGACAATGTCACGAGTTGAGGCCTGCGCGGGTCGCGTCTGGCGTGAATCTGATATACCCAGGGCCCTTGTACGGTCCTCTAGCTCCTTCATCGCCCGGGATTGAGATCGCGTAGTTGGCATGGTCCGGGACTGCGTCTGAGGTTGCGGAGGAGGCTGGGAGGATCGGGTTTGCTGGCTTCGGCTTGTTGTTGAAAGGGTAGGCTGTGCCGGAGGCTGGGGGGTTCGGGATGGCTGATTTCGACTTGTTGCTGAGTGAGCAGGTTCTACCGGAGGCTGAGGGGTCCGTGACGGCTGGCTCCGACCCTGCGATCCTGGAAGAGTCGGTTGAACTGGAGGCGGAGGGGACTGCGACGGTTGGCTTCGACCTGAGACCGAAAGAGCCGGCTGTGGTCTTGGCCGCCCTCTTTCGGTGTCTGATGCGCCTCCCGAAGAAGAGTCGGAAGAGCTAGAAGAGCCGGGCGGAGAGATGTAATCTGAGTCATTATACTTTCGCTTGCTTAGGGAGCCAACCCAACTGTCCTCTTTCATCGGGTTTGCGCTTCTTAGAGAGTCACTGAATGTCTTGATGCCGAGGAAGAGAAAGTATTCCCGGAGTGACACCTTGCCTCGGTAGGCAGTGAAATCACTCTGGGGGGCCACCTTGGTAGACGAGGTTCTATGTTCAATTACATTTGAATGCCAAAGTGCCCAGTGCTTGTCTGCCTTTCCCTCGTGGGGGTGTGGTGCTTGGTTGAAGAAGATCGCTTGGTCATATGTCGTGAGAAAGCCGTATTTCGCCCGGGAGATGAACATGTACCGAGAGATTTGCCCTACATAGTGGTACGCATTAACAAGAGCTGGGAACCCCGGAGAGATGAAGAACACCATGGAAATGAGACTCAGCGAACACATACCGAAACAATTCCTACGGTCTTCTTGCCGTGGAAAGTCGTCCAGGGTATGCACTCACGGAGTTTTTGCTTCCTGAACAACTCTGAGGCTGCCACGGTCACCAAGGAGAACAAAATCGGGGACCTTGTTGCTGATAGTGGTATCACTGCAGGTTTTGAAATCTCCGAACCGCGCCCGGCAACCGAGAGATTGGAGCACAGATGTCATGACATGGCAAACGTTTTGAGTAAAACGTGCCACGGTGCTATGCTCGTCTCCACAGAAGAGCTGTTCATTCAACGTGTGGTTCGGGCCAGTTCCGCCACCATTTGATGGCGGAGCATATGCAAGTATCTCCGTTTGTGCGTCCCAGCGAACGCCATCAAACACCCGGCGAACCTCGCGTTCAAAGGTATTCCAGTGCACAAGACTGGCCCTGAATTCGAGATTGTGCGTGGAATGGGAGGAGGTCGTTGAATAACCGACTTTCAAGTTTGGCATCCGCGCGCAAGTGAGGTCCTGGGCTTTGAGCTCTGTGGCCATCTTGGAAGGTGTATAAAGAAATGAGTATGAATAAAATCGAAAAAATTGAGACAATACAGATCACAAAAAGTCAATTGAGGAACTAGAAATCAACATGAATGCAAAAGAGATATTCAGGTAAAGATGCAGGGAATGCATGAAGGCATTTGTATTCGTTCTGGTGGGCAAGGCTGCTCAGCTTGGATCAAGCTGAAACGGACTATCAGGGACACAGCCGCAGTCATGTACCATGATTCACCTTGGGCGTTAATCTATCCACTAGCATGATGAAGAGGGATCTCAGCGATCCTTCCATAGCCTGATTCTCCCGAGCGGCACAAGAACCAGCCAGCAAAGCCAACCACATGCAGTGACTTGGTGCCGAGCTGCATTTATCTTGAGGCCGCGTCCCAGGCGATATCTAGGGCGCTAAGATAATCCGTCACTCTCCTCGCTTCTCTGCCAGTTTTAGATATCGTATTGGTTCGTCTGGCGCCCAACCACAGCGGCTGTCACCATCGATCCTCGCACTCACTCACTTCTAGGATAAGATGCTTGCGAACCAATTTTAGCTATTCATAGGATGACAAGGTGTACTGCCTCATGAGTGGCTGTCGTATGCTCAGGATTCCGATGCTGGGTCCCCGGAAAGCGACAACTCAGGTCGGGTCAGATCTCATACATCTATATGATTTGCTAAACGCTACGCGCTGAGCAACATCAGGGTTGCTTACGTTATGTCCTGGGGTTGAAATGGTTAGTGGTGTACCGGCTAGAGTCTGTTGAGGGGTAGATTTACCAACCTGGGTATCATGCCGGGCTGTAGCAGTTCCGACATCGCGCACGCGGCTACTTCAATCGAGCATGTACCGGGAAGAATCCCAGTATGATCCTGCCAGGCAGACACTGGTATTCAACTAATATCGAGTAATATAGCCGAGCTCCTCCACTTACGCAAAACATGTTTCAGCCTTGCGGGGTCTGCGATGCTTCTCCGCCGTGCACCTGGTGCTATCCGTAGCGCGAGCCCTATGCCCTGCATACGCATCTGTATGGCCATAGCCACTAGAAGTCATGCATCAGGAATGCTTCCAGACTCCTGACCCAAAAATAGACGGCGCTTCGGCCAAGCAATCATCTAGTTGGAAAGGCGACCACAATGTCACCTCTCCAAGCGCCCGGGTATGATTCGCCAAGACGAATGACTCGCCTGCAGTGCCGCCCATCTTACCGCCTGCTATACCGTCTTATTTACCGCCCGTGGTACATCTGCTGACCGGCTCTGCTCTCCGCTCCTGTCCACTCACTTGTCTCCCTACTTCGTAAATCATTCCTCTCCCATTTCCGATCTTGAAGATTTTGGGCCCCCGCCTTGAGAGATCAAGACAGCTGAGATAGCCATCATGATCATCCCTTCATACATCACTTGGTTCGACGATGATGACTACATCGGCTTAGAACTTGCTTTCCCGGCAGGGTCTACTTGGAAGCTTGAGAGAAAGATCCAGGAGCATGAAGACATCTATGGCCAGGCCGATCATGAAGAAGGCGGGATTATTTCTGAAGCTCGGGCGGCTTTTGTGGGCTCCAAGGTCACCGGAGAAGGCCCCCCAACAGCAGTAATCAAGATCCATATGCAGTATGTTTGTCCGATCCTTTCATTACCATATCAGTGAATGACATGAGGTGCAGGATTCCATGGTGGGGAAGTGCAGGCAAGAGAGCATCGATTCGAGCTCAACAGGCGGTTTCAGAGACACCATCTAGAGGGGAGATGGAAGTCGAGGCGCTTTCCATACTAACTAAAGCGGGATGCTCGAGCGCACCGTTTCTGATTGACTGGATGCAGGGAAAACAGACCGAAGATCAATGGATACCTGGCGGTTACATCCACTTTGTTGTGATGGAGATGGTTCCGGGTGTTGATGTTTCCACGGTGTGGAATCGCATGGAGCGAGGTGAACGAGATGAACTCAGAGCGGCCTTCAAAAAGTCGTGGCTGTAAGTGACTTCCTTTCTTCACTCGAAAGGTTAGCCAGCCTAACTCGGTCCTCCTGGCAGGGAATGTACTGCTTGCGGAGTAATCAGTCGAGATAGTCGATTACAGAACCTGCTCTGGGACAGAGTAAGGAAGAAATGGTCAGTCTTTTTCTTTCACCTACATCATCTTGCGATGCATGGTCATCCCGTGTTCGCTCCCAGTGACAAGACTAATTCAATGGGCTTACCAGTTATCTGATCGATTGGGAGATGTACCATCCTGCACATGAAAAAGACAGGACTTGGAGCGATCGCAATTATATCAGATGGAATTTAGCACGGAAAGGGGAATCCGGCGACTACAACGATATGTCCACTTGGGTACTATAATTTATGTCATTAAAGCTCGCTTATATATTCAGCTTGATATGATTCAAGTGGCACATCGAACACAATCCACAGCTACACTATGTCTCTTCTCCTCACTCCCACATCCATCCACCTTCGCCCCACACCCCCATCCCAGCAGCCCAAGTTATCCAAGCATGCAACCGAAACCAATCTCAGTTCGACTCGACGGGATGGTGCTGCTCCGAGAATTATATTACTTGTCGTTATATCTCTACCCTTCAGGTGACTGACAGGGGTGAAGTGTGCAGTGCCTAATTCGTCAGTCACGATAAATCGAGCCCAGGACGACGGCTAATGACAATGCGACAAATTAGAGGCTAAAGAGTGAAGCCGTGGTGGTTCCTGGAATTGGTGGGTTGGAGACTGGAAACGGAAAAGCCGTGGAAATGGAATTCATTTCGGACGACCTACGTTGCTGATACTCCTATATTTCACTCCTCCGTAATTATGGAATGGGAGGGAGAAACCCCGAGATGCGGGAACGGAGTTAGTAGCTCTCAGTTTATATACTATGTTGACTCAAGGGGAGAGAGTGGGACTGGAACCACACAACTTATACTACTATCGGAACCTGGAAGAGGTATTTCGATGAGTATCTACTCCATACTATCTAGAGAATGAGCTTATCCGATACCTGACAAGTGCCCGAGATTGGTGAGTCAGTGATTCTACTTAAACTATACAAGTATCGGGCTCACGTACCTTGCATCCTGTTTTACGAAACAAATCCGAAGTAGAACTCGATGCCGGCAGTGTACATAAGTAGTACTAGTAACAACCCAAATCATTCCTTAAAGGACCAATCCTAGACGAAGTATCTATAGACAAACAAACACATAGACAAACAAATCCCCACCCCCATAACCACACCATTGCCCTCACCGACCCCACCCTTCCCCCCCCTGCTTACCCCGATAAATCCCCTTCCAAATAACCGAGAGAAGCTTCTCCCCGCCTCGTTCCGGATCCCTCATCACCCCAACAGCCGCCACATTCGCGAACTCCCACTCCATCGGAAACGACGCCCGACTCCAATGATCATCCGAGTACATGAACACCGCCTGCAGGGTTCCTGTCGCGGCGGTTCGATCATCCGCGATATAGAATAGTTTACTGCTGATGGCACTCCCTGCACAGGCGGTGGCGATGAATTCCGCTACCTTGGTTTCGGTCATGCCTAGGAAGGGGGAGGTGAATGGTTTCAGGGGCGGTTGGGTGGCGGAGTCGGGGGTGAGTTGTTGGATGGTGGTTGTGGAGTTGGTGGAGAGGATGATGAGGGAAGGTGGTGCGGTGGGATTTTTGGCGTAGGCTTCCGTCAGGATTTGTGTGAGGATCTATTGTTAGTGGGGGGGTTGTTAGTGTTTGGTTGTGGTTTGATGGGGGAAACAGGGGTGGGGGGGTTACGTCTGATTGTATGGTTTCTTCGGTGCAGATGATGCTGACTAGTGGGTTTGGAGTATCCGGTACTGGCACTGGTTGGTTGGTGGGGGTACTGGGATGTTTTGTCAAGATGGGTAAAGAGAGGGAAGCCATTTTGGTGGTGTGGTGTTTAATGCCAGGTACAGGGTTAAATTGGTATGGGTTGCTATTTATATAACTACACGATTATGGGTATGGGAATATACAGCCGGAATCTTCCGGTGTTTAGGGGTAGTGAATAAGGGAGATTGTGAGAGATTCAGCGTCGTAAGCTAAGGGTCTATCCGATATTTTGCTTTGTTTGGATCCTGAATGACTATCACCTGGAAAACATGGGGATTGTCATTCATATTCTATGGGAGATTCATAGTGAAGCTGTATGCCGCGCACAGTCTCAGGGACCCGAAGATGATGGTTTCTGTCTTTCATACAACTCACTAAATGCAGGTAATGAAGCCAGTCAGAGGGAAGTAGAGAAACGCGGGCAGGTCAAGAATACATGGAGATCGAAGCCTTTAACAAGGTATCCGGCGAAAGAAAGAAGTAAACTCCTAGAAGCATTTGCTGGCCCATGGTTGAGGTATACTTATCCTAGGTTGGAAGGAATTTAACAGCCAAGGCAGAGTAATTCCGTCATTTAGGTTATCATTCTGCGCGAGTCGGGTAGTTGCGATGTAGATCAGGGAGAAGCAGTAAATAGCCTTGTTTAAACAATACAACTTGCGGGGAAAGGGTAAACAAAGGCGTGGTCACTATATCCCAGTCACCTGACCAGAAGGAATTTGCAATGGATTTCGCTACCACAGGCCCAAACGAGGTTTCCAGATTAGTTGCTGAGAGGCAGAGAGGTTTTATGATGATATCGATTCACTAGCTCGGGGCTTACCTAAGGTATTACTGAAAATTCTATGTGTTAGCTGCACGCTAACATACTAAAGAAAGGATTTGTTCAGACTGGAGTTAGCTGAACTAATCCCATCACAGGAAACTGCTATTGATTAGGATATGCCCAGATATGACACGGACAGTAGATGTTGGTCGTGTGGAGAAAAGGACATCACCCTAGCCTCCCATTATGACGATATCTACATCGGTGATTGACATGGTGTGTACCACCATATTAGACCCTCTTTAGGGCTTATATTCCGTATTCCGTAGAGCTAACTCAAAATTGCAACAAAAACAAAAACATACAACAGAAGGGATTCGCTGGTGGTCACCCACCCAACTACTAACCTCCCGGCGTGTGGCTTAAGTACGGCTGAGCGGACGGGAAGCCCTGTTCTCCACACCCTGTGGTCGTATGTGCTAGGTAAATAACAGACTGGGTATAAGACAAACGGGCTTGTTGAGTAGGCGCAACACATTTAACTAGTGTCAGGACGATGGTTAGCATCGCCCAAGTGATATTCTCCAGGACAAACGTACGATACAAAAATAAACCCATGTTCCAGCCCACGGTGCCTCTGGCAAATCAGCTGGGATGCGACAGTGGCAACAGATGACCTTGGATTATGAAAGCTCTTGATAGTCATGGGGGTGGCTCGGTTATACATATCCTGCAGGATGGGTTCATGGACGGCTGGCTAGCACAAATCTCATGTATAGCCTTGGGAGGGGCTTGACCAACCTCAGGTCTCCATAAGCACTAGTTAGTCAATAGACACCAGACGGACTGGTGTATGGAAAAGTCTCATAAAGGACGGCACAGCTATCCAGGAAGGATGTTATGGATGAAGGGGGATGTAAGCACTAACCACTAGCGGGCTGTCAGCCTCGCGGGTGGCCCCCCACGTGACCGTTGGCCGCCACGTCTGAATGTTGTCTGACCCCCGATTCCTTCTCATCGTCGCTCACTGGTCGCTTCGCCTGACTGCCAATACTACTAGTACACACGCTGGATGTCGCCGTTCCTTCACCCTCAAAGCCAATGGCATCATCGTCTGCTGGGGAGCTATCTTCGCGCCTGAACAGATCTGGTAAACCACGACAGAAGCAGTGGAGGTCCAGGTCCAAAACTGGCTGCATCACTTGCAGGTAGGCAATTTGTTGCCAGTTAGGATATGTAGCTGACTTAATAGGATCCGCCGAGTCAAGTGTGATGAGTCCAAGCCGAGGTGGGTAGAAGCTTTGGTCAAGATTTACCCTGATTCCTGATCTACCCGGTTCAGAGGTCTGGTCTTCACTAACCCGTGGAGAAATCTATAGTTGCCAGAAATGCACATCCACAGGAAGAAAGTGCGATGGTTACCAAGATCCGAGCACCAAGCAGACATCCTGGCGACGCAGTAGGCGAACAGGGGCCACACCAGCCCAGACACAGGGCATGATACAAATGTTATCGCCCTGGGATCTCATCGGGCACAAGCCATTGGAGAATGAATACTTCAACTACTTCCGCCTCATTACCACCCCAAGTCTGGTGGGCTTCTTTGACACGGGAATCTGGTCCTATAAGTTGCTGCAGGTCTCACATCACTACCCGGCTCTGTGGCATGCCATGGCTGCGCTAGCGTCTCTACACCGGCATTTCCTCGAGGACGGGGAGCCTATCACTTCTGTACAGGTTTATGGTAGTGACAGGGTTCAGTTCGCACTAAGCCAGCATACGAAATCTATTCAGTCCTTGAGGGAATTGATCTCAAAGCCATGCCTGACTGACCATGACAAGATGACCGTTCTCGGGACCTGCATCATATATGTTTGCCTGTCCAGCTTGCAGGGCTTTCACTGGCAAGCTTTTACCCATATTGGGAGTGCGTTGATGTTATGCCATCACTGGAGCCTTGGGTCTAAGAAGCATGAATCCGTGGACATGTCTGCGCTGGTGATTCTTTTAGCTCAGCTCGACAGTCAGGCCCGTCCCCTTTATTTGCTCCAACAAATGGCCATTCCCTGGGTCCAGACACGATTCCTTCTACCTGCAACCGAGATCTGTTTCACGTCCCTCTCTGAGGCACACGAGTCACTGGAGGTCCATGTCAATAATATGCTACAGTTCTTTTCTGGCAGCACTGATCTTGCTGGGGCGGAAAGGCTTGCTAGGATGGAGAAGTGTCAAGATGACTTTCGTCAATGGGATGCCAGGCTTGCCCAGTATCTTGCCACATCCCCTCATGATACGGACAATAAACCCTTGAAAACTTTGTACCTTCGGCGGTTATACGCTAAGGTGATGCTGGGTCTGGACCCAGCCAAGGGTGAGCTGGCTCATGATGAATTCACCGACGACTACACAGAGATGGTCGAGCTAGCTAGCGCGATCTTGGAAGACCATGGCAGCTCCTTGAAACGCGCACCAGTTCCGATTCCACACCGATCGAAGCGGCATTTTAGTCTGGAAAGCACTGTTACAGAGAGTCTATTCCTAGTTGCGGCACGTTGTCGGGAACCCGCGACCCGTCAAAGGGCACTTCGACTTATGCAGCTGCATCCACGCCGCGAAGGCATCTGCGGGACCATGCTAGCCTTATGTGTGGGTGAAAAGCTCATTGAAGTCGAAGGGACAGCCTGCAAAGCCGCGCCACCAGGGTCATGTGCCGATGGGCGATGGGTATGTGCCAACCATCGTGTGGTAGTTCTGCGGTTTGCGGATCTCACTGAGCGGAAAATTTCCGTTGAGATGATAACCCGGGGTGAAGTCACGCAGGGTCTACCAGGCAAACGGTTCGTATTTCACAAGACCTGGTAGCCAACCGTAGGAGCTCGGATAGTCAGAGTCAGCTGTACATAGTACCTACCCATGGTAATGATTTGTCTGGATCCTCGCTCGGCGGTGCCACGCTACTGCTATCGGAATCCCCGGCATTCGGTCCGACCGAACCGTGGGTTATCGGGCCACCGAGCTGATAAGAGACCTTGTTATCGGGCCTATCGCGCTTATCGCCCCGTCTCTCCAATTGCTCCCCGCAGTTCCCGGCTAGGATGTTCTCACTCCTCTGGTACAAAAGATGCCAGATTCCGTGGACAGAGATCCGGCTACATCACTGCAAGAAGCTGAATCAAACACATTCCACCATCATGAGTGAACAGACACATAATCACCCTCTCCAGTCTGTCGATGTGATCAACGAAGTGACCAAGGCCATCGACGACGCCAGCGAGGAGCTGCGTGCCTTGAACCTCGAGGTCAGTCAGTCCCTTTGCCGCTCACTTTCACCAATGCTAAGATATTCCGGACTGTAGATCTTCAATAATCCTGAAATAGCATTCCAAGAAGTCAAAGCCTGCAAACTCCTCTCCGACTGGCTCGAGCAGCGCGGATGGACCGTCCGTCGCGGGGTCTACGGAATCGAAACCGCGTTTGAAGCGCGCTTCTCCGTCAAAGAGGGGGGTAGAACTGTTTGCTTCAATGCCGAGTATGGTACGTCTACATCCCCAAAGCCCTAAGATAGCGAAGCATCTAATCATACCCCCAGACGCCCTCCCCACAGTCGGCCACGCCTGCGGCCACAACCTGATCGCCACATCGGCCCTCTCCTCAGCCATCGGCCTCGAATCCATCCTAAAAACGCACTCCATCCCCGGCACACTCGTGGTAATGGGCACCCCCGCCGAAGAATCCCAAGGCGGGAAATGGCTCATGGCGCAGCACGGCGCCTGGAAAGGGTTCGACTCGTGTGTAATGACGCACGGGATGCCGGATTTCAGTACCCCCGTATGCTGCACCAAGGCATCATGGAAACTGCGCGCCAAGTTCAGGGGTAAATCCGCGCATGCGGCGGCGGGACCTTGGACGGGGAAGAATGCCTGTGATGCGATTGTGCATGCGTATACGGGCATTGCGTTGCTCAGGCAGCATATTCAGAAAAGTGAGAGTATTCAGGGGTGTATTTTGGAGGCGGTGAAGGCTGCCAATTTGATACCGGATTATTCGGAGGGGTTGTTTAGTGTTCGGGCTATGACGGTCAAGGGGGTGGAGGAGTTGAAGGAACGTGTGGAGGCGGTGTTCTATGGGGCTGCTGGGACGACGGGGTGTAAGGTTGAGTTGGAGTGGTGAGTCTTCTCTCTTTGCCTTGAGGGTTGTTGGTGAAAGAATTGAGCTAATGCTGTGGTGATAGGTTTGCGCTTTACGAGGACGTCGTGACGAATGATACCCTCGCGGAGCAGTACAGACAATACATGTTGCAGTATCTGGGTTTGCAGCCGGAGCAGATGATACCGTTGAACGAGGCTAGGACGGTTCATGACTCGGCAGGAAGCTCGTGAGTTTCATTTACCTTACTTTTGAGGCCAAAGCGGAAACTAACTGTAGCAGCGATTTCGGGAGCTGCTCGTACATCTGTCCCGGCATTCAGGCAATGTTCGACATCAAGGCGCCGGATCTGCCGCATTCAATCGGATTCCGCGAGGCAGCGCAGGGCGAGATTGCGCATAGAGAGGCACTTCGGGCTGGAAAGGCCAATGCTCTTATCTCATTGGATGTTTTGACAAACGATGCGTTTGCTGCGAGGATGAAAGATGAGTTTAGGGCAGCGATGAAGGAAGCTGGACGCTTGTCTGAATAGCTCGACCTTATTGAAGAATACTAGACACCTCAGAAACATAACAAGCACAAACATACGCATGCGCGATTCTTAGCTCCAAGACCACCAAAGCCCAACGTCCAAATACATCAACCCATCACACCCCTAGCCCTCAGGGCATCCAACAACCTATCATACGATTCCTCAAAATCACCACTCGTATCCACCTAACCAACCATTAACACCAATCCTTCAAAACCATAAACGCACTTACCTCCACAAGAACCCCCCTAGCCCGATAATGCTCCACAATGCGCTCATTCTCAGCATAATAGTGCCCATACCGCACATTAAACGCCACCCAATTATCATTCCTTCCCGGAATCTTCCTAGTGAGAAATCTCTCTTTAGCAACTGCCCCAGGACAGTTGAAGAAGAGGACTAGGTCCGGAGATCCGATCTAGACCAGAATCAGCTCCAATAATAGATATATGGCGAGGATGCGAATTCTTACAGCGTCTTCAACAGGTCCCGCTTGTCCAAGAACGCGGGGAATACCATCGATCAGGAGTCGCTCTTTGATGTCCGGGGGGAGGGTTTCAATAGCGTTTTTGAGAATGGGGATCAGGTCTCTGGTGTCGAGGAGGTCATTGCCCCGGATTTTCCTCATGATGTCGGGCCGTAAAGTGTTTGAACGGGCTAGGTGGCGCAAGAGATCGCCGACGGAGAGGTGGTGGTAGTTGTAATCGGCTGAGAGCATCGCGCATAGAGAGCCTTTGCCGGCTCCGGGGGCACCTGTGAGTGGCGATGGTTAGTTGGATAGATGGTGTTGTGGGTGAGGATGGATACGCACCTATAATGTAGATGCGATTGAACTGCATTGTGTTTTGGATGCGGATTGTGGTGGTGCTCAAGAATGGGGTGGATATGTGTCAGATGGTAGTGGAGATGGTGGGAGACACGATTAAGGCCATTTATCTGTCTCTGGGATGATTGAATAGAGACTTGTGATTGTGGATGAACTGGTGCCTTAGTACAAGTGAAGTAGGTGGAGGGAATTGGATGGTAAAATACAGGTGTTTTGTGTCTTTCACTTGTAGCGAGGAGTAGCGGGACTCGCAAAGTCATCAGCCCCGCCTTTGTAGTGTCACAGGACATTATGTGGACTTGATTCACTTTCCCACAGAAATTTCAGCGCTCGATCAAAGTGAAAATCTTTCTAAGATACTCAGTGCCTGACAGCTGTGTTGACCCTCTCTCAACTTCCAAGAAAGCCTCTCACAAACAACACTAACTCCTTGCTCTTACAGCACTACCCACAAACCTCCCAGCAACGAGAAACATGCTCCTCCTCGAAGTCGAACGCAAATTCCCCTCCCTAACCACCAAAGCCCTCCACCTCGCCACCAACCGACCCCCCTTCCAAACCATCCACCACCAAGGCACCAAAACCCTCCACGATATCTACTTCGACTCTCCCACCCACCAGCTCTCCAAACAAGGTATCTGGATCCGCAAACGCAACAACACCTGGCAAGCCAAGATCCGACGCGGAGGGAACTACACCAACTCCCAATTCCAGGAACTTGCCACGCCGGGTGAAATCTCCTCATTCCTTGCAAGCATCACGGGGGTTAAGAAGAGTGAGAAAGTGGACTTTGGACTCGTGCCGATGGCGGATTTCGTGACGATCAGGGAGAGTTGGGTCGCGGATAGGGATTTTACGATCGTGCAGGATGAGACTGATTTTGGACATACGGTGGGGGAGGTGGAGATGGAGTGGAGGGGGAATTATAATGGGATTAGGGGGGATGGGGATGTGGAGGCGTATAGGAGGTTGAAGTTGCGGGGGATGGATGGGAGGGTTGAGCAGTTTATGGAGACGTATGGCTGGGCTTTCTCTCGGGGGGTGCCGAAGGGGAAGTTGTCGGCTTATTTTGAGATCAAGGGGAGGAAGTAGGAGTATTTGGGGGGGTTGGTTTGGGGTCGCGAGATTTACGGGGCCTTAGTATGATGCACTGCGCTGGTGGTTCTTAAGGCTCTCTGGAGGCTATTCGTATGCATGTACGCAACGAATATCAATACGAAAATCGTGTTCGGTGTTTGCATGGCCCTATTACTTCCATGAGAATCAATCATATGTGCTTTTATCAAGTGGAAGCTGGTTGTCCTGCTGTACATTCTTATTTCCCTAGAACTTAGCCTCACGAAAGCGGTCTTGAAAAGGGAACTATGAAAGTGGGTCACTATTGGCACAACTCCGTACTCCGTGTTAGAGTTAAGCTTAATATAGTGGGTCTGCCCGAGCACATATTTTCTGCGCCGCAAGTTAAGCTGAGTGTTTCATGAACTGCATCCTTGATCGCAATCATCTGCGGTTGCAGATTATGTGTCTTTCATGGTTCTGCATGGCCTAACGCATACCTGAGGCATGATGATGCCTTACCGATACCTCAGGCAGTACTAGGATCAAGGCGGTAGCTACCCTGACGTGGCGGTGTGGGAGTGTGGCGGTGATCGCAGAAGATCGACAGCTTAGCTTAGCCAGAGGGCCCCTTGACTCCTCCACCGCTTCAACGCAACACTCTGGGGGATTCGCTCGTGCCATTCCGGCCAGAATGATGGCCAAACGGCAACGAGCAGCGACGTCGAGATCACGAACAGGATGTCATACCTGCAAGTAAGTCGGAGTCTCAGGGGTAAATCTGCCCACCTTACTGATCCTTTGATTCAGAATCCGACACATCAAATGCGACGAGCAAAAGCCCGAACGTCACCAGTGCAAGAGAACAGGGAGAAAGTGCGATGGATATAGTCAACAGCGCCCGCGAAATGACGTCGAACCAACCAGGAAACCAAAGATAAGCGCCGACCATCGGATCGTAAGAGAGGAACGGCACTACTTATACTTTTTCAACATGCAGACAGCCCAGGCGCTATCCGGGGTTTTTGACTCGGCCCTCTGGAGACGTCAGATTCCACAGCTGAGCGAGTGCGAGCCTGTCGTTAGACATGCCCCTGCGGCTGTCAGTGCGGCCCATGAGCGCGCACTCGCGCTGCAACGAGATCCGTCGACACGACGGATCAGCAATGAGAGGTTTATTGTGTATCAATATAACGAAGCGATTCAGCATTTGAGGAGTTATCTCGCTTCTTCAGGCGGAAAGCCGGACTTGATGCTCATCACATGCTTTCTGTTCGTATGTCTCGAGATGCTGAACGGTAATATGAGACAAGCCCTGGACCACCTCGAGGCAGGACTGAAGATCATTCAAGGAACAACAGACCAGCAATCTCCATCCACTCAGTCAAATGAGACTGACAGAGAGCTGTTTCATCTCAGCCTTCGATTGAACATCCAACTCGCAATAAATGAACGCCCTATGGTGGCTTTGAACCTTGAGTCCATGTTTTCTGAAGAGAAATTGACAGATGAGTCCCACTTGGTCGAATATTTCCCAGGCACGACATGCATTAGACAGACTCATGAACAGGACACTCATGTTCATCCGCGTTGCAGGGAATGAGCGCACTGGTCGCGCACACTTGGAATCCCAGCAGCTGCAGCTCAGGCAAGCATTTGAGACATGGAATAGGGCGTTCAATTGCCTCACAACCAAATCCAGGAGTACTGCAAAAGAAGATCCCAGGGGGCCGCTGCTCCTTCGCATGTTGTATCTTGACACATGGATATGGATGAATACGTGCCTGTCCCAAAATCAGACGGCTTTTGACAGTTACACTCCTGCTTTCGCGGAAATTATCCACTGTGTAACCCAAGTGATTGAACTTGATGCTGCTGTCGACTACAAATCAACCAAACGTGCCCCAGACATTTTCACTTTGGAAACCGGTATCATCACATGTTTGTACTATGTAGCAACTGGGCGTCGTGAACCGACAATCCGCCGGGAGGCCATCCGGCTTCTGGGTCTATGTACCAACCAAGAGGGCCTGTGGGAAAAGCGTGTTGTCATGAAGACCGCTCAACTGGTCATGGACCTGGAAGAAGAAAATCTGTCCTCTCTTCCCGTTGAGAAAAAGAATCCCGGAGGATAAGGATCGCATATATTGGATTCGCATATCTATCCCGGAGGGTGATAATATACGATGTACTCGCCAGGTAGAATTGCTATCGAAACCTAACGGGCCAGACGGGGCATGGTACACCAGAGTCCATTTTGTGGAATAAGCGTAGGACTAGATGTACATGATCCTATTTCGCCTTGCGTGAACGTGATAGCCAAGTCTCCTTGTTAGATACCACCATAATTCACTTCTCGCGCCTCCGGCCCTGTCATAGATAATATAGTTGGCATCTCGTTGGGTACACAATTTGTTTCTCTTAGTGCAGTTTGCGGGTTTCCATAATTGGTAATCCGCCGTCCCGGTCCGTGTCTACCTCGCGAGGCAGGCATCCGACCTTTTACACAGTACACACGTTATCATTAACCTCTGACTCAAGCATTGCGATTGATGATGTATTTTTTCTAGGTCTAATCTGTCCTCAAGCCATACCCTATTGAATCTCACATCCTCTGCGGATGACCGGCTGGCGAAACGGCCTAGAGTGAAGAGAACGACGAATCCTCCATGGAGAAAGCCCACAACAGGTATTGCCTTTCCCGCTTGGTTACACACAACGGCTCAAAGCTCCTTCTACTACAACTGACACGTGAGCTTTCATGCTGCAGGATATGGCTGTTTCTCAGATTTCTATATTGACTGCATTGGAGGGGCGCTTGCAAGTATGGACGGTATGTTGGCTGATCTGGCCCCGTTTCGTTATCGCCTGTCTGTCCAGTCTCCATTATTGCTGACTTCCTCGGTATATCAAAGTGTTCCGAGCCACGTCAGTCATTGACTCGAGCACTGAAATCACGATACATCTTATCTGTCGGACATCACCTAAAGCACAATTCCGAATGTAATCCCCGTAACAGCCCAAACCATCCAGAACACCTTTGGAAAGCCATGAGAGACCCTCGTGGTTCAATGGTACTCGTCCGCTAAAGCCATTTCTACATCTTGAACTTTCCTTGCTCATTGAGGGACGAAAATAGCGGTTGTGGGAGGCCGCTCTTTGGTCTTGCTGGTGGTTGCAATGTGACACAGAAAGTGGAGATTTCTTGCTTTCCCTCCTTCTTGACGCGCACAGCTGATTCCTTGTTCTACAATACATGATCCGTGCTCCCTGACATTATAACATCACAAAGGTCCATGCAGCTTCACCCACAAAAGGCTGGGATTGATTCAGCATTGTGTATCTATCTCAGACATGGTTGACAAAGTGGCTTCAGGACTCAGATTTGAGAAGACGTTCGACGAACCGCACCCGCTCATCCAAATTCTCCAAGTCATCTGGGATGGCAACGAACTCGATTCCATGTTCTTGGAGCGCAGCACGAAACGCCTGACCAAGCAATCTCCACTCGTCGATGCTCTCGCACGTCATCCTGACACCGTCACTCGATAGCCAGCTCTCATTAGCCGGCTCACAAACAATGACAAGTGCCTTTCTCATCCGCTCTCGAAGCACGTGCCATTCCTTGAGTCCTGCGAGTTTTTCTGCTGCAGATCGTCCGAGGAAGAAACCGGCGTATACTATGGGGTCAATCCCAGATCTGTCTGAGAGAAACGGTTTATCCTGCATCTCCCCCTCGGCCTTGAATTGAGCCAGAAGGGTGCGCTTTTGGAGCTCCAGCCCCGCCATTGGGTGTCTGACATGGCTTGCATTATAACCGTCCGTGCGCATGACGTGCCGGACAACTTCGTCAATAGTGTCAGTGTATCTCGGATTAAGCGCTTTGGTAAGGGTCGTCTTGCCAGTGCAATGCGCACCAACAATGTAGATAGTACGTGGCTGAATCATGGTTGTGACTTGGGTATCGGTAATGCAGTGCTGGCGGTTGATTGGTTTCTGTATGTTTTAGGGGGGACATCAATTGTGGCATTTAGGATGATGTCGCGCGCTCTGTGATTAGAGAGCTAAAGGGAATATAACAATGTTGGTGATCAGAGGGGGCGTCCGCTGGGTGTCCGCTCTAAGCTCGGGTGCTCTTCAGCTGTCCTTCGGACTTATTGTGTCCAGTCACTTAGTGTGATTCACACATCTTTACCATCAGGGTGACAAAGATTATATTCACAGCATCAGCGATGCGATCAGAAAACCTTTTGTCCTCCCCTCACCCAGATTCTTGCAGAATTCTGCCAGCGCTCAGTCTCAGTACAGATTGAATTTTCTGCAAGAGGTTACTCAGCGGTGCTCACCAGTGCAATTATTCTTACGAACGCTGAGATAATGTTCTCATTCAAGCTATCTCTTCTTCACTCCCTCATCCTTGCTGTCTGCTTGGCATTCTTTACTCATCGGCTCACCAAGAAACCCTCCAAATGTCCAGTATCGGTTAATTACCACTTCACCCGACAGTGCAACAAGAGCTGTGGCTTCTGCTTTCACACTGCATCCACATCTCACGTCGAAAAGATCGAAGATACTAAGCGCGGACTCTCCCTGCTCAAAGCAGCCGGTATGAGAAAGATCAACTTCGCCGGTGGAGAGCCCTTCCTGGATAAGTCCCGTCTCGGACAAATGATAGACTACTGCAAAGATGTCCTACACCTGGAATCCGTCTCGATTGTCACCAATGGCAGCCTGGTCACAAGGAAATTCCTCGCGAAGCATGGTCACCATATCGACATTCTTGCTATTTCCTGTGACTCGTTCAACGAGGCTACAAATATCGCAATTGGTCGAGGATCAGGCGATCATGTGTCAAAGCTGTATGAAATTCGTGGCCTCTGTCTTGAATACGGTATTAAATTTAAGATCAATACTGTGGTCTGCCGGCTGAACTTCCAGGAGGATATGAACCCCTACATTGAAGACCTGCAACCATTCCGATGGAAGTGTTTCCAGGTGTTGATCGTTAATGGCGAGAACGAATCCGATAAGCGACTTCGAGATGCCCGAAAGTTTCTCATCAACGACGAGGAGTTTGAATTTTTCTGCAACGCTCATCGCCATCAAATATCCTTTGTGCCTGAGTCAAACGCCCTCATGGCGAAGTCTTATCTCATCTTGGATGAATACATGCGGTTTCTGGATCGAGATGGTCGTCAGCCGTCGCCTTCTATCTTGGAAGTGGGGGTAGACAAAGCACTTGAGTGTGTGTATTGGGATGAAGCGAGCTTCAAGGCTAGAGGAGGGGAGTATGAATGGACGAGAGATCAGGGCTCCTGTTCGGAGAAACACAAGGATCTTGAGTGGTAATTTTGTCTCTCATGGCTTGGATGTTACTTACTGAAGCTCCTTAGTCGAAGTGTGTTATTTTATTATGAGATTTGAAGGATTCATCGGGATCTTCTATTAAATTCGTACCGATGTAGCTTGAGGCTATGGTCGGTTGGGTGTGTTCTGAAATTTTGATGAGCTGCAATTGCCTTTGTGAACATATATACCCTTCCGGAGCTTGGCTTTTGTCTCGCAAAGCTTAACTGGACTAGAAATCTTCCTGATAGACACCGTCTTATTGTAGAACTTCCATGCTTCTCGTTATAATTGTAGACGAATGATCTGTCGGCGTCACAGATCCCCAGCCCCTAGGATTCGATGAAAGACTTTATTGATTGCTAATAGCTAAGCTACAGGCTCTGGCCCGTCTTAATAGGCATAGGCGGATTTAAGATTCCGGATCTACATGGAATGCCTCATTCCTACGAAGAATAGGATCTGTAATTTCCTCAACATGTCTTGCGCATCGAAATCTTCTACAAAATCAGCGAACAACAAATATTCTACTCCCGGAGAATCTCATGGTAAATGACAAAGGAAGGTAATGGTGTGCAAAGTTACGTTCAAGACAACGTGATCCGAAGTAATAGAAATGGAATAGAACAAACATCCTCCAATATTAACTAGGACCATCACCAATACTCAGGAACTGCTGGCGCACCCCGGCTGGAAGCCACCTCTGTGCCATTTCAAGTGTCATATTTTCCTTATCCGATGAATAAGTGTCAAATAGCCACTCATTCCAGTCCCAGGTTATCCACTCCTCGAAGCGAGAAATAGGTAGCCTACGCCGAGTTTTAAACCACCTCAGAAGAGGACTGATATACATCCCAGGGAGAGATTGTCTTTCTAGGTCTTCGTCTTGCGGATCAGAAGACCGACCGATAAGTGCGTGTCCGAAATCGATGAATGTGACGCGTGGTTCTGATGGGTCAATAACGACGTTCCGTGGATGCGTATCGCCATGTTCCAGATTGATTTTATAAAGTTGGGACTCGATATCGACGATTTGCTTCATGAAGGTTTTCTGGACGTGATCGGGGAAGTCCTTCGCACGTAGACTAGTCATGGGAGATCCAATGACGTGTTCGATGAGTATCAATCGCACCGTGCGAAACTGATCAGAGTGGCCGATTTCGGTAGAGTAAGAGCCATAGTATTCGGGAATGTTCTTTTGTCCTTGGCTCTGTAGATACCGATAAGCAGCACTTTCCCGGGCATATTCGACGTCAACGAAAAGGAACGGATCCACATAGTTATCGGAATGATCATGATACAGAGGATCATATAGTTTTGCAACAACGGGGGTATTGGAAAGGTGGCCCGAGATGACGTCCACTAAGATTATCTGCGAAGTGATTTCATCACCGACGCGAATAGCCATGCGTATTTCCAGACGTAGACATCGGGAGCCGAGCTGACCAAGTATCGGTTTCCGTGAGAGAGAGCGTGTCAGGACATCTGTGGTTATTCTCTTGGCAGCTTCGTCTGGAGTAAGGCTGAAGAAGTGGTTGATCTGGGGTTCGGGAGGGAAATGCTCGGTCGCTGAGAATTCGTAGCCCTTGATGTAGGGGAGGTCTGGTTTGAGTATGCCGTTGAAGGTGTTGTATTCTAAAGAAAAGGCCATCTTTATTTATAGATGGTCAGAAAGCGAATAGAAACGAGAGGTTGCCTTTGAAAGGATGTTGGCAAGATTGCAGCAATTCGGGGGCTGGTACTGTGGAAATAAAGCAGAGTCGTACACACTTGTGTGCAGTAGTACGTGACATGCATACTGCTCTAACTGCTGACCAGTTAACGTTGATATAGTTACTTCGCTGGTACGTGACTAAGCCCATACCCCGCTCGGAGGAATCCAGTTGTTTGAAAATGAAAAAAAAGGAACCTCTCTGTTGACTAACTAGTTGTATTGGGGTGCACTTTCATAGAATCGCAGGTGAGTATGTTTCGTTCCATTACTTTATACTTACCTAGCTTACTTACTTACTCCTGGCCGCATGATAACATAACCAGGTAATTGTATCTACTAGCTCACTGAAATGGAAGCACTGGGTTATTAGCCGCAGTTAAGCCACGTTTTGCGATGCTGGAAGCTGGGTTGGTAGCCACCAGGTGATAAATTTTGCCCGTTGTGGTGGTCACTTTCTCAAACTTTTGTACTATATCACCCATTTCCATATGATGTCTATCACATACGACCACAGGGTGTGGAAAACAGGGCTTCCCGTCCGCTCAGCCGTACTTAAGCCACACGCCGGGAGGTTAGTAGTTGGGTGGGTGACCACCAGCGAATCCCTTCTGTTGTATGTTTTTATTTTTTCTCATCATATCTGTTGTCTTTTATTTTTTAAATGAATTGATTTCTTTCTTTTAGATCATCTACTTTACATACTCTCTTGCAGTTTCCCTGACACCGCTGGATAGTTTGCGTTCTGGCCTATTTCCGTGGTCCGCTCTTGCATCTCGCCCACCCATGCTGCGGTTTTCAGGACCTCGAACTCTCTCCGCAGAATTCATTATGGCCTTATTACGGCCGGGCAGGGAGGGTTCTCAACCACACCCAGTATGACTTCCCAGCTCTGCCTGCCACATATGACTTCACTCCCAGCAGCTCCTGATCTGGAGTGGTACCTTACTTCACGAAGCCCCTCGAGTTGTACCCGGTATCGAAGAAGGCGGTGAAGCAGAACATCATCAGAACCATTAATCGCTTACAGAAAGAAAGCTTGGGCTAATGTGCCTCTACAGAGCATGAATTCTCAATTTCGCCTGGCATGCCCCGTTGAGCCTCTACGTGCGCGCGGAGGATATTAAGGACAGATTCTATCGGAAGCTGTATGCGCTCCGGGGTCAGCAGGATACGTACTGGACGGGGGGCATCATGGAAATTGCAGCAGGGTGGTTCGATTGGAAAGTCTCCAAAGAAATCGGGCTGTTCCAAGTGCTTGCAGCATTCGAAACGACTACGGATGGGTCTAGTTCGCAGCAGGCGCATAGTCTCCTGCGGATTCCCTGTGGTATTTAGTCGCCTGCCCACAAGATATATTTCTCACCGGGCCATACCACTCATCCAAGGCTGAATTCATCCACAGGCTTGCATCACAGCTTAGAACAAAAGGCGAAAAGATTGCGGATATTATGCCTACTGCTAAAGCAACATAAAGGTGACATCTATTTACTTCTACCCCATCGTCGTGCCATAGGCTTCCAGGTTTTGTTGGGGTTGACTACCACTCATACGATCTTTTTCGTGTTTGCGGTCTAGCTTATGTGGCGTAAACCTGGGCAGCGTAACATATCAAATCCTCGATGGTCTAACGGTCATGATTTCCGCTTGTCAATCCCAATCGGGAACAAGCGCGGGAGACCTGGGTTCGACTCCCAGTCGGGGAGATTTCGTTTTTGTTCTTTTGCCGCGGTGTGGCATCCTCATCTATGGCATTGCTTCTTCTTGTCCTTCATATTTGTCTTCTATGTTTTGTCTTGATTTGCGAAAGTCACGCAGAACGGTAGATCACTTCCTGGGCTGAGACGATGTCTTAACACGAATGTGTACGAAGTTCTCCGTGCATCTTAGCGGTTTACCAGAGCCCCGCGGGCGCTTGACCTGATTAGGCAGGTACTTTGACGTAGCCAATGACAGCAACCATGCGACTACGGTATGCACTGTGCATTCTTGCTGCTCTACCACTAGACAAACCTCTTCGGATTCCAAAACTTCGCATCACTTCTACCGATTCTTAAAATATATAGCTTCGTTGACTGACCATATTGAGCATATCTAGCTTTTTCCCTTGAGGATCGGGGATGCGGAAGCTGATATCAATATGTTGTCCTGTGCTTGCTGTGATCTTCCACTGAGTGCCTAAAAAGGCAAAAATGGTCGACCCGAATCCAGTATAGCTGCCTCCAGATCTAAGCCGGAGATTCAAGAAAAGCCACTGTGGAGCACTTGCCGCCTCAGGCTGCGGACCCAAAATTGGCTTTCGGGAGGCACGCCCGAAACATTTTCTCTCCCGTCCACTTCAGGGGCACTTGAAGCTTGACTCCCTTCCCATCTGCTTATGTCCAGTCAATCATGCAGCCTTTTCTTCCACGGGCAATGGGCCACCCGGCATCTTAATCGTTGAAGCCTTTTGGCCCGTGCGTGCTGCGTGCTCTGTGCAAAATGCCGAAGGCTCGGAAGCGTCCCGTGGGGAAACCGATCGACAGTGGCTTCGGTCGGCCACGCAAATCGTGTGACTCGTGCTATTCTCGCAAGGTGAGTAACTCACCACCTAGCCGATAGTCAAAGGGTGATCAATGGCTGGAATATTGATAACAGATCAAATGTATCGCGATTACTGGCTCCGAGCAATGTGAGTGGTGCCTGCACCAGGAGCTGCCATGTTCCGCTCCCCCGGTTCGTTCCCGGCGGCGGAAAAGCAAGCCGAATGCGCCGTCCAGGTAGGACAGACAATGAAATTCAATCATCCCCTTTGAAGTTGACTGTTTGTAGGACCTCACCCGACGACACTCATCTTGATTCCGTGCACCCATCGAAAGATAGCGAAGGCGAGGCAAGGGATGTTTCTTCATCACCGTCGCAATTGCTGATGCCAAAGCAAGAGACTAGCGTCACAGCTGCCACTCGCCAAGAGCGTCATTTGCCGCTCAGTCAGTTGCTGAATCCCCCCGAACCAATACGCTCAGGTGAATCTCGTAGGCAAGAAAGGCTGAGGAACCTATTCCGATACTACGGGATCCCTTTTTTCTCCGCCGCAGCTCAAGATTGGATTCAAAGTCATTGTCAACCCTCGAAGATTCTCAATGATTTGTGTTCATCTGGCCTGCCATGGACCAACCGGCGTGACAGTTCCGTGCTGGCTTCGCAGCCACATACCGCGACTGTGATAGAAACAATTGAAGTTTCTCTACCCGACCGTTTCATTACCGAGGCATGCGTGGCTCTGTACAAATGTGGCAGAACCGGCCTTCTCTACCCCCTTGTCGATGCTGATGCTCTGACCAGCACAATAAAGACCGCATACTCTTCCACCGACACGCAGAAACCGCACGTTATAACAGCGCGAGCCTTTGTCTTTTCATTTGTCGCATTTTGCTCATCGGCAGGCCACAGCGACGAGGTGACATTCCCAGTTGACGGCGAAAAGTATGCCTCAACGGCGAGGCAACTACTCCATGCAGTCAAGAGCGGACCGCCATCCTTAGAAGCCTTGCAGACGGCGGTATTTTTGGTAATTTTAAGCCTGATACTTTTTGTAAGAACTTGTTGTGAGGCAACAGACATGCTAACTGGCGGAAGGCTTTTTACCACTGCTTCGAAGGCTGTCTCTGGGCTGTAAGAGGAGCTTTGCGTGTTGCATCTCATTTAGTCACAGTACTTGCTCCAGACATGGGATTCTTTCAGGCGCCCTCTTCTGACCGAAATCCCATTTTTCGCAATCTCTTCTGGGTTAGCTTCTTGCTCGACAAAGAGCTTTTTCTTCGAATAGGAGAGCCACCTCTCCTTCCTGCCGAATCATGTGTCCCACCCAACCCAGGGGGATGTCCCTTTCGCTCTCTTGCACGGTTATTGCCATGCTATCCTGGCATCTATACCGGCACCTTTCAACTGTCGATTTTGATGTCAAAAATATATACAGAGCTCTATACACCGGAGGCGTTGAGGAAGAGTGATATCGAGATTTTAAGAACAATCCGCGCACTCGACGGTGAGCTGGAAGAATGGCGATTGAGCATGCCAAACGACATTCGACCGACAATCCATGCTACGAGCCGACCCACGCACTCGCAAACAGATGTCGACGTACTTGTTCTACATCTAAAGTTCCACAACTGCTTAGGGTGCATCCACCAGGCAGTGAGTCGTTGTCAGACATGGTCAGAAGAGGTCGGACCGGTGAAGGAAGCTCTCCGATCGAGCCTCAACTTGTCTATCCAGGCGAGCGCATCCTCATTGGAACTTCTGCGCACCAATCCGCTAACACTCAACCGGGAATGTTTCTGGTGGGTTTTCTCATTAGTTCCGACATTGTTGGTATACTCATCATGTCCTAGGTTACTTTGTTTCTATCCCCTCTCCGCTCTGCTGAACCTATTTTGCAAAATCGTCGCGGATACTTTTGACTACGAAAGCCGCGCTTATCTTGGTATCATCAAACGTGTTCCCGAATATTTACGAGGGCTGGATACTCTCCATGTCACGGCTCTTGAACGGGAACATCTGCAGCTGATGATCCTGTTCAGCACAGAGCTGGTTGCTCTCGCAGAGCAACAGGTATCTGCGGGGCAAGAGAAAGACCGCTAAATGTCCGGATGCGTGCAAATAATGTGACAACATCCATCATACCTGCCCTCGACGAGTCGTACTGTTAGCAGCAGGCTACCCTTCCTCGGTGCTGCATGCCAAGGAGAGGCTCAGTGCTATGTACAAAACCGCGACATCATTCACATCCGTGGAACAGGACCAAGTGGAGCAATGAGCACAGCACATCTTGACGCCAAGCTGCCGCATCAGTCAAGCAGACCAAACACGAGTCACCTGGTCCAGGACGCCATCGCCAACAAGTGGCTCCGTCTCAAGACGGTCGGCAGTGAGAGTTATAACTTCCTTCTGAGGTTTGGAAATCTCTTGTGGTCCGACCGTCACCCGATTCTGCCTGCACCCCAGAACACTACATACCCATCTTACTATTCCAATTGATGACCCGAGAGGGAACTCCATCCTGTGGCCTGCAAGCCCGCATCCCCGGCGATACGAGATGAAAGAGGTTAAATTCGCGACTCTCAGCAACCCCCTCGATACAGCTCTCTACTTCATGATTTAGATACCATTGTTGACAATGATTGTGTCCTCGTCAAGCTCAATTCATGTCTCCTGCGGACTGAACCGTTCTACCACCGATTGCACCCTGTTACAGATCGCTCGGAGACCAAGCTGATTTTGCATTTTCGATGGTGACTACGTTTATGTCATAGCGACCAGATTGGGGAATTAACGTTCCAGACATTAATAGTGTATAGTCTCCAATCATGATTGTTTCGTTCGTGGTGAATGGTGGCATCTCAATTTACTATGAAGTCCGATATTTCTAGGGAGCCGCTCGGTGTGAGTGCGTTAAGCCCTAGAGGCATAAGTAAACGGCACTGAGCTCAAGTAAGTCAACTACTTGAATGGATCCACGCCAGCCTTTACTATATCCCCCAGAACAAAAGCCTGCTGGATTCCAGTCATGTCGCCAATATATCGACTGCGGTTTATGATCCAGTTTCGCTGCGTCTCCGACTAGGTGATTTGGCCGGCGTTGAGCAGTGGCCAGAAGAGGAGATAGATGCCTGCTGTGATGGGGATACCGCCCGGGGGGTGGTGGTTGGAGGTATCTTGCAGCAGTGTGGCCGGCTGTGTTAAAGAGGACTCTCCAGAGAGAAGCGGTAAATGGCCGCAATATTGAGGGACTGAAGCGCAAATATTCGAGATGAGTTGTTGTATGGTGATGGCTGAATGCTGATGCTGGAAGGCGTCTGAGAGGGAGAAGGTATGTGGGGATGTGTCTAGTATTGATTCCAGTTGGGATTTTATTTCCAGATGAAGAAGTAGGCGACATGTGCGGATGTTGTTCCATATGGCTGCGACCCATACATCTGGATAAATGTGGTATTGCGTTTCCATGACAAGGTCGGATGTTTTCGCGATGTCGATTGTTTGGAATTGCCAGCTGGGAGGCATTTGCTCTGCGAGGGAGTGAAGCTCGCGGTCGACATATTTGGCAGCTTCTATGATGCTGGTTGAATCACTCATTGCATGGCTTTTTACGTCTGTGCGAAAAGAAGCTAATTTAACCATGATATCGGACAATTTCCATGCCGGATCGTCTGCATCCATATAAGCAGCGGCGGAACGGTGCAGCTTGACTAACCCCGTGGGCATCCGAACCAAATGCATTAGACAGCTCACCGAGAGACATAGAAACACCCGTCGAAATAATTGAAGTCCGCGACGAGACCGAAACAAGCTAGCTCCTCGAAGCTCGACAATGGTCGATATGCCCCGAAGATGAGCTTCCCTGTGATATAGCGAGTCTCTGATTTCACAAGTGAGAGCCTCGAAGGTATTAAGGAATAATATTGAGATTAATGTGCCATCCTCTGCTGCTTCTCGACGGGATGACAAGGCGGAATTGATATATCGAAGAGACGAAACGTAATACCGTCTGGCTTTTTTGAGGAGATTCAGGTGCTGGAATTTACAGGCGTATGCAGCGAGCGCGACGGCTTTTAAGCTTGTGAGGACTCTCTTATTGGCCATGACATCGTCTTTGAAAGCAGAAAGATACTCGTAGTGACCTCGGATGAGACCGTGTTCTTGGAAGGCATGGGTTGACATGAAGAAGTCGATTGCATGACATTCTATAGTTTGTATGACCTGGCTTGGAATCTTGGGGGCGTGTGGGTGACAGAGTAAAGTACTATGTGGCGTTTTAGCAGACTTTATCTCGTGCATGGCTGCTCTAGATGGCTTTGAGTTTGTATCTATCGAGATCTTTCGGTGTGTGATGGAGGAACATGCGCTCTACTGAATCATCGTACTGTGGACACTTCCAGCCAGACTTGAGGCGCTGATTGCAATGGGGTCGTGCCTGGTCACACTGAATTTATCAGCAAACGTACCGAGTGAGAAGAGATTGACTTGTATTGCACCTTGATCTTTCGTTTTCTGCGAACCTGGCAGCCTTTCGACAATCTTCCGTGGCGAACCATCCCGATGGCATTACCAACCCAACAACCTCGGTGCCAATAGTGAAAATGGTAGCTCCCAGGACAAGCATAGCCCCGAGAACATGACAGTAGCTCTTATCATATGGTCGTCCATCGATGCAACTTGGAGCGATTTGAGAAAATGTCGGAGAGACGGGGAGCCGAGGAGGGACTCGGGGATCAGCGGCCCCGTCAGCACTAGTCCTATTTAGAAGGTATTGCGAAGTAGCCAATCATAGCACTCCTCGGGCGATACGCCTCTTCCATTGTTGCTGCACGAATGCTCCTCGCTCCATTTCAACCGCATGTCATCATTACAAATGCCAGATAACGCATTAATCCCTGCGGAAAATGGCGCATCGTCGAAGAGGACCTAGGATTCTGGCTCGTCACGGACGGCTACCCAGCTAGGTATATATAGTGCTATTTCTCCCCTTACCTGGTCACTCCAGAACGCTGACAGTTCTTGTGCGCAGGCAAAAATCCTCTGATCCTCCTTCAGTCGAAAGCCATTTTCTTTTTGACAAAGCCAAAGACCCTACTGTCTTAGGAAGCCCGACTGCTATACCCTTACAATGTCCAACCGGAAGATTCTCGTCGTGTTCGGTGCCACTGGCATCCAAGGCGGTTCAGTTGTCCAAGCTATCTTGCGCGATCCTGTGGCCTCTAAAGAGTTCAAGGTCCGAGCCATTACTAGAGATCCTTCCAAGCCGGCTGCTGCAAGTCTGGCTCAAGAGGGTGCAAAAGTCATCAAGGTAAGCCAGCTAGGCAATGCACTTTCCCACTCACTCACTGAAGAGGAATACATAGGCCGATCTTGGAGATAAGGATTCGCTCCGCCTCGCATTGCAGGATGCGTATGCCGTCTTTGTTATCACGAATTTCTGGGAGATTCTCGATCCTGAGGCCGAGACAAAGCAGGGAATGACCATTGCGGATGTTGCGAAGGTTGTACGTTCTTGTTTACTGGCGAGAGCTCGCTAATAGAATCAGGAATTGGATGTCAAGCACTTTATCTGGAGCAGCCTACCATATGTCTCCCAAAGTAAGGTCCTCTTCATCCTGCGCCTGGCCTGGCTAACTAAATCATTAATAGTCACCAACAACAAACTCACCGGAGTGGTCCACTTTGACAGCAAAGCCCGAGTTGACGACTATATCCGCGAACTTGCGATTCCGCATACCATCATCACTGTTGGCACGTATACTTCGTTCGTCTTGGAGATGCTGACACCTCTCCCGACAACGCCTCCCTCCTACGGATTGTTCTTCCCTGAACCAGGGAGTGTTTACACAAGGGTGCCGATTATTGATCCAACCGCGGAATTGGGAAAGTTTGTCAAGGGTATTCTTTTGAATCCTCAAAGATCACTCGGTCGAAGCTTTAATATCGCAGAGAGAAGCTATTCACTTGTGGAGATCATTGCTGTTGCAAAAGGCCTGGGTGTGGACATAGTTTACCAGACAGTTGATAAAGCGTCCTTCAAGGCGGGCATTGCTTCGAAGGGATTGCCTGAGGTTGTTCAGGAAGACCTCTTGCAGCTCGTGCAGTATACACAGGAGTACGGTTATTTCGGTGGATCCGGGTTTGAGGAGGGCCATGAGGTAAGCCTCTCAGTCTCTTTGGACTGGCTGATATTTTATGTCTTTTTCATTTACCAGTTCTCAGATATGGCTAACTATTGTTCTTAATAAGCTTCTGCTCGATCCCTTGACGACTCTGGAAGAATCGTTCAAGAACAGTTCACTCTTCTCGTCACTAAAAAATAATTAGTGACCTTTCTTCAACGGATTGGCATGCTAGCATGCTCAATGGTACACTGTAAATTTCCAGATATTGTGTTGGTTCTACTGGCTTTTTGATCCAGGTGTGACGGAAATACGCATCATCAGTTGCAGGGCTATGTATCTGTCTATAGGCGTGATCTAGTAATTAGCAAGGTTATAAACAATCTACTTCTTCATATCTTCCACCTTCCGCTTAGCAATCCGTTTGCTACGCCGTCGGTACTCCAAGACACGTCGACACGCAACGCATTGCCCGTCATCATCAAAATAATGCTCATCCCTTGCAATAGTCAGCACGTTCAACCTAGTAGCGAACAGAACAACACTCACATCTCCACCTCACACTCCTCATGCGGCACCTCATCATCACACCTATCGCAAGTAGGAATGCGATACGTACAATCCCACAACGACGAGGTAAGACCAGACCACACATGATATAAACTCGTCCTGAAAGCAGATTTCTCCCCATAAACAGCCCCGTCCGCCCTTCCCCAATTAACCCCGTTCCACTGCTCATCACCCACCGACACCCTCTCCACACTCACCGGCGGATCCATCTCCACCTTGTCAACCCACACCCATCCCGTCTTCTCGACAATCAATGCCCCCTCATCCCACTCCGGCTCCCAATCCATCATATCCGTCTCCATAGCCGGCGAGAAATCCAAGTCAAACTTCACCACCCACAACCCCATCGCCTTGATATCCTCCCAGGTCGAACACCCCTCCGGACCCACGAGGATAAAACTCCGATATCGCGTCTTATCATTGTATGACGTCCAAAACTTTGCTGAACAACACCACGTCGGAACAATATGGGGGAGTGGCTCCTTGCCTCGCAGCTTGGCGATGGCTTCTTGTACTGCTTCTTCCTCGTTATCAACATCATTGCCACCACCACCCCTGGCGTAAGCAGCGGCAGCAGCATCCGCCACCCCCGTCACTATCTCCCGCTTCTTCTCCGCCCGATAGACCTTCTCCCGTCGATGATGCTCAATACACGCGTCAATACTCTCCATCGGCGGATAAACATCCACCCTCGGCCAATAATTGCGGGCATTTCCCCAGCCCGTAATTCCATCACTAGCAAGAAGCTGTCTACCCACCACTTCCGGACTAGGAGATAATGGCGACAGAGAATACAAATGGATACCGAGTTTGCGAATCGCAGGCGTGGTGCTCGTGCATCCGATACTGGGGCCGTCAACGACGGTGTAGAGTTGGCCGGCGTGGTCGGGGTATTGGTGGGCGGAGTGGAGTTGGTGACGGGCTGCACGCCCGGTTGTGCTTTTGCGGGCGGTTTGCTTGGTTCGGGCCATGGATGTGTTTGAACGGGAGCCTTGGACTGGGAATGTAAACTGGAAAGGTATGGATGTGGGGTGAAGATGTATTTATGCAGGGCAGGTGGGGCGATGGGGATAGGCACACCTTAGGCAGCAATGTGGGGTCGATGCTTAGTGGAAGTTACTTTTGATGTCCGTCTTAACGGAGTACTGGGAGTGGGTATTGATATGGATGGTCGAGAATATGATAATTTTAGTAAGACATACAGCGTCAAATAAGCCATGATTTGGAGGATGACGTTCAAATCCGAAATCGCTGAAGGGAATTCTCCGGTCGTACGAACTCGACCACGGAATATCACGTGAGGCCGTCTTGTTTATGCCTGTGTTTACAGGCATGTGGAAGCCCAGAGAAGGCGTCTTGCCTAGCTTTCCATTTTCCTTCTTCTATACCTGAAATATAATTTCGAACAGTCAAGGATAGCCCCTCTTGCATATCTTGTCGCATCGTTTACACGAAGCTCCCTGTTCTCCCTGAAGTATATTATAGTCTGCAGGCGGATACGAAGTATACAAACAAGCGCTCCTCGGCAACTGCCATGTATGCAAGGCCCTTAATGAAGTATATTCTGAACACAATTTACATTCCGTGGCGTCGTGAAAAGTCATATAAAGATCAGATGATTGTATCGCCAAAGGTCTTGAAGAGTATCATATGCACTGATGTGTTTTCTGTGGTATGGATTTCAGATGACGAGAGTGGATACCGAGGAAGGGACGGCCTTGGTCATTACCAAGTGGATTGATGTCGGGCCGGGATCAGACCAGACGGATTGGCGGTGGCGGAGGAATAAGACTGTTCCTGGCCCATTTCCGGAGGGACTGACACCAGCTAAGTCGGGGGTGAGAGATCGGTTTGAGAGAGAGAGTCGGATGTCTGTTAGAGATCTGAGTCGCAGAAACTTGGCGCTGCTGGAGAATAAGGCTTACTTGAGCAAAACACGTCAGGTTGATGATGGCTGTTGGGTTTTGCAGGGGAGCGAGACGGCTTGATTCCTTACAGTAGACTCTTTAGCGAAAAGCATAACAGTTCCCTTTGATTGTTTGAGAGTAGTGAACTTGTATTTTTATGAGGAACATTCAATGCCCAGTTGGTGAACATGGATGCTCAGTCCTGCGTATTCCCTCTCAAAGACCACCTCTTAGATCCCGGATACCAGTCCCCCATCCATCAACCATGTCTCGAATATCCCACTTACAACTCCGGCGTATCCAGAAATATCGGCATGCTAAACACCCCCCGTCAGCCATATCCCACCATCAACTTTGATACCACTTACCCATCAGGATACCTCTCCCCCTCAAACCCCGCCTTCTCCACCAACTCCCTAATCTCTCTCACCTCACTCTCACTCAACACCACCTCCACCGCCGCTGCATTCTCCTCCAAAAACTTGACCGTCCTGGTCCCAGGAATAGGAAAAACATCCGGTCCCTGCGCCAACAACCACGCCAACGCCACCTGTGACGGGGTACACCCATGCACCTCCCCAATAGCCTTGAACCTCTCCACGAGGCCCAGAATCCGCTCCATCCCCTCCGAATACCGCGGAATCATGCGTCGGAAATCACGTTCCCCCAGCTCATCCCCAGACTGGAACTGACCCGTCAATAACCCCCGACCCATGGGACTATACGCCACAACCGCAACCCCGAGTTCACGACACGTGCGCAGTAAATCCCACTGCGGGGATTCAATATCCAAGCAAAACGGACTATATTCGACCTGCACGGCGGTGATGGGATGGATGGCGTGCGCGCGTCGTAACGTTCGCGCGGATACTTCCGATAGACCTAGGTAGCGGATTTTTCCTTCCCTGTCTTCCTTATCAGCCATTTGTCTCTCCCATCCACAAGAGAAAGAAAAATACCGTTTCAACTCCACCATAACCTCCACCGTCTTCTCAACAGGCGTAACCCCATCCAGCCGATGACAATACAACAAATCGATCGTCTCGACCCCCAACACACTCAAACTCCTCTCACACGCTACCCTTACGTACTCCGGATCCGAGCGAATCTCCTGCCTCATATCCGGATACGCGAGGCCAAATTTCGTCGCGAGGAAGATGTCCTCCCGTTTACCCGTTCGCTTGAACCATTCCCCGATCACGGCTTCGCTGGAGAAGTACACGTCTGCGGTGTCCCAGAAGCGTTGTCCGATGGAGTGCGCGTGGCTGAGGAAGGAGAGTTTTTCGTCGAGCGTGTTTTGTTGCCCGTAGGCACCGCCGAGGCTCATGGCGCCGAGGCCGATACGGGGAATGAGGGGGCCGTTGCGGCCCAGGGGGCGGGTGGGGGTGGACATGGTGGTTGTTGTTGCTGTTGTTGGTGGGGGTTTGGGTGGGTGGATAGATGGATGGATAGTGTTGGTGAGGGATGTGGAGGGATGGGTGGTTGGGGGGTTATATAGCATGGATAATTGGAGTTTGTCAGCTCTGTGGGAAATACCGCATGCTATTGATTTCTCAGCATGATGCTAGGTGGGACGTCTTCAAGATCAGTTGAGATGTACTACTGCGTACTCAGTACGGAGTACGGATATACAGGTACGATACAGCCAATCGCGTGGCAGCAAATGCGAGCGGACCAATGAGGGATCGCAACCGTCCACCCAATCAGAGCGCCACTTTACCGAGCAGACGAATTGACGTTCTTTTGGCTCATCCATCGAACTTGTTGTAAATCGCTCATCGGAATCATGGAGTTTCCGATTTCGTATTATCGTATTTCAAGAAGTTTGATAGGCTGGTATATACAGGAGAACCACTCAATTGACCCCAGAAGACCATTATCTTTGGAATCCCACAATCTTTCCAACACCGTGCTGACAGAGTATGGTTTAATATGTTATCATCAGATCAAACATCAAAACTCCTCTTCCCAAGGCTTCATAAGCCATTCGTCGGGGATAATCTCTACCGAGGTTGCTCTAACCTCTGGATCCCAGGTCAAGATTCTTGGAATAAGCCGCAGAAACGCGTCCTTTTCCGTTCCCGGAGGAATCGTAGTCACAAAGTCTTCCAAAGAGGTCTGCGGGATTGGTGGATCAGATATCCAGTTACCTATCATTGTCAGAGATACTTCTAGTAAAGGGAAAATCTCTCTGTCTGAACTCACCCCGCTCATCAAAATACGTCGAAAACAGCGGGCTTTGCTGGATGATCTCTAGCGGCGGGGGTCCCAGATAACCAATGTATTGGGCCAAAGCCAGCGGAAGAACATACTGATCGTTAGTACGATCAACAGGATCAAAAAGGTTCTTCCCCTCCAAAAGCTCGAGTGTCTGGTCATATCGATGAGCGCAGTCGGACTGTAAGAAGATACTCACTCACCATAACACCTATCGACCAAATATCGACAGGAAAGCTCCAAGGAAGCTGCAATAGCACTTCGGGCGCACGATACAGATCGGACATCCACCAGTCGTGATTTCCGGGCTCTGCCGGTCGCACCTGCCCGAAGTCTGTGAGGATGGGGATCCCGGATAGTTCCAACATGGGGGTTCGCGATCGGTAGATGGGAGCTCCTTGGCTCATGATTGGAGTACTTGGGTCTTGGGATTCTTCGTCTTCGGTATCTTTTAAGCTGCTATCGTCTTCGAGATCCATCAATACATTCTGAGGAGAGATGTCTAGCAGATAGATTAGCGGATATTGGAAATTATATATTCCCTCATCGGAAGGGCATACCGGTGTGGATGAGACCACACGTCGCATGCAACCAATTGACAGAGAGAAACAGCCGGTGAATCAGCGACTTGACGAGAAGCTTGGGTAACACAGCATTAGGGAACACTTCTTGCAGGATGCGAATACTTGCTCCTTGGGGCTTGGTGGCAATGCAGTAGTGGGACCCTGTAGGAGACTCGAGCTGAAAGATATCCTGAGCTAGGCGCGTAAACTCCAACCCTGGATGGTCACCTTCCTGCGCGAATCTGCTCAGACGTTGTAACATTGCAACTTCATTGAGAACAGGTGACTCTTTGTTATTATCCCCAACACAGATCTTCAATGATGCGTATTGCTTGAGTCTGAACCAGGTCAGCAGGGTCGGGCTAGAGCTCGATGTAATCGGGTAGGCTACCTATTATCCTAGCCTAGCCAAACGGTGGAGTATGCCCCATAACCAAGCTTCGCAATTATTCGATAGCGGTTGTTGAGTATCTCCCCGATACTGACAGGATAGTAATGCTTTTGATGAAAAAAAGGAAGCGTTTGCTCTTCTAATGGTTGTGCAGCGCCACTGCTCGCCATCTTGTGATAACATTGCCAAGATGTCTGGTAAAGAACGCGACGCGACCGGGCGCGTGCCGAGGAGTGAAAAGAAGGCATGAGATGCATCTCAGCAGTGGAATGTGGAGGAGAGGATAAAGCAGTATAGACGTCTGAGATGCATGAAGGGTTCTGCTCGTTGCCCTCTTTTCGTACTGCTCCTGTAACATATGTTGGAGCATGGCTGGCTGGTAGGCCAGGATCACGTGTAGGATCACGGTGCCCTCCGTGTTATTGTGGCCTCCGCCATCTCACCAACCACCTGGATAACCTCGATATCATCGCCTTTCCCCTTTGTGACCGGTCGCCTGAACACCATATAATTTATTGTGACGATAAGTCTTGTACATACGACCACAGGGTGTGGAGAACAGGGCTTCCCGTCCGCTCAGCCGTACTTAAGCCACACGCCGGGAGGTTAGTAGTTGGGTGGGTGACCACCAGCGAATCCCTTCTGTTGTATGTTTTTGATATCTAATATCTTATTATCACTTTCGACTCCGCATCGTCCATTTCGGCTGTTGCTGCCACACTCCCCAGTTCAACCTTGGTTCATGCCGAGCCCAGTTGTTGGGTTACCGTCATTCAGATTGTCCCGCAACGACCCGCAGAATATGGGGTTATATTATTCGAATGAATGTCCTTGTAACTGATTACTATCATGCTGTCCAACAGAGAACTCGTAAAATGCTGAGTGCTCGCGCAGAAAACCTTTTCTATGTATGGTGTTGAGAATCCTCAACGCGATCAATTAGCCCATATGCCACATCTGAAGTTACTTTCCTATCCGAGAATGCCTACCACATACGGCATGGCGCCTGCCCCTTTAGGCGTAGTGCTATCTTGGGCTGCCAAGGAAGCCCGAGACATCAATCAATCCCAACATCTTTCTACTACTGTGCAACTCGCGGCGAAGCATGGCGTCAATCAAATTGTTGCGTCGCGTCCTGACCATCGGGTTGGCGCTCCATGGCTGCACAAATAACTTCAATCCAAGGAATGGGCAATCCTATGCAAACTGGCATCCCTTTTCGGCATCTAACTATATGCTACCTTGATTTCTAGCAATAGAGGTAGATAGCAAAGTATTCGCTTCGAAATGCCGTGAATATCATAGGATGTGCCGATTCCTTAATCTGAGGGATTTGGGTAGCGCGGCCAAGGTGGGGCGGTCATGGCACGAGTTGCCGTAGCTGGAATGGGGAGATATTGTCTGCTCAAGTGGGGTAATTATAAGCACCGTCCCCCACGGCTACCCCGACGCAACTCGGCAGAAACGGCAAGCTTGACGAGGTTGCGGGGCGGAATGAGGGGGAACAACCTGGAGCCGAAGGGTCCGGCTGTCTTCGGATCGGGCACGCCCGGTCGGCTGTCGCAAGGCCGACCGTCTATACCACCACGAATGACACCATCATCCCAACAGCCAAGGACACGCTCATTCGGTTCCGCAACTTGTATATATAAAGCGTCATGGGTCCCATCCTTCGTCCATGTGAACTGAGAGGCCATTCTTTACTTCAATTTCTTGTGTCATCGTCATCATGAGACAACTCTCTCTGTGGTTGTTTACCGGTCTCAGTGCCTTGGTGGCAGGCACCAGTGCGGCAGTTAACCGCTCCTCACTGTTGACCTATGATTCAAAGCCTCGTGTTTTCGTCCTTTCAGATATCTCCAATGAACCGGATGACACCGAGTCTTTTGTACGATTCCTGCTGTACAGCAATCAGTTCCAGATCGAAGGAATGACCGCCGTCACTTCTGTTTGGCTGAAAGACCAGGTGTATCCCGAGCAGATCTCCGCCGTTGTTGACGCCTATGCCAAGGTGGTCGACAACTTGAACCAGCACACCTCACCGTCATCTCCCTACCCTTCAGCAGAGTACCTCCACAGTATTGTCAGATCAGGCCCAGCTGTAAGCCTTTCCCTATCCCCAGACGAACCCGCTAACCCATGAAGATCTACGGCATGGAAGGTGTTGGTCCCGGCCGAAACCTCAGTTCTGGTGCGGAGCTACTGCTGAACCGACTCCGCCAACCGGTAGATGAGCCCCTTTGGGTTCTTTCCTGGGGAGGCGAAAACGTCCTCGCGGAGACTCTATACTATATTCAACACAACTTAAACGCCACCGAGGCAGCGCGCCTCCGCACCCAGCTTCGTGTCTACACCATCTCCGACCAAGATGACAGTGGTCTCTGGATTCGCGAGCAGTTTCCGGATATCTTTTACATCGCCTCCGTGCACGGATGGAACCAATACGGTCTTGCTGCCTGGCCGGCCATCTCTGGCGAGGAATACTACAACTTCGACATCGGTGGTCCGGACTCTACGAAGGTCTCCGCTGCCTGGCTGCGGAAGAACATCCAGGTTGGCGTCTATGGCAAGGAATACCCGGACTACAAGTATATCATGGAGGGAGATACCCCGACCTTTTTGTACCTCATTCAGAACGGACTGGGTGTGCGTGAGCAACCTGACTATGGTTCATGGGGCGGCCGCTACTCTCCGGTCGACCTGACTACCGAGTTAAAGTACCGCCAATACAGCGACGCGGTGGATCGGGTTGTCGGCCAGAACAATCGTACCTACACTTCCAATCACGCTGCGATCTGGAGATGGAGAGACGCATACCAGAATGACTTTGCCGCACGGATCCAGTGGACGCTCCCTGCGAACGAAAGCAAGGCAAACCATCATCCTGTTGTTGTGGTCAACGAAGACGCAGATCTGAGCCCATTGGTCATCACGTCGACTCCTAACGCTACCGTCTCGCTGGACGCGTCTGGTACTTACGACCCCGACCGTGATGGCCTGTCCTTCCGCTGGTTCCAGTACAAGGAGCCTGGTTCGACGGATTGGAATGTGGATAATCAAATCCCGACGCTTGATGTCACTGTCTCTGGAGACGGTAAACGTGCGCAGGTGACGATCCCAGCCGCCGATGATGTTTGCGATGGCAACAGCTCCAATAACTCGGGGTGCTGGACCCTACATCTCATCCTCCAGGTCACGGATAACGGCACGATTCCACTGACGACGTATAAGAGAGTGTTGTTCGAAACAGCGAATTCCACTCAATCTGCATGATTGCGAATCGATACGGAGTCGCTGAATATGAGAAATGCTTGGGTACCTAACGACGTATTGAAATATATATTCACTTCTCAACGCCACTTCAGTTTGGCTATCACGACATTAGACACAATGAAATAGATTCTTTACAGCAGTCACTACTACATCCATGTTATTGGAATATCTTGGGGGCTCCACTGGATCGAATGCCTCATACCGATCTTCGTACAAAAATAACTTCCACCTTTCCAGGGACCACCATATGGGAAATGCCCTTACCTATTCCGGAATAGCGCCATCTGAACCCCCAGAATATCGCTCCAACTTTCCCAGCCCGATATTAATATTTTTCAATCCTAGCAGGTCATACATTCCATCTGACGTCTAAGAATATAGTTCTGAGTCCGCTCCTAGTCCCGCTTCTCTCATGAGAAGAGCTTAACTCTGCTTATCGCCATTGCCCCTGAAGCAACCCCGTCGGCTATATTCTCCCAAACTGCTTCCCAGTTCCACCTGCTTCGTTTATCATCGCTTCCCGACAAAGGTCCTCGCCAACATCATGGGCCGACTCGTGGCCCCAGCTGTGGCTGTGCTCTCGGCCCTGGCTCCTTTGAGTGCCGCTTTGACCGTCGCGCCTGAGGCTGCAGCCCGAGAGTCGGTGGTGACTTTGACCTCCACCTACACCTACACCGTGACCAGCACCATCACCAGCACATCCGCCTTGACTACTACGGCGACCACTTGTTCCGCCCAGACATATGCCGATCCTTTGTGTACCCTAGATGGCGCGTGGTCGCTGGCTGGGAACTGGTTTCAGCAGTGGTGCTCGGGTATGTCGTTGGAGGGGGGGACGACCGTTCAGTCTGCAACCTACCTATCGCTATATGCATGCGAGTTGTACTGCTATCAGTCTCGCCAGGAATGCGATGGCGTCAATTACAATACAGCAAACCATATTTGCTACCTGGTGACCGGCTCACTCACCCCAGTTTCTGCGTCTTCCTACAAGGCCATGAGGCGCTTCACCACCAATCCGTGCACGGTCACCGAGACCTTTATTTCGACCCAGCTTTCCACTGAAACAACAACTGTGCTTTCGGTGGCGACCTACACGTCGACCAGTATGTTGCCTACAACATCGTCGGCTATTGAGAGTACTATATCTGCAACACCGTCTTCGTCCGTCGCGTCCAGCTCAATCCCTGCCACACCGTCGGCATCTTCTTCCTCTCCAGTGCCTACCCCATCTGCGATCCAATCCTCATCGGTGCTCGTTATGCCATCTACAGTCGACTCGTCCACTTCCGTCTCGCCAAGCTCATCCGTTTCTCCCTCCTCCACCCCCCTACAAAGCTCCAGTGCCATCCACAGCAGCACCCATACGCCTTATCCAGTACCAACACTACACCCACCTCACTCCACCAATACCCCCAATCACAACCACACCACCCCCTCCCCCTTGATTCCCGCAGAAACACCCCACTCAACAACCTCCACCATCCTATCCACCACAATCCGCACCATCACCGCATGTCCGTCTTCCGTCACCGACTGTCCCGCTACTGAACGGACGACCGTTGTCACTACAGAGATTATCACCATAGTGACTACGATTTGCCCTGTCACTGCGGAAGCTACAGCTACTACAACACCTTCTCCGACAGATCTGTCCGGAACGGAGATCTATACTGAGTGGGAATACTCGACGGTGTATGTTACGGATATTGTGACGGTTAATGGGTGTGGGGATGGTAAATATACAGCGGATTTTTTAAGAGATAGAATTAAGTGGGGTTTATAGTTATGTGATAATGTACTATGTATTAATGTACTATGTAATAATGTATTACTTATGTATGTTGTTTTTGTCTGATAAATGTGACAAGGATTAATTTATACCTTTTTTTAGGCTATTCATGTATTTTGAAGAAATGAAGCATAGTCAAGTCAGTAAAACTGGGTCAATTCTATGCCTTCTTCGTAATCTTCCTGACTTGTATCTCCGCTTACCAAGTACGTGAAATACTGACTGACCTTTCATGTCCGGGTGGTCACAGATACATTACAATATAAACTAAAGATATGGGAAAATAAAAGATCGGAAATCAATCCATTTCATTCCAGATGCGCAATGCACATTAACGAGCGACTACACTACCTAAATCCTATCCCCCCCACCATCCTCCCCCCCCAATCCTCCAACCCCAAACACCAGTCCCCCCCCTAATTACCTCCCCTACCCCCCCTCCAATCCCTCACCCTCAACTCCCCAAACTCAACAACCGCCTGTTCCTCCTCCCCACGAAACATCTCCCTCACCTCATCAACCCCCTCCGAACAAGTAACCAACACCTTAACAACACACCTCACACCCCTCGTGGAGCGTCTCAACGCCAACACCATCCTCACCACGGCCAACATATCCGCCAGATACTGTCCCGTCCCATACCGTCCAACATCATCAATCACGATCGAGAGGACGGTCTCCGAGGGGACGTTACAGACGAGCCACTCGAACAACGTCGCCAGGGTACCTAGTTCGCCGCGCGCGAGGGCCTGAAGTTGGATCTCCCACGCGCCGATGCCCGGCCAGGAGATGAATTCGAATTCAAGTTGGCGGAGGAGTTGGATGATGAATGCTGAGAGCATGGCGTGCGCGCCGCCGGGGTGGGGTGGGGGGTTCGGGTTGTTGGTAGTGGTGGGCGGACGGGATGGATTATCGTGTAGGGAGCAGAACCAGGCGAGACGGATGTGGGTGCGGTCGTCTTCGGGGGAGGTCAGGAAGCGGGCCGAGAAGAGGGATACACCTGAGATGGTGTAGTGGGTGGAGTCCGGGTCGTTTTGGATCAGCAGTTCGCTGGAGTTGGAGGTCGCGCACCAGTGGAGGTATTGGCGGTGGGAGATGGCTGCTTCGGCGCGAGTGTGGGATGAGGAGGTTAGGTCGCCCTGGTGGGCGATGATGTGGAGTATGTCGTCGATGAGGGTGGGGTGGGTGCCGAGGGTGGCGAAGAGTTGGGCTTGGAAGGTTTCCATTGTTGTATTGTTACTGTTGGTATGGTTGTTGTTGTTATTGTTATTGTTGGTGGTGATATTGTAGTGATGGATCCTAGTATGGGAGAAGGACCACATGGAGGAGAGCTGGCTTTATAAATGGGGCAGAGGTATGGATAGAATAGCCACAACTGGAGGGTGACGCTGTATATTCGACCCCTACCGGTGGAAGTTGGAGGACTCCAGTCTCAATCTGATCTGTTCGTTCCATACCTTGAATCAGTCAGCTATTGAAAAGGGTCGATAAAGACATGGCAAGTCACTCACCGAGCCCATGCTTCCATATCCAAGTCAGCTCCTCGCAGTGCTTCTTCCCTGCTCTTCCAGTCATTGTTCCGGTCTCGTGCTCGTTTTATATCAGGCTGCACTACCCGCAGCTAACCCCAATCTCACTGACTTGATTCTTCGACTCGATGTCTGACTAACCAGGGAGCGCTTCTGACTTGAAATTGGAATTCTCGCCGTTGACTCAATAGCATTGTGGTCTATGCCAGAGGATACTAGAGCGGAGATCAGAAGATGCGACGGAATGAGTACCAGACGTGTAATATCTCTCAGATGGCTTTGGCACTGGCCGAGTTTGACGCTTGCGAGGGCCACGAAAGATCCTTGATCCCAGTGTCGAGATCAGCGGACTGCCATTCCTTTGAAAATAGAAGCCAGCCCCTCTGTGCTCTCATGTAAAATTAGAACCTGTTGTGAAAGTCGGATTAAGACCACCGGTCACAGACGTACTCCGTGCTCCAGAATTGGATATGATGGCGAACAACATAGCGGATGGTGCCTTTAGGCTGATTGATAGTAACATATCTGCGAGGAAACCCAATGCCCCGTCGCAAAGCCCGAGGGAGCAGTATCAAGCGGTCTTATGCTGACCTCGACTGTCAAATTGTAAATGACTGTGGACAGGAAAGTATTGAAAATGAAGGATGCGGAAAGCAAGAAATGAAAGAGCACGGACCATGGGGAGCCGTTTTAAGGTGGAGCCTCACGATAAGAAGAGATCTGCCTCGCTAAATCAGATTTTCTATTCACTTCTTTTTTCGTTTCCTCTTGCGTAGTGCATGAGTGTCGAAGAGTAGCACTTGTTGCATGAGTGGCCCGATAAGCAGAGAGGCGCTACCCGGAAGATATTCTTTATGGCTGGCAGAACTTTCGCCGCTTTATTGGGGTTCTGCCTGAGGTTCTGATGTTCTTTTTTGACTCCTGTGCCCCGGTTTTTGCCTGACCATAGCAGCAAAACACATAAGAATTTACCAAGGCATCTTCATGAGTTCATCTAGTAGGAAGTTAGATGCCTCAAGACACTGGTATGTCGAATCAGGTACTATATCAGGCCTATAATACTTTAACAGGGGTGTAGACAAGAAAAATCACCGGACGACTTTAACTTCCAGGAATAAACCAAGCAAGCACCATGAAGCAGTAGGCGAAGAGTATGTGTGAGACAGTGAGAGAGAAAGTGTGTGTGTGGCTGTATCGCCTTTCGAAGGGAACCTCAGCAACCTGCAGTCAATGCCACCACACGAGCTAGAACGCAAGCATTCTCTCAGTCGTCAATTTTATCAAACGCTATGATATATTGCATATCTCTAGGACAATAATTGTATACTGGTTAGTACAGCAAAGTCCTGTAAATGGTCGCTGGAGAATACTTATTAAGCAGCCATTTTCCAAACCAACGGATCAACAACAAAAGTACGAAAAATACAGTACCTTGCATGTAGATCCGAAACAAAGATAAGCTTCCGGGTCTCCCGTTAGGGTCAGTGGGCCTGTCATGTTATTCTTCAATCTTAGTACTCCGCTTCCCTGCAGCAGCGGACCCCAAGCTAATCACCCGCTGCAAATCCTTCGGGATGGCACGGGCGCTTATTCTTACAGCTAGAAGCAAACCACTAATAGCACTCTACTTAAGCTGTATCCAAGGGGGAATAAGTACATACGACCACAGGGTGTGGAAAACAGGGCTTCCCGTCCGCTCAGCCGTACTTAAGCCACACGCCGGGAGGTTAGTAGTTGGGTGGGTGACCACCAGCGAATCCCTTCTGTTGTATGTTTTTTTTCTGTATTTGTTTCTATTCATGACTGTTTCTTATATATACCACTATACCTACTAGTAGATTTAGTTATATATCCGTCCACCGTCATACGAAGACAAACCACTACCTCCACATCTTAGGTTGGAACACCATGATTCTCACCTCTTTCCTGGCCCTGGCTATCCTCGGGTTAGTCAATGGACTCGCCCTCCAAAGACGGTTCGATAATGGCGACTTTCCCACTGGCGAGACCGACCCCAATGTGACCAGTGCATGTACCTACTGGGCCAACTCTATCGAGTCAACGGATACCTGTGCGGGCCTTGAGAGTTACTATGGGATTACAGTCGCACAGTTGGCTTCCTGGGTAAGATGATTCCTCTTATGACGCAGACAGGGTTGGGCTAATGGTCCAGAATCCCTCTCTATCAACCACTGACTGCACCCTCACGGAGGGATGGAGTTACTGCGTCGCAGCGCCCACAGCGGCAACCACCATCGCAGCCACGAGCGCTGTGTCTACCTTGTCTTCCTCGTCTTCCTCCCTTCCGACAACAACGACTTCGGTCACAAATACGGCAAGTGACCCTTCGCCAACCCAAACCGGCTTAATCTCGACCTGTGATGCCTTTTATTACGTGCAGCCCGGGGATTCTTGCTGGGCGATTGCCAACTCGTATGGCAACTTTACACTCGACCAGTTCTACTCCTGGAACCCGTAAACACTCGCACTCGCAGATGAATGATTGGAAGCAGCTGACCAGACCTGCAGGGCCGTCAAGACTGACTGCTCCAGACTGCAGCCAGACTATTATGTTTGCATCGGTGTCGCTGGGTCCACGGCCGCCTCATCGACAACGCTTCCTGCTACTACTACCTCATCCACCACCCCGACCGGATCTTACTTGCCCCAGCAGACTGGAATTGCATCCAACTGTATGCCCTGCATGTCTGCACAGTAACCCAAGCTAATGCCATCCAGGTGATGAATACTACTACGTACAATACGGCGACACCTGTTCCGCCATTGCTACCAACCACGACATCAGCCTGAGCGATTTCTACGCTTGGAACCCGGCCGTCGGTACAACCTGTAGCAGCCTGGATGCCGACTACTGGGTCTGCGTGGGAGTATCTGGTGAGTTACCTTATCAAGCCAAAGGTATAACTCCTTGTAATCAAAATATTCATAAACAGAGCATCTCTTCTTTCTTCCTTCAATTTCCAAAACCAGGGCATGGTACAATCCATGAACTTCTTCCAGCAATAATTATCTTGCGTGGCGAGGTAGACTTTTTTTGAAACTCACATTAGGCATTGAAGGCTATCAAACGGGATCAACGCACAGATCATGTATATAATCTCAAGTGGGAGCTTGCTGAATGGGTTTTCAGGAAGCCAAACTTCCGTAGGGATAGGCGGATACTTTCTATTTCTTCCCGCTTGGATTTCAGCAAGATCATTCAACTTGATGGTGTTGGTCGGGCGAATTATACAGTACTGTGGCAGTTGATTAAATATAACGAGCGTAAGTAGTTCTTGAAAATAGTCACCTACCTCTGCTCCTGGAATACATTGCCAATAGCGTTCTTGTGCGTGTAGGACATCTTCGCCATACTTCAAACGCAAAGCTGAGCTTTCAGCATTGCACTGACTGCTCCGTACTCTGTAGAGTATATCCAGCCTTACACCCTTCATGTTCGTAGATCTTGTCAGTGTTCGAGTAAGGATTTCGAAACAACACTTGTGTACAGGAAAAGCAGGGCCTGGAGCTTCCTGCGAGGCATGGCGGTAGCATGAATATATCTGTTTCGAAGGTTCGATTGAGTTAGATGCAGCCCGAACAACTATCTCTCCTGAATCTGCGTGGTATCCTTGTTCGGAGAGAAAAGCCTCTCCCGAGCTTGAAGTATCTTGATTCTTTAAACCAAGACAATGTACATTGTGGCTCCAGGAAATGTTTTCCCGGCACACAATCCGGGGATTGTAGTTGTTGCCATGACCTTCACATATGTTTCTATCACGGAGAAGCCGAGAGAGTTTCTTATTGGCGTACAATATCCGACACGAATTCTCTTCTGATCGGTAACGATATGCTGATGCACCACCCACAGGGTGTCCAAAATGTATTCCGCAAAATCCAATACCGCAAACGGCACAGAAACAATCATAATTCATTTTGTAGATGGACAGGGTGTACTAGAAGAGGATGGGTAGAGGCAAATGTGGAGGAAAAAGCTGGTTCGTGATCAGGAAAGAGTGACGGTTTAAGAAGGGTTCTCTGACGTCTTGGGTGGATGAATACGAGGAATCAAAGCTTGTAGATGATAGGATTCTACGCAAATCTATGGTCCTAGTTCGATAGGTGAAGCTCGGATACGAGTATGACCTAGCATGTCGCACTCAAGCATTGGGGTGGTTGCTCAGCAGCCAAAGCTATCACTCGCCACTAGCCCGCTGGCTCGCCTCGCCTCCATCGTCAGGCTGTCAAAAAAGCCTCAATACTTCCTGTACGATAAAACAATCAAGGTCGACCATTTGGCAATAACTACTTTTCTTTTTCTCCATCGTGGCAATCCTTGCCCTACTGCAATTAGCGATTCCTCGTATTCAATAGGACGGCTTGAGCGAAGGCGATCTTGCATCCTTTAGCTATATGTCAAACTCTGCCTATTCTGATTCATGGAATGATTGATACCTGTAATGGCGAATGTAAAGAAAAAAGACACCTTAATTGAGAAAGAAATTGGGTGGATAATAGCAGCTTCTAATATTTTTGTAAATTTCATGGAATCCAGATCTCTACCAGCTAGCGACAATAACGGGCAATTGAAGGATAATGGTCGTGGCGAAGAATCCTACACCACTGTCAGATGATAATTTGCCTTTTCTATTACCAGGGCATGTGCATAATCAACAACATGGACGAGCGGAGCACAAGCCTGTTTTCAATTAAGTGCGTCTTTTACGAAATGGTTTACTTATGATTATTAATACATAATTAGACTTGCCCACTGGTGACATGTTATTGAACTAGAAAAGTAACATAGACACCTGCAGTTGTAAGGAAGAACCGTAGCCTATGACTGAGTCTCACCTAGATCGAGCTAAATCCTTAATTTAGGTTTGAAGGATCTGACTCGGTGCTTTCAGAAGACTGATATTGACTGGGTAGTCATTCAAAGGCAGCTTACTATGTGAAAGAGCTTGTCCGTGAAGGCAAGAAGCTTCGGCTTCGCATCTCTATTGACTATCTATATCCTAACAAGCCTACAACTGGGAATGATAAGCGAGAACAAGCATCAATGATCAAGAAAATACTTAGTGTATGAGATACCAACATTGATACTGACAATTTTTCAGAGTAGTCTTCAGTATTATAGAATATATACAGGGCAATATTTTACCCTGATGTACCATGCCATCTTGAATCATGGTATTGCTAGTAGGTTCCTGTCGGCAAGAAGTATTATAGACTACATCTTAGGCAGCTAGTCAGGCTATTGAAGAAAGGGGGTGAAGTATTGAAATTATGAGAAAATATTCGACATATTCGTAAACAGCTGTACTTATAGGAGCAGCGCAGCGGGTCGAATGACAAAAGACCCCTACACATTCAGCAACTGAATCAAATTCACAACCATCTCAGAGCCCATCATCTGTAAAGTTCACCGTGACTAAATACATAATGACCGACTCAACGCGCATGCATATTATCAAGAGTCAGGCTTCCATGGAGTTGGTATTTGAGTGATTCATTTGTTTCATCGGCTGATGAACATGGAGGAGGTAAAATGCTATGAATTTCATGACGTTTGCTGCTCATGCTTCTTCGTGTCGGAGATCAAAATTGGCTGTTCCGTGACTAAAAAACATCGTGAAAATTAGGACATGAAAGTACATAACATCCTCAAACGCCTAAATACTTCCCTCTACATGCTCTAAATTGATTTCCTTGACTTCCGATTTTATTTCTCCAAATGTGTCCTCCCATTCCTGGAGATCATTACTACCTTTTCTATTTGATATCTCTTGTAGAAACTGAAGCTGAACACACAATTTCCATCGAAATAACACTGGGGAGGCGCCTCCGCACACGTCCAAGTTAAAAATCGACATCTTATCTTAGAATTCAAAGTGCATACCCTCGGAATCTGTTGGTCAGAGAATTGACAGCATGTCTGGATATCCTCGCTTTTATGGATGAGTTTGATGTTGTTGGGGTGGCCGGTTCGCTTACCAAATACGTTATGCTTTGTTAGTTGTGGGAAAGGTCGAACCATCCCTTGATATTAGCGGGTGGTGACTTCATTCTAATAATCCCTTGATTTTGATTGGCTGCTTCAGCTACTGTCATAATGATCGCATGAGCCGAACTTTTGGCCTCTGCATGGGTCTTCATTTGTTACAACAAAGATGCATCAATAGCAAAATCGGTGTTTGTCCTTTTTCGGCAAGAACCTTACCTTCCCGTGTTTGTGGTAGCAGTCCTGTCATTATCCCTGCAGCCATCTATCTGTGAAATAACCAGTTACGAACGCAAAAACAGCTTTGTGTAAAATATCAATGATCTGCTCATTCTCCGGCCACGTCCTATAGACAGTTAGCAGTCAAAAAGTAGGAAGTCATAATAATGTTCGACTCACCAAGGAAGCGCGCCAACCCCTGTCCAATTCTCTAAAGTCTGGTCAATCATCAACCGGATAGAAATAAACATGAAGTCGGAAAACGGCCCACGAATGCCGTTCGCGCTCATAAGGGCTCTGATAATCGCAGCAGCAGCTCCCTGGCCGTAGTGCATCGCCATGTTCAGTCCGAAGCGCTCTGAATCAGGTCGAGCCGGGAGCGACAAAAGCCGTTCTAATGTATGGCCCGGGACATATGAAGACGGTCTGCCAGTGAAATATTGCTCGATTTTTTCCCCAACCGTCATGCTGCTGCCTGTGTCAGTCTTTTGCTAGGCTCTCGGATGCGAGGAGCTAGCGAGATGGACTTACGCTGCGACGCCAAGCAGGCCCGCTCCACAACCATAGAGAATGCACCGGCCTAGTGAGAAGGACCTAACTGGCTGTTCTGGGATGGTAGTGCGACGCGACATGTTGTTTGTGAAATTCTCTGCTGAAATCAAGGTTCTGAATTTCCATGATAAGTCCTGGAGCGGCAGCCGAATTACATATAGCGAGCGGTAGGCTACACAGAAAACATGTCGTAGCAGTGACGTATGCAAGTACATCTAGCTAGACCAATACAGATCAGAGCAACACCAAAGTTTATCCTGATTTGGTAGAGGCAATCTGCATAATTTTACTTACTCAACTTTCTCTTTTTATGGTCTCGTTTCTGATGAAAACTCTCGCTATATGTCTTGAAGAAATTCGGGAGCTCCTGGGGATGTCCTCCTATAACATCTTGAAATGCGGTGGTGGAGATATAATTCGTCTTACCCTCACGGACCAGCGAGTAGTACTCTAGGAGATACTGTATCTCCTGAAATCCTGGGTCAGAATTCCAAACTTTCTGCAGATCAAAATACGGAACTCCCCTTTTCTTTAAGGTGTAATAAAACCTCGATCATGATTCGCTCCGGACACGAATTTGCGATATCCTATCTATACGCTAGGTTACATCAAGGTCTTATATTTCTCAACACGCTCTGGCCGCTTAGACCCGCTTTGCCTGTGCCTCATAATGACGTCCTGCTACACCGCGGATAGAATTTAAGAGGCGGGAAAATCATTGACAGTCCTACATTTTGGTATTTCAGGATGACAGGCCGCTATCTCTGGATTCTTACTTGTACTCCTTTGAAGTAATATTTGTTTCGGTACAACAACGGCTTGTATCTCAGTCTCCTATTGCCATGGCATCTCGTATTATTGACGTGATTAAGTCCGACCACCGTGAAATTGAGGACTACTATAATAAGATCCTCAACTCTACTACCGACAAGGAGAAGATCCAATGGCAAAACCAGTTTACCTGGGAACTGGCACGCCACTCGCTCGGCGAGGAGCTGGTTGTGTACCCCCAATTCGAGAAGAAACTTCCTGGTGGCCTTGATATGGCAGACAAGGATCGAAAAGAGCACCAATCAGTGAATCACGCTTTGATCATATCCTCTCGCAACTAGCTAATAATACATTATAGGTCAAGGAACAGCTGAAGAAATTTCAGAACATGAAACCTTCGGACCCTGAGTTCGAGCCTACAGTCAAAGCCCTGATGCAAGATCTATCGGAGCACATTGAGGAAGAGGAGAGCCAGGATCTTCCAAAACTGGAAGACGCCCTGACGACTGAGGAGAGCGAAAAACTGGCCAAGTCCTTCGGTAGGACCAAGATGTTTGTGCCGTCGCGCGCCCACCCTTCTGCTCCTGACAAGCCTCCTTTCGAAACCGCGATTGGACTGATGACTGCCCCGATCGATCATCTGGCTGATCTGTTCCGAAAATGGCCACATACTTCTGGTATGCCGAATCCGTCCACTAAATAAGTTATTTGGTGCACTCCCAGGGTCGGAATCTTAGAATGTCTACCATGGGCTTCTTGTCCGACCGCCACTAGTGTTGGGTTGAGCTGGCAGATTTACGCAGACTGGTGAATTTAGTGGTACTCCGACTATATTTTGTGTGGCTGTGAATGTGTCTCTTTCATCTTAATTAAGGATACATTACCATAACTTGGCGTTGCTGAAGCTGTGGTCGTAGCACCTTGGAGCATCTGCAGGAGCTAGTTATTCTATTGTTATCCAGTTGATGGGGGAGAAATAAGGAAAAGACCCTCCGGAGCAATATCAAGGTTGCCAAAATGCACCCTCGAGTACGCTTGAAAATGCCTAAGAGGTGTTATGATAGCGGTCTTAGTAGCCAAGACGAGGTGACATTTGGAAATAGTCAGCGCTTCGACAAGGAGGCGAGGAGCTGACCCCTGCATGAGCCGATTATTTCGTTATTACACAGGCCGAATATTGATTCATTGGCGGCTTGTAAGCTACATAACCCCCTTTAAACTATAATAAGGCAGTTTAACTCAAGAAGCGGCGCCGTGGTGGGGAGCTGATTTTGCATATTCAGAACCTGATAGCGAGGCGCAGACCTATATGCCGTTCAGCGTTGACCCGACTTTGCTTCAAACACTGGACACCGTAATAGAATGTTTTAGTGGCCCTTTCCAAGTTTTGCTCTCTTCTCAAGGCTCTGGTTACATTAGCTACTTCGGTCTAAGGTATCTGAGAGATGAAGCATACTCTGACGGCTTGACCTAGACACGGTTGCCGAACAAGGTAGAGTCATTAGGCAGGGCGACTTATCAGGATACAAGACCTACCTTCTGCTGCTATCCTATGTTCTGTCTTGCATGGATTATCAGGCACTCTTGCAGTGGGTTCAAGTCAGGTGAGCTATTCGCTGGCCGGGTACACCAGTGTACAAAGGTCATCCGCTACATAGCAGATTTTATCTACGTAGTTCGATGATGAGAAAATGCGTTCTGGATAAAAATATTCAGTCTGCATCTGGCGGCCACCGCAAATTTGCAGGAGCTGCTCAACGAGGTCTAGAATAATATTGGTGAGCTCCACTGATTATGTATCAAATAAACAAGTAATCAACTATAGCAAAGGATTAATTCAATTTTACGTATCTGAAGTAACACGTCTTTTATTATACATAATTCGGAGCATGGTGACCAACTACGTAATCGGCTGTTCTGTCGCCACACTTCGGCCAACTTTATCCCACAGCACCGTATCACAGATTCTGGGAATCAGTGCCAGAAGGTACTTTGAATGTGCCTCGTCAGTTTTGCGCTAGTCCAATCAGGCTCAGCAAACGATCAAGATCGTGAATTATGAGGGATCGATCCCATATATGAGGGGCTTGACCACTTTTCTATCCTGTCCCCTTCTGCCTTTGTCGAGGACTCAGAGCTATTCTAACTATTGCCTGTGGCAGAGAATGATATGCTGTACGGGTCTTATTGAAGCAGGGTATCACAGAGCCTTTCCTGTTATGAAAATCATAGGTCTGTATATTGAATATCGCAATGGACGTGGTAGGAACCCTTGGCGAAAGCCCGTAAACTTGATGGTGTTGAATTTGGGGTATTGTTCATAGACAAGGGAGGCAGGTTGGACGTCAAGGTCAATGATGGGAGAACGGCTTCGCATCGTGCAGCGGCAAAAGCAAATGACAAGGTTATCTCGGAGCTCCTTATGGACCATGTGGAGAAGGCTATATGGAGGATGCAGTCAAATGATGATGTCGGCGAAGAAGGAAGAAAAATCAAATAAAGAAAACTCCCTACTAAATAGAAATAGGGAGAATAAGGGGAAAATCGATAACGAAATAAGATAGGAAAGATTATCTATTTCTCAATTATCGAACAACCTCGAGGACAAGTCTATGAAATGAATCATTACGGTGAAATGGCTTTGCGCTCAAGATTATGTCTTATTCAATATCGTTTTATATGAAGCCACAGTGCATTGTTAGCCCCCCTTTCCAATTTTCGCGGATGACGTCGCGCTAACGGAGTCTGTAACAGGACAAACTGGCACACCTTGAGTTACTAGGCACAAGCCACGACAAGTGTCTCAGTACGCCCGCTGCCCACCTCCATAAAAGCGATCAGAACAATGATACAATGGTCGCCAACCCCGGGGACACTATAGACACCCAGCGCGTTGATGGAGTCCAAAGCGGCATCCAGCCCACCGACCGTGAAAAGCAGAATAGACTTGCTCTTTACGTCTGTAGCATTGATACAATAGCTAGGCTATCTTGAGCTAATGGTTGAAAACAGATACCATATACATCTTGGGCAGAACGGCCCCCGAAGCCGAAAACCGTGGGAAGTAAGAGCTCGTCGGTGCCAGAACCAGTCGGCGGCAATAGAGCAAACGAACCGCCAGCACCGGCAGAAGATCAACAAGCTCGCAGACCATCGACAGACTCCGGGCAGCACGATCATCATATATTGCATTCATCAATGACACTAGACCAGTATTACTGCACGTCCTTAGAGGACACCACAGATCGGGACTTTGATCAGGTCGTCTCACGGTACCTGGAAAATCAAGATGGACCAAATAGTAACGTGGAAAATAGCATGGGCGAGGCCGTCCGAGCTGAACATCCACCAGTACAACCTCAGAACACCGCGGACACGGAGAAAGGAACAAATCAGTTGACCATCCAGATGTTGATGGTCGACCAGCTCTGGCTTTGGATCATCGACGAAAGTAAGATTACCAACGTCACTCATGGGGCTGGGAAGGAGCTAACCCGAATGTATAGAGACCATCATCACAAGTACAACCCGGAGGACAGACACGGATGATCCGGTTCTGCAGAAAATTCTTGAAGGACTTGTCAATCACAGAAGCAAAGGTTGGAGTCGACCAACATCGGTGGACATAATGCTGCGACTGTTGGTTGACACTACTATGGGCTTTCTGTCAGACAAGAAGGCCTCAGTGAGCAGCAGCAAGAGACGTTCGGCTCTGGAAATGTTTCGGGAATAAATCAGGCTTGTGGTATGTTATGCTACCAGGGCTAACGGGACGCGAAATGCTGACTTTATATCAGGCCAGCGGGGAAGCCAGTCTTTTTGAGGAGTTTCAGGGCTTCATCAAAATCGGTCAAAAACCGAACGACATGGCTCAGAAAAACAGCCCGGAGCACAGCCCTCAGGAGAGAGGCACTCAGACGAAGAGCCCACAGATGGAGAACCCCTACTATGACATCAAGCGAGAGATCGATCTATTGCGGAAGATTAAAGACATTCTCGATGAGCTACACATTTTGAAAAGCTTGGTCGATGATCAAGAAGCCGTCTTTCTACAAGCATTCCCGGCGGAGCGTCCAGACCCTTGGACCGAGCTCTATGCATATTCTCAGGTTGCAGACCTAAAACGGGAGCTCCAGGAGATGACTAGGGAAGCTAAAGAAGTGCAAGAGGCAATTTATACTCTCCTAGACTTGAAGCAGAAACAGGCAAATATCTCGGAAGCCAAGGCTATGGCCGAGCAAACGAGAGAGGCAGGAATGCAGACACAGCATTCCGCAAGGCAGAATGACACTATCATGGTCTTTACTGTCGTGACTATTATCTTCGTGGGCCCCTCCCGGTTTCACTGGTATAAGAGAACAAGCTAACAGAATGAGACAGACGCCGATGTCATTTCTAACGAGTCTGTTCGCATTGAACGTGACCGACTTTCCTCACGATTCAGGGGCAGTCGTTGACAGAGGGACGTGGATATTTCCAATTATTTGTATGATGAAACATTGCTTCAGGCCTCCCAAATGGCTGTCAAAGATTGCGCTAACAATGCATAGTCGGAGTCTCGTTAGCTGTGTCGGCAATTTTCATTAGCTTTGCATTCAACGCAAGCTGGCTGCTGGAGCTTGTTGGTAAGCGGGATCGTCTCAATGAGAGCGTCCCCAATACTTCAGCTGCTGCTCAAACTTCATCAGCCGCATCCCCCACGCCATCATCGGCAACTCTTAGCCCTCATTCAACCGATTCAAACGGTCCGAAAGAGAATATGTCGGATGGTAACGGAGTGCATCCAGGGATAATGTGGCGATACCGAAACATTCGCTCTGCACATGGCCCAGATATTGAACAGCAGTAATGGCAAACGGATTCAAGCAAATGTCGTCATCAGCGGGTACATCGCTGCCGGGGTGGAATTATCCGAAAGCTCGAGTGCTCATTTTATGGGCTGAGTTATTTCATATGTAGTAGCTGTTGATCAATAACCTTTGACTCTCGACGGTGATACAAGCATTTTATGAGGTGTAGAAGAACACGAAAAGGCGAGATAGACCTGAGGGGTCATTCTCGAGGTGACGTTGTAAGCCGACACATCAAGCCACACAACTAGCTAAAGGACATACAACCCAGTTGAATAGGAAAAAATCATTCAAAAAATCTAGCAATCCTAGCACTGCCAGATACCCAAGCAGATCAATGATTTGCTCACTTGCAACGCCACGGCTGAGTTAGTCGTGCATGTGGTATGCTAAAGAAATTACCTTCAGTCAAGACATTACACGCCAGTAGAGGACCCAATCTTCATCCCAAATCCCCTTCTCCAATCCCGCTGACGTAATAGACACTATCTCCGCCCCAAAATGATCTATCATCCGAAGAACAGCATTGTCGAAGTCATAGGAATTCTCGTACGACTTGTGTGAATACTACCAAAGTCATTACATCAGCCAATTCAACACTCCAATTTGACACTATATTCTACCACAGAATCATGATCAACCCGAAGAAAGAACCAATCCGTTTCATCGTTTCGATTCTATGCACACTACGATTTGAATGACCTGCGCGCTTCCTGGTTGAATGAATCATGTATATAGCCCTTAGCTGAACCATCAACGAACGAGAAGTAGAAGGCTCAGCTATGTACACAAGCGTCTCCGACGATATCGCCTAGTCATTCATCAGTAAAATATCTTTCTCATCGAGTAGTAGTGTTGATCTCTATGAGTGCACGAGCCCAAGAATATATGCGAAGGGTAAATCCAGCGAGACATGGATCATCTCCTCCTTTATTCGGAACATGATTTTTCGTAGATAGTTTTACCATAATGATTATGTTGATGCTCGTTGTAAATCCAACTGGGGTCTGAAATTCAAGAGGATCTAGCTTCTAGGAAGTTGGTGACCTTTTTGGTGTTCACATTCAGGCGGTACTGTGAGAGGGGTAAGTTTAGTGACGACTTGGTTTAGCTTGAAGGGACAGGCCCAGCCAGATGATTTTCGACTGATATCATCTGACGGGACGCCTAAGCTGCGGAGTTATGTATAAGGTTTGGTATGTATCGCCTGGGATATAAATGTTCCATGCTTGTGTCGGAAATGATATAATTGACTTGTGATTTATTTACCTGGATGCTGTAGCGATAGTGTATAGCATGACACAGAATTCATTAAATTTTTTGTACTTATGTCGGATCTATAATGTTATATCATATCTACTCACCTATGTAGATTATATATCCACCGCCAAAATAGACAGAACTGCGAATGTCCTATTAGATTCCACCCCCAACCAAACGAATCTGGGTAGTTCTGACAGATTTATATCTATTGAGGTAATAGACAACCGGTCTGAATCTGATTTGCTTGAGCACGACTCAGAGCCTCTCTGATATCTGTGGTGGGCCTGATCTTCGCGGATTTGATTGGTCCGTGCCCAGCTGACCTCGTAAAAAATAAGCTTTTAACCTTAAAATAAGTGGATTTCCGCTTTGGGTGAAGCCGCAAGAGTGGGGTCCTATGACTGTGCTAAGCCCTTTCCGGCGGAGACACTGGTATATCTCTGGGCGTACGTAACTTCCGATATATAATCCAACCTCTCTGGAGCTTCCTCAAACTATCCTCTCATTGATTGTCACTCTTTCTCGTCCAATTTGGCCGGTTCCTTACGCTCAACTCTCCCTTCTTGCAGTCGCTATGGTCCTATCGGGCACTCAGCTCGACGGCGTTGCCCTTGTTGTCGGTGTGAGCATTGGATGCCCCCTCCCGTCAGCAGAGTTAATATTCCAACACCGTCCAGTCCGGCCGCGGCATTGGTCAACAGACCGCCTTTACGCTCGCTGAAGCAGGCGCGCGCGTTGTCGTTTTCGCTGACAAGGACATCGACCCTGCGAAAGAGTCCGCCGAGGAAAGTAAACTCTACGCTACTCACCCTGAGTACCAGGCAACTCACTTCACGGTCAACGTAATCGACGAGCAGGGTGTACAGGAAATGGTGGATTTCGTAGTCAACAAGTTCGGTCGAATCGACTACGCAGTCAATGGAGCAGGGGTGGGTCAACATCCATCTGTACTTTCCTTACACCCAACCAACCAAACAACACAAACAGATCGACAGCGGCATCCACAAACCCATGGCCGACACAGACATCGAAAGCTACGACCGTATCCAGCAGATCAACTCCCGGGGCATGATGCTCTGCTGTCGTGCCGAGGCAGCCGCCATGCGCAAGCAATCCTCCCGGTCATTCACCACCCGCATTGGCACTAGGGATATTGGTCGCGGTGCGATTGTTAACATTGCCTCAGCGAATTCCTTTGTCGGACTTCTGGGAAAGGCATCGTATACTATTTCCAAGCATGCTTGTTTGGCGATTACTAAGATGACCGGTACGTTGTGAGTCGGGCTTCGCTCAAATGCTGTGGTATTGATGCTGTCTCAGGGCTTGATCATTCTCCTGAAGGCATTCGGTGTAATGCGGTGTGTCCTGCTTGGGTGCGCACCCCCATGTTGGATGCTGAGTTCGCGAAGAATCCTGAAGTGCGCGCGCAGATTGAGGCTATGTCGCCTCTTAAGAGGCCGGCGGAGTGTGATGAGGTGGCGGATACGGTTGTGTATTTGCTCAGTCCTTCGGCTAGTTTTATTAATGCTTCGCATGTGGTTATTGATGCTGCGTTGACTGCGACTGTGCGAATGCATTAGGGCCCTGGAGTTGAAATATTCACTTGGTGTTAGGTGATGTTTGAAATACTTCATTACCAGCTGAGAAATGGCTTGTAGATGTTCTTGGTGGCATACCTAGACCTCAGGAATTCGATCTATACTACAGTAATAGCTATTATACTCCGCGACCGCATGAGATGGGGAGTAGAGTGGGATAATTTCCACATATGAAAGTGTGGGCTTTTCTCTTTCAAGTCCTTTGTTAAATCCCGGAATACGCAGACTACCTCTGATACCTAGGCTTCTGACACTGTTCTCTGATTTTCCGAACAGAAGAAGTCTGGAGGAATTTTACCAGGAGATTCTGGGCGGGGGCACACCAAAACATACCATTCCGGCTGCTGAATAGCCTTGTCCGTACATCAGATTCGAGACTCATACGCTTATATCCACCACGATTATGTAGCCGAAAAGCATGTCTTTTTCCGTGTTTATTTCTGTACTAAGAATGTATAATGGCAAAGAAGCGGAGACGAAAATAACCAAAAATGGGAGTCGTGCGTGTTAGAGAAACACTCCTACGCACCAGAGCACCATAAAGCGAATAATGGACAGTATTCTAAGCACTGAGTATGACTCAATGATCGGACTTCGCCATTTTCATCAAGGAAGCTCTACCTCAGCTCATCACTTTGAGCTTTGATAAGACCATCGAGCTACGGGGATTTTACACCGGTCGACACATGAGAACATTTACAAGTCATCATGTAAGTCCGACCAACCCTGTTACTTCCGCCCATCTCTTCTAAGTTGGTTTTAATAGGGTTCTGTCTTGAGTGCTGCCATCACACCAGATTTCACGTGGCTTATCAGTGGCGATAAAAATGACGATATCTGTTTTTGGGACCCCAGTACTGGGATCCGACACTTGGTAATTGATTGTCTGGGGGTTCCTGAAGGCTCAGGTATGAAAATCACTACTTCTTTTTCAGACTGCATGGTTACTTAAATCTTTGAGTAGTCACGGTAATTCGTGCGTGTCGGCCGAACATTTTTGCTACAGTGGCAATTGATAACAGTGTGAGAATCTGGCAGTATGTTTCTACTATACTTATCCGTGGGATTGTTTAAATGCGTCTTGTTGCATATTAGTTCCTGACGGATTTCTCAGATACTTTACTGTCCATTGGTAGTATACTTCATGTGCCAGAAAAAACTCAATTCCATGGGCTATATGTGGTCCCAGATGGGAGATAGTTACTCACCAATATGCTACTTGATTTTCAATTCATCATTCGGTTCAACGGAATGCATGGCCCGAGACATTTCATTAGATGGCGGAATTTCTTAAGAATCAATACACAATAGCTTCGAGACCTACCACGCAAACTGGAATCTCATGATGTTCAACACCTACTACAGGGACTGCACGTATGATTTCGTGCAGCATCCAGCAGCCTGCCCTTCTCCGAGTAATCCATTATAAGAACTTGTCCTGGTTTCGCTCGTTTAATATGATTAGCATTAAAAGCCGCTACGATTGGCCAATGGCCTGACCTCGGACCAATCTGCTCCATCAGGAGGAGAGGCGGAGTAAATTACCACGAACCGACTCAGGGTCCAGGCGGGTGGATCCGCGCCCGGACCAGCCGCTTTCGGCCGGAATGTCCCGTGACCAGCCGATGACGATAAATTGCCATCGAGACCCTCATTTCGTCCCAAGCTTCTCGTGTCAACGTCAACTGCATCTTCCCGTGTCATCGCGGCATACTCCGTACAGCAATCACCTTACCACGACTCCCATCATGGCGTTCATCTACCAATATCGGGGCTTGCGGCGCTATGTAAACGAGCTGGTCGATGACGCGAGTCGCGTCCCGCGCGAAACATGCGCCACCGAACCCTCATCGGGGCAGCCCCATCAAACTTCCCCGAGTAAGATCACAGATCCCTCTCAGATCCCTGGCATTTCTTTGAAATCGGATTGTAACGGTGAAAAGTACTATGAGGTGTCCTGGGCCACGCCACACGATCCCTTCAACCCCCAACAATGGTCGACGGGCCGCCGAGTGTTCGCCACCATGTGCGTGTGCCTGATCGGTCTAGTTACCACCATGGCATCAGCCATCGATGCCGCCGTGCTCTCTGAAGCGTCCCGACACTTTGGGGTGGCACAGGTGGCCGAGTCACTGGCAACTGATCTTTACTTGATTGGCTTTGGTGTTGGTGCGCTTATCGCTAGCCCGATGTCTGAAATCGTAGGGCGGTTTCCGGTCTATATCGGCGCTCTGGTGATTTTCGGAGCTTGGATTCTGGGAGCGGCATTGGCTCCGAATTTCGGGGCGCAGCTGGCATTTCGATTCCTGGCTGGACTCTGTGGTTCGGCTCCGTTGACCGTGGCGGGTGGCTCCATCTCGGATATCTGGAATACTCTAGAGAAAACGTTCGGGTTTCCGATTTTTGCCATTCCGGGATTCGGAGGTCCTATTCTTGGTATGTTTGATCTGGAGTAACAGCTCTCGTCTATTGCTAGTCAGATGTAACATGCAAGACTGACATATCGGACCGTCAGGTCCCGTTGTGGGAGCATACATCGGATACAGTCGTCACATCAGCTGGAGATGGGCGGAATGGACTATGCTCATTCTCGATGGCTTAGTGATTGTCGTTATCTTTCTGTTCAAGCGTGAGACATTCGCCCCACAGCTTCTTTACTACAAGGCTAGATTCTTCCGCGAAGCGACCGGTGATGCGCGATTCAAAACGGCGCTGGGGGCCTCTGGAACGGGCAGTCTTTTGCCCGTGTTGGCGAGAAATTTCACTCGGCCTTGGCAGTTGCTAATGGAGCCAATTGTGATATTCTTCACCTTCTATCTGTCGATAGTCTACATTGTCCTCTTCACGTTCCTAGACGGGTAGGATCAGTCCCATGGTTCCCTGGACAGCCCACTAACTGAGCCAGATATGTTTATATATTCTCCGAGGTATATGGCATCAACGAAGGGTTGGCCAACATTTGCTTTGTTGGGCTTTTCATCGGCATTATCACGACCATGGTTCTCGTACCCATCCTCTATCGCAGAACAGCCAAGCAGTTACGGGAATCAGGCGACGATGGATCCGGTCGCATGCTAGACCGGGAATCACGACTGTTTTTCGCTCAAGTCGGAGCCCCTGCAATTCCCATTGGTCTTTTCTGGATGGGATGGACTGACTATGTACGTCTCCGGCTCCGTAAAGATATATCCACTAACCACTGCAGCCTTCCATCTCAATCTGGTCTCCCTTGGCCGCCTCGGTCGCCGTCGGCTTTGGAGTCATCTGCATTTTCCTCTCCGCATATATGTATATCATCGACTCATACCAGCAATATGCAGCGTCTGCGCTTACATTTGTCGCGCTGGTACGATACTTGGCTGCGGGTGGAATGACCGTTGTCGGAGTCCCGATGTATCAAAACCTTGGTACTCATTGGACCCTTACTGTGCTGGGGATCATCAGCGCTGTGGCGGCGCCCATTCCGTACGTGCTTACCTTTTGGGGGCCGTCTCTACGCAAGAGGAGCAAGTGGGCGACAGCAATGTCTTCGTGAGATTCACAGATGCACGAGGTAAATAGCCCCTTGGTCTATTCACAGTTATTGTCAGATATGGCATTGTATTTGGCCTGGTTTTCAATTACATACATACATGATACGAGGTGGGCCGTATTAGTGTTGAAAGGAAATCAGTGCGAAAGAGTTTCGAGTCTCTTATTTGGTACTTAGAGAGTGCTCATATAGGGTTGGAGTTCAACATATACAAATAGATTATTCTAGACGACACTATCAGGGTACAGCATCAGTTAACCTTATCCATTCAATTATTCCTGACCGTCACGAGACAGGTTAATTGATGTGATGGGATACCTCTCCCTTCCGCACTTATGTATTTGGTAATAGCGTTTGTATCAGCCTGCATGACCCATTCAGGTGGCCTTCGGTAAAATCCGATAGAAATGGAGGAAGCTACTAAAGGTACTCGGAGCCTTCACGGACACGCGGTGCCTACCACGTAAATTTCCTAAAAAGGAAACAAAAACTGTGGTTGTAGCCTAGCACGTGTAAATGTAGCGCCTTCCGTTTGAGAGACGCCGATATCTCATAGGATCCTGCATTTGATACATAACAGCCACCCACGATTGTCAAGTTAACTAGGATAGGTCCTCGAAAATATAAAGGTAGCCAAGTCTGACGGATGCTACTCATTTATTTACACTGGTATTCAATACGTCATCCGGAGCATCCGGCAACCGTGCAACATTAATTATCAAGTCTGCACGACAGTAAAACCATCGTTATGAGGATTGACAAACTTATCAAATCCATCAATTCTGTCACTGGAGATGAACTGAACAAAGTGGACTCGAAGCAACGGGAAGAGTTGTATAAAGCATGCAGTAAACTGCAGCGGATGTGTGAATCACCATCCGAAATGATATTCAAAATCTTGTTTACTGTATGTTTCTCCCTACAGATCCTGCGATGATACTAACAGTAGGACAGAGCTACCAAGCCATAGTTATGCGCTTGGCTATTGACCTCAATCTTTTCGATGTAGTATTACAGCGGACGGATGCGGATGCAACCAACGCCACAGACCGAGTCACTGTGAATCAGGTAGCCTGCGATACAAAGGCAGAAAATGCCTTTGTTGGTATGATCTCCATCCGTTCTAGTACATGCATATATCAACCATACTAACCTATACAGCCCGAATCATGCGTTTCCTATCTTCCATGGGAATGCTCAAGCAGCTCAGCAGAGATACCTTTACGAGAACTTCCTTGACAGAATCCTTCTGTTCCAACACATTTCTATCCCAAGCCATTATCCACTAGTACACCACCCCGCCCTATACCTCCAAACCACCAGCCACCAGCTAACATGCTACTAGCACCCACCTCCAAACCTTCATAACCGCCCTTCCAGAATACTTCAAGGCGACCGACTACAAAAACCCAAGTTACGAAAGCAGCGCGCCTTTCCAATTTGTCCTCAACCCCACGTTCAGCCACTACTCTCTATACCTCGCCAACAATCCCTACTACCAAAACGCTACCTCCACGGCCTTGACTCCATTCTGGAGCCTCTTCAACACCCCATGGTTTGAGATCTACCCTATTGACCGAATCCGCAATTCCCCCCCCTCCCCATTCAACAGAACCCTCTGGCCGGCCCTCATCTCCCACCCCAGCAAAAAACCCATGCCTCCTCCCCTTCCTCGCTCGAAAATCCTCCTCGTCGATATCGGCGGCGATGGCCAAACCCTTCAAGCACTACACGCCCGATACCCGCACCTCCCGGGCCCTCTCGTTCTTCAACACCCGCCGAACACCCTCGTTCCATCGCTCCAAGGCATCAGAACATATACATATAATTACTTCGCCCCGCAGCCCATCAAAGGGGCGAGGGTGTACGTGTTAAACAACATATTGCACGAATGGGCCGATGATCGGATATTCGGGATCTTAGAACAGGTGAAGAACGCCATGCGGAATGAGTCTGTGTTGTTGGTCGTGGAGAAGGTGATCCCGGACAAGGACGTGGGATTGATGGATCTGGTACAGGATTGGAGTGAGATGGTCTGTTATGCGAGACGGGAGAGAACGGAGGGGGAGTTTCGGGAGATTTTACGACGGGTGGGCTTTCGGGTGGGGGTTGCTTGGAAGGGGGATGCGGGGGTGGATGCGCGGTTGGGGATTTCGACTGGGATGAGGATGATGGTTTTGGAGGCGAAGTTGGCGGGGGTGGGTTTTCGGTAGAGTGTTTGGGTACTTTTGCGGACAGAGTTTTTCTCTTGTGATCATGGAGTTTTGTCTGGTTGGTTTGAGTGAATTATGTCTTAATCGATGCTGGGCTGTGTTATTTATATGCCGAGGATCAACTATGCTTCCATTGTAGGCAGGGAAGTTTCGCTGGGAATTAGACTCTGTCGCGTTTGTGGGTGATCTCATCTATAGTATCCCCTGAATTACATAACTGACTTGATGACCCTTCTGAATCTTCATAGGGGCACCAATATGAAGCATGCCGTCTCCTATATAGTTGTATCTTTTAACTCATTATCTCCATCCAATACCAACACAACATCACTCGTTGCATTATTTCTACCTTGAAAATGACCTGTTTTGAAAACAATACGTACGCTATGGCCTCGGTTAGCAAACCATCTCGAGAATCTACTTCTTTTCTATGCTACCGATGATGTTTATTTAGATCTTACTATTCACTACGTTAGAATGTATCAACCATTCTTCTGCCATTTCTCAAAATGCTATATTTTGACGCGAACTTTCTGGAAGAGCGTCTTGTATGCCTACCAAACAGTGCGCGTGTGCTTGCGGACTTGGCCTTAGGCAGCAGTGCTTTGTAAACCCCACAGAATGTAATTAACTAATTTGCAGCAGCTTCCTGAGTGAAATAAACTGCAACGCAATCAATTTGGGCTACTATGAGTTATTAAAAGTGTTTCCATATACGCATCCGCGTAATAAAACAGTATATGTTATTTCCTTGACTGCCCAACAGGTCGCAAAGCTGTCCCGTGACTGATATCGAGCACTAGCTCACGTGATAGACTCATATGCCTCAGGCACCACAGGCCGAGGTTGCCATCTGTTCACCATGTCCGATGGCTACAATATATGCTACTAGGTAATTATTCCATGGATTAGTGGACTGGTCTTTTTTCAAAAGGCTCAGCGATGTATTTGCTATTGAGAATATCCTACAGGCTACATCTGGAAGTTCGCGTGTTCTTGAAAAAACCGAACTCCCGGAGATAAAGTTCGGGGCGGGATCGGGGTCGGTGCGGGGAATCCAGCGGGATCGGTCTTCGGTCTACCGACCTTCTACTATAAAGCTGCCATGGGTTGCTCGTCATCGCTTTGACATCAATCTGACATCAAGCATCTCTACTCTTACAGTTGACCTTATATCACTTCGTTCAGCAGCAGTAACAGCTGTCAAAATGAGCGTCGCAGAACTTATCCACTCCATCAACTCGGTCACCACCAGCGGTGCACTGGAGATGGACGAACAGCAACGCGCCGAGCTAGCCAAGGCATGCAACAAGCTGCAAGAAATCTGTGAATCCCCACAGGAGAAAACATTCAAGCTTCTGCTTTCTGTATGTCCCCCTACCAAGCCTATCATGATACTAACGACAACAGGGCCACCAAAGCATAGTCCTTCGCCTGGCCATCGACCTCAAGCTCTTCGATGCGATCATGCATCGCTCCTCCGAGGATGAAACAGGCAAAGTCAACGTGAACCAGCTAGCCACCGATACCACTGCCGACCCAGCCCTAATTGGTACGCACCACCCTCCTACCACCATATCCCACCCTAACCCCAGCAGCCCGCATCATGCGTTTCCTCTCCGCCATGGACATCCTCACCCAACATACCAGCGACACATTCACCCCGACCCCATCAGCAGCAGCCTACGTCTCCACCTCGCATCTAGCCGCAGCTATCATCCATTTGTATGCCCCCTCCCCCTCCTCCCCCCCTTCTTCCTCTAAACAACCAACTAACCCCCCCAGCACCCACTTCCACACCATCCTCACGCACCTCCCCACCTACTTCACCCAAACCAACTACACCAACCCCACCTCCCCCACCAATACCCCCTTCCAATCCGCCCTCAGCACCACATCAAACTACTTCGAATACCTCGCCACAAAACCCTACTACCAATCCGCATTCAACACCGTCATGGCCTCGCCCTTCCGCCGCTCCAGTGCCCCGTGGTTCACTCTCCTCCCCTCAACCCATGATCTTTTTAACCCCACCTCCGCCTCCCCAAACGAAGTCCGACTAGTTGATATAGGCGGCTCGCATGGCTCGGATCTGCATACCTTTCAGCAAGCTTACCCGTCCCTTGCTGGTCGTCTTATCCTGCAGGATTTACCGCATGTTATTTCAGCTGGTATTATTCCGAATGGTATAGAACCCCAGGGATATGATTTCTTCACTGAGCAGCCGGTGAAAGGGGCGAGGTGTTATATGCTCCGGACAGTGTTGCATGATTGGCCGGATGTGCAGGCGGAGGTTATTCTGCAGAGGGTGAAAGATGCGATGACTACGGATTCAACCTTGTTGGTCGTGGAGAAAGTCCTACCTGAGACGGACGTCGGACTGTTAGCTGCGGTGGGGGATTGGAGTATGATGGTGAGTTTTGCGGGACGGGAGAGGACGGAGGTCGAGTGGAGAGGGTTGCTTGGTAAGGTGGGGTTGGGGGTGGTGGGGATTTACATGGGGAGTACTAGTGGCGGGGAGGGGATGGATTTGGCGGTTTTGGAGGCGAGGGTTTTGTAAAGGGGTTCTTGTTTGTGTGGATTGCTTTTGCTTTTTGAATTTATGTATTTTTCTGGTTGGATTACGGAGTAGTAATTGTGTGGAAATCTATCTACACTCTCTAGGCTGTCTTATATACTCGTACTAAAGTTGACACTTTTCTCTCCCCGCACCTCCACCCTACAGCTACAGGGTGTTAATTCTCCACCATCCGCGACATCCGCCTCAACGCCGGCCCATACCTCATGAACAAAAACGGCACGGGCACCAACACCGCCGCCACAGCGCCCACGATCGATACCGCGGGACCGATTCCCAACGCCTTGACCATCGGTTTCGCAGCCAAGGGCAACCCCGCTGCCATCAAACTTCTCAGAAACGTGACCGCGGCGGTCGCACTCGCGGCATAGATGCGATACACGTCGATTAGGAAATTCAAGCATTGTTGAAAGATACAATTAAATCCGACCCCGATGCAGAATGCTGCGAGCACGGGGAGAATCCAGTGGTAGGGTGGACTGGCGGTCCATGCGAACCAGAAGAGGCCTAGGACCAGGATGATCGAGCCGAATGCGATCGGGGGGAGACGGGCTTCTGGGACGGGGGCGCCGTTGGCGGCGGCGGAGATGCGGTTGTAGCGGAGTTGGTTGTAGATGTTTAGGCCGACGGAGGAGATGACGCCGACGAGGAGGGCGAGGAAAGGGAGGGAGGCTGGGACGGGGGACCAGTGACGGAGGGAGGCGAAGGCGATGGGGAAGAGTTCGAGGGTGAGATACATGACGGCGTAGACGAAGGCAGCGTAGAAGGCGATGGCGGTGACGATGGGTTCGGTGGTGAGCATGCGGAGGGGTCGGGCGAGTTGTTTGGTGAGGATGGAGTGGATGGAGAGGTGGAGGTGTTCGTGGGGATGCCAGTAGGAGGGGTTTTGGGTTTTGCGGAGGTGTTGGGCTTTGCGGGAGAGGAGGACGAGGGGGTAGAGTTCGGGGAGAAAGAAGTAGGCCATCAGGAAGGTGACGAACACCCAGATGGCGTGGATGTATTCGGTCCAGCGCCAGTTGAGGTGTGGGTTGGCCATGATGGCGGCGCTGATGAGGGGGCCGAGATCGGGCCCGCCGTTGACGGCAATGGCGTAGAGGCTGATGGCCGTGCCGCGGGTTTCTTTGCTCCACATGTCGCCGAGGGCGGCGGTTACGTTGCTGATGGGTGCGGAGCCGAAGAAGCCGGCGAAGAAGCGCGTGAGGAAGACGGAGGGGGCATTATGGCTGTTGGCGGTGCCGATGGCGAAGAGGGCTAGGCAGAATACTGCGGGGAGGATGCTGATGCGCCGACCCCAGACTTCGGAGATGGGGGCCCAGATGATCGGGCCGAGGACGAAGCCCACGCTGGGAGGGTTAGCTGCAGACTAGTGGGAGGAGAAGGGAACGGACATGTAGAGGGAGACATCGAGAACGGCGACTTCGCTGCTGACGCCAATATACTTGGCGATGGTGTCATCGGCGGAGGTGGTGATACTGGACCCTAAGCTGCCAGCCAGGGCGAGCATGCCTAGCTGGAAGGTGACCCACCATTTATACGCGACAGACCAATTTTGCGGATTCAAGGGATCGTCAACATCCCATTGGACTTGGTACTCGGGGTCGCGAGCGGGGGGTGGTTTTTCCAGATCCCCGGAGGTGTTGTTTTTGGGCCATATGCGGAGCATGGTGCGTGCTGCAGAAAAGAAAATTTGGGGTGGGGGTGAAGGGTTTATATGCAGATCGATTAGCATCCCCGAGGAGGTCGGGGCTGGCTCGGAGATGGTGTGCAGATCAATCAGTAGCCCCGAAGTCCGCACCTCTCGGCAGACTCCGGTGGGTGCGAATTGGTCGCATTGAAGCTGTACAGTGATAAGATTTGCAATGTGCAGCTGGGAGTGGTGGTGCAATCCGGAGTTTCAGTCTTGGCTCCAAGAATGGCCATTTTTCCCCTCGAGGATGGTGAAGCTGCGTTGACGTTTATTTTGTGGTGTGCGGAAATCTCCGCCGCTGCGCCGATAGCGGGGGTTCCCGGGTGGTAAGGCACATAGCCGACAGGGACTCGATAGCGACCATCCCTTGCGTCTTGGCATCGACCAGGGTCATAACAGTATGCCAAGTTAGTCCATATTCTCTGTATTCCCTCATGGATGTCTCAATTTATGTCGAACCTTGTATTATTCCCGTTTAAAATTGAACACCAGCGGGCTCACGTTGTTCCGTTCTGGAGGATAGCGAAAACGCTGTCCGACCTCGGACCAAATATGGCTAGCTCGTTTCGACTGAAAGGGTTTGATCTTAGCCTTTGCAGCATCGCAGTCGGCCACGTGTGCCTGGAATATTCTGGATGAATTCAGCGCGGGTGGGACCATCTTGGATGCCAAGGGTGGGCAAAAGCTTGTTTCCATCCCAGTTCTGCTCACGTGTTCCTGCAGCTTGTCGATTCGTTTTCAATGCAACACAATGCGTGCTTAGATACAATACAGGGGTACATATCATGTGACATATATGTGTCTCGCTATACCTCCGTCATCGCATTCGAATCAAAATGGTCGATCCGGTTGCCCCGCACTAAGACGGGTCCACACAACTGATCTTTTATCTTTTATCTCCTCCCCAAGACCGACCGAGACTCGACTTCATCCGACCGAGCCGGAGAACCACCATGACTGAATCAAGCACACACGCTGAAAATTCCTCCCAGGATGGTCTCAACCGCCAGTATAGCTGGTATGAGCCCGACTTGGCGCAGATCAAAGAGCCAGCGCGCACTATACTAGTCGAGTACAGCAAGATTCCAGAAGAGAAGATCATCGATCATGTCAAACAGGTGGTAAGTTGGCCTCTTCTGCTTTATTTCTGTGCTAAGTATCCATTTTGAATAGAGGGATCGCGCATTCGCGGTGGTACGTATACATAGTCCTGCCACGATTATCAACCCGTTTCTTACCAAACAGTTCCCATACCCCTGCATCGGCTCATTCCGGTTCCTCGACATAACCATCTCGAACTCCCCCGCATACCCCGAGATCATGTCCCGGTTGAAAGCCACCGACACCTACCTAGACTTAGGATGTGCCATGGGCCAAGATATCCGATACCTCGTACATCTTTCCTCCCCCCATCTCCTCCCCAGCCATCAAAATATTCTGATTCAGATGCAGATCTCCCAAGGCGCCCCCCAATCCCAAATCTACGGCTCGGACCTCCATCCCGAATTCATCTCCCTGGGATACGACCTCTTCGCCGACCGGACCATCCTCCACTGTCCATTCATCCCCAGCGACATTTTCGACGACAACAGCGAGCTCTTCCACCGGCTGGGCGGTAAAGTAGACATTATCAACGCAGCCTCCTTCTTCCATCTCTTCGATTGGGATGGGCAGGTCGCTACTGCTAAGCAGATCGTCAAGTTACTGAAGCCGAAGCCTGGGTCGATCGTGGTGGGTCGGCATGTGGGTGATTTCACGGCTGGGGAACGCGCAAAGGGGGATTCGGAGTTGAAAATGACCATGTATCGGCATGATTTGGAGTCGTGGAGGCGGATGTGGCAGCAGGTGGAGAGGGAGACGGGGACGCGGTGGGAGGTGGAGGTTACGGCGGAGGAATGGAAGGATGTGAGGAAGATTGCGCATAATGGGGATACGGCGTTTAAGATGCAGTTTGTTGTGAGGAGGGTGTAGTGATTCCGTGTGCAAGAAGGAGGATGGATGTTTATTTTGGGTGAGAAAGGAAGTCGTTGCAGCTAAGTGGGATAATTAAACAAGAAGTCAGGAAGAAGATGGAAAATAAAATAAAATAAAGAAATCGAGAAACAAAAAGAAAAAGAAGAGAGCAAAAATTAAAAAAAGAGGACCGGGTTATAGTAGAAAATATATTTCAAGTGTCTGAGAGACATAGTTGTGGTCACTTTTTAGATCTGTCTAGTCCTAGTTATACCTTTTCATCCGCTTCTTGTAAAGATCTGCAACAAAGGGTGCTTACCTGCAAGCTGCGACCACTCAAACAAAGTACCCCACATTAATTCCAATCCATTTAAACTCAATTCGAGATATACAACCTCCCACAGGGTCCTTATCTTATCGCCCCAAAGGTTAGTCCACAAGGTCCTTGATAAAGACAACAAAAGACAATTCTTCCTGCAGGATGTGTTCATCAACAGAATTTTTAAAATTTGGAAGCAGCTCCGAAAGTAATGTCGGTATCCAGCTTCCATGACAGTGAAAATGCGCACAAAGATGTCTTTCCAGTGCGGCGAATGTAAGTCTACCGGCAATCGACACGGAGCTTCGCTAACCCAACCACAGTGGAGATTTCCGAGTCCTTCCCCTCCTTGTCCTCGGCTTCGCTACCTATCAAATAGATCGTACCAATATCTCGAGCGCATTGACCGGGGGCTTCGCATCTGCCATTGGGGTAAACCAGAACACAATCAACCTGGGAAATCAGCTCATGTTTTTGGGGGTCATCGTTTTGGAAATTCCCTCGAATATGGTTCTTCAGCGGGTATGACCCCAATCTGCCCCGAAAGTATCCTAAAAATACTGATTATTCGCACAGGTCGGCCCCCGCCGCTGGATCAGCGCTCAAGTCTGCATCTTCGGCATCATCGCCGCCCTACAGATCTTCATTCGCAACCGGACTGGATTCCTCGTCACGCGATCCATCCTTGGTCTAGCAGAAGCGGGGTATATCCCTGCGGCCATGTACACGTTATCAACATGGTATACGAAAGAGGAATTGACGAAACGCATCGCGATATTCTTCTTTGGCATGTTCGGAGGATCTGCAGTTGCTCCGCTGATTGGGGCGGGACTGTTAAAGTTGGATGGAAAGGGAGGATTGCCGGGGTGGAAGTGGATATTCTTATGTGGGTTGAGCACATCTCCCAGGAAATGGTTTGATTGTACTGATAATATGCAGTGGAAGGATGCTGGGCCGTCCTCGTATCGATCCTCTTATTCGCCCTGCTTCCAGAGCACAAACAGCCCCCTCCCTCCGACGAAGAAGCGTCCAAATCTCACAAATGGAACGAATCCTCCAACTCCCGTATCCCCCTCTCAACCGTCTACAAAACCATAACCAATTACACCAAATACCCCCATTGGATCTCCACGGCCTGCGTCTTCTCCACCTGGAGTCCCCTCACAACTTACACCCCCAGCATAATCATGTCGCTGGGTTTCTCTCGCATTAACGCCAATGCCCTCACCGCAATCGGAAACCTGCTCACTCTTCCCGTGATATTCTTCTTTGCTTGGGTGAGCGATCGGACTCGTCAACGCGGTCTGACGGTTATGTGTGCGATAGGTTGCTATCTTATCGCGCTTATCCTCTTGAGATGTCTTGAATCGAAGGTAGGAAAATGGGGCCGCTTTGGTCTTTGGACGACGGTCAATGGGCTCGCCGTGGGATATCATCCGATTCAGAATGCTTGGATTCAAGTGAATTGTGGGAGTGCGGGGGAGAGGAGTGTTAGCGTTGCGTGAGTTTAATTCCTTTTCCTTTCTGAAGGAAGAGTCAAGGCTAATGGTGTTTAGGATGTGTATGTCGTGTTGCTTTATTCTTGGGGGGTTTATTGAATGCTAATGGCTGGTAGTTGTCATGTCTGCGACGGCGGGGCTTATGGCGGGCACGCAGATCTTTCGACATGATGATTCTGAGGATGGGTACGTCGTCTATACGAATTTGGAGTAAAGAACATACTGACTGGTGATTTAGGTATCCGCGGGGATTGCTGATCATGATTATCTTGGTGCTGGCGGGATTGGTCTTCGCGGGTGTGCAAAGTATGGTTTATCGTATTTTGAATCGCTCAAAGGGCGGTCAGGCTCAGGAGGCTTGAATCGAGGCTTTGAAATGTTCTTCGCCTAGCATGACGACTGATGACCGGGGTAGTGGTGCCTCAGGTGTTTATGTCTGGCGGGGGGAAGCTGTGCTACATTGTGCCAGGCAGCCATAATTCCAAGGAAATGAAAGGATAAATCCTGACTTAACCCTTCCCGTCATGTAATTATCTTGCTTCTGAGCGATCACTTCCTATCTCCTTTACCATGCTTTCATCGCATATCAGTGTGGATTGTTTTAAGGCGCTGAGAGCAATTCCATGATCTACTGCTATAGCTTTTATCTTGTTATGCGGAAGACTATCCAGCATCTTACCTGCGCTAAGCATCAAGTGTACTTTGGCCTCAGCTAGAAACAATGCGATACTAGAATAGGGGAAGTCGGCGAGGTGTGCCAAATAGCCCTTGCGGTACGTCTTCTTGCTTACAGGGTATAATGTGTTACCCAGAAACATCTGATACATACGACCACAGGGTGTGGAGAACAGGGCTTCCCGTCCGCTCAGCCGTACTTAAGCCACACGCCGGGAGGTTAGTAGTTGGGTGGGTGACCACCAGCGAATCCCTTCTGTTGTATGTTTTTGTTGATGCTTTTTTTAAAATTGCCGGGTGGTTAATCAGTGGATAATATGGACATCTTGACCGAGAAATTTCAATGTCCAAAAAAACATCCGGTACGGCACCCAGCACGGTAAGGAACGGGGCCCTGCCAGGCAGGCGGTGGCCTCCCCCGATCCACGCGGGGAGTCCCGCTCTGCCGCCGATGGCCCCTCCTTTTCTGCTTGCTCGATCCATTTCATCCATCTTCTCACAACAGCACTCGGTCATCTCATTTGGGTCCACCTACTCTCCACAGCAGTCATGCAACCAAGACCCGACCGTCGTACCGACCCTTTCGGTCCGGGTGCAGAGGCCTTTGACAATCATGGACCCCCTGATGAGATCGATGGTCTGGATTGGAACGACCCCGCTGCTTTCTTCAAAGCCATCGGTGCGGGCGGACCCGGTGCTCTCCCCCTCCCAGATATTCGATCCAAGGAGGACGTTCGTCGAGAGGCCACAACCTGGTCAGACAGTATCTTTACCTCCTACGAGACCCTCAACGCTATCTTACAACGTCATGAGGCCACAATTCAGAAGCGATGGTTGAAGAAGACTCGCACACAACGGCTCAAGGTCTTGCTGACTGCTTGGCCCAATATGGCGGCCACCCATCGCCCAGACTTCGATGCTTTCCGCAAGGAGTCGGAGTTCGAGCGTGAAAAAGGGACCAGATACCGGGATTGCTTCATGTGGCCCTATATCAATCAAGAGGATCTCCTAACCACCAAGACCCTACCCCTGTTACTGAATGCCAGAGGCCACCACCCGCCTTCGCACTTTGCTGCCGATGATATCGATGCCATGCATTTGGGCCTGGTAAGCAAAGCAATTGTGCCTATCTTTCTGAACGAACATGTGCTCATGCTGAATGGCATGACTGAAAACACCCGCGAGTATGGTCAGCTCGTGGCCTGGGAGGATCACCCAGACGCCTTCGACTGGATGCATAAACAGCAACAATTTCATCCTGGGGAGGGGCTAGTCGTCATGGAAGCACAGGCGCGACTTTTGACCTTTCTTGTTCAGTGTTCGCGGGAGATTCTTCGTGACATTCCAGAATCTAGTCTGACCAGTGATTCTTTCCCTATCCTTCCAGAGCCGCAACTGAAACCCGAAAGCGAGATCAGCGGCTTTGAATCGCTGGGTGTGATGGCTGCAGAAGCTCCATATCGCGTTCCGGCGCAGCTTGATCTCAGTCGCATTGCGTCGTTGCTCGCCGCAAGGGCGTCCGCTGCCGAGGACCACTTGTGGGCATTGCGGGAGGATCTTGATTATTTCGCCAAGACGCTGCTCGAAGCCAAGGAGCACCGTCAAGAGATGCTGAAGGATCTCCACGGCAAGAATCACCCGGTCTTGAGCTCTAGTCGGCAAGGGATCCTGTGGGGGCGCATCATTGGGTCTGTGGTCTCCGATGCATACCTCACGCTGGAGATGTTCTCCGAGCTCAGTACCCAAGCCAAAGAATTAGTGTCGTTGCAAAAGAAGTACGCTGACGACATCTCGCCGTCGGAGGATTTGCCCGAGAAGTATCTGGAGGCCTTGCTCCGATTCCGCCATTACCTCAACCAAGCGGCCAAGGGACCACTCTCGAAGCTTAAGATGACAGTTGTGGCAGCCCCGCCGATACGACAGCACTTTGCTCGCGAGCCACCCCCTGACACCCACACGACAAAGATGACAGTAGTCGAACGGCCTGGCTCGAAGATGAACAGCGTGGAAAGGCAATTAATCTCGCTGCTTCGCACCCTGTGGGAGGACGGCCATGAGTTGTTCTTGGCGGGTCTGTCTTTGACCGTAGACGAGCTGGAGCGACTGATTCAATCCCAGTCCGCTGCCCAGGAACTGCTTTCTTCGTATGTCGCTGGGGTGATCGGTGACCTTGCCATCATCTCCCAGTGCTTGAACCAGTTGAGCCTCTATCACCCATGGGCCAGAAGCTGGGAATCCGAGCTCGTTGGTCGCGAAGATAAATTGAAGCAGGGTTATGCGGAACGGACTCAGTCGTGGGCCCGGATTCTCGCCGCGCTCAATGTGGCCCTTCCCACGAATAACAACTCGAGTCGAGCGGCTAATCTCGGCGACCCATCCGATGGCAAATTCAAGTATCCCATCGAAAAGCGTCGCACTAAAGAGAACGTTGAGATACTGCGGAGGGCAGAAAGTCATCTAGACGCGTTCTGGGCGGCCATTGACCAAGTCATGGTCGCCAAAGCGGGTGACTTGCAGGGCACGGCGGTTCGGAACCTCCTCTCCCAGTCCCGCATCCTACAGCGAACGACAGAGTGGATCGAGCAGGAAAAGCCACAGGCGGCCATAATTTCTCAGGATAAGCTCGGCGAAATCAATCTTTACACCTTGAATCAGCCCTTGTCCCAAGTCTACTCTGGCCTTTCGGCTAGAACACTGGACACCGTACAGCCCAAGGCCAAGGTGAAAACCCGCGGAACGCCGCGACCTGGTCCCGCTCACGTCGATGAAGCTGAAGCGCTACTGCGGCCTAATCCTGCTGACCAGCAGCCTATCTTCACTGTGGATGCGCGTGCCTTCAAGGTCTTCCGGACCATTTTCTTCAACCCGGCACTCACATCCACGCCGGGCGAAGTACCGTGGAATGACTTTCTGCATGCAATGACTTCGGTCGGCTTTACGGTCATGAAGCTCTACGGCTCGGTGTGGCAATTCCAGCCAACCAAGTTGGATGTTGAGAGGAGCATTCAATTCCACGAACCCCATCCGCGGGGCAAGTTACCGTTTACAACTGCCCGGCGGTACGGTCGTAGGCTGCATCGGGCCTACGGTTGGTTTGGGGGGATGTTCGTCCTCGACAAGAAGCCGGATAACCCTGATCACTCTGCGATCATGTGATGTTCAAGCCCGCGAAGAGGTGATTGATAGTGGTCCTTTCCAGACCTAGGCAGGAGTCCTTATAAAATACCTGAGCTAGGATGTAGTCACAGATTGTGAATCATGTGGATTGATATGAAAAATGTACCAAACTGTCAATCTACTCGTGAATGTAGAATTCACATTTCATCCTTACCCATTCTTCTTTCCATCACTCTTCCGATCAGAGAAAATCTGGTCTCTATAACCCGGATGGTCAGCAGTCTCAGACCTAATCACTGTCCTTTTCTCTAGCCCGGCAAGAAGCGAGCATACATTCCGTAGCAAATATCTACATCCACTCTCCCTGCTCCACCCATATTTGATGCGCTATCTAGATATGTATTATAGAAGAATGTGCAAAAAGTAAAAACATACAACAGAAGGGATTCGCTGGTGGTCACCCACCCAACTACTAACCTCCCGGCGTGTGGCTTAAGTACGGCTGAGCGGACGGGAAGCCCTGTTCTCCACACCCTGTGGTCGTATGTACTATGCTTTTTAGTACTGTGGTTGATAAAGGCATTCGAGGAGGTCGGATTGAGACTTTGGGAGTTAACCTGCTCAAATACGAGATGACCATGGGTATGGCTGGATGATGATCTTGCTACTGGTCTAAAAGTATTTCTACTATGTCCTGGGGCTCCAAAGACCTGTTTCGTCTACATCTGAGTACACAGAGCGAAATTCACGATGGACAATCATATCCATGATCAATTTCATTTGTTTCGCTCATGGCAATTACCTTGGCAAGACAACATAACAGTAAACGACAGTGAAGTAATGAACGAACGTGTTGACAAGACAGTTACAAGACACCTCAGAGTAGACATCTACTCGCCCTTCTCCAACAGCGCGATGATTTCCAACTTGTTCAGCTTTCGCGCCAACTCGATAGGCGTGAGCCCTTTGGCATCTTTGGCATCTTTGACGCTCTGGTCGGCTCCTTTGCTGACCAAATACCGAACCACATCCACCTTGTCGAGTTCCACGGCCCGGTGCAGAGCGGTCCCGAGAGGCATAAAGCACTGCAACGAGAAAGTAGCATGATCAATGTGCATAGGAGCGTTGAGAGGGGCGCCCTTTTCCATGAGCAATTCCAAGACCTCAATGGTATCGGATTCCCGGCCCACTGCATAATGAAGCAGCTGACCATTTTGGAAGCTTTTGCAACGATCGACCATAAGACGAACGATGGACATGGGGGCACCCTCTACAGCCCAAGAGAGTGGGGTAACGTCCATCACAGTTCGCGCATTGGGGTCAGCCCCGTTATCAAGAAACCAAGTAGTCATCTCTTCGTCGTGTATGACACGACTGAACGGCGGTTAGAAGGACTGGTATCTCAGAGAGGGTTGATATTGACTCACCCTAGAGTGGGAGGCTGAGTTTCGCCCATTGGCTGATTTATATTCCAGCCTTTTTCAATCAACACAGCCAATGCTTTTTTGGATTTATGTGTGGCTGCGTCCCAGGCATAGACTGGACTCAGGGGGAAGTTTCGATGCAGAAGCTCTTTTACGACGGGCGCATTGTCTTGCTCGATGGCCTTGGTCATGACCCACCCAAAGTCATCTATGCTGAAGTCCTCCGAGAAAGAAGCTCCCCAGTCAAGCAGTTCTCGAAATTGATAGATATCACCACTGCAGCATAGCTCCCTCGCTTTCTCCAGGAGTTCCCGAGAGGTCCGAAGTGGAAACACATAACTCCAATCCCTGGACGGAGGAGGGACAAGACCTGGAACAGAAGGGGCATCCATTGCGGTGTTGGGTGCCAGAATAATGTTTACTTGAATGGGTAATGAACAGGTTTCTGAGGTGGTTCTGTGCAACCGCAGATTACTCACTCTGGCCCCGGCTGGGGGTGGGGGGGGGGTCCTTTTATACCATTGCCAAGGCTTGACACCCAAGGGCAACCCGGTACCTAACCAGCGCCCCTGTGCTACTGCCGGCACTGGGTACATGCATGTCTCGGAAGCCACCAACATGGCTGGCATCGTCCCTTTACTCTGCACTTTGTGCTGTCGACTTCCGTAACACTTCCGGGTCATTCCCTGCTCCGTTCATTTACTTCTGCAATCATCCATTGAACACAAGTAACCGCCCGGCGATGCGAGTTTTATTGACTATTTATGAGATTATAAGAAGCCAGACTTTGATCACGCTAGTGGTAGACACAACAGTGCGCTGGGTATTCACCAAAAACACACACATTCACAACCACTTCTTCGCAAATTCCCAACAATGTCTCAAGTTCAGAAAGGTCAGCTTATAAGATTGCTAGAAGCTTACCCAGCACAAGTCGTTATTGTCCCCATGGGTGAAGTCGCAGCCGTCTCTTTCCATGATACTGTAGCTATTGGCACCATGGGGCTTGGATCCTGCTCTGTGATTATCATTGCTTCTGCAGATGGCGCTATTCTCGCTCATATTCCCCCACGCCCGCCCACTGCACTCTTATCTGACGTCAATGCTGGCGACAATAATGTCCGCCGCATGACGCAGCGAGTGCCTGAGTTGTACAGACGTCATCGCAATGAGTATTTCTCCCGCCCAACCGACACGGTGATTGTGTGTGCGTTGTTTAGGGATGCAGTTGCCCTTCCTGACCAATTGAAGATTATGCGTACGGAGCTGGCGTCATTGGGTCCGGCTGTGATGACCTATAAAGTCCCTGGAAATCGCAGTAATCCGATTCGCTGCCCTTGGATTGCCTAATGACGGTCGCGCTCGAATTTACGTGGAGGACCAGCTGTATCGTCCTGGACAGGCTTCTTGAAATCCAGGCTAGACCTGTCTGGATACATAACGTTGGACAGTCGTCTATGATGAGACTCATGATGGCATTCCTTCTTTGCTTACACCTGTCACAGCTTATGTTTCATCTGCGGCTAGCGTCTTCCCTGTGCGGCTGAGGAATCGCGGCCTTCACCAATAAGATTTATATTGCTTCATGGTGCAGTTAGTAACGGGCGGCAGAATTCTGTGCAAAAATTGAACAAGAGACATCTTAGCACGTCTTAGTCTATGGATTTAACCCAGCTTGGGGGGTTGTAAAATCAGAAGGGAGTGCATGGTGGACCTGTCGATAGCCCTAGATAAGCACCACTTCAAAGCGCATGCAATGGTCTCTTTGCCCAACGACGAGAGAATACGCCCGCTCCTTAGTTGATTGACTCTGTAAGTCTTCATTATCAGGAGCCAAGCTTGATTGCGAATATGAATGTGGCCAATGCTGTCAAAGCTGCGCTAGGAACAATACGGTCGGCCATCTGGGAAAGAAAGGGCCCTTGTGGTGACGGAGATATTCTCGAATGTCTTGCCCTCTGGCCTTCATCCTCCTCTATCTATATCATTCCATTGTTGCCTCCAAACTTTGACACATCTTCAGCAATATAACAGCACCATACCCACCCGCAAATAGTGTCTGGGGAACTTAAAATCAAATGTGGGGCATCCTGCACGAAATTGCCAAGCCCGCCGGAAAACATAAGCGCTGCATACAACTGCCGGCAGCCGAACCACGCGCTAGTCGGATGCCCAGACGATCCGGTTCCGAGCACGTGGGTCGGGTCTAGAACCCCCGGATTACATACATGATCTATGGGCGATCTTTATAATCACTAATCAGGGGAGAATTGACTGAGCTCTATATAATGTAATCTAGACTACTCTATGAATTGGGTTGTATTTTGGTTTCTCGTTTCTCATTGTTATCGATAGAACAAAATTCTGGCCTACCGACATTCTTCATCAGTAACCCAAATATATACCACGAGAACCATGTCCGGCACGGAGTTATTCCCCGGCGACCCCTCCGACGTAATGGTCATCCGCCAAGTCACGGAAGACATCACCACCTTCAGCGTCCCATTTGCTCGATTCGGACTGTTAAAATTCGGTGGTCGAGGCACATTAAGTATCCCCCACCTTCCCTCCCCAACATTACCTCCCTACCCCCCAACTCCCCACTAACAACCCCCTCCAGTCCGTCTCAAAACCGGCAACCTCGCCATCTTCTCCCCCGTGGCCCTAACCCCGACCGTCCAAAACCTCCTCACCACCACCGGCACCGGCAAAATCACATACATAATCGCCCCCGACCTCGAACACCACATCTTCCTGTCTACCTGGAAGACTGCATTCCCCGACGCGGTGATCCTCGCCCCTGAGGGTCTGTACGAGAAACGTCAACGAGATCCAACCTCTTACCCCGACAACACACCATTCGAATTCATCTTCACGAAGGAGAATAAACAGACCCTGCACATTTCCGAGGAGTTTCATGACGATTTCGAGATCGAATACGTCGACGGACATAGTAATCGCGAGATAGTCCTCCTGCATAAAGAATCAAAGACGATGATTGAAGCGGATTTGTTGTTTAATTTACCCGCTACGGAGCAGTATGCGCGCTCGGGGGAGGGGGCGGGGCAGGGGTGGCTGAATCGGGCGTTTATGCCATTGGGGAGGTTGGGAACGGGGACGGGGACAGGGAGTGGTGGCTGGCAGGCGTGGTTTGTGTGGTGGGTATTAAGTAAGGGTGATAGGGAAAGTTTTGGACGTAGTGTGAGGAGAATCGCGTCGTGGGAGTTTGGGAGGGTCATTCCGTGTCATGGGGATGTGGTGGAGAGTGGTGGCGGGGAGGTGTTTCGGGGGGTGTTTGGGCGGTTTTTGTAGGGTTGAGGGGGGGTGTGGTTGGCTTTTAGAGTTGCTTTTGGATACTAGGAGGCGATAAGGGGAGTCGCTTTTAGGGTACAGGTGTTTTTAGCAGGGATTATGATTTGATTGGTCGTTTAGTTGTTGTGCGATCGTGTTTACTGTATCGAGAATTGCCCTACTGTGGACTATTTATGAGGAAGCCCTTCGGAAGAACCACTATATACATTATAACCGCTGACACTTTTCGTACCTCTAAGCATGGACATATTTCCACTATGTATAGATCAAGTCTACCCAAAGCAATAGACAGCATGAACTCGTGGACGCATGAGCAAGCGCCGATGTGGTGGCAGCTTGACTGGTACCTTCATACGATCTACGCCCAATCCTATAATTACAGTATTTTTATGACCTCACGTAGGAAAGTCTATCTGGAAGGCCGTATGGAGGAAGATATAGTAACCTCTTTTTTTAAAGCTAGTTTTAAACTATGCTAGGGCAAAGGAAAATATTTCCGCCCTTAGGTGTAAGGTACTATCACCAAAAAGTCCATAAATTACGCGTCACGTGTGTACGGCTTATGTTCCACCTTTGCGCCCCACCATTCCGCACCCTCCCACAGCGGCTGAGCAAGGATTCCCTAATGACAGATCATACTACCGAGTATTAGTAGGTAGGATAAAATTAAAGCAGTTAGGATCCAATATTTCATTCAGATCTCTGTGCTTGTTGGGTCTAACCGCCACGTAACTCGATAATGTATCACCATGCTTTTATATTATAGTACGGTCTGTACCGTGTTCCCGAACCTAAAGGCAACATCCTTGTCCGTTTCAGCAAAGGCAATTGGACAATGATAGAGAGCGTCTGGAAGCGCTCAGGCGCAAGACAAGACACAAGGCTGGAGCCAGCCTCGTCTCCTTACCCCTCTTCTTCTGTGCCCAACCCGTTCACCGTCACTTTGTCTGCACATTTTCTGCGACGTCTATCAGCCATCTTGCTCTTAATTGTTACTGTGGACCTATCTAAGCCTGCGTTAGACAACATCCCATTCCGCATTCAAATGGCGAGCAAAATCTGTTTATCGAATGATGACTATACAGTCGGATGGATCTGCGCCTTACCACCGGAAATGGCCGCCGCAAAGACAATGCTCGATGAGATCCACGGAGAGCCAACTGTGCAGTCTAATGACCACAACGCCTATATTTTCGGACGAATTGGAACACATAATGTTGTGGTCGCATGTCTACCAAGTGGACAATACGGAACGACATCCGCTGCTGTCGTAGCTATGCAGTTGTTGTCTAGTTTCCACTCGATTCGCTTCGGTCTTATGGTGGGAATCGGAGCTGGGGTTCCGAGTGAGGAGACAGACATTCGTCTTGGAGATGTGGCAGTCAGCGAGCCAACGGATACAAACGGAGGAGTGGTACAATATGATCTCGGCAAGGCGTTGGAAGGCGGCGAGTTTCAACGAACGGGCATGCTGAATCGTCCACCGCAGAGTCTGTTGACAGCGTTGTCGAAATTAAGGGCAAACCATCTCACGGAGGAAAGCCAAATGGCTAGTTTCCTGGCTGATATTGAACGCAAATTCCCGAAACGAGCGGCGAATTTCGCACGTCCGACGGAGGACGACAATCTGTTTCTCAGCAACTACAGCCACAATGGAAAGGGTACCAAAGCTTGCAATGCCTGTGATACGACTCAGACTGTCCGACGAGCCTCGCGAGACCACAGTGATCCGGTTATACATTACGGAGTGATTGCCTCAGCCAACCGAGTTGTGAAAGATAGTCAACTGCGCGACCAGCTTAGTCGTGAATTAGGTGCGATCTGCGTGGAAATGGAAGCTGCAGGGCTCATGAGCAACTATCCATGTATTGTGATACGTGGAATATGCGACTATGCGGACTCTCATAAGAATGGAGCATGGCAGGGATACGCTGCAGCAGTGGCAGCGGCATATGCGAAGGAACTTCTTCTGACGACATCCACGAGCCATATTGACCAAACATGTACTGCACGAGATCGACTGGCGACATCGGGTAAATATCCTACGTTGTCCTTTTTGTGTGCTAGTCTATATTAATACGGCTATACCCCTAGTCCAGGTCCACAATTTTCGAGTTCCGTTAGACCTTACTTCAGTGCCTGTGATTGAGAGTTTTTTAGGGCGACCAGATGAGCTGGAACAGCTATGGCACTATCTACAACCCGCACATGACCAGTCACGAAAGGTTGCTATTCTCCACGGTCTTGGAGGTATGGGCAAGACACAACTGGCGATTCGATTTGCACGAGAGCATAAGAACGATTTCACCGCTATCTTTTGGTTGAGTGGTAAAAGTCGAAGTGCGCTATTGCAGTCTCTGGGATCAGTGCTGGCCCGTATACCAGGGTATGCTGCTGATGGTGAAGCAACAAAGGATGAAGAGGTAGAGCAACGCGCTAGACAGGTACTCCAGTGGCTAGCTACGGAAGGGAACTCTCGTTGGCTCATGATCCTCGACAATGTTGACCACGAATACTTCAGCAAAGATCCCGATACATATGACCTGAGGGACTTTTTCCCCACAGCAGATCATGGTTCTATTCTGATCACCTCCCGACTTGCAAAACTAGCCGAGTTGGGAAGGTCCTTTCCTGTCGAGAGACTCGAACCGAAGGCAGCAATGCAGCTACTGCTCCAAAGTAGTGGCCTTTCGAGACGCGACAATATGACAGAGAAGGGGAAACATCCAGGTATTCGATGCTTGGATTCATTCCTTCGATAGTATACTGATGGAGACAGATATCGAACTCCTTGCCGATCGTCTAGATGGATTGCCATTGGCAATTGTCATTGCTGGCGCATTTATTCGTGAAACTGGGAGCAGTGTCACCGAGTATCTCCAATTTTACAACAATTCTTGGTATGAGTTGCAGTCAGCATCGAGCGTCGGCCACCAGTATCAGCAAGGCAATTTGATGCAAACCTGGATGGTATCGTACCGTGATATCCAGATGCGAGACCCAGATGCGGCAGAAGTGCTACTCCTAATCTCACATTTCGATAACCGAGATATCTGGTATGAATTGGTGAAGAGTGGCGGTCGCCATCCTAATGCCCCAGCTTGGCTGACTAGGGCGGTTTCAAGTGCACTGGCTTTCAAAGCCATCATGAGAACACTCATCGGATTCTCTTTGGTTGAAACCAGCCAACGAGATGGCAGCTATGCATTGCATCCGGTTGTACAAGACTGGTGTCTTGAAGTTTCTCGCAAAGGCAATGAAGAGAGCTTGACCTTATTCAGGGAACTAGCATTGCTATCTGTTGGTTACATGGCCATCGGTTTGGGTGACAAGCAGTTGCATAGGAATTACCGGAGGCTTTTATCACATGCCAAGTTTATCCACCACGAAGACCTGGAAAGTGAGCATCCGGCAATATTGAATGCACTACTGGGCCTAGGCCTTCTCCACTTTCATGTGGAGAACTGGAAGGAGGCAGAGTCAATGTATCAGCGAAGTTTACTGGGATTTGAGAAATTACCAGGTCCGTGTGACAAACTAAACCTCAATTATATCAAGAACTTTGTTCAGCGATATCCTTATAAGGACAGGCCGAAGGAGGCAGAATCAATATATCAACGGATTTTGCTGTGCGAAGAGAGATTACTGGGTCCAGATCACGTATCGACTCTTGCGACAGTCAATCACCTTGGCAACATCTATCTTAACCAGGGCAGATTGAGAGAAGCAGAACATATGTATCAACGGGCCCTAACAGGGTTTGAAAATTGGCTGGGTCAATGTGATGCGTCTGATAGTCGTGCGATGTACAGCCTAGCGGTGGCCTACAGGAAGCGAGGCGAGATAGAGAAAGCGAACGAATCGTATCGGCAAACACTCTTGGTCGAAAAAAGGGCACGAGGCCCGGCTCATATATCTTATCTCCACTGTGTCCGCGATCTCGCCACCTTCTATGCTGAACAGAATGACTTGGAAGGGGCAAAGGAATTGTTTCAACAGGCACTGACAGGGTATGACAATGCATTAGGTCCAGACCATACATATGTTCTTCACACCCTCGCAGACCTTGGAAAAATGTACAGGCATGAGGGCCAGCGAGAAAGAGCAGAAGAAATGTTTCGGCGAGCAATAACAGGATTTGAAAATATTTGTGGCCCAAATCATGAATCCACCTTGGAAGTCGTCAATAATCTGGGATATCTGTACCTGGATCAGGGGAAACTAAAGGATGCGGAAAAACTGCTTCAGCGAGTCTTAGACGGCAGAGAAAACGCGCTTGGTTCAAATAATCCGTCCACATCGCAAGCAGCCGCTACTCTTGCTTATGTCTACTGGGACCAGGGGAAGCTGCAAGAAGCCGAAGTGCTGTTTCAGCACGCCCTAGCAGGCAGGGAAAACGCTTTAGGGTCAAATAATCTATTGACCTTGAATTCAGCTCAAAACCTTGGTGTTGTCTACGCGGAGCAAGGGAAATTCCAAGAAGCAGAAATGATGCTTCAGCGAGCCCTTGCAGGCATAAAAGATCTTTTGGGCCCAAATCATACATATAGCTTGAGTGTAGCTAGGAGCCTGGGTCTTCTCTACATGGAACAAGGCAAGTTTGAGGAAGCGGGGGCGATCTGTCAAATTGATTCAGACACCAAGGAGAACAGGTCGAGCTCATACCAAACGAGCATCCAAGAAGGTGATCAGGTGGGAAGTGAAACAAGAGTCAGATCGACGGGACATCAAAGACTGGGAAAGGCCATCAAGGCTGTATTTAAACGGTAGTGTGTGGTTATTAGACAAGTATGTTGCGATTCGCAAGAGAAAGAAAAGGCATTCCGATTATACGACCTGGGCCATAGTAGAACAGAACTATATTCACATTCCTACGGTCGAATACTAACGGGGACCAACATAGCTTCAAATCAGCTCATTCCACTTTATAGTAAACGAATTGCGAAAGAAAAGCATCCAGCATAATGAATGGACTCATCAGGCACCCGAGGGGCCACACCTGCTCAGTTAAAATATCGGAATGTGATACGTAACACTGTACCTGGATATTAAACCGCTCGCATTAAAGTCCATGTATTTAGTGCGGGAATACTTTCTTCGGTCTATACCTACTGTTAATGAGTGTATCTGGGAACTTGAGCTTGGGAATACAGGTTTACAAATTCTGAATCTTCATACCGGCACTTCTCCATGATATGCTAAAATTCACACTGCCTTGCATGGTGAAGCTGTGCAGATATTAATCACCTGTCTCCCCCACCTCCCAGGTTCATTGCCGCGCTGACACACGCGAGGTGGCTAAATGCCTGAGGCATGTTGCCGATCTGCTCGCCGGAGGATGCCACCTCTTCAGAAAACATTCCCAGATGATTCGCAAAAGAGAGAATACTATCAAATTGCGAGGTGGCTGTCTTCCGCAGTTGCTGGAAGAATGGATCATGCGGGAGATATGATTTGGATCGTGCAGCCTATGAGATCGTTAGCCGGCTGGCTATAGTGACAATGAGGGAAACACGTACCCGCATCATGGCTTCGACGAGCCAGAAGGTCACCATGAGGAAAGCCCCTTCGTTTCCTCCGACGCCTAAGATGGTTAGTAGAAGGCAATGATAATAGGGGGAAATACCCACCGTCATCGACCTTTCCAGTATCATACCGCGACACCATATTGGCCACGCTTAATCCCCCCCGAGCGGGAACGTCGGTAATTTTCTGGATGGTACTCAACAGTCGGGGGTCATTGGGTACGATAAAAAATACCAACGGCGCAATCAGCACGGCGGCATCCATTGCATCCCGGTTCTCATAGCTCATGCAGAAGAACCCCTTCTCCGCATTGTATCCCTTGGTCATGATCTCGTCATAGAGGGCATCGCGTTCCTGCACCCATCGTGCTCGCTCCGGACAAGGCAGATTAGATCTTTTCTCCGCCAGCCGAACGCCACGGTCGAGTGCCACCCACAGCATGATCTTGGAGTAGACAAAGTTCTGTGGGGGTCCGCGCACTTCCCAGATTGACTGGTCCGGCTGATGGCGAATTTGGATCACAAAGTCAATCATGCGACGGATTGCCAGCCACTGGTCGTATGAGATGCCCACCGCATGTTTGTTGTAGAGGTAAATGCTGTCCATTAGTTCTCCGTAGATGTCCAGCTGGATATGCGTTGCTGCGCCATTTCCGATGCGGACCGGTCGGCTTCCCCGATAGCCCTCCAGATGGTCGAGTTCCATTTCGGGAATGTCAGTCTCACCATGAATTGTTACCATGATGGGTAAGAATGGATCTCCAGTCTTGGGTTTTTTATTCAGGGGTGGAAAGATGCGCTCGAAGATGAAGTTGATGTACGATTCGGCTTCTTCGGGGTAGCCGTTCTTCAAGAACACGTAGACGGTGAATGCAGCGTCGCGCACCCATGAGTATCGGTAATCCCAGTTGCGACTGCCACCGATATGTTCAGGCAGTGAAAAGGTGGGCGCCGCGACAATCGCTCCCGTGGGCTTGTAGGTCAGCAATTTCAACACGAGCAAACTGCGCTCTACCTGCTCGCGATAATGGCCACGAAAGGTGCATTTGCTGCTCCAATCCGACCAGAAATCGCCGGTTGTCCGCTCAATCTGCTGCAAATAAGGGGCGAGCAGTTGTACATCGGACGTAATGGATTCTTGATCATGTAGAAGCAGGGTAATGGACTGCCCCTCTTTCAAGGTGACCTTTCCGACCAAGCCCGGACCCAGGTGACCGGCACGTTCGGATAGTTCCAACTGGATGTTAAAATCGCCGGGGTCTGTGTGGAGATCTCCCTTATCTTCCAGAATCGTGACCTGTAGATTCTGAGCTGCCGCCTGGAAGTGATAGACCTGCAAGCCCTCCCCTGCAGTGGAGAAGGACGGATATGCCGTATGCGGATCCCGAGCGTAGTTGAATGCCGGGAAGAGCTCGATTTCGATCTCCATCTGTCCGCGCACGCATTCGGCCTTACGCACTAGGCCTGAATGACAGGCATGGTACTGACCAGGGACCTTGGGCTGATAGCATCGACACCACTCAGGCAGCCCCTTCTCCGAAATGTGGGGGTTGGGCTTTGCGATCGGAAAGTAATCCAAGATGTTCACGACTCCCTCTTCGTGGATCCAGCGAGTCTCCAGCATGTTAGTGTATGGACGATAGCGCTGCTTGCTCAGCGGATTCTTCAAGCTCCTGTGAGGAGTAATGGAAAAGTGGCCGCCTTTCTGCTTGTCGAGGATGCGGCAAAAGATGGAGGGCGAGTCGAAGACCGGCCAGCACATGGAGTCGACGCTGCCATTCTTGCTGACCAGGGCACAGGTGTGCATATCACCGACCAGGCCATAGTCTTCGAGGCCACAATATTCATTGACGGGGTCCATGGTGAGATGGATGGATGTGAGATGGAGGAAACATCTTCCTGTCAGCCGCGCTGGGCTCTTTGTACCTCTGACGTCATCCCCGCCAGCCAATCGGACCGCGCCGGTACATCAACCCCAACAACAGGGAAGTCTATCTTCCCATGAGTCTTGTGTGTTTGTTTTCCGTCGGCTCATGGTCAGTAGTGAAGATAGTGAGGTGGTCCAAATGTCAGCCCAACAAACGTAGGCGTCTCAATGCGGTAGCACCACGTGATATCTGCCTGAGGCACCTGGCGTCTACATCATCCATCCTTTCCACTGAAGTTTTCCCTTGTTTCCTACCATCAACTCATTTTTCATTCCCAGATATTTAAGCGCACTGCATTCCCTACAAACAGCATGGTGAACCGAACATATGACAATGGAACAAGCGCAATACCCAGAATGGAATCAATCGAATACATTTAAGCGTTGCCAATTACCGCTCCCGTGCTCATAAGCGAAGCAACTCACTCCAATACACCCAGTTCAAATCTTTATCATCTTCCAGTCCCAGTCCATCAGGATCGTCTGGGTTCGAAAAAGGAGGCAATTGTCCAGCAGATGGAAGAACGTTCTGTCTCACATCCCAGAGCGACTGGATATATCGCGGCGTGGTGTTGAGATTGCCGGCCTTCCATGCATCCAAGATCAAGTTTCCAAACATGACGAAAAACTCGTTCGTATCATTGATGAGTTCCGGATGATCGCTGTAGAGACTCTCGACCAGCTCCCAAGCCTGGGCTACCTGTTCTCCAGAAACCCGATGCCTTAATTCGCTGATGAGGTAGATATAGGCGTCCATATGAGCATTGGTGGTCATGTGGGCGAATAAATGGGGTGAAAATGAGCGGCACGTGCTCATCTCCGACATAGACGTGAGCCAGGTGAGCGCTGACTCGAATAGTACATCGCTTTCCTCCTGTGTTATGTAGACATCTGTCTCGTCCTTCGTTGCACGTCGGCGGGGATGGTAGATGTTGAAACGCAGGCGGAAGATTGACATTTTCGCAATATTGCATGTTAGTCGATGGAGCGGTATGCGTTCGTCTGAATGGCGAATGTACTTTTCGTGATATATAGCCTCGAGCTCATTGATAACCTTTTTTTGCAGATCAATCGACATCTTGCCTTTGGCATGGCCTCCAAGAACATCTTCAAAGAGCCTGGTCGCGTTGGGCGAGTAGCGGCACCAATTGGATACTTCGAGCTTTAACAAGACACACATCATCTCGGTAGGGCCGCTGTGCTCCAGAGGGGGCTCGGTCATTTCTGGATGCAAGTCCGCGTCGTTAACGTTGAGTGGGAGGCGGATGTCGCCCAGCTCAGATGGCGGTGGCGGCTTCTTGATACCCGGAGTGGATTCAATGCGACATCGGGCGTCAAGGCCACGCAACTGCCACCACAACCGGATGCGCATCTCCTTCTCGAAACAAGAGATATTTCGGTCGTGACTACTTAGGTGGAGACCCATCTTCTCAGCTATTCGAATGGCAGCGCCAGTCAGGGTGGTCGATAGCTCGGATCCTGGATTGGAGAAGAGAAATAGGACCAATGCTTGGAGAACTTCGAGGTCTCTTGTTGTGAGGAAGTCTGCTGCGACAAGGGCCCGAACAGTTGCGGCACGATATCGCCTGAGGAGACCCTCCCTGGTTTCGTCAAAGAAGGCCTGGCAGTCATTCGACGACATCGAGGTCACTGCTAGAGTATAGATGGCGAACAGAATGGCCGTCAAAGGCTTAGATGCGTTGGCAGGGTCCCAACTTGCATCCAAGACTTGCTGCTGCAGAGTGGGCACATGAACGATCTTCGTCATCGGATTGACTTTTTCAACAAAAATCTGCCAGAACCGGTAGATATGTCTCGGGTCAGGATGCAATTCATGAAGCTCGAGATGACCTTCTGAGACAATGAGTTGTAGAGATAGTGTAGGAGTCAGAAGAGGGTCGTCTTTGTGCCCCAGGGTCTGAATGGGAGGATACTGGAGCTTCGCGTCATAAAAAGTCAGCGTTCAAGTTTCAGGAAGATGATGGAAGCAACAAACCTCTGGCTTCAAAGTTGACCATAGACAGCTAAGCACGTGTCAGTGGTTAAGTCAGAGGGGCCTGCGTTCTCGGTAACCTCACAGCTCTTTGTTTACCTCCCTTCCCCCTGCATCGGTCGCGTCAAGCACGTCCACGTTGGTGTGGACCCAGGTATGAGTGTAAGACTCAAAGTCGATATTGTGCTCCCGCATGAGATCTTCATACCGTGCTATCCGGGCAAGAAGCTCTTCATCTGCAGCCCTTTTCCGGGGTCGATGAGGGGAGGGAGCTTCATAGAGACAACTTGCGTCCGCTTTGAGGCAATTGGAACAAGGATCACCCTTGTCGCATTTGACCTTGCGACGCGAACAGAGCGAACAAGCGAGCTTGTGTCTGCTTTTCTCCCGACGCTCTTTCGGGGGTGGAGGCAGAGACATGATGTGTGAATCAGCTAGAATGATGTGAGGTGGTTGAGTGAATGTCGGCCGAGCCAGGGGCACAGGTCGGGTGGCTCGGGTCCCAGAATGGTCTAGCTTCGGGAAGTCGAAGCCTGGTCGGCCGACGGGCTTCCAGTTTAGGGCATGCCGGCTGAAGCAATGCTCGGCCGCAGATGAATATTCTGCCATACTCTACAGCCTATATATTTGTTTATTTCTTCTGACTACGACAGATATAATGACTACCATTCTGGATTGTTTTGTGTGTGGGTTATTACGGTCTTCTGCTTTCCACGAAGTCTCCAGGACAACGACCTTTTACAACCCCTTCTACCAGGTCATGTCAACATGTCGGCTAATACTTCAAAACAGCTCCAAGAGAACGCCAGTCGAAGCAAATCCAATGTATTCACTTCCACCGACACGCAGTCAGAGGTTGTCTACCCATCGGGCCTCAAACTTGCGATGTTGATCGTGTCCATCTTCATAGGCATGTTCCTTGTGTCTTTGGTATGACGAAACCAACTGGGCTGGATGGCTGTGAGCTGACCCCTGCAGGATCGTCTCATTATTTCAACAGCCATACCACAGATCACTAATGAGTTTGATTCGGCGGATGATATTGGCTGGTACGGCACAGCATATCTGCTTACCAACTGTGCCTTCCAACTGTTGTTTGGAAAGCTATACCCTTCGTTCAGCATCAAGGTCATCTTCGTGTCATCAATTGTACTCTTTGAGGCCGGTTCAGCCGTTTGCGGAGCTGCACCTAGCTCAATTGCTTTTATCCTAGGTAGAGCCATTGCCGGTATAGGGGCTGGTGGCATCCTCTCGGGAGTGGTATGTTGCTCGTCTCGTATGCGCCAATAACTGTCACTTACGCAAGTTCCTCTTAGATGGTTATTATTGTCTATGCAGTTCCCCTTCATAAACGACCCAAGTATCAAGGGTTGTTTGGAGCGGTGTTTGGTATCGCTTCAGTTACCGGTCCTCTAATTGGTGGCGCCTTCACCACGAATGTCACCTGGAGGTGGTGCTTCTACATCAACCTTCCAGTCGGTGCAGTGGTCTTGGTGATTGTTTTCTTCCTACTCCATATTCCCGACGACCGACCCACCGCAAATGCTCCTTTGAAGGAGAAGCTACGACAACTGAACGCCCTGGGAATGGCTGTTTTGATTCCCGGGGTTGTTTGTCTGTGTCTGGCCCTGGAATGGGGTGGCACTACTTATCGCGTGAGTCTAGTTCGAACCTATCTCCATCCTCAGTCCCTGAACACAGACGTGTACTCACGACTCCAGTGGAGCAATGGTCGGATTATGGCACTACTTGTGCTAGCTTTTGTGCTTCTTATCGCCTTCGTCTTCATCCAAGTGTGGAAGCCTGAGCAGGCGACTCTTCCCGCAAAAATCTTCACCCAGCGCAGCATTGCGTGCGGCTTTTGGGTGAGCTCCTGTCAGGGTGCACACATGATGTTACTAGGTACGTCGCCTTGCCTGGAGGTAGCGTAGCTAGTAGTTTATTAATCTCCACACAGTATACTACCTTCCCATCTGGTTTCAGGCCATCAAGGGTGTCTCCGCAGTCAGTAGCGGTATCCACCTCCTTCCCATGGTGATACCCTTAGTTACCGCATCCATTCTCACAGGCCAACTCATTTCCCGGATCGGATATTACACGCCGTTCCTAATCTTCGGTGTGTGTCTTACATCGATAGGCGCCGGTCTACTGACCACGCTGAACCCAACTACATCCCCGGGTAAATGGATCGGCTTTCAGATCATATATGGCTACGGCCTAGGCTCGTCTTCTCAGGCTCCCAACATGGCCGCACAGACCGTTCTGCCACGAAAGGACGTCGCAATTGGAGCCTCGCTCATGTTCTTCGGTCAACAGCTCTTTGGGGCAGTCTTTACTTCTGTCAGTCAGAACATCATCTCCAATCAACTGTCTGGGCGACTCTCCGACATCCCAGGTATCGGTATTACTCCAGAGATGGTTCAAAGAACGGGCGCAACCGAGATCCTTAGCCTTATACCCGAGCAATATCATGCCGTTGCTTTGCAAGCCTATAATGATTCACTCCGCAAGTGCTTTCAGGTTGGTGTTATTATGGCATGCCTCGCTACCATAGGTGCATTTGGTATGGAATGGCGCAGTGTCAAGAAGAAGACTCCCCCTAGCAAATTTGAAGTGGCGAGGACTGTTGAAGAGGCAGGCGAAAAAGGCAATTTCGATGACAAAGTGGGCAAGGCCTAGGCCTAGCACACTCAACCTTCAGTTACCGCGGAGAATGTGGACGTCCAAACGGAGACTTCGGAAAAGGCGTCCCCGAAGATGGCCACTTGAGCAAGCCATGACCCCCGGGCTTGATAATAGGAATACTCGTTTGCCAAAGAAAACCGCCTAAGATTGGCGAATTCATTGACCTCGATGGTCTTGACGCAGTCGGCTTAGTCACAGATAGGAGAGGCAAGGATGTAATGCTTATGTACGATATACCAAGACAAATCTCCATCCATTTTTTTAAGTCTTAGATATATTGTCTAACCATGGTCAAAGGCTGCGTTCACCGCCTAGGTGGGCCTCCGGAATCTCCTCGTTTCCGATACTTCCGTCTGCTCGGGATGCCGAGCATGATTTGCGCCACATTGAAATTTCTGCAGGCTGATGAATAAATGGCATGTCAGTTCACGTTCGTACTTGAAGTGCTCAGTTGAAAAGGACTGCAACAATGTCGACTATACTGGTTACAGGGAGTTCCCGGGGCCTTGGCCTTGAGCTGGTGAAGCAAATGGCTTCACAAACTTCGGAGACACTCGTCATCGCAGCTGCACGAAGATGTAGCCCAGCCCTCGACGAGGTTATCGCAAACGCAGGTGGGCGCGTGTCGTTTGTGCCCCTGGATATTTCTGATCTGGTGAGTATCACCCGGTCCGTCCAGCTAGTCAAATCAGCCCTCGACCAGCGGAGCCTGGATATTCTTATCAACTGTGCCGGTGTACATTCGGAAACCCACGGTGGCGTAGCCCTCATGTGAGTTATTTCAACCCGGAAAGAAGACAATGATACTCACCACAGACTAGGTCTGACCTTGAGTATCAACTATCGGTGAATGTGTTGGGTGCCCACAATGTGATTCGGTCGTTCCTTCCCCTGATGGAAGGTGGAGAAGTGAAGAAGATCATCAACATGTGAGATGCTCTCATGTTTCAAATCGCCTAGCTCAAGCGAAGGCTGACTCTCCCGGTTATGTTTCAGTTCGACTGCCTATGCATCCATGACTCGAGCCGCAGAAGTAACCTACGCGCCTTGCCCGGCCTACAAGATCAGCAAAGCGGCACTTAATGCCCTGACTGTGCAGTATGCCATGTCCTACCAGGATCAAGGCTACATCTTTCTGGCCATCAGCCCAGGGGTAAGTACCCTGCCTAAGCCCGCTCACCGATTTGTTTTGACCATCGCACAGTGGCTACGAACGGACATGGGTGGTACGAATGCTGACCTCACGGTCGAAGAGGGAGCCAAGGCTGTTGTGAACGCCGTGATGTCTGCGGATAAGGAATGCAATGGGCGGTTCCAGAATATCCATGTGCCGGGATGGAAGGGTTACGATGGACAGGACATTCCGTGGTGACCGCGCCAGGCTCTTTTGGCTCGGAAGTCCGATCGCTTTGGGCAGGTGGGTCCGTTGCTGATTACATCAGCAGAAGACCGCTGCCGCCATCGATCGACCACGATTTCTTCCCACGCTTCACAAATTCGGTCCTTCATAACTTGTATACATTCCTTCGTAAACTTGGCACGATTAGTGGCCATATGCTGTATCATTGCCGAGACCGAGGTTAAGATGTCCGACGGTCTGAATGCTGAGGAAATCCTGCCAGCTGTGAGTCTTCCGCGACTCCCGGGCCCACTCGCTAATGCCGGGGTAGTGTGATTTGTGCCATTCCAGAAAGGTGAGTCATATGGATTATCTTTTTCCATTATATCCGAGGCCGGTATGGTGATTTACTGACACTGTGAATAGGTAAAATGCGATAGACGTAGCCATTGCGCCAATTGCAGAGATGTGGGTGTCGAATGTCAACGGCTTCGCGTGAGACCATCCAGGAAGAGGCCGTTTCCAGCGTCAGTGAGCATCTGGGTTTCTCCGTGTTGGAACTTGGGATTCTGGCTGACGGGCTCTGTGCCAGCCATCTAAACCGTGAAGAGAAAGTACTAAACTTGGAAGCGACGGCAAGTCCGGCAAACAGGTACTTCTACCTCCCCTCAAACAAGGCCTAAGGATTCTAATTAGACGCCTCTAAAGAGACAGTTATTGCAACCAAGCATTCAACACAGATGGTATAATGGAGGATCGACCCTCAAGGCGCCAGCGAACGGACGGTCACAGTGAATGGGGAGTAACCCCAGATAGCATTGGTACTCCAGGCACCGACGCTGGGGGCTCCAACTACCATGCAATTCAGGCAAAGTCTGTGATCGAGCTGGAGCTCGGCGATTGCAGGCATATTAGCAAGGAGCAGCAGTCCATTCTCAATTCTGCACTTCAATTGGTCAGCCAGCTTGCAGAGAAGGAACCTGTAGAGGCAGAGGGCTGTCTAGGAGCCGATGGTTTTACTGAAGATCCCACTCTTAGCGTCCCGGAGAGTCCGCCCCCAGAGCTACTGTTCATGCTCCTCCGAGGTACGTATCTCGTATCTTATTTCACACCTTGACTAAGCCAAATCAGTTCCGTCTGATAATTCAGATCTGCGATGGCCTGATCATATATCCAACAAGACGTTTGAGAAAATGGCAACCGCGTTGATGAACGGAGATTGTCGCGGGAAACTATTTCATCAATATTGTGTCTGCATCTACGTCAGAGCACTCTGCCATTTGTATTCCCTTTCCAGGGTTGCTGCCAACGCCACCGTGAAGAACCAGCTATATCGATCGAGGAAAGTGTACGTAGCTGCTACTCTTCGGAGTATCAAGCAGTTCGACATTTTAACACCACCGAGCCTCCCATCTATACAGTCTTTGATATCAGCTGTAAGTTACGACAACTTGCTCTGCCCTTGATAAACTGACTATCGATCAAGGCACTCTTTATGCAACACCTCGGGGAAATCAACCAATGCTGGACGGTGAACTCGTATGCCGCTCGTCAAATCGCAGCCCTTGGCTACCAGAAGGTCCACAACGTTTCCAATCGCTCCGACACTGATCAGGAGATACATAGTGCGGTATACTGGTGCTATTATATTGATAGGACCCTGAGCGCGCTGCTGTTCCGGCCGCCATCCTTTCCTGATATGGCTATCTCACCAACAGAACTTATCGTGCTGGACACATCATCACCCTACGGTCCTTTGATCCGATTACTTCTGGATCTCTCACAAATCCAAGGTCGACTGCTCGCAATCCAGTTTCAAAATACATCTCAGACTCACGTACTGGATGACTGCCGTCGTTTACGGGAGAAAATGGAAGACATTCTTCCTCACTTACAATCCGTATGCTTGATGCTCCTAATACTCCAATCACTCAAGGCTAATCAAGACCGCCAGAGCCGAAAATCGGTCCCTAAGGCTATCCAACACGATTGGATAGCTACCGACTTTTGCTATTATGCCATTCTCGTGGAGATCCATCGTACTCGCCTACGGTGCTCTTTCACACCGCTAGTTCATAAAGAATGTCTTGCCTGCGCGCGACGATCCCTAGAGGCATTCCGATTCCTTCTCCAACATCCAGCAGAGATGCCCGGATTCAACGATCCTTATCCGACATTTCTCACCTGGTAAGCCCCGTGTTCTATTAACCTGACCCAGTAATAACCAATACCAAGGACACTCTTCCTCTACCCCCTCACCCCATTCTTCGTTCTCTTCTGCCACATAATCGGGTCACTAGATCAACGTGACTTTGATCTCGTTCAGGATATTACCAGATTCCTATCACGCTTCAAGGGACATCCACATCTGGAGAAAGTCCTCAGACTGCTAACATCTCTGGAACAACTGTGCGAGCCGTTGTTCCAGGGCCGTGTGGACGGAGCATCTACCCGACCGTTGGACAGACCTTTGGCGTTGTCCGTACCTGAAACAAACAACACCAGTGAAGTTTTTCCTTCTGGGGTAGAGCCAATGATGGGGGGCTTTACTGGTGGTGATATGCATCCCAGGAATATAGGCATAGCACATGCCGAGCTCGGCCCAACCGCCGATTGGCTGACATGGCAGATGTTTGATAGTCAGTTGCCGTCGGGATGGCTGAATGTAGATATGGGTTTGTATGGCCTTAATGGATAGTCTACGGTGATCAACAGAAGACGGTAAGACGCGCTTTAGGCCTTTCTTTTAGTTTCCACTTCAGTGTTCGCATCAGGTGTTAATGAATCTCACCTCCATTTTGAACGACATAGGAATACAACGATCTATTTACAACCAGGAACACAAAACATTTCAAACAACCATCCCTTCAGCCCCTTTAAGCAACCACCGGAATATCAAGCAACTTCCGTAGCCATCCCAACCTCGCCGCCCTCGCCTTCCGACTAACGTCCGCCTCAGGCACAAACACATCAAACCCATGCCAACTCCCTGGCCAAACATGCAGCTCAGTCGCGACCCCATCCCTCCACAACGCCTTCGCATACTCCAAATCCTGATCGCGAAACACATCCGCCTCGCCCACATCAATAAACGTCGCGGGCAACCCCTTGAAACTCTTCGCCCGCAACGGCACCGTATACATATCCGCAAACTCTCTCTCCACTCCAAACGCAAAATCACTCGCCTGCGCCGCATCCGCCTTGGTCAACGGCGCAATATCCCCAAACTGCTCCATCGAGCCCCACTCCACCCCATCATCCACCCACGGATACATCAACACCTGCCCACAAATCTCCGGCCCCGCCCGATCCCTCGCCAGCAAGGTCACCCCGGCGGCCAAATTCCCCCCCGCCGACCCACCACACACCACCAACTTGGCCGGATTAAACCCCAACTCCGCGGCATGTCCACTCATCCACTCCAACGCCGCATAACTATCCTCCAACTGCGCCGGCTGGGGATGTTCCGGCGCGAGCCGATACTCGGCCGTCATGCACACCGCCCCCAGCGCCTCAACCCATTCCAGCACCGTGAAGCCCATGAATCGGTTGCCCGTGGAGTGGCCCCCGCCGTGCATGTGCAGGATGCCAGGCGTGGCGGAGACATCGTGCGGGGCGTTCTTGGGCCGGAAGATGGTGGCGCGGAGAGGGCCGGCGGGGCCGGGGATGTCCACTTCGGTGTAGCTGATGGTGGATTCTTTGCCTTTGATGGTGTTTTCTAGCGTGAAGAGCGTGGAGAGGAATTCCCGGTAGGTGGTGCGTTTTTCGGCCGTGCTGATGTCCATGGTTGGGATGGTGCTGTGGGTGGCGGCGAGGTCGGGGTTGAGGGGGGGACGGGGGATAGTAGAAGACATGGTGGTTGATTGTTTTTGGTTTCTTTGGAAATGACGATGGTTAGGATGCGTGTTTGTTATTCCCGGAGATGGAATCTGAATTTGTCTTGCTGTTGGAAAGAAAATAATCATCTGCCCTCTCCCCTTTATATAATCCATAATACGGAGTATATCTCTCCACGGTGATATTCTCCCTCCCATCGGAACCTCCATTCCTCCGCACCCCACTAATGTCTCCGAACCAATAACCCGAGACTCTGGATGCCTGCTTATGAAATCCACCCGATCTCTCCGTCGGGGTAATCAGAAGACATTTCCCCCGAGCTAACCGTCTCCGGAAAGGCGTCGGGGTGATTCTTATTAATTATGTGGCTCGCGGGTACTTATCTGGCTTCTGATTGGGTGGAGTGGTTTTAAGGTCTCGGCTTCCCGGGCGGGACGGGATTGGGGTTTGGAAAGGGAAATCCGGTCGGTGATTACGATTGGCGGGGGAGTTGGTGGTGGGTGGATTTGTAAGGTTGGTTATGTGGGGGGTTAGGAATGTAGAGGAAGGTTCTACTCCGTACCCAATCTACGCCTACTAGTTCAGTGATGCATTGTCCCGGATGAATAATAGGAACGGATGATCGTCCATTTGAATATTCTTGGGGTCGGTGTCTCTACAACTTCTATAAGAACGAGACATACTTCCTACTTATAGAGGGAACAGGGACGTTGAAGGGGATATTTAGGATGGAGGCTTGTTGACTTTCCTAGATGCTATCGCCCTAATCATATATATTGGAGGAGCTTGTTCAGGGAAACCGAGGTTGTCCTTATTTGCCTTTGTTTGACATTGTTCATCGATTGGAGAAAGATTTTTGTTAGAAACCATCTGCCGAGTTTGTGCCTGCTCTTGCGGATGCTGGGCCAGGTGGTTTGTGCTTATTGTCCTGTATTCAGGTGTCAGCTTTGGATTTTGAATGTCCTTTGTCTATTCGTTTTTTGAGGCCTACCCTACGCTTCTGATTTTGTTTGGTATGGCACTATAGGGGGGTTATTCGAATATATAGTGCCACCCTATCAGCAATAGAAGAATTGATCTCACCAGTGCGGGAGTTTAGTCCTGCCTGGTCTGCAATAACACGCATCCGGTCTTATAACATCAATCCAGGCATGATGAACCAGATGTGAAATCACATCAGAGCCGAATGATATCGCATGGCTTGGTAAAGACGGAGCCCCTGCTGGAGTCCCGGTATGCAGCAATTCTTTCTAATAGCAGCCAGGCGTACTTTTGGGATCGTGGCTGTAGAAATGTAGATATCCTTTCTCGGTTTTTGTCGAATGCTCTTAAATGCATGGGTTCGTGATGCTGGATTAACGAAGTAATCTGGGTAAGGGACCAGTGTATCCACTGGGACGTGTATATAATTGTCGAAGACCATGCCATGGGCTGTTTTATTCAAAGCAAGGAAACGGTTTAACATATTCGTAAATTATTGGATCCTGGGGTTGGCCATGTATTCATAGTCGATGCTAATGGTGTTGTTTATGAAACAAGATTAATGATGCCAGGTCTGGGATGTGCCGTACTATATCTTTCCCGTTGATTTCGTGACGTTTGGATGGCATCTGCCCTAGTGAGCATGTATCGTATGAAGCGCACATGCTGCAGGAGACTCTGTTCTTATTGTGAGGCAGTAGTCTATATCTGGTCGTAAAGGAGAGGTCAACCTATGGGAAGAAAAGGAAGGGGCTTAGAGAAAGTGTTATGTATGTCTCTAGGGGCTGCTCAGGCTACTAGATCGGGATAGTGGAACGTGCCCTTTGTAGTTAGAGGTCCAATGTAAAGGTGCGGACTAATTCGAGAATTTTTTGCATGATGTAGAATTATTTGCATCATCTGCTTAACCACAGTGTACTATGAAATTTTTTTTTTAAAAAAAATCTCTTATGAACAAACAATGCCATGCGTTTGTATTGAAGCTTCCGGGCAAGAGAGAATGAGGAAGGACGATAAGATAAAAAAAGTTGGGGTGAGGCAGATTTTGAATAGGATACAGGGACTAGTGACTGAATAGCGGTTGAATGCATCTTGTCCATCACAGACTTTTGTGAGACTATACTCTTTGATCCCTTAAAGCGAGTGCCGCACCCTAGGGAATGTGGGGTGTGAAGAACTAGGGTCTCAAATATTAGTCAATAGCTTACAGTGCTTTAGGAATATGACGAAGCTGATGCAGACATAAAATCGTCTTATCATGATGCCAGTTCAGCACCATGAAGGTGACTACCACATGCACCTGAGTGAGATCCGGGATAATTCTGGTGTGCGAATGCATGTCTGCCCGAACAACTGGACCGGGCTAGATAGTGCCCCAAAATCGAAAATATGAGCACACTAGCCATGCAGCGTGCCATGGAATCATCCAATCAGTCAGTTTCCAAGGTAGTGCTGCTGAATTGTCTTACTCTATCGCACCATGCGCTATTTGAATATATATTTTGGTACCCGCTCTAGGAGACGCCTGCTTTGAGAGTTATTATCCCCAGGTGATACATTACCAAATAAGATGTCGTCCGTTGAAGCTGGACTAGCGCTTGGAGGCACCGTCAACTCGGTCAGTTCAGCGCTCTCTATGAGTGCCGTGTGCTGATTTTGGCAAGGTGGCTGCGCTCGGCTTCGTCCCTGTTGCGATTCATTTCCGCCTCTTCGACATTCTGACGAGGTTCGAGAGGCCGGCTCATTCGGAAGAAGTCCTTGCTCTATATCACAAGGACATGAAATCTGGCGATCACGAGCCATGTACGTGACACCGCCGTTGAGCTCATATCTCCGTTGACACATCATTCTGTAGGTTTGGCTTTGGTTGGTGGGTATATCGTTAGACCATTGAAACCTTCTATTATAGCTGATCTAGACACCTCCAGCGGATACACTCTTCGCCATGGCCTGCCTGGGCTTCATTGACCAAGTGGACAAGTTATACCAAGCAAATGCGATCACCAAGCACCTCGAAGCAACTCCCTCTGCCTTGCACGGGGCACTTCACCTGTTAGTCCAGGCGACTTTCTCATCTCTCCTGTCATCCATTGATATCGTATAGTACAACAGAAGTTCTATTCGCATCCGCCTTCCTTATGCGAAAGCTCCAAGCCGACAACTTCAAATACCCCTTCCAAGAAAAGGATACCCCTTTCCAATACGCCTATCAATGCATCGGCAGACCCGACCTAGCCAACCAACACACCTACTCCATCATGGCATCCGAAGGTCGTATGGATAGCTTCAACACCTTCATGCAAGGCAAATACATCAAGACAAGCAGCGCCCCCGAACGCTTCGCTGCACTAGGGTACGATCTCCAATCTGTTCTTAACGCAGCTGGCGGCTCCGTCCCCTCAACGATGGTCGATATTGGCGGTGGTCGCGGAGAGCTCCTTCTCGAGATCAAGGATGCGTTTCCCCAACTGCAAGAATCAGATCTCGTGGTGCAGGAGTTTAACGGGGATATTGGAGATATTCCGGGCGTCACGCTCTCCACGTGGAATTCCAAAGAAGGGAATAGTCCACAGCCTATCAAGGGGGCATTGGTCTATCATCTGTCGCATGTGTTGCATAATCTGTCAGATTTAGAGTCTGCGCGGTTACTGCAGAAGGTGGCAGAGGCGATGGCGCCGTATTCACGGCTTTTGATTCACGAGTTTGCGAAACATGCTGATCTGGGAAACCTCCATCCGTTGATGATTGTGTTGCATGCCGGTCGGGAGAGGAGCCAGGAGGAGTGGGCGCAGTTGGCTGCGTTGGCGGGGTTGAGGATTACATTTGAAGCGTATCCTAAAGCTGGGGAGGGCTTGATTGAGATGCGGAAGATTTGATTACTCTTTGATGTATGCGATTGATGCTTAAGCGCCTGCTCTATGCTTGCAGCAAATGAAATGTTACCTAGGGCACGTACTAGTAAGGGTACGGCGATATCGTCCTGCTACTATGAGAATGGGCTATTGATGATAATGTTCAAAGATAAAAGGTTATCGAAAGCGTTAAGGCTTAGTCTACTGGCAAGACGAGTCGACTACGAGAAGCACAACGCCCTCATTTGGGCAGAATGCCTTACCTTGATTACCCCGGCAACGGGCACCAATGCTCGTGCCCCAATGACTAGGCAGCAACAACAGGCCATCTACTAAACCCAAGTAATACCTTACCTATTCAAAAGCATCATCTGCAACGAAACAATGAAGAGATCAAACGAAATCATGTCCTCCATCCCTCCTCCTCCTCCCCCATCAACCAGCCAAACCACCCCGTATCCCCCCCACCCGACCCCCCAACTCCCTCCTACTCGAACTCCACATCTTCAACGGCCACCCCTTCAATGACCACTGGGCATACTGGATCCCCTCCCCGGGAGACCCCAACATTGGCGTCAAGATCCACGCAACCGGGGACGTGCGGAACGGCTTTATCTTTGAGATCAAACGCAGTCATGACCTCCGCACCAGTCCTGATATACCTACCAAGCGAATCCCGTTGCAGTGGTTGGATTGGCAGTATGTTGATGAGAAAGTGATGTTTAATGATGGGGTTGAGAATATTGATAGCACTCCGGTGTGCGGGTTTGAGGAGAGGTTGTATAAAGTGGAGGTGCCGGAGAAGACGTTGAATAGTGTTGGGGATGGTGGGGAGGGAAGAGCTGTTGGGAGGAGGATCGTGCAGAGGGATTGCCAGACGTGGATTGTGGAGTCTGCGGAGCAGTTGGTGAGGGAGGGGATTTTGGGGAGGGAGGTGGGGGAGTTTCTTCGGCGGATTGAGCAGTGATTTGGATGTTGGTGTCTATGCTCCGGATTAATGTTTGATGTGTGTGTATGGTACTGTACACGCTGCGTCCTGTTGAAGGTGCTTATTCTGAGTGTGGAATGACCAGAGACCATGAAGCGGATTGAGGTATTGCCTGGCTTGAACGATATGAATCGTAAGAAAGGAATCTATGTAGTTAGGGTTATTGATTTCTTGAATACTGAAATATTCGAGATAGATGTGAAAACAGGCGATTGTCTAATGATATGGATCCAGTACTCATTCCCAGGCATCTAAGCAACCTGGTTATTATATATCCCCAGCACCATCATTTCCATCCCAATTTGTATTAGCCGTTCAGCTATCTATGCAACTCATCGATTTGCGAACTACCAGGTCCTTTCTGGCCAATAGTCAGTCCTTGTATGTCAGCGTGGAGAAATTCCAGATGCAATGAGACAACGCTACCCTGCGTTGAGGTGGGGCGCTCATTCTACGACTAGATTATAGCGTTGCCCGTTTAATGCATATGTTCATCATGGGATATCATCGGTTTCAGATATTGATACGATACATGGGTGGTGATGGCGGGGATGAACTTTGAAGTCTCCCGTCACTTGCCCTAGTGTATTTCCACCTCCGCCCACCCAACGTGGTATAACCACGGAATAGTCTGGGAGCTAATATAAGTGTAATGACAAAGTTGTATCAGGAGATATGAAAAAAAAAAGAAATACATACAACAGAAGGGATTCGCTGGTGGTCACCCACCCAACTACTAACCTCCCGGCGTGTGGCTTAAGTACGGCTGAGCGGACGGGAAGCCCTGTTTTCCACACCCTGTGGTCGTATGTATCATGCTTCTACTTGGAAGGACTTATATAGGGCACAGGTCTTATCTGTAATCGATGAGTGGGATATAGACGCCTGCAATGGCGTGAGCCTGACGCAGCAAGTCGGGTCGCCAGCTCAGCGTTGCTGCATATGCGCCTTCCCCGCCATAGCGCAAGTCAGTTCCCTCCAATTAAACCACCTCTCCACCGACGGGATGCTCCTGTGCTACATCCCTGTCAACTCGCGCTGCAAAGCCCTCAGCCTTGTGTGCTACTGACGTGTCCGCGCGGGGTCACTCGAGGCAACCATCAGTTCCATCTGTTGGGTTCCATTGATGCCCATCGCATTTTACCTACAATCATAGGATGGATCCCTAGAAAATATTTCAACCGCACTTCTCATCTTCTAAATATTCTCCCAGGTTAACGGAGGGCTATACCCACACATTCGCATATCCTCACAACGGGCGAATTCAATACCCACATCTTTCCCTACTTCAACCGTCAACATGAAGAAAGACAAGAAAAAGAAATCGAAACAAACAGTTATGACTGACGAGCTCGAACTGCCACCACCGTCCCCTATGCCCTCGGTCAATGAATATCATCAACCCCCAACCAGGTGACGCTATCATCCTGTCTAAAAATACTTCGCCACTAACGGATTTCCTAAAGCCCTTACTCCACAGCTATTGTACAGGTTATTATCGGCGGTAACGTCTACGGCGTCCCGGAGTACTACCTGCGTCCATACCCGCGACTGAATCCTTCCTACTCCTGGCATCGTCCCAGTCTCGACGACATCAACCCAGATATCGGACACACTCTAATCCACTTCCTCTATACCGGCACCTACCAAACCATTGCACCGTCCACCAATGACCCATACTGTAATCCTCGAAGTCGGGAATTCGAATGCAGCGTATACGCCTACCAGGCCGCACGACGATATGAAATCACCGGACTAGAAGATATTGCGAGGGAATACATGTGTACTTTCGATGACTCGGTAACGACACTCGAAATCCTGAACATCGCGCGCAAGGTGTATACGACTCTTCCGAGTGAAGATGCTTGGTTTGAGACCTTCGTTCGCGATAAACTCGTTTCTGCGTTTGAATTGGATGCATTGCAGTTTAGGAAGGATGTTGCGCAGTATGGCGTCGGCACTGATGTCAAATTCGACCAGTTCTTGGTGGCGGCAGTCATGGAGATATACTCTCAGAGGATAGCCACGTTGGAGGATGCTGTTAACAGTAAGGTCGAGGATGATCACGTTGAAGAGGTTCATGAGGTGGCTGTTGAGGTCCCTGAGGCTGTTCCGGTAGAGGAGCCTTATGAGGAACCCCCGCCTGTATCCCCTGTCCCTTTTTCCCCTGTCCCTTTTTCCCCTGTCCTTGATCAACCTTATCAACCTCCAGCATCATCGTTCTCCTCTCCTCGACCCGTGAGGGAGCAAAGTCCTGGATATGAACCACTTGAACCGACATCGGAACCAGAGCCTGAGCCTGAGCCAGCGCCGATATATAAGGCAGATCTCCCGCCTGAGCCTGAGCCTGTATACGATGCAGAACCCGAACCTCAAGCAGAAGCACTCCATGAGCCAGAACCTGAATTCGGTTATGAAGCCGACCCTGAGCCTGAACCTGAGATTGAACCTCCCGAGATACCAGACAGTCCTCTCTACTCCAACTGGCATACGCTCTCATCCAAAGATCGGAAGAAACGAGAGAAGATGTTGGTGAAGAAAGGGCTTCCTATCCCTGGTAAGGATTTTGAATTGGCACTACCAGAAGCTGAACCCCCGATGGAACCTGAGCCGGTACTCGAAATACCCGAAGAGGCTGAGCCAGAGCTCCCACCGACATACGAGCCAGAAGAGGCTCAAGAGCCTGTACTTGAGCCACAGCCTCAGCCCCAGGAGGATGATGGGTGGTTTTAGCCAGTGCCAACATCGAAAGAGAAGCCTAAGAGGTTCCTTGGGAGGTCGATAGCCCCCAGTATTGCATAGGCTCCATCAGATACTCTCGTCCAACTTTCATGATTGCCTCGATATAGCGGTTTTTGCTCTGAGATAGGTTGAAGTGATAAGATATTGTCTTGCGTTTAAACAATTTATCATCGGTTATTCTTCTGGACTACCCAATGCGATGGACACTTACTCCGCCATGGTTGTTCGGCACAGGAGAAAATTGTTCAAGAATTTCGGGAGTTGGCCTTGAGTCGGTATTTGAAGATAGTCCGGGGTTCATCGGTAATTAATGTGGTTCCAAAAAGTAAGATGGGGATTCTGGGCTCGAAATGGCAGTTTCTTTCTGTGCTTTTGTAGGAGGTTTAGATAACCAATGCCCCAGGCATGAACTGTCACGGAACTCCAACCCCGGGATCATATGCGGGGTTGCAGTCTTTATTCATACTTTAATGCGCTCCTCTCTTCTAAGGAAATGATTTACAATCCTTCCTTGTAGCCCTTTTTCCCCCTTAAAGGGGCTGCATTAGCGTTAAATCAAGCTTCGAATGGCCCGTATAAAGGAACTTTGTATATACTCACCAAATCTTTCTTTTCTTAGCAGCGCTTCGCTTCGTACCCACTGCCACCTCCTCTCCCAAACCCAACCCCTAAACCCCACCAAAATGCGCAAAATCGCCAAACTCGCCGCCGACGCCTCCTGCCGGTGCTACCCCTTCCATCCACCCGACCTCCAATCCAAAATCGCCCTCTTCTTTACCTACTTCTTCACGATCGACGATCTAATTCGTGATTTTCCTACCGAAGCGCAGAATTTCCGACGAGATGTCCTACAACAGAAACCGCTATCTCCGGTGTTTGAATCCTGCAGAGAGCGGCTCATAGATCTAGATGGATACTACGACCCCTACAGCGCAGATATGGTATCTAAATCCGTTCCTCGAGTTCGTTAGTGCTACGGTGTTGGAATCTGATACCGATGGGAACATACACCTACGCGCCACTAGTGACAAGTTTCCGGATTAACTTTCGCTTCAAGACCGGGTTACCTGAAGCTCTTATCTATCTCCTTGCACCGAGGAGTGTCTTTGGGGCAGAATCTACCCGGTACCTCGTACAACTTGCACCTGAGTTAGCAGTAATCATCAACGGGATCAACGATATCCTGTCGTTTTATAAGGAGGTGATGGTGGCTCAGGAGCCGGTGAATTTCGTGCAGCATTTTGCAATGGTGAAGGGGGAGTCGGTGGTGGAGGCGTTGGAGGGCGTGGTGGAGAGGGTGGTGGGGTGTTTGGGGAACGGGAGGAGGGTGGTGGCGGGGTGGCCGCTGCTCCGGGGGTATGTGGAGGCGTTTGTATAGGGGGCGGTGGTGTTTCGTTTTGTGCAGGCCAGGTATCGCTTGGAGGAGTTGGGGTTGGGGGATTTGTTGGGGTGAGTAGAGTTGGTTGTGGGGGGTGAGGGGATATATATTCATGACTCAGGATGAGTGATCGGCTTGGTGAAATTAGAAGATGGATTCAGAATTAGGTAGAAGTATGCTGTCTCTAGTATTAGAGTACCTTGCTGCTTAGATGTCATAGACAAAGGTTGTAATACATCATTTTCTAATTTTATAGGTTTGATACTTGGCTTGGGTCTAGGTACCATCGTCCGCCGTACCCAGGGGTGTCTTGAGGTAGATCGACTGACATAGTGAGCGTTAGCGGTAGGGTGACCCCCACGCGCAGCAACAGCATTAGTATTCAACTTCTAAGTGCTATACACCCCCAGGAGAATTAAAAACTCTCTAATCCAAAAGGAAAAAATAAACTCGCCTATCCTTTGTGATAGGTCTGGGTTGCAACCCAGAAAAATTAAAAACAATGACCAGACTGGGGCTCGATCCCAGGACCTTATCGGTGTTAACGATACGTGATAACCAACTACACCATCCGGCCAATTGATGAAGAGAACATGTCTAGTTTGAAGCTACTTGTCAAGAGCATTTTCCTGACACTGCAAGTCATTAGCACACAGCGAAAAATATGGCCGGAAATACTAACCATCTGCCAATACATCCCCTTACTCCGCAACAACTCATGATGCGAGCCCTGCTCAATAATACGCGATCCATTCCCAACCTGGCTTTCGCCAAAGACGAAAATCGTGTCTGCCTTTTGAATGGTGGCCAGCCGATGCGCGACCGCCACAATCGTGATACTTCTTTTCGCGGCCAAGCGCTCGAGGGCGGCTTGCACCACCTTTTCGGATTGTGAATCAAGACTTGATGTTGCCTCATCCAGTAGAAGCAGCGATGGCTTGCGCAACAGCGCCCGTGCGATGCAAAGTCGTTGGCGTTGGCCTCCACTGAGCGATGCCTGGGCTTTCAACCCGAGGTCAGTTGAGTATCCTTCTGGGAGGGAAGTGATAAAGTCGTGGATCTCTGCATCCTGGCATGATTGAATGAGATCACCCTCAGTGAATTCCGAGTTGTCGAGTCCGAGGGTGATGTTGTCGCGAATGGTCCCTTCGAACAGTCGGGGCTCCTGAGCGACCAGCGACATTGAGCGGCGATAGTAGGAAGCTTCGATCGAATGGATATCTTGGCCGTTAACAAGAATAGTTCCTTTCGAAGGGTTGTAGAACCTCTCGAGCAACGATATCACGGTTGTTTTTCCACAACCAGACGGCCCAACAAAAGCAACAAACTGGCCACTTTCGATCTTGAGATTGAGGCCCGTGAAAAGTGATGTGTCCTGGGAGGGATACCTAAATGCCAAGTCGTTTAGTTCAATGCTGGCTCCAGATCCTGATTGCAAGGATCCTGGTTTCATTGCGCCCAGGCTAGCGATCTCTCGTTCGGCTCGACTCGGCCGGAGGTCCAACATACGGTTTGCGGATGCAGTTGCTTGCGCAATGTTGGATCCAAAACTGAAGAATTGACCAGCAGACTGACCACCCTGGATGATTGCCATGTAAATCACGAAGAAGGATGTTGGCTGATATTCTCTAGATGCGAGCAGTTGACCACCGTACCTTGGACAGTCAATCGAATGTCACACATACAATGAGGGCATCATACCAGAACGTGAGGGCCATAGCACAGAGCTCAACACTGTCGGAAAAGGCAAAGATAAGTGTGGCATACCATGCCTTCCGGAAAGCTTTGTATTGCTGCTGCTGTAAAAGCCCAGAATATCGATCCAGGATGAAATTCTCCATTGTCAATGCGGAAACAGTTCGAAAGGCGTCTATGGCCTCGGCCGCGAACTGCGAACTTCCCGAGTATACCTCCGCATTCATTGCCTCGAATTGCATTTCATATCGTATACGCATGAATGCCGCGAGAAACGTACATGGCAGTGCTGCGAATACTGCAACAAGACTGAGTTTCCAGCCGAATACAAAGGCGATTATGATGCAGCCAAGCATGCTGAATATCGATATCATCGGGAATGCACCATTGATTCCGATAAGATCTTGAACCTGCTTCGGATCTGTGGCTAACCGAGAAACAAGGGACCCAGAGGCGTTTTCAATTCTGTCGTGAAACGGTATCGGCTTGTTGGCGATGTTGTGAAAGTACTCCGTTCTGCATGCAGATGAGATTTCCTAGATCTGTCAGCTTCAATTGAACAATGCCAATAAGAAGTATGAAATGGATATAGGCAAAGACGGAGGCGAGGTGAAGAAATAAGAAGGAAAGAAGCTAGGATCGATCATGTCTTACCACGGAGAATCTATTGGCGGCATATCCCACCGTTCCGTAACAAACAGCGGTTCCTAGGGCCAGAATGAAGAACATCAATGCCCAGAAGTTGGCTGCGTGGACCAGCCTCTGACCGGTATACTGAAACACCTCAATAAGCTTTGCGAACAACCAACTCTGCAGTGGGAACACAGCTATCAACGGTCCTTAGCCAAGATGTATCATACCAGGAAGTCAGAGTAGAGTTCTTACCTCCAGCGCCAGCTGCACCCATCAGGGCGGGAAGATAAAACCGCCAATGAGCGCGCTGCTCATATAAGAACAGCCCTATGCTGCCAAAAAAGCTTCGGCCTTTCTTGCATGGCTCCTTATCGTCCTGTCTATACTGGCTCGTGTCATCCACCGGCTTGAGCTCTTCCATGAGTGCTTCGGTGACGTCACTGGTGCCTGTCTCATCATCCTCCAGAAGGTGCAGTTTCTGAGCATTGACAAGGTTGTAGTAAACTCCATCCTCCATGGCCAGAAGCTCCTCATGCGTGCCTTGCTCGATGTCCACACCGCCTTTCATAACAATAATACGATCCGCCTTTCGAATGGTGGATAATCGGTGCGCGATGACAATAGTCGTCCGACTTTCCGAGAGCCGGTCAAGGGCTGCCTGGACAATCTTTTCGCCGCGTACGTCGATCGCGCTAGTTGCCTCGTCCAATATCAGAATAGTCGGCTGCTTCACAATACTCCGGGCTATAGCAAGGCGTTGCCTTTGGCCACCACTCAATTTGGTGCCGTTCTCCCCAACCATCGTGTCATAACCCTGGATGTGTCATTTATGATCATGCAGCGAGCGGGCAACATTCACATACCTCTGGTAGACGCCGAATAAACTCATCCGCGAAAGCTTCTCTGCATGCGTTCTCGATGAGCTTTCTCTTGATTTCATCGGGCTCATGTTCCCGTTCCGTACCAACCAACCCAAAGGAAATATTATTGAAGATGGTGTCGTTGAACAGAACAGGTTCTTGTTGTACAAGGCCCACTTGTGACCTCCACCATTTCAGGTCCAGGTCATTGATGTTATGTTCACCCACGAAGATGGCATCTTGATCATCTCCGCTAGTGCTTAGCTGATACCATCGCTCCAGGAGCGCGACAATCGTACTTTTCCCCGAGCCGGACGGGCCTACTAGCGCCGTCGTTTTCCCTTGTTCAAATCGAAGATTCAGCCCTCGTAAGGCCTTTATATCCGGCCGCGAAGGATAGGAAAAATGGACATCTTTGAAAACGATGTCCGCCTGAGCCGAGACATCTGGATGACAAAGACCGCTGGTGTCGATCTTCTCGGAGTCCAGCATCTCGAAAAACGAGCCTGCGGCACTAGCAGCCTTGGTCACGATCATCATGGGCGAAACGATGTTTCCGAAAACGCTGACCGCAATCATGATGGAAAAGAATACCCTATGGGTCATTAGCATGCACAGCAGGGCATCCTGGATATACTCACGTGATTACAGTGTTGATATTGGCTATGTGACCCTCGCGGTATAGTTTCAGTCCAAACCAGAACGCCAACGAATAGCTGGAGTTCATAGCGAAGAAGATCAAGCCGAATTGGGCTCCGATAAAGAGGGACATGTCTCGCCCTCGCTTACGCGCCTCTTCGATCCAAAGGGCGTATTTCGTGGCGAGGCGCCCTTCCGCACCAAGAGATACAACTGTTCGCATGGAGGTAAGCACTTCTGCTGCGATGGACGAATGTTTCTCATCTGCCTTGTCAACACCTTGTTGGGCCTTTGTGATAAGGGGAAGCGTCACACTGGCAACCACCAAGATAAACAGAAGCGCAGCACTGGTGACAAGAGTAAGAGCCCACGAATACTTGAAGGCGATGATGTAGGCTGTGATCAATAAAGCGAGTGATTGGAACAGAATAGCCAACTTATCCGAAATACTCTGCTGGATCGAATTCGAGAGCGTGGTGATGGTGTTGGTGACTGTGCCGACCGAGACTTGATCCAGCCTGCTGATTGGCTGGGCGAAAAGCGTGCGCATATATTCCTGCCGCAAAGTCGCTGAAACACGAAGGCCAATAACACGGAAACAGTACTAACTATTGTGAGTGATTATTCAGCGCGATGAGCGTGTAGCTTACCATTGCAAAATATGTCAAAGTGAATTTTCCGATGAAGAGATAGACGATGTATAAGCTACTGAAAGTCAGTTTAGGAGCACAATGTGTTTTCTTGGAACCCCTACCTTAGTCTGCTTACTGATGATTTGAATTCTGATTCTGTGACAGTTGTCCCTTCCGAGAAGTACCCATTGAATGCACCGACAAGGCTGCCGAAGACTATATTCATGAGGGGTAGTGGCTATACGGAGGTATTAAACACATATCCGCTCGTGACTGAACTGACTTACCACTCCGGATCCTATTGCGCAGAGCAGTGCCATGGCGAGGATAATGCGATCTTTCCCCGTGGTGTACGAAAGAACTCTCTGTATATATGAGCGATGAACGAATGGCGGAGTCAAGTGCATACAAAGTAGTTGCCCAAAGACGCAGGCTGCTCGGGCTTTGTATCCGCCGTTTTGTCTCCAATCTCCTCACCTTGAACATGAATCACATCTTGCTGGTCATTGTTAATAAGCGGCGGCGCGTTCTCCTGGCGTTTCTTGTCCTGGCAGTCCATTTTGGGACTGTCTGATAGATGATCCATTTTGATAGCGTGCTATGGTGGACACTATGAGGCGCGATGGTGCAAAAGCGCTGTATTTATAAAGGTGCCGCATTGTCTTGGCAGGTCCAGGCAACTGTGGCCTGAACTCGTATTCGTAAGATGCATGGTGGTAGAAGGAGTGCTCTGTTGAGAGGCGAAGGATGGATTGCGACCAGTGACCACAGGAAACAGGGACCAAGTGGGGCGGGCGGAGTGTCGTCCCGGACACTCGGGACTTGGAAAGTCCGGGCTGGGCGCGAGGCCGTCAGGCCTTCCATCCGGGCTTTCGGACTTTGTGATCCCCGTTGCATCCCTTCCGTCATCCCCGGCCAGACCATGACCTCTCGAAAACCCATCTCGGTGAGTCAGACCCAGTTATCCTCCACAACAAGACAGTCTGACCCCTTTCTCAGTGCAGCCGCTGTCAGGTCAAGAAGGTAATAGTCTGAACCGCGCTTCGCGGTGGCCCATTTACTGACGAAGGCTAGATTCGATGCAACCGGCTCGACCCGCGATGTGACAAATGTGAAGCCGTTGGTGCAGAATGCCATTACCTGCCACGAAAACAACGGTCTGCCAAGCGAAGGTGCCTTGCGTACCCCGTCTCCTTTCCGTACCCAATCTTGAAAGACCCCTTCGCGTGCCGTGTGGTTGGACTAACGCAATGACGATCAATCTAGTGCGATTCATGACAAGGATGTTCTTTCGGAAATCCTCAGACGTCTAGAGCGACTGGAAGACCACTGTATGATTGATCAAGATGTGGAACATTCCGCAGACGCGTATCGTTCAATGTCTACCGACTCAGACAATGCTGCCTCGACGAGCACTGTTCTGCCACCCGGTAGCAAGTCCCCTCCACCAGTACGAGATGTGACACACATCATGCTGAGCGGGTTGAAGGACGAAAATACCAGATCGCTGCTCCGCTCCAACGTTTTCTGTCACCTTGATAATGTCTGGTCCCGCTTCTTTGAGAACGAGAAATGCATTCAGGCCGTAGAGGCTGCATTGGTGGAGATTGCCGAATTGGAAGATACGACAGTATCTGAGGTACAGGCGCCTCCTGCTATTCCAAATGAGACTGCAAGCAGTTGGATAAATAGTACGTTCTGATCCACTCAAAGTTCAAGCCACCTGTGTGCTGATTATGCCTTAAGAGTACTATGACACCTATCAATTTGAGGGATTTCGGATCCCGTTCGAAAGAAGCTTTATCCTTTCCATTTCGGATCTGCTGGATAGCCCCCACGTTCAGTTTGACTCTACAATCCAATTAGTTTATTACAATGTCCTCTTTCAAGGACTCCTCTTGGACTCGGAACCTCATCCCAACAAAGGTAGCATCATACAACTTCTTTGCCGCAAAAGTATGGATTTGACGGAGAGCTGGCTCAGTCAGATCAAAAACACGCCGGCAGACCTATTTACAGCTTTCTTCATGGTGGGTTGGCTTCTGGCTAGGCGTAGCCAGGCACGGCTGATCTTTGATTTAGATGTCCATGGCCCTCGAAAGTTGCAACAGTGAACTATCCTGGAAGATCCTCGGACATGCCTGCGCAATCGCCAGAGCTCTCGGGTACTTTTCTGTCGATGCAGATCAGTCAACGCATAACAGCCCGGCGTCTTTGATCAATGCTCCCTCTGAGCCAGAGATTGAGATAGAGAAGAACCGAAAGCGCTTCGAGTTCTGGCATTTACTTCGCACAGACTGTCTCTTCCGCCTGTCCTTTGGTAAACCAGCACTCATTGCTGAGGGTTCCTGGGCAGTAAATTTCCCAGATCCGAGTATCACTGGCGTGGACGATGAATCTACACGCTTCGTTCAAATCCACTTCCTCGCATCAATGCGCCTCACACTCGTCTTGTTGAGATACCTGGATCTCGTCGATGTGGAGTCCGGGTTGTCTACTTCACAGTATGATGAAACGATAGACGGTCTTATCAAAGAGGTGCAAACGATCATGTCAGACTGGACCCCGGTATGTTGATACACATGTAAACCCTTTGCAGTTCATCAGTCTGACAAAGCAAAGGAGGAGCTTCTGACTACGACGACCAATCGCACGGACACGTGGTTTTGCGTGGACATTCTCTTTAGCAGCTACAAGATGCTCATCGTCTTCTACCAATCCAAGAAATGTTACCAAAGCGGTCAGATCCTGCCATATCACACTGTTGATATTGCTAGGAAAAGCCTTCAGATGTCTCGGTCAATCATGTCCTCCACTCCACAACCCTACTGGGGCATCAGTCTCATCTTGCTCCACCAGTTTATTCCCTTATTTATTGTCAGCATGGACATGATCGGATCTCCTGAACGGCATGATATGGAATTAGATCTCGACTTGGTGGCCTGGTTTAACCATTTTGTCGAGACGGCTTCCCAGGAACGAACGGAGCTAAGACCATTGAGTGCGATACTGAAGGCAATGGCATTGGCTTCTCGCAACGCCAAGGTGGGTTCTGAGTAGTGCTCTATGTACTTCAAGACAACCATTTCTGTCGCATATTACTGCGCTGTCTTGTCACCACCGGCCAGGCCAACGATATTTCGTATTTCAGGGTAATACCGTCTAGCGTTTTGCCAGACCATTAACAACGCGTGGATTTACTTCGCACACCTAGAGTCTAGAGACCTAGACAGAAAGCCAGACTGTATCAATGAGCCCTGCCTGATGTATTCTTTTGACATCGCCACATGATCCTGTACTACTTCCCTGAAGTGCCTTGAAGTGCCCTGAAGTGTCCTCATTGTCACGGTACTCGGCTGCATGGCATCAAAATATATATTAGGCCAACATTGAGGGAGACCAACCACCATAGTACCAGTATCCCAAACCAGCATAAAATCTCCACGACCTTACCTGGTATGATGACATTAAATACTCCAACTAGAGAAGTTAAATATCCTCCGTAATACTATCTTCTACCATTTTTTTTGCCAATTTCTCGTCTTTTCCTTCAAAGGGGTATCCCGTGGCACTGCGATAAGCCGATAAGATAAGCCACCGACCGATGATCGGTTCCGCGGGGAACATTCCCGGCAATTGATTATGCCGGCAGATGGATTTCTATGCGTCGCATCCTGAAACATATCCAATCGGCTTGTGAATTTACAGATCTGTCTCACAATATGAAATTACTCAATTGACAGAGATTATATTCTATTTTCAGTCCACTATATCTTGAATACCTCGAGCTTGTAGAGCAGAAATCAGCCCGAAAGCGGTGTGAAGCATGGTAAGGAACAGGCATAGATCCACATACAATTTCTCATTGTTTACGGAGTACTCGCACCCAGTCCGAAATATCCTTCTGCAGGAACAATATGCACTTTACGGGTTGAAGCATCGGCGTTACCAAACCTAAAGACAGAAATTACAACCTCATCAAAATACACCTCAAGTAATGCCACATATCATCAGAGCGGTGGTTGAAACCACACATCGTCTACATGAAACACTACCATGTAGGCACTACCTATTGGCAGGTTAACCGCCAGGATTTACTCTGTAACGGTTGCCGTTCTAGATTTCCGTTCCTCTATACATTGACTTTGAGATCAACTCCTTTAATCTAACAAGCCCATTAGACAACAGGCAGCAATGTTTTGTTCCGATGCTGAGAGCTATGACGAGCTTGTTGTTGGGTGGAGGCTCGAGGAGTGGGGGTGTGAGGCCTCGTTCTTTCTTTCCAGTTTAGTTGTACCTAATATGTGAGAAATAGGGGGGGGTTAATATGCTCGTAGAGAATATGTACGTGGTTTTTGGGCGGAGTAGATTATTGAGGACTGTGATAGGGCGCATAAGAATTTGGCACTGGGAGGGTTGGGGTGAATTAGGTCAGGTTTGATGTAGTTGAGGATAAGTTTGTGAAGGAGAATAGTTTTTACGTGGTCCGAGATGAAAGTGTGGCGGGGGCAGAAAAACTGAAGAGGGATAAGGATAGCGCGCTGGTGCTAGGTATACCTGTGAGGAGTCTACTTGGGGTATAGTTGGTAAAGCGGTGAAATCATTTCATACATAGCAACGTAACTATACACATGAACGGCACAAAGGTATCACAGCACGTAAATTTAGTAGGTGTCGTTGGAGGTGTAGTTCTCGCGAGCCGCGAAGCGCAGCTCGGTGGCGCCAATATCGAAGACAGTGACCACGTTCTTCTGGAAGGTGTCACCCAGGATGTACAGGTCCTCGGAGCTGTCGCTGCCACCGTCGACGATACCCGAAATGCAGATGGTGTTGCCCTCGTCGTCGGTGCCAGCATCAAGGATCATGTCGAGGGCGTTGATGTAGAAGGTCTTGCCGTTGATCGTAATACCGTGGCTGGGGGCGGTGGCATCGCAGTCGACGATGTACGCACCCTCATCCTCGGAGTAAGTGGCCGCAGGGGAGAAGGCAGCGTTGACTTCCTCAGAGATGGCAGTGGGGTAGTAGTTGAGAGTGGTGCCAGAGTCGACCTGTATCAGTTAGCATGTGCATACTAAAGGAAGGTGTGAGACATACAATGTACTGGATGCTGTCACCACCGGCGCTGGTCAGGCTCTTGCCGTTCAAGGTCATAGCGTCAATATTGATCGTGTAAAAGTCATAGGAGTCGGGGTAGCCTTCGATGCTGGTGACCAGGATGGAGGTGTTGGTGAAGTCCTCGACAAAGTCCACGGGAGGCAGACCGCCGAGAGCCAGGTAGCCAGCGTCACCGGAAACATCGCGGGAAATGGCCAGACTAAAGTACGGGTCGATCAAGCCGTCCGCGATCATGGTGGTGATGACGTTGCTGTACTCGACCTGGTCATCGGTAGAAGTAGAGTAAGCGCTCGTACTGTAGACTGTTAGCTGTCTGCAGATAACGTGGTCTGGATACCTACAGGGCAGGATAAGCGAGACCGGTCAGACCGGAGGTCGTTCCATCGCCCTCCCAGGCGGCCTCGTTGACCACCGCGATGGTCGTCGAGTCGACGGTGATACCGGCAAGCGTGACGCTTTCGTTGCCCAAGACTCCGTACAGGTATTCTCCATCACCGTACTCAATAGCGAATTCTTCGCCCTGGATCTCCTTGAAGGAGCTCTCCACAGTCCAGGTGGAGCCGAAGTCACAGCTGGACTCGGAGGTCGTGCGGCCGGTATCCAAGTCGATACACGTGAAGCCCTTCTCGACAACCCAGGTGTCACTGGAGCCGGTGTCGACAATCACGTCGAAAGAATCGCTACCGATGGTGATGGAGGTAGCAAATTCCTCGCCCTCGAAGAGGGAGATCAGGCTGGAGCTGCCACTGGAGGTGGAGCGCTTGACGTAGGCGGCACTGCGAGGGTGGCTGCCCTTGGACTTGACCTTGCTCAGACTGAGGTAGTTGGAGGTGGCCTTGTGCTCACTGGGGCTGGTGAAAGCCGTGGGCTTGTAGGTGGTGTAGCTGCCAGTGCGGCGGACGATGTTTCTTCCCTTGTAGGGGGTGGGAGCGGCCGCGACCGTCCCAGCAAGGAGGGAGACAGCGGCAAGAGTGCCGACGGGGAAGTACATGGTGGTGAGGGGATGAACGATCTAAGAATTGCTTGGCTGATGAAGGGAAGAGACCATGCTGAGGGGTGCATTCAGGGCATTATATAAGTGCTGGGAAATTACGTCCTGCACCGGAGAGACCGTCAAATTAGCTTCATGTTAGCCTGCAGAAGATACATCCTGGCCGGAAAGCCCCTCTCTGTGGTGACTCGGCGCGCATATTCGCAAGCTACCGAAGTGGCGGCTAGCAGCGAGGCGATAGGACTGGTGGGAGCACACAAGACCGCCGGTAAAGTGCTGCCTGGGCGTGACGAGTAACGGCCTTCTCCCACTCGCCGGCCAGGAACCATAGTAGTGCCGAGTGGACCCGGTATCCATATTGCTGATAGGAGCTTGCGACAGCACTGGCCGCGGATTGGTGCAAATCCGGGCCCACCGCCGATAAGACGCAAGGCGCGCGTCGGAGTCCGTAGGGGAGTGTCGGACTTGCGATGATGAAGAGGATTAGATTGAATTGTTGGTGGGGAAAGCAAGGAAGTTCTGCATCCCAAAGACCGTGATAGGCTGCTGTTCCCCTTGCGAGTATAGAGTATGGAGCACTCCGTAGAGGGGCCGCGTCGTGCACAATCATGTCGGTCTTCATCTCGGCGATAAGGGCGAGGCACTAGCGCCCGGAACAATCGTGACATGTGTGACAGTCCCCGACGGAGCCTGTCATCCAACAAAGCCATTGTCCCATCCCTTTCATTTCACATGCACGAATGCCTGGCCATGGGACAAGATGACCCCCTCCTTGAGACAGGTAATGCGTCGGGGGGGGGTTCGAAAATGCATTTATCTGAGAAGACATACGTAGTCAATGTCCCCTGAACTGGATCTGAGAGGAGCCAAGCCGCGGAGACACCGGATGGGGGATCCTTGATTGCTTGATCCTGTCAAGCTCAGATCGCCCGACTTTCGGATGGAGGCCCATCACGTGGTGGGGCAGGTTGCTCCGAGCGATAACGGGCCTCTTGCATGCCAAACTGCGAACATGATGGAGCTCCCCATTTCCTGCAGCTGACATTGTGCGGGTGGAAGATAAGGGTCGGACTTTTCGGCCCCTGCAGTTGGGAGATCGATTCCCTCAGGAACCGTGAAGAGAGAGTCAGACGGTTATCGGTTGCCAGGAACCCGGAAAGAAAGCAAAACCAGTGCGGGGGGCTCGGAAGAGGATGACCCGCTCCGCGCCGGGCGCCATCGGACCTCCGCCGACTTCATTTCAACCTCCGTCTTCAATCCCCCCCCTCCACCACCTCCCGTCTTCAAATCAGCCCATCGGGCATCCTTCAGATAACGCCACCAGCAGCTAATTCTCGTGTGTGATTGCAATTGCATGGCTCCCACCCGGCGGGGGTGACTGAGCGGGTCTACATGGTAGCGACGGACTCCGGTCGCAGCACCAAGTCGCGAGGTTTGCCAGTTCCTGCACACCCCGAGGGAACCATGACTCATGATCTCGCTTTCTTTAGGGTGCTTTCAATGCTCAAGGCGCCGGATTATCTGCGATCGGGGGGAGCCCGTCTGCTTAAAATGTCAGAAGAAAGGCATCGAATGCTCGGGGTTGGGTCGGTTTCGCTTCACGGCCGGCGTCGCGACCCGCGGCAAGTTGAAGGGATGTACCATCCCGGTTCTTGATGCCAACCCAGATAATGCCTACAACTTCATCTCAGATAGGCCCAGATCGATCCGATGGCGTCATGACCGGAGTAAAGTCGCCAAGCAGCAGGAAGTCGAAGAGGGTGGGAGGGTGCAGATCACTGGTGATAAGGCTGTGCACCTTAAGGCGAGCGCACCAGTGTTTCCCGACACACGCGTGTTTGAGGAGGACCTACAGATAATAGCTGGCGTGGAAGCGCACGGTACTGTAGGCTCTATCACAGAAAAGGGTGTCGCATCAGGGTGCAAAGACCAAGTCCTGCCATCTGTCGCAGACCATGATCCTCCCCTCAATTTCATGCAACAGGTATATAGACATACTACCCAGGGCCTCGGGCAACACTTCCTCACAAACGGATCATCGATGATTGGTCGGTGGATCGCACCAATAGATCATAGGATCCGTCAATCTTTCGACTACTTCGCAAAATATGTTGCACCAGTCATGGTTGTTCTTGATATATCCAATGGGTACCGGGATATTATCCTCCCAATGGCCTTTAAAGACGACTTATTGCAGCAGGCTGTCTCTGTGGTAGCCGCGCAACATCTCGGCCCGCGACAACCTGCCTCTCAAGCGGCAACCGAGTCGAGCCGGTCGGCAATCATATCGCGTTTACGCCGTGCCTCCCAGCTCGGCTCGCCCAATCTTGTGTTTAATCCATCGACCTGGGCCACCCTGATCGTGCTCCTTGTTGGCGAAACCGTCACGGGAAGCTCCGAGTACAGCCATCTCCTACAGACCCTTCTGACTCTGGCGAAGAACATGAGGGATGTTGACAACTCTGAGTTGAACGAGTTCCTGATCAAGCAGACAGATATGTTTGCCTTTTTAGGACAGCCGTTGTTGAATGAAGACCTGGGTGCACAGCAGCTGAGAAATCCTATCGACCCGGGTGTGTGGATGGCGTCGGGCGTCCATACTGATTGGCACCATGACAGAATCCTGTCACTTGTCAAGCAAGGATTTTCAAAGGGCGCTCAGATTTACCTCCAACGTGCAACCACCAATCAGAGTTCCTGGGATGCACTAGAAGACCTGCGCCAGCTCCTGTGCCATGTGGACCCCACAGAACCAGGTGCCCATGGCTTTGTATGGTCCTGCTTTATTGCCGCGGCGGATAGCGTAGACCCCGAGCATCGGTCATTCTTTACCAAATATCTTGAGGGAATCCATTCAAGGACCCTGTTTGACAACATTCCCAAGGCTCTCGCTGTTTTGCCTATTATTTGGGAGCAGCAAAATTCGAGGAAGTGGACCGAGGACTTGCCCAGCCTTTCCCCTATCTTGATCATGTGATATGCACTGTTGGCCTTGGATACTTACCGTCTCGGTATATCTCAACCAGACAGCAGGGCACGATTTGAACGGTCCGACGCTGCCAACCGCAAACCGTTACCAGGTCAATTGTTTGCCGAACTATAACTAGTTCGAGGTGGAGCATCGACTCAAATTACCCGCCTTTATTACAAAGAACTATGTTGAAAACATCATGATGTACACCGCCCAGATAAGTCTTATCCTCCAGTTACGGAAGCCGCTCGAGAGCATAGCAGTCTAGCCAGAATATCAGGCAGATTGACTGTCTGCACTGTGCCTGACTTCAGGTGACCCGCAATTTCATAACCAATATTTATTCAAGGACTCTCGCACCTTACGCCGGCATAGAGGTGTCTCAAGAAACGTACGGCGCAGGTTCGGACACCGACCATCGTGCTTCCCAGTATCCGGCTGGCCAGCCAACTTTAGACAACGCTCTGTGTACGATCGGCTAATGCTTCGGTGATCAAGTGGCAGGTTGAAAGAAAAGGACGAGGGTAGTAATTTGTGACTGACTTCTAGCATACAGTCGTATCATACAGGTAACTATACGCCGGTAAAGTACGATGACTTGCAAAGCTGCGAGTGGTGAGGTCACTCACAAACTGGGACCTAGTAGGTAGACCGGTCAGTTGAACCGCCGGGTCCGACTCTCATACCTGACCCAGGGGCTGGAGTCCAGAGACGATTAAGTGCCGACTCTATTGAGGAATATGCCATGCTCCTAGGTAGTACGTAGCATCCTACCGATCTCAGGCATGGGAACACCTCCGACAATCTCAGTAGACTGCGATTCACGCGCGGAAGCTCTGTGTACGCAGGGTGGCTATCTCAGATTGTAGTATCCCAACTACCAATTATATAAAGACCGTGGTCCGCTGGGTCTGCTATGCTAATGTGGCGGGCAGAATGCCCAAGAAGATCACATTCTTTGCACATTATATCTGTCAATATCCTTGGGGACCTAGTATTCGCAATGGACTCACCCACTTTCATCTAATAACCTCAGTGAAGCGCCCAGTCTTCCATTGTCCACATCCTCTAGCCTGCTTCTCTAGGATATACTCTCTCTATCGATCTCAGCTATTAATTATCCCACGTCACGTATCACTATGTCTGGTCCTTGGTACTGCTGTCAGTGCTTTTGCCACCTTATCAAGGTAGTCTTTATACTGCCTGCACCCAGTGTGATGAACCAGGCTGCGAAGACTACTCCATGGATACTCAACATCCGGCAACTTAACTATGCCACTGCCACGAGGCATCATCATACCAGCAGATACCAGCTCCTGTTGAAAGAATGTTGGTTGAAAAGGGTTGCTCCAGGCCCTCTTGTCAAACTTGACGCACTGCCGTTGGCCACAACGTTGCTTTCTACATTATTTTCCTTCGTGACTCACGGTACAGCTCAGACTGGAAAGGCATGAGAAGCAGACTACATTGCACGGGCAGCAGGCCATTTGCACCCGTATCTCAGCAATACGTAGATCCAGTGGTACTAACATGCTTCTGCTGCCAAATCACCAATTCTTCATGACTCATGTCTGCTTCATCTTTCGCCTTTCTTTCTCTCGAAATACCACGTTGTCAGGAACATGAACCTGTCATCGGCCAATTCTTCTTTAAGCGGTGAGAGAGATGCGCAAAGATTCTTGGCATATACTGGCCTCAATCAATCGAGAATGACTCAAAACAGCTGCACAATGACCCACAGCAAGCCCTCTCTCTCATTTCACTTAGATGCAGCACCTGACGCCGGCATCGAGTGCAACGATTTCTATCCTTCATGTCAGATCTTTTCGACAGTGCCTTACTACGCTAGCCAGGATCATCTATTCGGTGAACATCCATAAATGAGAGTTCAGCAGTGCGCAGCTGATGCGACCTCACTCTCGCTCGACCTGTATTGTGGCCCCACATCAACGTCTCCCATCACGGAAACAACCGCTAGTATTCAATATGGACTGTGCATTTGAACCCTTCGATAGCTTTGACCTACCTCACATAGCAAAGGAGTCAACATGCACCAGTCTCTCGCTGCCCAATATGAGTGGATAGGCGATATGTACGAGCCGGTTAGTTGGAAGGAGGGTAACATCAGAAACTATGTAACCCGTCAGATGTTCCGATACGATACATGTGGAAAAGGGGTGATTATGGAAGAATCTCAAGCCCCACCAACCGCGACTATATTGTTACTGAACTCGTCTGTGTGAGAAGTGGTAGCAGCAGCTTGGGTTTTTGTTCTTTTAGATGTTTTATCCCACTTTACGTTTCTGATTTGTTATTCGTCTGTTCATGTTATAGGAAAATGCGGGTTGCATTTACTAAATGTGTAAGGATACTGGTACCAAAGAAAAGATGTACAACTATCACCCAAGATTCAATGCGCATGATCTGTTACTTCGATCTGCATCATCTGTAGATATGTCAAAATCTAGTTTCGGAGGTGTGAGCCTACCATTCATGAGGCTGAAAAATAACGATTCTATAAAAAAGTTTAACTAAAAGTTTTTAAAACCGGGACATTTTCTTTTCCCGCATCTGCCAATTTTGAAAGCTAGTGCGGAAGGAGTCTAAACAGTGGCTCCGGTCTATGTACTATCAATCTTTGGTCTTTGGTCTATGCCATGATACTAAGATTGAAACACTTCTCAAGTCACGGTCATACTATTATGCTGAGTTGGTGTGTTGGGATACTTGCTGCATCGATGTGATGCCTTCTACTTGTAGGCTTTCGTGATTAACCTTAAAGAAATACATAAATGACTTGCTACAAAACCAGGATCATTTATTCTCGCCCAGACAAAATAACAACCATAGCCATGAAACATACCCTCATAGGGCAGATAAATTCCGCGCCAATGGTATCCACAGTTCCACACTAAGGCGCTACTGCCACATGGGCTCCGCAATCTTCCGGCCGGATCCGCTTTCTGTCGCATTGTGGAGCATCCCCCAATTTCAGCGCGCTTATGCCTGAGGCTTTTAGAATCCCTGCCTGAGGCTACGATTATTGCCTGAGAACCTGGGCATGGTTTGATCTTGGCCATGAATACGCTTCCATGTTATGATTATAGTGAGTTGGTAATATCAGATGTCTGGCCACTCCTTGTGTCACACAGAGCAGTGAAATGCTCAGATTCCCGATGGTAGAGAGCAAATTTCCTAGAGTCGAAGAAGCAATTTAACAGTTAAGGCAAAGAATTATGTCTGGACTTTTGGAGAGTATCTCTCACAATGGGAGGGATACGAAGAAGAAATCGGAATAGAAAGAGACAATCGGTGATCTCCCATCGGGCGCCGCGTATGGTTCAAAGGGTGGAAATGATATTTACGATGAAGGAGATAGGAACCAGGTATATGCCCTCCATAAGTCGGCAGTAAGCATTAGGGCAGCTTGAAAGCACTCCGAGGAAATCTCCCTCGAATCCCACTCAGACGTCTCATACTGATTCGACCGAACAATACGCACAACGCTGTGGTATGTAGCTGGCTTTCTAATGCAACATCCGCCTTTCTCCATCCTACTAGGCAACTACCAAAAAGTCCTACGCTTAGCAGTGACCCACCCCGATGGTCTATCGGCAATTTCCTTCGGACTCTTCCTGTGTAGGGGAATCTCCCTTCGACAGTTGAGAGTTGCCAGCACCAAGTCTGGTGGCCGTGGGATATAAATATGCGCTGCAATCTCTTCATCATTTTCTTCTCCTCATCACCAGGCCAGCTGAGAACAGCGGGCTCGAGGCAGAAGAGGGCTGCCCTGGCTCGCTGGTTGAACATCAACATGGCTGACTGGTGATCGAAATTGTTCTTATATATATACCGACACCATGACTGACGAATGCGGCGTAGAGCCGAGATGGTCGGGCTTCTAGAAACCCATTGATCTCAAAGTTTCACTAGTCCGACGAGCTTCTCGATCTAGCCTCCTACTTCTCATCTAGAAGATAGTGGGGTATATATTATTCACTATGTCTGGTGACTTTGGCTATACCTTTCCTCGGTTCGAGGATCCACCCGACATTAATACATATTTTGCCAACTTCCCAGAAGCTGGCGAGATGATCGGGCTTATACGAGATAATCAGTTCATTACAGAAAGGATTGACACTGGCTGGTCACTATGTCTGATGACTTTGCTCAGACCTTTCCACTTTTTGAGGATCCAAAGGACATAGCTTCCTATTTCACCAACTTCCCAGAATATGGCGAGATGATCGGGCTTATACAAGAGAATCAGTTCATTACAGAAAGGTCTGATACGCAATCTCCGACTGGGCTATTTTCAGTTATCTACGACATAGTGAGGCATCCGAGCTCCCTAGAAGCAACACGCCCCTCCCAGATCCTACTGGTATACAATCATTATCCAATTCATGGGCGATATCAGGCCCCATGAATGGGTTTGATCAACCCGCCATGGGGCATGATAATAGTTACTCTTGGTCGGAAGTGGACAACAGAGCTACGCATCAGTCCAGCGACGATGGGTGCTGCAAGCACCAACACTTCCATTAATACCGCCCATGGGCCTTGAACACACCCAGTTGCCATTTGGTGCCCCCTATCACTTCTATTCATCTGCGATAATAACCTTCAAACATGACTGAGGCAGGTTATTACAATTACCAGCGCCACCACATCATGCGACCAACAGAGCTGAGATGAACACACTACCTATCTTCTGCAACATGCTACCTCTCGTTTCACACTACCTGAAGGGCTCGAAGAAATCCACAGTTGCATAAGGGGCTCGCATTCCAAGAAATGCACCCCTGAAGTGCCAAACATCACAGATACTACATTTGCCATGCGACGGGAAGCAAAACACTTGCGGCTTGGGCCGCTGCCTACTGGGCGTTATAAAGAATGTGTTTGATTGCTCCTGCTGCAGACAGTACGGGAAACATCTTTTGATATCCCTTCAGCTTAACCTTATATATACAAGCTCAGCTCCGCCAGGCAGTAACTGCCCAAACATTCTTCTACCATCGCTTCGCCACCAATCGAACCCTCTGTCACATACCATTATTGTTCCACGAAACACTGTCAGATCCTTCCATCCCTCACTTCCCGAATGAAGTATGATTTCAGTTACGCGATGGACAGCTGCTCCCGGGTCTATATACTCCATTTACCATGGAAACGCGAATGAAGCACCACCGGATGTGCCCATCGTTACTATTCCCTGGATAATGCTCACCATACTCGCCAAACAAGCGGAGCCAATCCGCGGCCACGTTAACTACACATAACGCGAGTGCCACATGGCCCAAACCCTCTCATCCAACCAGGACGGACAAGCCCTGTTCTGGTGCTGCAAGCAATATATATTATGACTCTGCCTGGACAACACCCTCTTCACCTATCGCGGCGGAACTGCTGGCCTAGACGGGTTGACACGACTAAGGTCTTCCCAATCTACAAGGGCCAATCCGATGCCGCGATGATGCTGTTCGGCTGTGCTTGATTGACTAAGCAATGCCAACGCAAGACGAGCCCCGAAACAAGCTTCAAAAGCCGCAAAGCTTGGATATACTGGACACACCAACAGCGGCTCTACTAGAAGCTGTCCTCGCCATCCCCTCGTCGTTGGGAGAAACGCATGGGAAGGAATGCACCTAGCCCGAACCCTATATATAGAAGTGGAAGAACTGCACCAGAACTTCAGAAGGCGTTCCGATATGAAGAGGCTTGGTGGTCTCCAAGGACATGGTGGTCTCGCAAGGAGTGCTGACCTCATGAGATGGATCATTATGTGGTCCCACGTCTTGAGGATCAAATCGTGTGCCTATTACGGTTATAAGGCGAATCGGAGAGATAATCTGATCTGTCGAACTGATATGGTGCGGACATCGGTGATTTACAAATGAGGGGTTTATACATTATTGTCATGTCTTCATGTGGATCAAATGGTGTCCTTATTGCGGTTATAAGGCGAACCGGAGAGATAATTTGATCTGTGGAACTGATATGAGTGCGGATATCAAGGACTTATAAACGAAGGTTTATAGCTGATCTACCATATCTGCAAATTATGGGAGAGATTGCTAGCATATTCTCATCTCTGGGGATAGCGCTCGTTCTATGCTACTGAAGAATCATCATCTACGATTTCTAGACGGACCGCAGACGGGCCTGAGATATTTGGTTGGTGGGTTGAATGGCATGGTTCGGTACATTGACTATGCTGTCAGATGGTACCGGATGATATTTAGGGTCATGTTACTCTGATGTACTGGTACTTATTAGAGCAGCTTCTATGCTCCAGTACATCATGCAATTATACTATTACTTCCTTCTTTCTTGCAGTAACTTATCAAAATATAGGACATTACACTTGTTAATTCAACATGGATAATACTCTTTGCCTTGCCCAACTCCCCTGGAGGTGAAAATACAGCTGGTGTAGCCTACCGGTCCGATGTCCAGTTGACCATTACTAGCCAACTGGTGGATTACGCAGTTTCGAGGTCAATCAGGCTCCTCCCTACAGAGAGTAAAAAAATTTGAACTGCATACATATATACCGAGCAACAAAATGTAAATACACACCTTGTAATAAGGAAACGTGGAAAAAAACATACAACAGAAGGGATTCGCTGGTGGTCACCCACCCAACTACTAACCTCCCGGCGTGTGGCTTAAGTACGGCTGAGCGGACGGGAAGCCCTGTTCTCCACACCCTATGGTCGTATGTGCTAGTTGTATTCGTAGAAATGTTGTTATTCTGAAAGTCAGGAAGTACCGGGAAAAAATGGAGTTCCTCTGTATGTCTTGCGGTCCATAACCCGCGAGCGGGTTGAGTTTCACCAGATTCTGGATGATCCGCGCTGGTTCCACAGTTCCCTTATCAGTGCTCTGCTACCCGTGAGAGGATAAAGCCTGGGCGGTATGCTCTGTTGCATCAAGTTATACTCGTGTTCTGACGGAGCAATTTTTCAGAATGACACACTACAGGCTGTTCATATTGCGTACTTCACCAACTAGGGTTCCGCTGATTTGCAGTTACCGGTGTCTTACCCCAGGAACGAAATAATCCAGGGATCCTGAGGGATATACCTACACCGACTCCAGTCCTAGGGAGGCATACGTAAATCACAAGAGAAATTCCGATTCCGAGTTCGGGCATATTGATCCAAATAAATGTATATAACGACCCTGATAACAGACCTAGCAGAGGCTCCTCATGCAACAATGGCATACAAGACCTGGACACTGCCAAAAGGAGGCTTTCGATAGAGTATGTAATATAGAAGTGACTGACATTCCCGGACATTCATAGTCCGCTATGATGGCAGATATGGGGCCACCGATCTATACCTTGCAGTCTTCTCTTGTGACCGGAGAGAGATCAACGAGTGATAAAATCTCGTGTCTTATTCGTGAAAGTACTAGTGAGAGATGTCCTACCAGCGACCAGATTTACCAGGGTAGCTGGTGTCACAGATGAGAACCAATCTTGGGCTGGTGAAAACACCGCACTTTCAACTCTGCAGACTCTCGCCCCTTCTAACTTTCTACAGCTTTTAATTAAAAAAGACAAGAGTTCCTAGACTTTATTCGGATTTCCACGGGCTGAACAATGCAATATTCCTCGAATAATATTCTAACTCCATAATCCAGTGTTTCTTCCAGGGCAGAGCGTTCTTGACTCTAATTTGAGTCCTGGCAGACACTCCCCGCTTACCCTCCCATATGTCGGCGGATAGCTCAGGGCTTCTTCAATTCAAAAATGGTACCAATCCTTCTACCGGAAAAGACAACCAACACTGCACCGTTTCATCGGTGACCGACCACACTAGTCCGCGGATGCCAGCAAGAGCCACCTTGCAGTGTAATACCATGTTTCTGCATTGCTATTTGGTTTCACCGGAAATAGTCGGTACGCTACACGTATTCTTTACACCAAATTCCTTCAGCACCTCACTTGCTCTGGACGGTACTAGAAGGGTGTCTCATTAAGAGACATCCTTAGGCAATCCGGACCTACTGATCATTGCCTTCGCACCGCCGCCGACGGAACATGCCCACTGGATATGCCGAACCGCCAAGTTCAATTACTGGGAGAAACAGTTCCGCGGCAAGTGTCTCGCTGGGTCTGTGTGGAAGGCAAAATCAACATCACCATCATGCAGTGAGGTCATCTATCAGTAGTATATACAACATGCAATTGTCAAAGACGGGCATTTTATTGAGAAATGGCTTCTTTGCAACGTGGGTTCAGTTCACTCCCAGTCGAGTCTACCTTTGCCGCATTCCATCAGCTCCCGCAGGACCGTGTTGGGCATCAGGATGTCTTCAGGAAGAGACATCTCAGATGAGTCCTTGCCTGGTCTTCGTCCGAAACAGGACACGCCATGTGGAATTTGGCAGCGGGCGGGACGGGGCGGGACGGACCTGAACTCTAAAGATTATTTTTAACTATAAAATTGGCCCAACTGCCAATGATCGCATAGCTCCTCATCACGTGCCATATTGGCCGCGATTGTGTAGGCCATTCTTCATAAGCCAAGCTGTTGTGCATGGTATTGCAGATATCTACGTTCTTAGATGATGATGAAATTAAATACAGGCAGAGGAAGGCAGATTGGTAACATCCATCTAATGCTTCTGCATGAATATTCGTTCTCATCTTGCAGGCGGAGATTCCAAGTACTAGGTTAGAAGAGAAACAGGAGTTGACCTACAGTTTACGATATTATAGGTGCTATACAACTATGTAATTTATTTACCTTTCTTTTGTAATATAATTGTCGCTCATCAAAATAATATTTCTTCTCTATGTTCCCTATCTATGTTCCTTGGGTTCTGGTGCTATGTTGTGTACCTATGCGCTTCAAAAACAATATACGAATTATTGGAATCAGATCTAGTACATTCCACCTGAGCAATATCTAAAAGGATGTATTACTCGGACTTTTCCTTTAGATTAACATAGTGCAGAATGGAAGATACCATGCCACTGTGTGACGTGCTGCACCCCCTGTGACGATGACAACCATATCTAGGTGGAGATGACCATCCTCGTATCGGAACCTATAATGGGCATGGCTTCCAGCTACCATATACTGTCGGTTTAAGCCTAGCGCAATCAGCTTCCTACCGAAGTCTGCTGAAATTGTATACAAATTGCCCAGGAATAATCCTCACCGGATGCCTTGACGATGATCAGCAATAGGAGGATACCAATATCTGATCGGAGTCAGGCTACGACAGTAAGGGCCATCCCAAAGAACTAACAGATCTAGACGATGCCTTCGTCTATATAACCCCCTGCTCCCCCCCAGCTAGATCCATCTCATCCATCAACACAGATGGTCTAAACCATCCCAGCTCAATCCCCGACCCCTGGGCCCCTATCTCTTCGATGGGGGTCTAGAACATGAAAAAGCCGCATGTAACAACCAGGATGAGCTACAATACATCTCCTCCTCGCAGTTCCTCATCCTATATATATATCCCTGCAGGACCAGCCCTGCCACCGTGTTCTGCAAGGCCATACTACACCCGCTGTTGACGATACCCGGCCCTCATTACCGCAATACAACTATCCCTGCCAATGTCTGCTGCCACGTTCGCCTCGCTCAGCTTTCGTCCCGGGGGCGGATGATCCAACTCACGCACCTGGATATAGGCATAGCTGTCTGACCCGTCCCGACGGTAATGCCGGTTCGACAAATGCAGAAGCACCACCGCCACAGCGCTTGCTAGGCTGCAGAATACCCACCGGCAATGGTTCGTATGGAAGTATATATACACGAACGAGAATACCTGCCCGCACCGGTTGTTGATACCAAACAATCCAGTATCCCATTCCCGCAATCATCGCCTAACATGCTAGAAGCGGTGGATGTCTCGCACGCACATGTCTGATACACGAGACAGAGGTGTGGCGACATGGAACAGTCCTGGAAAGGAACTCGCACTATGACGTTTGCAGCAGGCAGTCAACAGGGGTTCAGCAAACGCTGGGGATCAGTAGCGGGAACGGCTGAATAGCTCGTGGGGAAGCGGTTGGCACATGGTGTGGGTAATCCTCAGGATCTGGTTGAAGGAGTGTCGTTTGGCGGTTATGCTGTTTGCCAAGTGATTGAATCGGTTGTGGCACCTACCAAGTGTTTTTTCCACAACAGACGGCACATGGGCTTGGAGTAGAGGGTTTCTACCACATAAACTGTCTTCTCTGCCATCAGGTTGGTGGGTATCGGCTGGGTTGATGGGTGGATTTGGGTCGGAAGATATGTCTGATGGACTTCCGTGTGGTTGACGCCGAGGTCGACGTTGGGATTGGAAGGGAGGACTCGCGAGTTCGACACAGGCGTACCACATGTCTGCCTGCAATACTTATCATACCAATGATGTTTGTCGGACGAGCTTCCGGAACGCGCTTCATCGTATCATCAAGTCGCGGTGTATCTCACTGACTCCTCTCTTCGAATTTGAAGCTATACAGGAATCTCCTGACCTCAAATACATGCTCCGATACTGACTTGCCGACACCATCATTCAAGCGTCCACCACGTGGCCTGACTATTCCATTAGAAATAGTCGTCCCATGAATTCGTTTCATCGATCAAGCTCCTAGAGACACACTGCGCTCAACCAAATCATGAGTGAAGTCTTCCATCGGTACCCTGACTCCTCTTCCCCATGATGGCACCTCAAGCGACAGTATCAGAGCCCAGGAGCCTCAAACCCAGACTCTAATAGAACCTCTTCTAATCTCCTCCGTCATGCTCCCATTATGTGTCTTTCTGATTGAACATCCATTCCATCAAGGCATGAATCCGTCCTTACACCTCATTCCTACACCAATCACCAGAACCATCAGCTCTTAACCAACGATACATCCCGACCCTCTTCTCCAAGTCCAGTATCATGGTGGCGTCCACCACTGGCTCAGGACAGCCCGTGAGTCCGGCAAGCCCTCACAGACTATTCAACAAGGCATGTGTCCTGGGTATGTCTGTGTTTATGAGAAGATCTCAAATGAAATCGAATTGGGGCTGTCTTCCTTGTCTTCATCTGTGTATGGTTCCTGGAGTACATGAATGGGGAGATCGCTCAACATACTGAGTCCCATGTGGGGGGGCGCACGGACAGACAACCACTCAACTGCGTGGTCTTTGGGTTGACTTGGAGGAGGGCGGAAGACCAAGTGGGATTCATACTCACTGGTGTGGGGTGTTCGTCTGAGGATATTGGGTTGGAGGCGTCGGGTCTGTGGTTCTACGTGGATTGACAGCCAGGCATTGCGTGCAGTCAATGTATAGGTATAGTTATATACTGGATTGAAGATGATCGGTACATTCATACATTGTATACGTGATGCTATGCTGAGGGAAGAGGGAGATGGAAGGACGGTCAAAAAGGGCGGGTGCTTTCCGCAACCCTAGGTATTCGGGGGAGGGTTAATGCAATATGGGAATATAGATCAAGTAGGGGAGGGACGGTGACTGGTGTCATATTGTCGAGAACATGGGAGGGTTCATATCAACGGGGACAAGTATTATACAGCATCCTGATATAAACTAGCTTCATTACAGCCTAGTCCAAAATTCCCATTGAATTAAAGTATTGCCCACATAATTGCAGCTGTGATCACGGCAACAAACAATAAAACAACTTATCCGCAAAAACGCCCTCCTCCCCAATAACACAATCCGACTTTCCCGTATCAGTTGGACAGAGAACCGGCGTCGTAATATCCGGACAATGCAGTGTCCCCGTAGCTTGTTTCGGCGCTTTGGTGTTGATGTACGTGCATGACGTGTAACCCTGCACATCGGTCGTGAACTTCCACGTCGACGGGTAGGAATATACCCCGTCTTTGCCCGGCATGGATTTGGTATTGGAGAGGAATTCATCACAGGGGAACTTGGATGTCACCCCCACGTCGTAGGGGATTACCGCCCATATGTCTTCGAAGGAGAGGCCGCTGTCGAGGAGGACGCCGTAGCCTTCGATGCCTTTGGTGGGGAGGGGGGAGGTGGTAGATGTAGTGGTAGTGCTGGTGGTGGTCTTGCTGGTCTTGCTGGTTGTGCTGGTGGTGGTTTTGCTGGTCTCGCTTGAGGTTGAGGTTGAGGTTGCGGTGGATGTCCGGGTGGGCGTGGCAGTCGTGACAGCAACCGAGCTGCCCGGGACGGCGGTGTCTGTGGTAGTGATGTAGGAGGCAGTGATGGTGGAGGATGTAACAGCCCCAGTATATCCAGGAGCAATGACCACAGGCGTCCCACTGATGGTGGTGGTAACCTTGGCACTGACGGACGGGATGGAGATGGTGGTGCTACCAACCGTGATGATGCCCGAGGTTGGGGTATAGGTTGTGCCCGAGATGATGACTGATTCAGGATACGTCGTCGTAGGGGTTCCGGTATCCAGAGTCAGGTACTCAGATAGACCATTGTTACCTTGGTCATCCCAGGGCAGGACGGTGACTCCGCTGACACAGTATTCCCCCGTGGTGGAGGAGTCCTCGGTCACGTAGCAGCCGGTCTTCACGCTAGAGCCGGTGGTACTGCACGTGGTGAGGTCGCAGGAGACCTGGTAGTCGGTCACGGTTTTGGTGCTGCACTCGCAGCCCTCGTACTCGGCGCAGACGGTGGAATAGGGGGTAGCAGTTGTGTAGGTTCGACAGGACGTGACGGTCTGAGTCGTGCAGGAAGACGAGGACGAAGACGAGCTACCGGTCTTACGGGGCAGGGTTCCACAGCCACTGCTGCAGCTTGGGGAGTTGGGCCCACGGCTATAGTGGGTGGTTGGGTCCGCTTTGTTGTTGTTTGGGGGACAGTCGATGGAGAAGATATCGAGGAATTTGAAGCAAGATGGGTCAGGAATCTCGGGGAATCCTGGTGGCGTAGGGTTAGGGAACTTGGGTCCTTTGATGTTCGGGACCGGTGACCAGTAGAAACCACCCTTGGTCACTGGAATGACAACGGGGACCACGGTAGTGGAGGAGGATGAAGAGCCACCTGTCGTGGTTGTGGCCGTGGTTGATCCGGTGTCACTCTCGCCCAAGGTGGTCGTGATGTAGGTCGTAGTGGTCATCGTGGCCAAGCTGGTAATCTGTGCTTCAGAGAAGGTCTGGGTAGTGTTGCCGGAAGTGACCACCGTCGTGGGCAAGATCGTATTGTAAGGCTCGGTGGAGTCCCAGGATCCATAATGCGTGGATTGTGCTGGGGGGGTGATCACGATGACTTGACCACCTGCACTAATCGTGACAGGCGGCGGTTGGAAGCTGGTGGTCATGTTGAAGGTGAAGCTACTTTGACCTGATGGAACAGTAACCGGCCAGAAGCTGATGAGGTTGGTCGTCACTAGATACGGACATGTCGGTTAGCTGGAGCTCAAGATGAGGACAACCTGACTAACCTGGGAGGGGCGTGATGGTCGTCGAGATGGTACTCCCGCCGTCCACCACTGCGCTGGTATAGGGCGTCGTGATGGTGGTGGTGACCGTGCTGCCACTCTCAACCACTGTGGTGGTATATGGAGTAGAGACGACGTTGCTCGAGACGATACTCCCACCCACAATGATAGTGGTCGTGAAGGGAGCGTAGGTAATGGTGGAAGAATTCGACATGGTGGATGTGGGCAGGACCATAGTGCACGGGTCATAGCATTGGACAGTAGGGCTGGGCTCTCCGAAGACGATGGGATCGATATAGACGATACCGGATCCATCCTCCTCTTCATTGCCGGAACTCCCAATGTCTCCGCCTTGCTCAGATAGGACCAGCCAAGCGCTAATGTCGGTGGAGTAGCCACTGCATTACGGGGTAATCAGCCATTTGGTGAATCCAGGTGAAAAAGGGTAGGTCGTGCTTACTTCTTGTTATCACCCTGATAGGTAGGAGGGATGACGCCGCCAGCAGGATAAACCATTTCGGTTGCACCGATCGTGAACAAGTTGTACATCCACAGACCCTGGGTATAACTCGTCTCCACGAGACGCTCCTGGCAGGTTGCATCATCAATGCAGGCTTCGCTGTAGGATTCAAAGAAGCTGTAAAACCCGGCGCTGTAGATGAAGACATTCTCGGAATTCAAAACTTGCAACGCCCAAGCTTTCTCGCAGTTCGAGTCGGACGTGCAGTCCTCAAAGGTAGGATCCGATTCAAAAGTGCCGATGGTGTAAGGGGCATCCGCAGCAGGTGTGTCCTGGAAGTAGGGGGTTTCCGTTTGGATATGCCCCAGGTAGATGTCCTGGGCATTGTACAGCTGGTATTGATAGAGAATGCTGTGCTCCGAGGCGCATCCATAAAACCAGGTTGGGCCTATGGAGCCCAGAGTGTTAGCGGCTTATCATATCATGAAGGTCCTGCTAGTCACTTACCCTGTGATTCAATCAACACTCCTCGGGCCACGTAGATGTTGAGTTGCGTGGCTGAGGTATCCGTAGCGCTGCTGCTGATCTCAACATCAAGATCATGGTCCGCTACCCACGCCCACACATTCTCAAAATATCCCGAGGAGGAAGGCGTCAGGTGTAGCAACATGCTGGCCGCCATACAGTCCTTGTTAACGGAGTCAGTCGACTTGGGGCAGTCCGACATTTGGAGATCCGTTCCGTTGGCACCACCGACACGAAAGTGCGAATCCCACATGCCAGCTGCAGAGGCTTGAATTAGTGTTGATGTGTGTCAAAAGGGACAAATAGCATACCGGATCCTTGCGTGGATTCATGGACATTCCACTCCATGAGAACCGCACCGGCAGTGGGTCCCTTGACGGTGAACAGCATATCACTGATCTGGATGATGCCGGCATCTCCCTCGTAACCAACTCGGACCATTACCTGGGGGTTGAGTTCATCCTCGAAATATTCCCCCGTGCCCATGATCTGAGACCACCCTTCTCCCACAATGATGGAGCCGACGGGAACAAACACGGTACTTTTGACCATGTAGATACCGGCGGGGAAGAAGATGGGGGAACCCACATTGTCACTGAGCAAGGTGTTGATGGCATCGGTTTGATCTCCGGTGGCGTCGTTACTAACACCGTTTGCTGTGGCCACGATGAACTCACTGGCCGAGTAGCTCTCGTACTGGGGGCGAGACTTGGTGAAGTAGTCGCCATCACCGTCCAGAAGACTGTCGGGCTTCTGGGGAGCGATGTCAAGGAGACCGTAGGTCTCGGTGCCAGATCCGTCCAGTGATGTGTAGCGTCTTCCATATGCCCAGGACTCAATGTAGATTGATCCCGAGGAACCTTCCATCAATTAGTCTGGATCAAAAAAAATCACGAATGACATAGAAAGTAATTTACCTTCAAAAAGAGTATCGCCACCCGAAATCAACACGATGCTCGCAGAGTCCTGAACAAGCAGGTTATCGAGGATGATGTCGGGGTACGGGCCACCATTGCGCAGGGTGATGGCATATGGAACCGAGTAGAACGTCGAGTCTGTACACCATTAGCATCTAGTGACTGCACATCTTTGTCTGCTCTCGACTTACCCACAACAGCAATCGAGCCCGTCCCCTGGCTATCTTCACTGCCCACGCTGGTGCAATCAAAGGCCACCCACACCGCGTCAAACTCGACATTCTTCCACGTAAAACCCCAGTCCCAAATCATGGACACACCAGTGAGACAGGAAGTGAACTTGAGATTGCGCGCAGTGTACTGCTGAGTACCAGCACGGAACCCGATATTACCACCATAAAACTCCAAATCACTGAGGAAACCACCAGATCCATTTTCCATGAAGATGCCCACCGCCGTGGTGGCTGCCTCGGACGTGGATTCCGGCATGTCAAAGTAGATGTTTTGCATCGAGGTTGCCTGCGCCACTTGCCAATGGATACCAGTGGGCACATATTCCTGGCCCGCGTCGTAGTTGGTGAAGTTCATCGCGGTCATGTCCAGCACGAAGTTCCGGATCTGTCGGTAGAACTGGTTTTGGTTGATGTACCATTCACTACCGTCTCCTCCGGGAATGTAGGGGTCGGTGTCAATTAGAGCAATGCCGCTGAAGTTGGCAGATCCCTTGATGACGGGTCGGTCGTTGGGGTCGCCCACGAATTGTGTGTAGTAGTACTGCACGATGGGTGTACTGATCAGGTAGGTACCGGGCTGGTAGTGGAGGTCATTAGCAAATGCGCAGACCCGGGGTATACCTTCTTTCATCGAGAGCACTTACAGGGAAGTAAACCAGAGCCCCCAGGACGCTTGTTGATCCACAGTTCTCGCCGCAGCGATTGCCGTCCGATATGGCCCGGTTGATGGCGGCCGTGTCATCAGTGCTGCCATCACCCGTGGCCCCATAGTCCATGACATTACGGTAGAATGTGTAGCCGCTAGGTGCAAAAGGCATCTGGACGTGAAAGTTGGCCGGTTAGCTCAGGTCGATATCTGAGGCAGCGAAAGGGTGTGTTACCTCTCCATGGGTGATTCCATCCATCCAGAAGTCGGAGGATCTCCGATGGATTGCCCGTGTTGTATGATTGCCAGCAGTGGTAGAGTTGGCAGCATGTTGCTGGGTCTGATCGTAATGGAGCAGCTGAGCGTCTGAGGTGATGGGGCCGTTCAAGGTGCCTGCACTAAAGTTAGTTGAATAGTCATCGGATGGGACTTGGGCTTGGATGATTATGTACCTCGATCAGGGGCCGCGCCGAAGTAATTGCCTTGGTTGTTGACCATGTACGGCGGTGGCGTCTACCGACGCTTCTTAGTGATGATCACCGAGCAAACGAGGAAGCACATACCTTGGGCTTTCCCAGAGGAAGCTTGGACGTATCATATCCAGCCGGCAGCTCTGGAAGTTCTAACTCCACAATGGGACTAAGAACAGCAAAGATCGTAGATATATAGAAGAAAGAAAGGTAAAGAATGACTGGCATACCCCCGCCTAAACGAGGGGAGCGGGTTGCCATGGTGGAAACAGACAAGGAAACGGACAAATGAATGACTTCCCCAAGGGGATAAGAGCACAGAAGCGAGTGTGGTATCAGTTCTCAGACCTGATGAGACATGCTGAGCATCTTGACGGTGCTGGCCAGGGGTTCTTATTATGACCAAAATCCGGAGTATACTGGGCGAGGCTGGACTGGATAAACATAGAGGCTCTCAGGTGTCAGCCGGAAGGCATGGTCCGAGGTGTAATCTCCGTGCCTGTCACCTCGTCACGGTCATCGGGTGGAGAAAGCCCTGAAGGCAGCAAGCAAACAAGAAATCCTGCGCTAAGGCAGGGGTAGTGCTTACAAGCTATTGCCTGCAAAGCGCTAAAGTTGAACCTCGGCGCTCCGATTGGCAGTCCGGAAATCCGGGAGCAACCATTCGATCCTTCGCGAACCATTCTCCAATTTTCATTCCGGACATGACTTCTTCCCCGTAAGCAAGGCCACCACGCTAGTGCACCATATGGTGGTTTTGATTGGACGGCTTGAGCGGCTGTTGATAGTGAAGCTTTTACCAACCCTAATGCGGAACTAGCCGTCACGCGGGTGGGGCTTTGGTTCAATTGTCAGCCCCAACCCACTACCCTGAGCTGCCTGTTGTAGATAGGGACATGGCTTCTTGCTCGAGTGTCTGTGGTCAGACCTAACTGTTGAGGGAATTCCGATTTGTTCGAGTAAGCAGTAATCAAACTTGAGTTGCGCCAGTTCCACTAGTACCAAGCCATGAGGCTGCCAGGGTGGAAAAGACGGATGTCCGGCAAGGGGCAAATTTTCGAATGAGGGACATCTAGGCGGTGCTACGAACTTGAGTTACTGCCTGAAATATAAATGGTCTTCTGGCCACCAATTGCGGTAGTGTACATTATTCCCACCTTGAGTCAATTGCCACTGTCTTTTCTATCATCATTGCCTTCTTCACCATGCGGATCTCCCTGCGAAACCCGCCCCGACGGGAAAGCAGTCCTTCCCTGCGATGGCTCGGCGGTCTCTTCTTGCTCCTCTTCCTGGAGTTGTTCACTACGCTTTGCAGCGCGGCCGACGCAGACGATACCTACAACACAGCCGTGGCAAAGGGCAATGCGCTCTACTGCCTCATGAGCAACACGGAGGAGGGGGCACAGGCCTACATGGAGACGTATAAGCCCGGGGTTGCCGTGTCCAGCCCCTGGACCGAATATAGCTCCCTCGAAACATGGGGATGGCAGCTTTGGCCAGCTTATACGGAGGGTAGTTACGAGGATGTTCTGGACAACTACATGTCCGTCCAACTAGATATGGACAACGACGGGGGACAGGCTGTGGAACACCGCCAGAACAAGGATGTCACTGTTGACGGTACTTTTTATCCAGTAAGTAGGCCTCACAAGATAACATGCCTCCGATTATTGGATCGGGCTTGGTTCTCGTAATGCCCTCGGATTGCTGACTTGGAACAGCTCAGTGGAGCTAGATATGCCGATGTTTACTATCCGGATGACGGCCTAATCGTCGCAGACGAAATCTATGGCCCGCGCAACAACAAGGAGATCGGGGCCAAGGGACAACCATACGTCAAGTTGTCTCAGTGGTCGGATGTAGCTTGGTTGAACTGGGCCAAATTGGCGGACGATGTGACCACCTTGAGGGCCGTCATCCAGTTCAGTGTCTCCAACGGGGTTTCTGAGGCCGTCATCGAGAAGGTGGCGAATGGTCAGAAGATTGGAGGTTATAAGGCTCCCCTGAAGCGTGAAGCGGGTACCGAGGATTTCAATGCACTGCTGGGTACCCCCAATGGGTTTGGGGTGGCCTGGCTCCTGATTAACCACAAGTCGCAACTGGGGATCAAAACGATCAAGTCGGTCTCGGTGTTTCGGTCGAAGGACCCATTGCCGGACGGTGATCCAGTTGTCAATATGGCGTTTGAGATTGTGGATTGGACTGATTCGTCTACAGAGGCGTCTTCTTGATGTATTAGATACAGAGTTGCGGGTCATATACGCAGCATGCTGCCTCGGTGCGTTAGTTGTCTTAAAGTGTATTAAAATTTGATTGTCGCCAATTCAGACCGTAAAGACTCCAGAGGGTGGTAAGTGAGTATGCGCATGAGACTCCACGAGCCATGTGAAGGGCATGAAGCACAAGGGGCTAGATGTATCAGACCACCGCTATGGATGTATGAGGGGGGACTATGAAGGACTCTATAATGACTCGATATATTTCTCTGTAGGTCAAGGTAGCTCATAATTCAGGTCGATGGAATGGCGGGACTCCACATGAACCATCTCTCTCCCTGGCCAAAAGTGTCTCCGTTTGCGTTCGATATCCTGCAGATCCTCTTCACTCAAAATACTTTCCCACCGGACATATTGGTCGGCCTCTGACCTGGGACTTTGAGAAGTCGGGGGCGCCCCACGGTCTGGGTACAGAAGACCAAATGCTTCCATTCGTTGATGGTCCCAAATTGCAAAACCAAACCGGCGGAAAGAGCGAAACTCCACATATCGACATGGGGATGTATACCATGCGGACAATACCACGAGGACAAAGGAATAAGCTGAAGTACAGTTCATAGAGTCAATGCGCTTGATTTGGGAAGCTGATCGAGGAGCGCAGTTGCAGGAAAGACGCCACTGTGCAGTGCAGGCAAGGGACTTGGCAGCGCGATATCTTTCCACGGAAGACGGCAAGGCTGGAAACATGCAGCGACAATCGGCCATTGTCCGCGATTGTTCAATGACACTGTTGAACAAGGAGTGCTGCCAAATCTCGTCGAAGTGCAGATCCTGCAATTTGGATACTTCGCTAGCGGGCCACATCCACTGACTCTTCACCACACCACTGCGCAGCTCCCAGATGAGGAAAAGCTGCCAGATGGCGCGCATGGCTATTTGTTCTTCCGCAGGTGATGGGGGTCCAGCATCCTCTTGTTGGTATCGCACCCGCGGTGGCTTTGGCACGGGGAAGTACTCAGAATTGCACAGTGCGGGTGTCCGATGAGCATTCCGGATATATTTCAGCTTGGGATTTTCCATTTGATACATCTCCAATGCCATGCATCGGTCAATCATCTCATGCATACCAGCATGAGCGAGGTAGCGGACAGTCGATGATGCGGTTAAAATATCGCATAAAGCTGACACTGGGATGTCCCGGGGTAGTTGGGTGTATTCGGTGGTGTTTTTTATATATCTGTGTATAAAGTCATTCACCCCTGCCACTGCACGGTCGTATCGTAGACGGGCAAATTTGCGAATCAGGATATGAGTTTCCTCCGGCACGCTGAGCTCCATGACTGCCTCGACAACTCGACGGGCAGTGCCATCTTCGTGCAACAGGGAAAAGATGGCTGGCGATGCGCGATATGCACTGTGCAAAGAGGCCAGATCCTCCAGCTGCTCAAGGACCATTGCTAATATTGGCGATGGTAAGGTGGCAAAAAGGTCGGGATGACCGTTTGGAGACATAGTTTGCTTCAAAGTATGATGGCGGATCAGGTGACTTGAAAGGGTAATCGGTCGAAGAAAGAACAGTGATTGGAGTAGGATAAGATAGACCCGGAAGGCGAGCCATTGGGCGCTGACAACATATTTATACAGCCGAACAAGCCGATGTCCGACACTAGCGGAATTGCGCTGTTGCCTGCTGACCACGTGACCATAACAGCACCCCTTAAGCCCTGGAAATGATTACAGTTACATGGACGGGTCATTCATTTACCTAACTGAGGGTTCCAATATCTGTCAATAAATGCAGCGGTAATTGCATTATGCCGAAGGACAATTGCTCTCTACCATAGAAATCTGCCTATCCAACGCTTGATTCAGGAAGGCATCTCCCTCAGCATACAGAATTCGGATCAAATCATACTGGACCAATGTGGAATACATAAAGCCCTCACCCCCTTCTACCTTGTGTTCAAACTTTGACACTACCCACAAGGCACAAGAATTCTCCCCGAGGCTGCCAACCTGGGCTGCCACCTCATCATGGACATCCTGGACTGATTGCCCTCAGCTCATGGGTCAAGTACTCAAGGGCTGGATACCGACTCGGTCGGACAGTTTATGATGGACTGGATAACGTCCAGCCTCTCTCATAGTTTCCATGGCCACTTATTTATACACAACCTCATTCGGACTATTCTATAAGCGACCTTGCTGAGTACAGAGCCTGGACTGGACCCCTCCTTCAAACAGGCTCCTCCTCCAGCTATCTCTCACCCCACATATACATCCTCTGATGAGCCTCCATATGGCTGTTGTTGGGCCGGGCTTGTCAAGCCTAGAAGTACCGTCGGTCATGCTTGATATTTTCCCACCTACTAATGATGGCTTGAAAGGCATCCAATGTCGTGGATCGGGAAGAGTTTCACGCCTAGATTCGTCATATGTTTTCAGTTGATTGAAATGAGTCCCGCGAACGATTTCGTCCTAGTTCACGGTTCATGGGTCATTTTGGAACGCCAGGTAGATTCACGATCGTCGGAGACAAACACATGCATGCAGCAGCGCTGCAGAAACCTACAGTCTATCCGGTTTTGGTGTGTGGTTAATCGAAGGTATCCTTGGGTAGAAGACACAAGGCGAAGATATTATCCAGATATATTTACTAAGTTCAGATCAGGGGTCTAGGGCTAGATGTCAAAAGGACAACCATGAACCAGACGGACGATGGGGGTATACTTTCAGGGATCATATTCTTGAAGTGCCGATGCATTCAGAACTCCCGATTCCTATGGTGCTCTTATCACTTGTCGAAATTCGACACCCGCTTACGCGCATGGAGCACAATCATGCTATGTTCTTCAACCGATCCAGCGAAGACGTTACTCTGATAAGTTCTGCTCCAGGATCATCAACAGTATATAATTCTGTGTATCCGCGCTCCGCCAGTCTGGCCTTTCCCTATCGGTGTGAATCACCACTGGCCGAAATGAACATGATAATAGTGATCATTCTTATCGAGTCGTCCTTTCCTGCCATCGCTGGCACACATAGGATGGGTCTATATGTCGTTACAGCATTGATTGCACAAACCATGTCTCTGCATGTTCCTTCCTTGCGAATGAAGAGACGCTGATATGGCTACGGACACATGTCCCGGACGGTTTCGACGATGAGGACTTGTTTCCACAAGCACCCGACCGGGCGAGAAGACCTAAAGCCAGAGCAAGCGGCTCGCTGACTGTCAGTGCTATGCTCTAGATCTGCTTCTGTTGGTCATTTGGAATCGGCTAGGAAAGATTATATTTCTGAGTTGGGAATTATCTTGATGTATGCTCGCGTGTGTCGATACCGGAGTTTCCTACCTTCCGATTCGATGCATACGGTAATTGATCTTGAACACCAAAAGAATGTACACTAGTCTTCCTAGTTATGAAACTCCTTTAATTCTAGCACTCTGATAGCAATGGAAAAGCAGTCCCCAGTGATCGGGGACTGGCCTGAATTATGCTATCAAACGCTGTCTAATGCGTACGGAGTGTGCAGTTGCTGGCAGAAAGGTATTTCTTATTATGTAGGAATGATACTCAGAGCCTGTCTTCTCAGATCATCAACCGTTCCAGCCCTTAAGATTGGAGTGAAATTCTACCTAGTCATGCTGCCTGTGACTAGTCATAATGTGGCTACTCGTCCGGATGGTGTAAGTGGCGGTGCATATGTGGGTCCGAGTAGTCTGGTATTCTTACCGTATTACGCCAGCACACTATTAAACTCTAGCTTTTTTTCGTCGAATCTTACTTTCTACTTGCTACGCCTTTCAAACCTTGCTCAAGTACGTTAATAGCCTTCCAATCGAATATGGTCTCAGACGGGTTTTACTCCATCAAATTGCGTTTCCTCCTGTCCCTGAGTTTCTCCCTTTGGCCCCGAGCAAATACCCCGAGAAGATCTCGACTTCTGCCCCGCTTTTATTTGATCCACCCACGGAAGAACCCACGCGGTCCGAGCACAGGCCGACCCACTCGTCCGATCTGGATCGAAGGTTAAATATTAAAACAGACTGTAAGGGGAGTGCTATCTAATACTCACCAGTTCTCATCAACATGAGTTCAATAAAATGCCCCTTTCAACTAAGCCGTTGGCTTCCGCTCGATACCAATGTCTACCTATCTGACTATGGTGACTTGCTTGTCGGGTCGATCAAGACCAGCAGACAGCCTTGCGCTGACGCCTAGAAAAGGTTGTGCATCCATTGAGACGTGTCACACTCCGATGAAGTCATGTGATGATGCCTGGAGATCCCCTATTTTCCCCGCCTCCCTCCGGAAGGTGGAGTGAGACGCCCTTGATAGCCAGACAGCCGTCTGTATATATAGACGCAACCTCCAGCCTTAACTAGGACGAGATCTGCGTCATTAGGGTAATTTTGTCCCCGTTTGTCTAGTTCATTCCTGCTCACTTTCCCATTCCCACTACTTCATTCTTTCAACCCTTTCATCGAATGCTGACTAGACACTATCTAGAATCAGAACTTCCTGTTCCCTGAGCATCTTACCTGCCTCGATACACCCCTTGAGCCCCCTTACATTATCCCACCCACCACTTCGCACCATGCAAACAGAAATGCATCCCGACGGCCTAGCCCAGGAAGCATCCGAGAAGATCGCCAACAACTGGATCCTCCAATTCCTAGAAAAGGACACTCGCGAGCCTCTCGCGAAATTCATGCGAGGACACTTCAAAGGCTTCGACGTCAACGAGTTCTCCATCCTTGCACGGGGATCCCACAACATCGTCCTGCGTCTCAGTTGCAAGTCCTACGACGGGGTAGTGACCCGATTCTCCCAACCCGGTGCCGTCGTCTTCCCCGAAGAGAAACACACCAACGAGCTCGCCGTCATCCGATTCATCATGGATCAAACCGCCATCCCCGTTCCACTCATCCTGCACTCCGGCACCAAAGCGGAGAGTCCCCTCAATCTAAGCCCCTGCATGGTAACAGAGTACATCGACCACGAAACAAAAATGTACGACGCCCTCACCACCCCAAACTCTCCACCCGAACAACGCGGCATTCTCAACCCAACCATCCACCCCGACACACTGTCAACACTCTACAAACAAATGGCCCACATCGTCCTCCAACTCTCCATACCCTCTTTACCCCGCATCGGCTCCCTCACCCAACTCGACGACTTCACCTGGAACGTCACCCGCCGACCCCTACCCCTCAACATGAACGAACTCGTGCGCCTAGCTGGGTTACCACAATCAACCCTCCCCTCCCTAGACACCACATACCAAACATCCTCCTCATACCTCGAATCCCTCGCAGACCTACACATAACCCATCTAACTCACCAGCGCAACGACGCAATCCTCTCCGCCGACGACTGTCGCCGCAAATACATCGCCCGATATCTCTTCCGCAAACTCGCCCGCGAGAAACGCCTCACGGACCCAGAATACGAAGCCGGGCCGTTCAAATTATGGTGTGATGATTTCCATCCCTCGAATGTCCTGATCAATAAACATAATACCATTGTCGGGGTGGTCGATTGGGAGTTTACGTACGCGGCGCCGGTGGAGTTTTCTCATGCGCCGCCGTGGTGGTTGCTTGTGCAGCGGGCGGAGGGTTGGGATGGGGGTATTGAGGAGTGGAGTGGTGTGTTTGGGTCTCGGTTGGATACCTTTCTTGAGGGGATGAGAAGTTGTGAAGATGTGATGATTGGGCAGGGTCGGATGGATGAGACTCAGCGGCTTTCTGGACCTATGTTGCGGAGTTGGGAGAGTGGGGATTTTTGGATCGTGTATGCGGCGATGAATAGTTTTGCGTTTGATGTGGTGTTTTGGGAGAAGATTGATGAGAGGTTTTTTGGACGGTTGGGGGATGGGGAGGAGGGGTGGAAGGAGAGGGTACAGTTGCTGGATGACGGGGAGAGGGCTGAGATGGAGGAGTTGGTGGGGAGGAAAGTGGAGGAGATGGAGACGAGGGTTTTGGAATGGGATCCGGATGAGTATACCCTTGCTGCTCAACGGGAGTGGGAGAGTCGGTGGGAAGAGGTAGATAAGGAGGAGGTAGCAGAGCATGTAGCTGAGGAGGCTGCGAAGGAGAAGGAGAAAAGGTGGAGCACACGTGCGAAGAGAATATCGTATTACTTTAGTTGAGAGCCTGCAGGTATTGTCTCTGAACTATTTCGGCACTATCTACTGTGATTATGCAAGAAAAATGTGACATGCATGTAGTCACATCCTCGGGATTAAGTCACAAGCCGCCATAATTTGTGCATACAAATGGATCGGTAAGGCGTATGAGCTGCATATTACTCTTGCCATCGAGCCTCATCAGAGGCATAATATGTGGATCTCCCACTTCACGCCTTAGGCAGGCAAGCCTGGTATGCGTGTATCCCATTCATAAATCTCCTATCCATCCCTTATCGACGGGACATTCCTGGAGGGCTGAATGATGTCCTCATAATTGGATCGGAATTAACCGATACTGTATAACATCACCTCAGTAAGATGGTGATAATGGAGAAGCGTAGATGTCGCGCGTTGCCTGCCCGACTTAGGGCTAGAGCGTATGCCTCAGGCAGACGTCTCATGACCTGATGTGCCTGATACAGCAAAGCTTATTTGCAGTGGGTCAAGTCACAGACCTTTCCCATCACAGATAATCTATGGATACATGGCTCCTTACTCCAAGCAATAGGGCTGATGCAAGACATACCTGCTACAAACAGGGGCAAAGGTTACAGCAGTACCCAAGCGTGGCCCAATAGAATTCGCCAGGTCCAGGATGTTGGCGTGCAGAAGACGGAGATGATAACCACACCACACATGATCCTGGGTGCGGACGTAAGTGGATGCTGGGCATGCATGCTGTCACTGCGCGTGATCATCACACCTTACACGTGCATAAGTCTAAATTTCCGCCCTGATTGAGGCGGAAGTATACAGTTCAGCTTATCTGAGGGGCATAAACTGCCTCTGCGACCATATGAAGATTTTTTGTATTAAATGCGCGGCTACCACGAGTAAGGCTTAGTTCACCCTGACTGTAATAGGTATCGCTCCCCGCGCATAGCACGAAAATGCACGCTGCTCATTGCTGACGGACGATCGATAATAATAGGAAAGACCCCATGCACGCATCAATGCTGACGCTTGATGCCCGAGGCATACCCAGCCCCTACCCTAATGCATGGCATGCAACCTGATAGGAGTGGCGGTTAGATCGGATAGCGCGGGGCTGAATGTACGATGACGTCGTGATGCGGCTTGGAGATGCCGTGTACCCGTATAGCAGGTGGGGGGTTTGCGACTTGGAGCGGAAGTATGTGAGTATAAACTACCTTGAATCTCTGGTTATGCGGGAGGTTCTAGGCTGAGTGTTGAGCTCTAGGAGCTGGCTTGGTTTACTCGAGATTGTGATCGGCTATGGTTGAGGTGTGCGGCATGGAGGGAAACGGTCTCTGATTGGTTGGATTTGTCATTATACATCATTGCGCCGGGACCATGAGAAACGCTTGGTAAGTAGGACCGAAATGTATCGCTGAAAGTGAATCTGTCTAGACAGGAAAACAACACAATGCTATGCATAGCCAGTTTGAAGGACATTCGTGCAGGACCTGCCTGCGGACGGGAGATAGGAACAAAATGCCAAGGTAGACGCCACGGATGCACACCAACATGGAAGAATCAAGGGAATCGAGGACGAAATGGAGGTCAACCAAGAAAAGGTAGAAAGGGAAGCTCTCAGGCAATGGAAGGCTTATGCACTGCGTCGCTCAAGGTCTCTCCATACGGTGATGCACGTGCAGTTGATGTCCCCTCAAGTTGTCCTTCCGGCTGAATGTCCTCTTACAGCCTGGGAAGTCACACTTGAAGGACTGGGGCGTTACATGCATGGTTTTGACGTGTCTCAACAGGTCTGCAGGCCGATTGAAGCCATTCTTATAGGTGCAGTCCTTCCACTCACAGCGGAGTCTCGGTTGTGTTTCCCTTCAACGGTTAGCAGTTGCCAAACGCCCAAAGAACTGTGACAAGACGAACTTGGTGTCAATCTGGGGGTCCCTCGAGTTATACACGGGGTTGGTCGACGATGGTGGGAGGAATTCCGCGATGCTGATACTTTCTGGATCAAGACTCTGCGACTCTTGGAAGAAGGATGATGGGTGTGTTTCAAAGAAGCTGCCATCATATGCACTCGGACTGTGTGCTGCGATTGTGTTGTGCCCTCTTTCAACCATTCCATAGCTTGCATCATGCTGATGGCTGTTGCCACCAAAGACGTTGGTGTTGAAGTAGGGGTCTGCTGGTACCATCCGCTGATACATCAGGGATTGTCTGCGAGCTTGTGATGTCCCCACAGGCTGTCTAGCTGCGGAGAATTGGTAAGAAGGGCCCAGCTCGGTAGAAACGCTTCCACCACCCGCTGATCGGGGCTTGATACCCCGGCTATGGGGGTACAGAAACTCCCGAGCCATGGATGCGGGAAAGAAAGAGGGAATTATCAGTGATATGGCACAAACTGAGGAGCTGAGTGGAGTGGAGGTGAGTGTGGACGGTTGGAGGAACCGATGGATAGAAGTGAAATGAATAAATATACGACGGAGGCAGCGGCACTGGGACTATAACTGTTTTGATGCGATAGATTCCCAAAATATTCAGGCCGGAAGATGAGGCAGCTACGTCCCCGGCTTCCTGCAGGCAAAGCTGACAGGAGCCTACGCATAGGGCGCTTATGCAAGGCCACTGCAGAAGTGGCGATAGCCCAGTAATCGAGACAGCAAGGCCGGTTACGAAAGACGTGCATTAAGAATCGATCATGTGAGGCCGTTTGGCTGGGTTTTATATTCTCCTCCATGAAATGCCATTCTCGCTCAATCTGCTGACCGTCATTCTGATACTATTGACACGAGATGAGTCCAAGAGGGTAAGATGTGCAGGCAAATGGCCAAGCTGAATTTACCATGTCCAGGAGATCTGGATGATTGATTCCAAGGAGACCAGGAAACAGATATAGAATGAAAATGATGGTGAATTCGAGACCGACGGCAGAGCGACCGGAATACTCCGCAACCACACGGACCACCGGATCTCGCGGCAGCCGACCGTGCCGCGCGACGGCTCCAACCTTGGTGTCCCACCCTGCGTTCTGGAATATCGGGTGGAATCTGGGTTGTGCTCTACCTCTGTCAGAGCGAGATAGCCGAAGAAATAGAAAGTAATGTTTGCCGCCGTTAGCCACAAGGGCAAGCTACTAGGTCGTGGCCTACAGACGACCTGCGGTCGCCTACAGCCCAAGGCATTGAGAAGCGGTGAGAACCGGCAATATAGGATAGACCATGGTCTCTGTAAAAAAAAAAAAAAAAAAAAAAAAAAAGCAGGAACTGATTAGGAAGTTGAAGCTGTGAAGTTTATAGATTATTAGAAAATATAGAAGCTGGAAACTTCTTTAAGAGTGAACCTAGTATTGCTCAGCGCCAGTGCGCTTCACAAATTACAGCCACTTAGATAATGTTGCCTTTCTCCCATACGCCATCGAGGGTTCATACTGCGCCTCACTATGGGCTACATAAGGCGAGTGTGCTGCCCAATCATGTATTTCGGAACACAGCCATGCCCAACCCAGGACTTTGATTGGACACGATGATCCTTGAAGATACGCAGTATATTATTTATTTGCTTTTGCCTACGGCTATTGAACTACTTACAGTGCTTATCGATAAGATAAGTGCAGCGCAATTGTGCATTGCCTATCATTACTAATCTATGTATATATTAGTTAGTGCTTTCCTCACAACGGTTTGTCTCACGTGATTGGCTTAAGGTTGCTGGAGAAATAGGACCAATAATATCGATTGGAACTATATTTGGATAAGGCTAGGTAGACTTTCCTTGACAATGTACCATGGTGGAGTAGTGACAATAATCAGGAATGCAGGATGGTGAACTACACTAGCGAGCTCGTCAAGGATGACAAGGACTGCAGCTGGATGTGAATAAAAAGACTGTTCGAAGGACATGGGCAAGAACAAGAGAACCAAAAACGAAACATTGACATAGGTGATTGGCGCTATGCATCTGAAATTGGAACAATGAGCAAAACCAAACAACTTCACTGAGAATCAGCTGCGCCCAGGGTATTCCCTCTGCAGGTGATGAAACCGGCATAGATGCTCCACTAAATTATCCTTGCGGTTGAAAATCCGATGGCACCCGGGGACCCAGCACGGATACGACTGAGGAGACACATGGATGTTCTTGATGTGTCGTAATAGATCTGCTGGTCGATTGAATGGTCGGATATAGGTGCAGCCGTTCCATCCGCACGTCAGTGTTGAGGCTCTGCGGTTTCTATCAGATGTCAGATTGAACATTCGAACAGTAACAGTAAGTTTTTGACCGTACGCTGTATGGGAGGTGCTTGTGTGTTCACGAGATATTGCATCCGAGGTGTTTTCTGCGTAATTGTCTAAATAAACCCTGTATGGATGATGTCGGTGATGGCCTTCAGACGGATGTCTGTTGTGTGCTGTAGCGATTTCCTCATGGATTCCATCGGTGGGATAGCTTTGTGGCCTCTCATCAGGCTCCAGCGACGTCCCGTTGTACTCTGATATCTGGTAAATGGCTTGGGGAACACTTGAATCGGGATAGTAGCTCCAGATAGGATAACAGGTGGGAGCAGCTTCAGATCGGGGAGGGCCTGTGTTCGGTAACTGGACGTAGCGGTAGCGCTGCCCGGATAAATCGGGGCTATGGTATTGCCTGCTGTTACTTGCATTGCCAGGGTGGGTAGTGAGGGTGGATGTTGGACTGTGGGCAAGACGGTCGGCCGGCATCGTTGGGAGACTGGTTATCATCAATAGCAATATGAAGCAAAATTCTATGTGACTGACCTCGGTAACGTGAAGGATGGACAAAATTGATTATGCTTGAGAACACAGTCGATGATTCCGACGCTCAAAGGAGGGTACGCTCGCCAGAAGCTCATGCTGGGCGAGGGGGTGTATTTGTATCCAAAGGGCATATAGCAACTGTTGAGCCCAACTTCAAACCTTCAGTCATTCCCTGGCGTGGGAGGACCTTGGGCTGTTACTCAGTGCAGACGCTGCAGAGCCCAGTATGAAGGCCTACCCTTCCATCTCCATGCACCCAGATAGATCAAACAGTTTGACTTTCGGGGAAGCGGAGAGTGGGGACAGCAAAAGTACGTGAAAGGAACAGGTGTAACCACTTGCCCTCTCGGGCGGGGCGCAAATTGGTGCCTGCTCCTATTTACCCAACAGGGATGGATGCGTCCTGCATTGCCGCCGCCGTGATCAGGTAGGGTTGTGCTGCAGATAGTGGCCTAGGCCAATCGAACGGGTGGTTCGGAGAAAGAAAAAGTACAAAGCAATTCTCATCAGGCTAGTTTGGTCAGTGCTTCCCACTGGTACCTTTGGCGAGAGGGACGACTCAACAGCAGCGCCGATGCAGACCAAGACCAATGTATGTGCAACCATCCGCAGTCAGTGCAGTTGGGGACCTCCGACTAACATCCTCTATCGTCCTGCACTGTCATCAGGATCAGGTGGCGTATCTATCCGCTCACTCTTTCACTTATCTTTTCTTTTCTTTTCTTTCTTTTTTTTTTTTTTTTTTCCTTGATTATTTTGTTGCCAAATGGTATGCATTTCCAGGTAATCCCACAGCTTGGCTTATAGCCCCCAGTACCGAGCACTTTGAGACGCAATGCCCATGCTCTACAGCAAAGATAGCCCTCAAAAGGCCAGCATTTGTTATGGTGGTGGACGATAGATATTGGATAAGCCAAATGGCTGACGTGGAGGTGGACAGAGAGCAGCAGAGGGGATGACCGTGCGAACTATCCCTATCACGGAGGAATCAGCCCACAGTATTCTAGCCCGTTTCAGGCGGTGATAAGCTTGTTTCCAGGAGAAAATGGTACTTCTGCTGTCATTGGTGCCGAATTGCGATCGTCCACCACGTAGGTGCAGGTTCCCCTATTCTCGGGTGTGACAGGTCACTTCAGAGATGTAAAAGCACCAATAACATCCTTTTCGTACTTTCTCATCGTTTCATTGGTACAAAGTACCTATTTGCTTTTTCCGTGTTCTAGCCCGCCGAATCCTTGTCATGTTTTCTTTTGGCTGTTGACGCACCGGAAGCCAGGTTGGTGAATCCGTAGCCGGAACCTACTTCCAGCCCAGGCTGACCAGCGAGGCACCTTGCCCGGAGGTGCCGGAGCGCCCGTTGCGACAGGTCAAGCAAACATTTTTGGCCATCCTACTTCGTCCACTCTCTTTGTCTGGTTTTCTTCCGTCTGTGATGATTCAACCCTTGTCGCCCTTTTGACTTCTTTCCAATGCTTTCTTTGCCCGGATCATCGTTCCTTTTTCTTTATCCCATTTGGTTCGCTTATTCCTCTTTCGTATGATTGTTTGCTTCCCGTCGCTTGCCTTCCCCCCCACATCTGATCCCATGGCCATCGAAAATGCTAGTCATCATTCACATTTCCGCCGCACTGGGCAAGAAGTCCAATTCTCGCAACCTGTCTCTCGCCAAGCACTATCCAAATCCTCTGATTGGCCAAGAGTAGGACTCTTAATCACGTTTCATGATTTCTAATAGTCGGTGAATCCAGACGGCTACTCCGGTTGGTACACCCATTGGCATCATCACCTAGGTGGTTTTACCATCGTACACTCAGTTCAACTATTAGAGTAGTTGTGGCATTCGAAAACATGAATTTGCAAATCTACAGCTGTGCACTGGCAGCTGCGCTCAAAGCCTTGTAACGCAAGCACTTTGCGACAAACAAACGGTCGTGATGATCATGCGAAGGGAGTGGTGCTCATATAGCCTTGCACACAGCCATTCAATCCCACCTTGGTATTGAACAACCTGGCCTAACCGAGATATTCTCTACGTAAGTCCCTAGAGCAGGCGGTACGATTCATTGAGGTCCGCTTCACCTACAATCTTATCCTAATAATTTGCAATCAAAGGAATCAGAACCCTGCCTTTGCTTCGTAAGCGGCTCAGGCTCCCCACAATGCCTGAGGCGACAACCGCGGCTTCGGCAGCTGGGGATTTTCCCGCGGACTGTTGAACATCCGCTATTGGTGCGTGCGGGGATGTGGCAGCACGGGGCAATGGACCCACTAAACTTAAGTCGACCACTCGCAGAGTGGATGCGGGGGCTAGTTCTAATGCCTACGAAGAGGTTACTATAGACACAGCAATTCAATCTTTGTGTAATGGGGTTCGGATAGCTTCACGTTTGCCTAATTAGGTTGATATTTGAAAATCAATCAATCACATAACGAATAGTTATCTAAAAGACTGACATCACCCACAAACCAAAAAAGAATATGTTGTGAGCTACGGCTCAGGGGGTTGAAGATGTTATTTATATTCACTATCTAGGCTACAACCAGAAAGAAGAAGAAAAATACTTTAATAGTGGCTAACATAATCAAAATATATGATCCTCATTTATTAATTAACTAAACACCTCAATACGGCCCTTTAAATAAGGAAGGGTCTATATAGAGTGGTTATACCTGACCATTATACCTTAACCGTAACCTGACCGTAACCTGGCAGTCAGGTTAAGATATAAAGATCCTCTTAACCATATAGTTAAAGTCAGATTAAGATTAAGTAGTCACTTTAACCATCTTTAACCACAGATCAAGAAGATTAGGTAATCTAAATAGGTTAATAATTATAGATTAATTAGTAATTTATATAGAACTTTTATAAGAATAATTTATCTAATATAATATACTTTTAATTATAATATTTTTAAAATAAAATAATATATTAATTAATTATTAATTAATAATCTTTTGCAGATTTCCTGGCTAATAAGTAATCTAATAAATTCTATAAAAAATTTCTATAGATAATATTAAAGATATAGATAATATAAACATCTATTCAGGCTAGGCTGTTAATATAGAAAATTTAAATATTATTTAAATTATTCTTTATATTGTCTAGATTAGTGATTATAATAATATAAAGATTATAAGATCCGAGTATATATCTATATTTAGATTCATATAATATTAATAGATTAAAATAAAACTAAATTTTTTTTAATAATAATCTATTCTTTAAATTATCTTTAAGGTTATTTATATTCTTATTCTTATTAATATAGAAAATTATTATAGATTTATTATTCTCTTAATTCCTGGTTATAAATGTAATAGAATCCAGAGTAATATTATTAAAAATATTTTAATACTTTTTATCTATAGTAAAGTAATTAGTATATATCTAGAATATAAATATTTTAATAGTCTTAGAGTGTAGATAGCTCCGGTAATAATAATAAATATTTTAAAAATTATTAAAAAATATTTAATATTAATATTATTAATTATAATTATAAAGAAGTCCCTAGCCATATAATAAAGAATTAAAAACTAATATTAATAAAATTTTTAATAAATAAAAATATCAGAATACCCTATAGTTTTTAAAAAAAAATAAATATTATTTTAAAGATTTAGATTATCTATATATCTTTAATATTAAGACAAGTCTTAAATTTCTTAAAAATCACTGTAGAAAGTAAGATTTTTTAATATTTTAAAATATTATAAAAAATTTTATCTAAATTTAAGAATGTGCTAGAGACAGTAAATAATATATTAATAATAAAATTTTATTAATAATAGAAATAGAACACTTTTTTAAAAATAATTTAATATTTAAGATATTAATTAATATTATTATTAAGTTAGACACCTTTCTTAAATTTTTTAAGTTTAGATATTAGGTTAAGAATAGTTATAATTATATAAATATAGTCTTTAGTTTAGTAAGTATGGTAGTAGTATTTTTAAAATTTTTAATATATATTTTTTAAATTCTAAAGAATCTCTTTTTTTAAGGTGCGCGCTTCTATATTAGTTAATTAATTAATTAATTAAGATAATCAAAGAGTCTATTATAAATATTATAAACTTTATAAATAGTAGATCCACTATTCTTTAATAAATAAGAAGTAAAAAGGAAAAATAAATATAAAAATTTAAAAAAATATTTTAATTATTTTTATTTAATTAAAATAAAATAAAAATAATTAATATTATTGTCACGGGGCATACTGGGTGCGTATTCCAGGTACTTCCCGCTGCACTATCAGCAAAAGGACTAGGATGTAAAGCCAATGGCTTTACACTGCGCACGCTATATAAGGGTATTCAGGAACAGGATTCAGGCAGGATTCAGGCAACCACGCGGGTTCAGGCAGGCAGGCAGGCACCGTGACAATTATTATGATCCTAGTACTGGATAAAGTTTTTAATAATTAAATATAATTTAATAATATAGTAAATTATAAAATAGGTTAAATTCTATTAAGTTTTACAGTTAAGAAGAGAGTAATATATTAAAATAAAATTTAATTATTAAGTAAACTAAAACTTTTCTTAAT